GTAAGAGATAGAGATATGCTATCGCGGACTTTTTTGTAGCATTTTTATAGATTTTGAATTCTCTAGCACATTACTTAACTGTATCTTTGCTAGTTTACGCGGCGTTCGCGTGGAAAGTTCCCATTTGGCGAGATTTTTTGCGACCTCTTCAACATTTGTCGCCGTATTTCAGCTAATTTACATAAAAGCATAATAAATTATATACCTAAACCTTCCTCAAGAATTACTCTTTCTATTGTTGAAAACCGTATAAAAATCCGTTCAGTAGTTTTCGAGTTTATCGCGTACAGACAGACAGGAGGACAGAAAGACGCGGCCGGGGGACTTATTTTTATAATAAGTATATATATATATATATATATATATATATATATATATATATATATATATATATATATATATAAGAATTTTTTAATACGTACATACATCCATAAAAACCAAAACAAACGAGCAACAAGCATGTGAAATAGTGAGATATAAAGAAGAATTTAATAACAAAATCTGAGCCACTTTTTGGGATTGCGTTGCGACTTCACGTTGTAAATTAGATTTTATATAGTCCTTAGAAATAAGGAGAAAATCTACTTTTAAGTAGGCTCTACAATTAATACAAATTCAAAGTTTCAAAAATAATACTATCAAAGCAAAGTAGTTTAATAAATAATTTGCTTATTAGAACAATGCATCGCTGAGTAAAATAATATTATTGTTGATCTTAGAATAAGTAAAAGTTTTTATCTGCATAAGTAACTTTGTTCATTCTATTGTAAAGAAGAAACTCGATTAATTTAACTGTTATCCGTAAAGTTTTTATCGTGCCTGGGGACAATGATGTATCTTTACCTAGCATTCACCCTAAGTTTACCTTGTAAAAATTTTATAGTATAAAATTTTAACTATAAAAGTACGTATTACTACATGGTATATAAGTTTATAAAATCAAAATTAAGGATTAAACCATCCACAACCGCAGACACGCCGGCGTTACAGTTAACAATAGATTTCTTAGAAATTTAATTAATTTCTTAGAAATTTACCTGGAGGTGTTAACTAACATTTCTACTTCAATTAATATTCTTTTTTTCGTAATTTATAAGATAATTATTGCAAGAATAAAAATATAGTAAAGTCCCATAAGTCAAATGAATATTGACAATTAATGCAATCGAAGGCCATACATACTCTACTATTATTTTTAATTGAATGTATTTGATTTTTTTAGATATCCCTTAAAACCAAGCCTTTTAAATTAAACAAAATTAAACGATTGGTTTAATTTTCCAATTTGCGCGGAAAAATACATTTTCAAAAATTAATTTGTTTTAAACGTTGTAAGTTCATATTTCAGTCTACATACAGTCTACATACATAATAAAATTCTGTTCCTATTTTCATAAGAATACGGAAGCTTAAAAAGTATTTAGTTCGTCTATTTTCAAAGCTAAGGTGTTGAAGACATCCATCTTATAACAATAATGTAGGCGTTACAAAAGATTTTAAAAACATACTTTTTCTAAGACTGTTTTACTCCTGTATAAAGTGAAACTTGCGGATTTCGGTCAAACGTGCCTCGCGTATTTTGCACATAGATTATTTACAAGTATATTTAAAAAACTAAAATGTATTTTTGCAGCGCTTACAACGTAAAAACTTTTACTGACGTTTATTCCTATTATAGTGAAATAGAAAGAGATTGTCGACAGTATGCTTTTATATACTTCAAAAATTGATCTAGAAGCTATCTTTGTGCGTAGGCATTTCGTATGTATAGCAAACCGGATGTCAAATTAAACGATCTCAATTTTTTAGCGTGCAAATACAAAAATTAATATTTTTTGTATAAAAATTATTTTGTTTAAGATGTGACTGTTACATGATCCCCAAAAAGCGTATTATTTTAAATAGTAATAAATAAATATTTTGTATTTTATAAAAATGTGTAAAATATTCTTTGATTGATGATATTTTTTTTATAAAAGGAAATATTTTTTTAAATGCCAGACCTCATTAGCAGATACAGTAACTTGAGGGCTTTTATTTTATAAAAGATATTGTATGGATATTCATATCTGGGGGCAAGGCAGTGCCCCCGCCAAGTCGAGTAAAAAAGAGCACAGCCGTAAGATCCTTTTCTCGAAGCCATTTGGGATATTTTCGACTACCCTGTAACCTCGTTACTGATAAAGTTAGAATCCTGAATTTTTTGTGACTAAGAGGAAATAATATAAATAGGTATATTTCCAAATAACATTCAATTTGAACCTGCAGTTTAAGAACTATCGCAGATCAAAGTTATTTAATTTCGTCACTGACTTACCTGTCAAATATCTAAATTCTAAGTTACTTCTAGCAAACACATGAGCTTCAAATTTTAAACACAATTAGTGTTTAGTCTATAAAGCAAGGAAAAACTAAAGTTTAATACCGTTTTCTAGATATACAACAAACTGCAAAAGTAACTTCGTAATTCTAGATAAATTGATATGCAATGTATGCGATTACAAAGTTACTTTTTCAGTTCATATAATTTCCCACCATTTTAACTACACAACAAGATAGCTAGGTAAATAATAGATATATAGTACAGTAAGTCACAGAGGATGTCTCCTTTAGTAATATATCTATACACCATATATATTTATAGTATAGACTATACTATAATTATAAGTCGGCGCAGCGTGGCAAAAGCAAACGAGATTGAGATCTTGGCGATCTTATCGCAGGCAAAATTGAGTTAGGCACAAGAAATTGTACTAGAAAAGAAAAAAGGGAGAACTGTTTACAAAAAGAAATGAAATCCCATGTAAAATATAACATGTAAAAAATTCAAATCTCGCAACGCAGTTCTTCTACTGCAAAAAGTTTTGACATCTAATGTAAAACCAAGTTGGTTAATTTATCCAGTACCTATATATGGAAGCATCTATCCGACAAATTTTTCATTAATTGTTACGTAATTAGTTAAATAACAACATTTTATAGAGACCGTATCAATATTAGATATCTTCATTTCTATAAAAAATAGAATGACTTGGCCGTCGGATGGAAACATAAATAAACATAAGAAAAATAAACATAAATTATAATAAGAATAAATAAATTATAAAAAGAATAATCTACTATTTTAAATAGTCCTAATTGGACATAGAAATTTATGCATACACAAACATAAATAATGCGCTGAGAACGCTAATATTAGGTATATTTTGATATTTGCCGTGCGCGATAACTAAGGCCAAGGTAACGTTATTCTATTTATTAAAGAAATAAAGATATCGAATATTGATACGGTCTCTATAAAAAATGTTGTTATTTAAATAATTAAGTAACAATTTAAGACAAAGTTGTTGGATAGATGCTTCCATATATATGTATGTATGTAGGTACAGAATAAATTAACCGACTTGGTTTTACATTAGCTCTCAAAACTTTTTGCGATAGAAGAACTGCGTTGCGAGACTTGCTTTTATTTACATGTCATGTTTTTCGTGGGATACCTATTTCAACGAAAAATGCGCTTTATGTTATTATAATAAATAATAAATTTCTGCTACTTATTTAATTTATTTCTTTATATATTTTTATATTTTATATTATTTTATATTATATTTTATATTATTGTTTAAATATTAATTAATGTTCATAATAGTAATAATTCATCCTACTCAACGGAAACCTACTGCTGCTCAATGCGAGGGAGATTAACCCTCCACCACGCTGGACAAATGTGGATTGGCGGGCTTCACGCTTCTTTCAAAAACTGACATATTTAGATTATATCAGACATGCTGATTTTCTCACCATGTTTTTTTAGCCTATGAATAAGTACTTAATCGTGTTGAAAATAAGCTCCGTGAGAAAAAAATCGTTAAGGAGCACACTGGGAGCTCGCTTCATACTGTATGCTAATTAAACTTTAAAAAATACAATATGGCAATTAAATTAAATACCTTAAAGTTTAGATTTATTTGGCAAAAATAGTTTTAATAAAACTTAAGAATTCTGTTATAAAAGGATTATTATATGCCTACTTCTTAAGTTGTCAAAAAAAATATTAAAAAATTTAAATTGACGATGACTATTTTATTCAAAAAGTATTATTAAAATAAAAATGATCATTATTTATAATTTAAGTACAGGAATATTGGTTAAATCAATTAATGTAATCGATTAAGTTTACTATTATATTTTACTATTTTTCGTGTCATTAACAATTAAAGTAGGCGGTTATGTGGACGGTTTATGCAGTTTTTTTCATCTTACTTATTTTAAGTAAGTATATTAAACATTAAAGGAACTAAGAAATTAGAAAACATTAAGATATTGTTGTCAAATTTAGAAATATCTACAAAAAAAATTGGTTATTGCGCAAGCGAATAAATACTATGAAGAGATGTCGAAATGTGACTCATCCATCAGTCCTTAACCTACAGAGAAATTAGTACATATTCGTGGCGTTTTGGACGACTTTATTTAAACTAGGGCTAAGTATAACAATTTGTGTTCAAAAACTATATGTAACTATTGCACATCAACGTGACCTTAAAAAATATTAGATATTAAATAAATACATTCAAAAAAAATGTAAATAAATCTCAAATAACTTTCTCATTAACGGTATTATAATTATTAATATTACATTTACCAGACGTAAATGTAAAATTGTAAAATTATCATACTCAATCCCAAAATTATGCAATAAAAATAGCACCTAATACTATCTAGTATAATAATTATCTAATTAAGAAATAAATATAATTAATATTAAAGTGATAGAGTGACGATTATATAGGTCATTAAACAACACAATAACGACCTAATATATGGAACATTACATGGAGGAACTTTCATATCATCGACATAAATAACATCATTTACGATACAAATATACAGTAATAATATACACAATGGATGACATATGACCACTACAAACAGATCAGCGTGGAGAGGCCCCTATCGGGCCGTAGCGACATGCGGGGATGAGGGCGCGAGCATTCTCACATACGTGGGCGTGCGGAGAGGTGATGGCGCGGCACAGACACGCGTGAGCCGCCGGCGCCACCTGGTAGTCCATGTAGTTGCCGTAGCCCATGTGGTCGCACGTGCAGGCGCAGTTCTCGATGTGCCTCCGTAGCTCGAGCTCGAGCTCCCAGGGCGGCTCCATGAGCGCGGGCCGCGACGTGCCCGGTGCGGGCCCGGGCCGTGCGCGGGCCGCACCTGCGCGAAGCCGCCTGCCGCCCCGCCCCCCGACCGGTCGTCAGCATGCAGGGCTCAGCGCGGCGAGCGCGACGGAGCGGGCGCGCTACGGGCCCGGGACGCGAGCGCGGCCGCGGCGGGCGCAGATGACCACGCGACGGCGCGCATAGCGGAGCGGCCGGCTGCCGGCAGGGGAATGCCGCGGCCGCCAGCCCGGCCGAGCGCCCGGGCGGCCCGGCCGCGCCGGCGCCCCGAGCTCCACGTGACAGCCCGCCCCACTCCGCCCCTCTGTGCCCTGCAACACAACGACCACCGGACAAATCTTTCCGATGCACAATCGTCAACTACAATTTACGCTTCACAGGTAGATAGCTTACCTATCTGTATTTTTATAACGTTAAAGGGAAAGGGCATAGTCCTCACATGACAATATCAAGTCAATATAATCAAGTCTCTACACAAATAAATCGTCTTTGCTGTAAAGCTTTTGGCCATCTTCCTTTAAAATATTAAGTAAAGTAACTGACTAAATTAACTTGACTTGAAAGAAGCAAATATAAGAATTCTTCAAGTTATCATCTATACATATAATAAAATTCAAACTGAGTCTAATTTGTACATTAAATATTTTTTGGAAAATCTTATTGAAACAGACATTATTATCGATACAGAGGCCGAATCTATAGTTTTTAGAATTTTTGTCCGTCTGTCTGTCTGTCTGTTACCGCATCACAGAAAAACCACTGGACGGATTTTGATGAAATTTGGTATGGTGATAGCTGGTTATCCGGGTCAAGATATAGGATACTTTTTACCGCGGGAAAATATCTCATTTCTGACAAAAAATACAAAAACTTCAAATAAGAGTATATTAATATGTAAAACCTAAGAATTTGGTTTATGGTCATCTGGCCGCGGGCAATGCTAGTGGTTTCATAAAAAAATTGTATAAGGCTGTATAAGTTTTCTACCAAGGTATTTTAGTTAAATGTAATATTTTTTTATTCGTCTACTAAAATAAATGTTTATATTAGTTCAACATATAGGTAAGATGTCACTAATGCACTGGACGCGATTCGATTCCCGTAAGGAGCGAATCTATTCGATCTAAGAAAAAACGAGGCACGCATTACCCCGATCTAGCGGAAAGCTAATTTTGAAACAAGTTGAAAAAAAAAATATGTTTTCCTTTTTTTTGTACTGTAATGGAAAAGAGCGACAAAATAGAGCGACGAAACTAACTCTAAACCGTGAAATCTGTGCAGTTGATGAAACCACTAATCTCCAGTATTTTAAATTGGCACATATTATGTATATCACTATTATATTGCGTACAGATATTGTAAAATAAAATAGTTTAAATTAAAAACTAGAGACTCATCCTGGCTTCGCTCGGGTTCGTTTCTAGGTACGTTTTAACGATTAGTATGAAAGTTGGAATAGATAGACTATATGTAAACTATATATACATATGAATAATGAGTTGTTATGTGTTTTATTATGACGTGCTTTCCGGTGGGGATGAAATAATCTCCCGTGGTAAAAAGCAGCCTATGTCACTCTCCAAGCCTTCAACTACGAGTATCTCCACATAGAAAATCAAGCCAATACGTCGCTCTTTTTCAACGTGAAAGGAGGACAAATAAACACAGTCAAATTCAAACTGTACATAAATACATATATCGAAGAAAGAGAAAGTGTCAAATATACAAATGCATTCAAGTAGTTTATATTAATTTTAAGGTTACGTTCACAACACCTCCAGGTAAATTTCTAAGAAATTAAATAAAATTCTAAGAAATCTATTGTTAACTGACACGCCGGCGTGTCCGCGGTCGTGGAGGGAATATATAATTATAAAGTACATGATTTTTACGTTTTTCCATGATTTTTTTCAAATTTTTCTCTTTATAAGAACCTTCCTCGGACCTTAACGAATATTTGAAAAAATATAACCAAATTGGTCCAGTCGCTTTCGAGTTTTGCGCTTAGCAGTACATTTAGCCATTCATTTTTATTTATATAGAAGATGTAATCTACCATAACTTACAATTTGAATAACAACACCATTGAGGTATAAAACGTAACAGTAATAAACGTAGTGAGATATAAGAGGATTATTTATATTGAAGAATATGTGAAAAATACTATTTTAAACATTTCTGTATGTCAAAAAACTAAATAAAAAGTAGGCACTAGTATAGTTAGTAGCCCCCCCCCCCCCCCCCCAACGTGCGTTCACCTTGTCGTGGTGGGGGGGCTCAGTAGTGCCCGGCAATCCAACCGGGCGCGAAGCTAAGAAACGCACAGGGAGGTTGCCCACTACGGTGGGCGGTGGGAGGTGGCCCTCTTCGGGGGGGGTGTACCATGCGGGTTGCTCCTGATACTTCTCTGATAGCAGAGTGGACTGTGGAGCAACCCCATGGTTGTGGTGGTCTGCTTCGGCAGACCTGCCGTCGGGGCGTCGTAGTTGAATGCGTAAGCGATCCTGCGACGCCCCATTAAGACGGGGGAAGGTTTTGTTGGGTTTTAGTGGGTAGTACTGGCTGTATTACGCCGGTGAGTCCCACACGTCGTGCGTAAATGCATTTCCCAACGTTAAAAAAAAAAAAAAAAAAAAAAAAAAAAAAAAAAAAAAAAAAGACGCCAAAATTATCAAAATCGGTTAGGGCGTAATTTTAATGATTAGTCTACGTATCCGTGATCGTTGATTAAGACTGGTGTCGAAAATGCGTGTAAGATACATCAAACCTAAAACCAGAACGCAGGGGTAAAAATTTGTGCAACGTAGCATGTGTGCTTTATAAGAGAGATATGCACTGGACATTCGCAAACCATCCCTAAATACTAACATTGGTAAGTGATAAATCCTGGTTTAATACATTATTTGACGGCATAGTCAAAGACGTTCGCCATCCTAAATCACCAAACAATCATTGTTTCCATGAGCGTGTGCTTGTGTGTGTGTGCGAGCATTTGCATTTAAGTTAAAATATAGGCTACTTAAGCACCTAAGATATATATATATATACTAGCGGCTCACCCTCGCTTCGCTCGGGTTCACCTCTAGAAAAGCACAAACAGATCTATCCCACGGGAACAGTTCATTTTTCCGGGATAAAAATAAGTAACCTGTTGTTTGACCTGCAATATAAGGTATCAGCATGCAAAATTTGACTAAATTAGGTGCATAAGTTGTTGTGTACTGAGCTGTATAAGTTACTATAATTTTTTAACTATCCCACGGGAACTTTTTAATTTTCCGGAATGAAAAGTATCAAATTTCATTTAAATAGGTTCAATAGTATCGGAGATTAGCCCGTACGAACAGACAAACAGACAGAGAAACAAAAAAATTGAAAAAAATCTGGATTTGTTCTATTTCTCTTCTTACGGGATGTAAGAAGAGAACTGACTCGTTTTTTAGCAATTTTTTCTACCATCTATGTACAGACATTCGACCTCTACAGTTTTATTATTCATATATGTACCTATATTCAGATAGAATAAATAACGTATAATAAAACAGAAATATATAATAATGAAAATAGTTATAGCGAGTGTACCTTAGGAGATAGACATATACTATCGTATGTAGAACTTTTCTATAGACCTTTTTAAGACTTACAATTTTCTTGTACAATGTTTTGATCTATCTCTTAAGGTTGAGTCAACGTTAGCCATATAAATTTCTAAGGACAATTCGATAGAACCAGTTATTGTATTTTCCCGTGGAAATGAATAATTTGCCTGTCGTAAAAAGTATTCTAAATGTTGACCTGAGCACTAAGTTTTATCACTAAAAATGAAGTTAAAATCGGTTGAGTACTTTTTGCGTAACGCGCACCGATTTGACTAAGTTTTATTATAGGTATAGATAAGAATATATTGCGAGTGTAACTTAGGAGATAGACATAATTACTAATATATATATATATATATATATATATATATATATATATATATATATATATATATATATATCGTATATATATATCGTGTATATATATATATATATATATATATATCGTAAAAATATATATTTTGTAGATCAAACAAGATATTTTGAAACAAATGTCGTCAAGTTTTTATGATAATAACCAGAGTGCATAAGATTCAAACTATGTATTTAAAAAATCATATGTTATGGACATAGGGTTAAGTAGTGTTTTAAACGGCATCTTACCAAAAGTCTTAGAAGTCGTCTGTATGATTGGGATAAATATATTTACACTTGATGGTATCTTATCGAGCTGCTGTATACGACAACAACAGATTTTCTTCCGATGCTTCAGAATTACTTCCCAAGAAGGATCAATTGTGTGATTGCAAAGCCCAATGAGATGAAATGGCTAATCTAATAAAATAATACTATATAAATAATAGATTCAACAAAATTATATTATTACTAGCATTACCCGCGGCTTTGCCCGCCCAAAGCCCAAACGGGGGTTATGTATTTGACCTGTATGTATGTTCGTAATTACTAAACGGCACAACAGATTTTGATGGTTCATACGTCGTTAGATTCATCTCGATAACGCGAGTATCATATGGTATTTATGTAGATATCATTAAAAATCAAAAAATGGCGAATCCTAGGCGACAATTTGTGTGCCTTGAAAAAAATTTTTTCGCCCGAATGAAACAAGTGACGTATCAAAATAAAGATTTTGTAAGAGGCGATTATAAAAATACATATATACAGGCTTATATGTCTAAAAATAATTAAGGATAAGAAATCTATACAGATAATAAGATTCTAATTGAGTGAAATCTGCACATTAAATATTTTTTGGAAAATATTATTGAAAAACAAACAAAAACACAAAAACAAAAAAACAGTCATTATTATGAAAACAGAGGCCGAATCTATTTTTTCTGCCGAATTTTTGTCTGTTTGTGTGTCTATGACCGCATCACGAGAAAACCACCGGACAGATTTTGATGAAATTTGGTATGATGATAGCTGGTTATCCGGGTTAGCATATAGGATACTTTTTACTGTGGGAAAATATCTCACCTCTGAGAAATCTATCTATCTAAACGTTAAAACGCATGGACGAACCCAAGCGGAGCGAGGGTGAGTCGCTAGTTGTTAAGTAAAACTAAAAATCTCTACATATGTAACCAAAACTAAAGAGCTGTAAAGAAAAAAAATTACAAATATAAAAAAGCAGTCATGAGGACTGCCTGCAGAAGTGAAAACTTAAAACTATAAACAAATATTTTTGGATTTTCAAATGAATTTTTTGATCTTAAATTAAAATTTGTAAAATAAAACTGTTTACATTTATCTTGTTTTGACATCTATCGACACTCTGTAACACGTCACGTAACCATGTCGATGACGACTTACATGAATTTACTCCCCATCAAAACCTGCGTATAGAAGTTTTCACTTCAAAAACGTGTGTGTGTACTTATGTACGTACGTAAGAAGTTATACTTATTTGGCGAAACCGGACAAAAATAGCTAACAAATTCATCCCGTATGTCACAACTCTCTGTTTGTAAAAGGAATGACTAATTAATAAAAATAAATGAGTTATCAGCTAACTTCGTCATGTCGTTTTTGGCTGTCGGTGTGCGCGCACATCGTAAAAATTTTACTCTCATATTTTTTTCCAAACGTGCCAAAAGAAGTATACTTTATACTTAACTTCAAAAACCCCACGGCGTAAAAAGCGAACTAAAAAGATGAGGAGTCGACAACGAAACAGTATTATGCAGTCGGAGACATATGTACCTACATGCTTTTTAGTACCTGCGAGTCTTTGCTACTTGTATAGTAGGTATGCCTCCGACTCATCTTTTTAGTTTGCTTTTTACGCAGTCGATTTCTTTTTTATTTCTGTATATTATTTGAAAAGCTGCTTCTAAACGTGCTGGAAAAAAAACGAAAACAATTCTAAAATATACATATTTAAAATACTCTCTGTAGTAGTTGCTTAGTGAACGACGTACTAATGTTTTATTACAATCTACCATCTACATAAATATGTCAGGATAGATCAAAGGAAAATTTGCATTTTAACTTTCCCTTTTTTAGGTTACTGGATACATTTTTATGCACAAAGCGCTGTATCATCTCTATTCTGCGGCGGATGCGTCCGCCCCGTGCTAAGCTTAGAGGTCGCGGGTACTTTCTCACAATAAGACTGTCGATCGTCGGTTAAATTGCAACTCAATGTTGCTATTCAGGTACTGACATAGATCCCAAAAAGCTATTTTTATAACATTTTATAACATTTATAACAGAAGTGCCGTTATATCTCCTATAGTTACACCGTCAATTATTTAAACAAAAAGCTTTTTAGTTTTTAGCTTTTAACTTTTAACTTTGACCCCGTTACCATCATATGTACATACATATGAATATACCTAAATTGAGATTACTAGTAGGCAACACGAGTTTGTGTAACGCAATTAATATTAGTAAGGCAAAATATCATAACAAAGCTTCGTTATTCACACAACAGCGTTATGTGGATAATTTAAATTATATATTTTAGTGCCAAAACTTAGAATATATAGATGAAACTTTATCCTTGAATCTGAAAGTTGGAAGTGTGAAATATCTTGTGATATTTCTGTGACTTTACAGCGCACAACATGCGTCTCGAACCGCAGAAACTTCCGTCATTCGTGATACGAATTATGTTTTGACAAAGAAATTTGCAAATAGGTTTTCTGATGGTACGTGTTCACTTGTAGGTAAATGTCAGCATCAGCAAATATGAAAACTTTTGCAATGAACTCTAAAAGCAAAGTATTAAGTAAGTCGTAATCGTTCAAACTTCTCTAATCTACACAGTACTCTAGTAACAGTACAAAGTATAGTAAATCGAAATAAATACCATATTTATATCCCATAAAATAAGAACTCTTCTAATATAATTATTTTTTTTTTAATTTAAAATAGACATTTGATGCATATTTCGCGCCCTTGCATATTTACTATCATGTGTAGTTTCAAGATACTTTAACTAGTTTTAATCACAAATTTAGAATTCTTACTAATTACTAATACTCAATACTAATATTTATTATTTCAATATTATGTATTTATCAGAGCTTTTCAGATTACTAATTTACCTTTATTTTATTTTATTTATTTGTTTAGGTAATTACTAAGACTGATATTCAAATGAATTGTGTATAGTTATGGAGTTCTTTTTTCATAGTTTTAAGTAAATTTAGGTATACTGTGGTCAGTTTGACCTCTTACGCATGAGTTTTGCCGCAAAAATGTGTCGTCCAGAGCAGACCGTATTCTTTATTTCTGTTTTTATGTATTTCCTTTATACTTTCTTTTAAACTATACTTATATTACAAAGAGGCAGAGATTGTTTCTTTGAACGCCATTACGAAAAATTCTTTTTGCATTAGATAGCCCGTTTATCGAACAAAACCTATAGGCTACGTAACATATAATACATATTCCAACTATTTTATACTAACTGTTAAACGTACCTAGGAACAAACCCGAGCGAAGCCAGGGTGAGCCGCTAGTTACAATATAAGTACAAATTTTCGGATATATTCTATTTATTAATTTATTTTAAGTTTAAATAACGAATTGATACATATATTGAAATACATTAAAACTTTTTTTTCCTTCTGATAAAACTCTATGCTATAACGCAAAGATATGCTGTCTCATTTGTAATTTTATAGTTCAAACAGGTATTTGTTGTGTTATGCGTGCACATTCTTATATTTTTAAAACCCGGTCGAATAGTAAGTTTCACGAAGCCTTAGAGGGGGGTGCATAATTATTTACTTACTCTCATAATAATATTTTTAGTTGTGTTATCATAAATACATATATTCACTCCATTCGTGCAAATCCACCAACAACATCACTTATATCGTTTATAATAATCAATAATGTGTATAATAACTTGCAGATTTTCAGTTTTTATTAAAAATTCAATTAAAATTAATTAAATGTTTTTAATTAATAACATCATATTCTCTTCGGGATAGCTAATGGCATTAATTTAATTAAAATATGATAATAAAATGTACTGCAGTTCACTAATGTATTTGTCATCTGACCTGCTGTGTCAAAGGATACCTACCCATCTTTTGAAAGTAAAAAATCAATTATAAAATAAAAACATAACTAATTATGTGTTGTTTTGGAAATAAAATACTGCCCTAGGCCTACATACATACATATAAAGATTATTATAAACATAATATAATTCGCCAATAACTGGCGCTCCTAAGGTTATTAACGATTGACATGGTCGCTTACATTTACAAGCTTACATCTATTAATATGTCCTAGCTAAGGTTCAACGATTGTACAATCGAGTTCGATTTTGTTTGTTGAATTGGGCCGGCTGGAGCAAGGAGGCTGGATGCGTGCGCAATAGACTTGCTAGCTGACAGTAATCGCGCGGCAGTCGGCATGAGGCGCGCGCGGAGTGTCACGGGGCCCTTACGGCGCGCCCACCCCGCCTCGGGGGCCACCTGGAACGTCCAGGTACTTCACCACCCTTCCATACACACAACAAACACTTCTACACCCTTATCTTATCCACTCTTTGATCTCAAGTTTATGCCACTTACATATAAAGTGCCGATACAAAAAAGCTGTATTTGTTTAAACAACAAATTATGATGTCGTGAATGTGATCAGTGAACACAGAAGACTCAACAGTTGGCTGAAGACTTGTTGCGCACGCATGAATACATTAAAACTATTATCATCCTCGTAAGTGGCGGGTGAATAGAAACTGAAGAGTTAACAATACATATGCGCAAATGTTTCAATCTCAAACGTAAACATCATTTTCTAATTAAAATTCAAATCATACTAAGTAACATACTAATATAACCTTCTATGCTTAAAATACTTTTCTAATAAATGCCAAATATTTCGTCCGCATTCTATATCGTAGCAAGAAATGCACGATAGGCCTGAGGCAGTTTGCGCCAGCTAGGATGTAAGCGCTAAACACGAGTGCAGTCTTGTATAAAACATTTTACGTGAACAAACTAGCGTACAATAGACCGCTTTGAAACGCCAAGTGTATGGCATTCTGAATTCTTTATATTTTCGTCGCGTCGCTGTCTGCGTGTTATCTTTAAACAAAAGTGTGAAAAAGCTACAATTTTAAAATGCATAGCATAAGTTCGTTGTTTGCACCAATACTCGAAATGCTCATCTCTAAGGGACTAACTAACCTTCTGAAAAAACTCACACGAATAACACTAAAAAGAACATTACTGTTTATTTTGTCATAACTCGGACTTACAATATAGATATAATCATTAAGAATAATATATATATATATATTTAATATATATATTTAATCATAAGATATATCATCGGTTCGAAACTGCCGAATTTACGTTAGAAAGGATGAAAACTCTCCATTTATTCATATCAAAAATATGGATAGCGTTAAGTCTATTCGTTAATTGTATTCTACTAAATTATTTTTAGCATTAATTTTTAAATATGGCTCTCTCAATATATTACCAAAATATTCGTGGTATGAAAACTAAAATCACTGAGATTTGTAATAATATTATAAGTCAAAATTACGATATATTATGTCTTACCGAAACTTGGCTTGACAACTCCGTTCTTTCAACAGAATTCTTTGACAAAAGGTATGAGGTAGTAAGAAGGGATCGTGATCTAATTTTTTCAAAACGCTTTAATAAATATCGAGGTGGCGGCGTACTAATTAGCTATCTCTAAAAAAATTAATTTTGATATTAAGCATGAATGGAAATCTGACATACTAGAAGATCTATGGTTACAAATAAAACTAAATAGTCACTGTACCTTAAATTTATGTACTGCATATATTCCAGAATATTTACCATATAATATTTTCGATGATTTTATAAATAAATGTAATAGGGTTGTCAGCATGTTTCCCGGTTGTATAACATGTAAAATGGGTGATTTCAATCTCCCTAATTTGACTTGGTTTAAATCACCAGGTCATCCCATAAATTATACTTGTGAAAAATCTAAAGCTCTATTTGATCTCATTAATTTAACAGCATTGAAACAACTTAATTCACTTACAAATCTTAACAACAAAATTCTTGATCTTGTATTGACTGATCAACCGGACAAATTTAATTTAGTTAAAGCTATGCCTATAAGCCGCCTCGATTGTCATCATCCTCCATTTGAAATTATATTTAATTATGGCAAGGTCACCTATCTTCTTGAAAATACTCCAATTACCAAATTGTGTTTTTATAAAACCGATTATATTAACTGTATTAAAGAATTAAAACAAATTGATTGGGAAAGACATGCTAATATACTTAGTTGCGATGAATATGTACAATTTTTTTATAATATTTTGTATACAATAATAGAAAAATACACACCAAAATCTAAACAACGCAATAATAGATACCCTTTTTGGTTTTCAAAAAGTTTAATTAAACTTATCAAAAGCAAGAATAAATATCATACACTTTTCAAAATTTACAATAATCCAAGAGACTATGATACTTTTGCTCTCCTAAGAACAAGAGTTAAACAACAAACTGAAATATGTTTTAGGTCTTATGTATCAAATATAGAAAATAATTTAATTAAAAATATTAAAACTTTTTATCGTTACACTAAAAATAAGAGAGTAACTAATAATATCCCTAAACAGCTGCATTTTAATAATAGAGTAGCTGAATCTGGTATTGATATTACTAATCTTTTTGCTGAATTTTTTTCAACTGTTTAGGGAAATATATCATCTATTAATTATACACCAAAATTCCCTCCATCTATTTTTTCTATAAGTAATTTACAATTTTCCGCAGACGCAGTTGAACTTCAACTCAAATCAATTAATATTTCTAAAGGATCGGGCTCTGATGGTATTCCACCAATTTTTATAAAAAATTGTTCTTCTGCATTATCAAAACCATTAACAATCATTTATAATAAATCAGTTTTAAATGGTATATTTCCATCTTTATGGAAAATTGCTAAAATCACCCCTATTTATAAATCAGGCGATAAGAGTGATGTCAGAAATTATCGACCAATTTGTATCTTAAACTGCTTTGCTAAAATTTTTTAAACTATGATCTATAAACAACTGTACAGTCATATAAAACCACATCTTAACATTAAACAACATGGTTTCGTATCTGGTTGCTCCACAACTTCCAATTTATTAGTTTATACCACTTTTTTATGTGAATCATTTGATACAAAGACTCAAGTAGATTCAATATATCTTGATTTCTCCAAGGCGTTTGATCGAGTAAATCACACAATACTATTATCTAAGGCTAGCCATCTGGGCATACATGGTAATCTTTATCGTTGGCTATGCTCTTATCTGGATAGCCGTTCTCAATTAGTAGCTCTATACGGGTATGAATCATTTCCATTTCTAGCCACCTCTGGTGTACCACAAGGATCTATTTTAGGCCCTTTGTTATTTTTGATATTTATCAATGACCTACTGTCTTTGATAAATAGTGAATGCCTCGCATATGCTGATGGTATAAAAATCTTTTTCCAAGTCACTAAAAGAGAAGATTGTAAAATTCTTCAGCGTGATCTCGACTCTATCCGAATGTGGTGTGATGAAAATTTGATGGAGCTTAATAAAAATAAATGTTATATCATTTCATTTACAAAAAATAAAGCTCCAATATCGTTCGACTACAACATAGTAGGTACCGTTATTTCTAGAGTCAAAGTAGTACGGGACCTAGGTGTTATATTTGATTCAACCTTATCTTTTAGGCCTCATATAGATTACATTACAAGTAAAGCAAATAGATCACTCGGTTTTATCATCCGAACTGCCCAACCTTTCAAAAATTCAATCTCGTGGATAGTTTTGTATGTCACTATAGTAAGAAGCATACTTGAATACTGCTCTTCCGTATGGAAACCAATATATGATATTCATATTAACAGAATCGAGGCTATACAACGTAAATTTCTAAAAATATTAAGCAGGCGGCAAGGTCTCAGGCGTGAATTACCAACTTACACTGACAGACTTCATAAATACAAACTAAAAAGCCTGAAAGATCGGCGTGTTATATCAGATTTATGTATCCTCCATAAAATAGCCAATGGCGATTTCAACAGTAAATTACTAGAAAAACTGGAATTTAAAATTCATACTCACTCGATTCGTCAGCCACAACTTTTTAATATACCTTTGGCAACTAATAACGTTTCCCAAAACAACCCTTTACACAGAATGTGTAAAACATACAATAGTTTAAATGATGAATACGACATTTTTAATAATAGTTTATTATCGTTCAAGAAAAAATTAAATAAATTATAGTTCTTACTTTACATTTTCGATAATAAAGATATATTTTCTCTCTGTTTCTTCTCCTTTATCTTTTTTTCTTTTCTTTGTCTTTTTTTCCACATGAAATGTAAATATTATTTTGTTTTTGTTTTTTAATATTTCTTATGTACTCGTTATTTTAAATACACAGACTCATACTGTATTAATTCACCTTTTTGGTTAAGTTTGTTTATATAATTATTATATGTTTTCATTTGAATGTTGTGTACAGACATAATTGGAGAACAAATTTAATATGATATTTTTAGTTTTTAATACGAAGATGTAATTTTTTTAATTTGTTTTCTGTTTCTGTACCTAAATAAATAAAATAAAAATAAAATAAAATAAAATTTAAATTTGTAAACAAAAATTGACTTGATATAAGTGCCTCTATGTATTGATTAAAATAATGACTTTAAATAAAATTTAATAATAAGTCGTTATTAAAAAAAATATTTATATTTTTAATGGTAAAATCTATTTTTTTTATTACAATCAATTCAATTTTTTAAAAATATAGTCACCATCATTACCTACCTTTTTTTTTTTAACGTTGGGAAATGCATTTACGCACGACGTGTGGGACTCACCGGCGTAATACAGCCAGTACTACCCACTAAAACCCAACAAAACCTTCCCCCGTCATAATGGGGCGTCGCAGGATCGCTTACGCATTCAACTACGACGCCCCGACGGCAGGTCTGCCAAAGCAGACCACCACAACCATGGGGTTGCTCCAAGGTCCACTCTGCTATCAGAGAAGTACCAGGAGCAACCCGCAAGGTACACCGCCCCCCGAAGAGGGCCACCTCCCACCGCCCACCGAAGTGGGCAACCTCCCTGTGCGTTTCTTAGCTTCGCTACTACTACTGAGCCCCCCACCACGACAAGGTGAACGCACGTTGGGGGGGATCATTACCTACCTGAATATCACTACGATAAATATTTGTAATTGTTGATTTGACCGTAATTAATTTTGTAATCATTTAAAAATTGTATTTTTATAAACAGGCATGAAAATATTAATAATTAATTTTATTTCACTTAATTTTATTTAACTTAGCTTATGTGGTTTGGGATATAAAAACATAACAATTTTGTCTAAAATACGGTGTAATAACCGACCTACTAAATGTATTATGTTTTTACTTACTTTTCCCAGTTTTTCTCAGGACTGAAGCTTTTTCAGACTGCACTGGTGGTAGTCTCATGAGGTTCAATATAAAATTGTATTAATTTATTCCTGCATAAATATTTTGATTTGAGTTTAACTCAACACGACAGGTGAAAGATCAGAAGCCAACTTCCCCACTCAGACTGCTACTCAGTATTTCTTGGGAGAAAGCTCATACATATTCTTAGCCCAATCCAGATACAGACCTAGAGCTCTGAAGCCAAACTTGATTAATACAAAACCTTAAAGGTTGTTACAAGAGCACCAGAGATAGACTCTTAAGAACATAGTAAATTATTATTTTTTATGTCCATAAATTCGTGTCAAGTATGATTTTCTATTAGTGCAGGTACTGAGGTTTTTAATTTTTCCGACTTTTCAATTTTCTTGCAACGTTTTACTTTCAAGCACTTAATTACACAGAATTTGAGCAGTGTTGTCTGACGACAGAGAAAAAATGTCTTTATTGTCCTAATTAATGTAATTAAGTACGTGAATCCTAATACATTCAGAATGTTAAAAAATTCGGTCAAATACCTATAAAAGTCCGTAATGCGAGTACGATTGACACTCAGTCAATTTTGATGAGTTACTTTTTTGTCCAAGAAGTGATAATAAATGGGCAGGGAAAAGAAGATAATATATTAAGTGACTACGAAAAAAAATTCAGCATCAAAACAATTATAAATAAATATACGTAAACAAATATAAGGGTTAAATTATTCTTTAAATCTATATATATAAAAGAAAGTCGTGTTAGTTACACTATTTATAACTCCAGAATGGCTGAACCGATTTGGCTGAAAATTGGCGGGAGGTAGCTTAGAACCCAGAGACGGACATAGGATACTTTTTATCCCGTTCGACTGCGTTCCCGTGTGATTTTGTTTGTCTGTTTGTCTGTTTGTACGGGCTAATCTCCGAATCTATTGGACCGATTTAAATGAAATTTTGCATGGTGGGACCTTATATCCCCGGACAACGTCTTAGATATTTTTTATCCCGGAAAATTAAAGGGTTCCCGTGGGATAGTTAAAAAAACTATTATAACTTATACAACTTATGCACCTAATTTAGTAAAATTTAACATTCTGATACCTTATATTGCCGGTCAAACAACCGGTTACTTTTCATCCGGGAAAAATGAACGGTTCCCGTGGGAACTAATAGATTTTTATTAGTGTTGTTATTATATATATTTCCATGAGTTCAGACTCGTGTACTAAATTTTAACATTAATTAAAATTACTACTAAAAGTATTCTTCTATATGATGTTGATAGACACGTCATTTCGCTTCTCAACAAGTGCGCTGTAAAAAGTTTGATAAGAGGCTTGCACTTTAAAAATTAAATAACATAATCCATACATGTAATAAAATTGTAACTTTGCCAAATCTGAACAATTTTTTGGAAAATCTTATTAAAAGAAACATTATTATTTATTATCGATAGAGAGACCGCATCTATAGTTTTTAGAATTTTTGTCTGTCTGTCTGTTACCGCATCACAGAAAAACCAGTGAAGGCATTTTGATGAAACTTGGTATATGGTGATAGCTGGTTATCCGGGTCAACATATAGGATACTTTTTATAGCGGGAAAATGTCTCATTTCTGAGAAAAAACACAAAAACTGCAATGTAAGAGTATACTAATATGTAAAACCTAAGAATTTGGCTTTTGGTCATCTGCCGCGAGCCGCGGGCAATGTTAGTTACTAAATAAAATCGAAAAGTTCATAAATGAGCTGTACACCTCAACCATATGTTTTAGCAAAAATATACGGTTTAAAAAAATACTGTTGGTATTTTATTAGGTACGTGCGTTCATGAACTAAACAAGTTTCTTTTTATGTGAAAAATTCTTTTTTTAAATACTTATTAAAACTAACAATATTATAATATATATGTATACACTCATTCAAAAATACATATAATACAAAATATAATTCCTATCTAGTAGAAAAAATAAAAAAGTCATGTGTTTCAGGTGGTGCGGGGAAAAATGAGTTCGCAATGCTTGTGGCACGCGTGCCGCGCGCTCAGTGCTGGCTTATTGTTAATGCTTCTAGGAGCTGCTATGGCTGTTATAGGTAAATATTTTTGATTGTAACTTGTTGGGTTCAAAACTTATGGCCCAACAATTGCTTGATATTGGAAGTGAATGATCTCTTTGTTTATATATAAGGAATATAACGTGAAGCTGTTTTAAATAGATTTATAAGTAAACTAGCATTGCCCGCGGCTTTGCCCGCGTTCAGATGACCAAAAACCAAACTCTTATTAAATATTTTGTGGAAAATCTTTGTGAAATAAACATTATTATGGATACAGAGGCCGAATCTATAGTTTTAGAATTTTTGTCTGCTTGTTTGTCTATACAGATTCGGCTTAGTTACAATTTTATTATAAGTAAATAAATAAAGGCATAAGTCCCTAATTACCTTGGGTAAACATAACTTTGCTATGTATCGCTTATTATGTTTTACAATAATTATATATGTAGTTCAAAGATTATTTAATTTCTACACTCAGATGACGGTAACAAATATTCAATGTAGTTGGACAACTTTCACGGAAACCACTAAGATATTGTCAGCACCCATTACTTAGATACGAATAATTTGACCTACTTTAAACTTCGACATAGTTTACTATATAATATAATTCGAATTTGAATATATTATACTTAATACGAGTACAGCTTAATGAATATCACTGCCAGAACCAATGACCAATAAACTATAAGTGTAACCTTTGTTCGTTAGCGAGTAATACGTAAACGTAGAGATATTTCCTGTTTTCTGTACCAATGTGAGCGTAGGACATATCCGGCTGCAACATCCGCCGCTTTTGATGAGAATGCTCGTGTGAAGGCAAACCTCATTACAAGAATGATTTGACCTGCCTTTTAGTTTCTCTCGCAAATTATTTTATTTAAACAATATAATTAATATATTTTTTATTTTAATGAGAAGTATTACATAAATATTACATAATTACATATTGTGTTACATATACATAGATGTAAGTAAGCAAGGTTAGTAGATACAATTAATGAATAGATAATAATAAAAATTAGCGACAATCTGTACATTAAATATTTTTTGGGTAATCTTATTGAAATAAACATTATTATCGATACAGAGGCGGAATCTATAGTTTTTAGAATTTTTGTCTGTCTGTCTGTTACCGCATCACGGAAAAACCACTGGACGGATTTTGATGAAATTTGGTATGATGATAGCTGATTATCCGGGTCAACATATAGAATACTTTTTACCGCGGGAAGATACCTCATTTCTGAGAAAAAATGCAAAAACTGCAATGTAAAAGTATACTAATATGTAAAACCTAAGAATTTGGTTTTTGGTCATCTGAACGCGGGCGGAGCCGCGGGCAATGCTAGTAATAATATACGAAACTGGGAATAATGGGACGAAAATATAAAGAATCTCATAAAATACAAAATTAGGCAAAGCTTAGGTATATATACTTACATAGAATGGTATGTTACCAGGATTAATAAGAGAGATTCTATATAAAGTCAAACAACAAAAATACAAATAATAAAAATAGCGGGTTTATTTTGAGGTATTTTCAATATTGAACGTGCGCGCTCTGATATTGACACAGTAAATTTTACACTACACAGTACTGTATGAGGGAATATTAATTTCGCTGAGTACAAACCAAAATTATTCAATCGTAGCAACCACAAAATAAGCTTACTTTTGTTACCACACAAAACCCTTCTCATATAATTTATGAAATTCATTTATATAATTTCATATAAATGAATTTATTAAATTATACGTATAACAAACCCCCAATTTGTTAATGTTAAACTTAATGTTTATTTAACCCATCGAATGAATGGAGATCATTTCCCAGAATTGGGAAAAAAGATATTTACCAAGAAGCTTTTATTATCTTCCGACTCCATCTTCAGACCCTCGTCATCATGCATAATAGAAGATACTGAAGACAAGAAAGCAATCGATTGCCTTAGCACTTTAACTCGGAAAATTCCAGTCAGGCAATATCATCATGTGTAATGGAAATTTCTCATAATAAAATAACATACTAGCCCAAATTCGGCTGTCCTACCATATGCCATCAGGGAGTTTCAGTCCTTACATCCCGGCCCCATCAGAACTCGATGGTACCATAATATTTCATTTTCACAAAAATCGCTTAATTATACCAAATTTTGTGGAATGAACCAATGGAAACCAAGAAACGATTGAAAAATGGTTTGCAAATTTTGGAACGGAAAACTTACATACGAAAATTGCAAGTTACTTAAAGGACTGAGTCAAATCTACATAACATTATTCATTCATATGTTTACTAGTAGCTGATATTTTAATTCTCATTGTCAACTTCTAGTATAGTGCTGTGCCAGAAATGGTGTCCTACCTATTAAGGAGCCGGTCGCATTTGGAGTCATGAAACAAATTTATTAATATGTATTTTAATTTTTTTGCTGTTTCTTCTTTATTTGTTAAAGTTGATAAGAAGTGGCCCAAGTTAAAAATATATTTTATTTATTAATAATATATAGGTATATTGACTCTATAGCTTCATTTTATACGTTGTACAGAAAATAAATATATAAAACTGTCTAATAGAACTAACTTTTAACACAAAATGTAAAGTATGAAATAAATAATTCACAACTTCAGGTTATTATGCGGATACATTGTCAGTGGCAGAAGAGGTGCGCGGTAATTCTACAATATCGGTTAAAGATGAGGCTCGGGGCTTCCACCTCAACAACTTATCATACGCCGGGCCCATTGTTATGGGATTTGGAGGTATTTGTACTCAATGTGTACTTACGGCTTACGGTGGCCCATGAACGAATTAACCACAATTCGTTCATGCGGTGGCCATTTAAATAACTAAAGCATGTATTAATAATCTTTTTGAAGGTCCATTTTCCTAGCGGATCAAATTTTGAACTTTAATTTTTATTTATATACATAGAATCAGTATTAATTCATAAGCAAATAGAATCAATTTTAAGGATCAGATTGTGGAGAACAATAACATATTTTATGTAGAACTTAAAGACTGACATTTATAAATAAAAATTAAATATTATATTGCACACGAACTGACAACAATACCAACTGATTTTTAACTTAAGTTGATCAAAAGAATATATTCTTACAAAAACAAGCCCTTTCGTTTAGCCTCCGTGATACTTGATAGATTTGATCCTTATAAGCGATACTATTGGCTCTCACAATAATCCTATGTTAAAACCCTAAAATAATCACTTAATCTATATCATTATAACACTATATGGAAATATATATTTTTGAATCGTACATCTAACATCAAATTCGGCTCGATGCTTCTTTGGGCATTTTCGGAATTCCCCATAGTTTCAGATGTACCTGTAAATTAAATAAGCAAAAATGATTAAAATGATTTTTTTTGTGCAAGTGCAAATTAAAATGTGTCAGTTTTAAACTTTTTGCTTTCAAGATAACAATAAAATATTATTAAAAAACAGGCTTCATCGTAGTCGCAGCATGCGTAATGACGTTTGAGGCTAGAGACAGTGCTGCAAAAGTGACACCGGCTCGTCCACAGACGATACCTCGTCCTCTACCACGCAGAGGTCCGTGCGCCGCGCCCGCTCGCCTGGATCAGCTGGGAGTGTACCGCTTACCACACGTGCTGCCGCTGCCACACGCACTGCCACTTGCTCCGCCACATCGCATTAGGCCACCTCACGTCCGTCACAGGTATCCTATACCACTATAATCTAAGTAGCGCTACTTGCGTTGTCATCATAGCTATATTACAAAGCAATATTTTTATATCCATCTTTATTTTAATATTAAGATCATAAAAGTATACAGCAAAAACGCGTTGAAGTCTTTTACCTGACAAGCATGATGTAGCAATCTATTAAAAAGCAATTTGAAACTTAACAGTATTGCATGTGTTATATTACTTATTGAAATACATATGTTACTATATTTAAAATTTAATCATAGTAAAATATTATATCCTAAATCAGTGACGATACAAAGATATTGCTTTGCGTTTGTTGTTATTGGCATAAATAGCCAAATTTTATGAAAATATCCCAATGATGTCTATTGCCATAAATCTGATTCACTTTAATAGTAGACGAATAATCAATTAGGAATAGTTATCATTAAAACATATCGAACGAACTCATAATATTGAGTAGCATATTCCCCAGTAAAATATCGCTTGTATCGCATTTATCATTCATCACGATGCACCGAATTGCCAGTACAATGGCATGGGGATGGCAGGCGTGGATAGGGCAGTGAGTGTATGTACAGAGCCGGAGGAGAGAAAGCGAAGGATCGTGCGCGTTTCGGGTCGGCTCCTGACTTGCGTAGCGGCAGCGCGCGAGCTACGATGCCCGTGACGGCGCTACGGCGCCCACTACGCCGCTACGCGCTCTCCGTAGACGAGCCGCCGCATTCGGCCGTCAGGTATACCTATTATCATCAGACTCGATCGTTTTCATTACGCTTGCTTTTAATGTAGTTGTTACGTAATTTTAATTACATAATAATCGACGTTAAAGGTGTATGAAAATATGATTTTATTGTTTGACTTGTTAAAGATTGTAAATACAAATTCTAAATTTTGTTTAAATGATTTATTTTTAAGATTTCCCTTATGACTCTTTTTTACAAATCTTATATTGATCGCTCTTTCTTTAGCCATGAACTATTAATGACTTCTTAGCTTTATTTAGTACCAAGCAAGAATGACAAATATATTATATTCGATAATCTATTTATTTACTTTAATTTAAATGATACTGAGAACACTTTTGAATGTTGCACGCAATTTTCTGTGCAAGTAGAACAGTTACACGCAAATCTTCATGGTTGCCGCTACGTGTAATAGTTTCTAAACTATTAATCTATATAATTTTAATTATTCACAAAATACTTATTAACACAAGACAAAAGTACTATACATAAAATACTTATCCAGTGCAAGCGCAGCGGAGTCAGAGTGTGGTTCACAATCGTCCCTGGCATTGGACCTGCACGCTAGTGGCGCGTGTGCGGGAGTCACGCTGCGGGTGCGGGACAACACGCGGCGGAGACCGCTCGCTCGGCAGCAGAGGCTAGTCGAGGATATGCAACGTGAGATTACTTAATAAATTTTGTTACTTAAATCGAACTACTGTAAAATTACTAAGTACTGTACGATTTTGTGTGTTCCATTCCTGTGCTTATCATACTACTTTATTTTAAAACGCCTTGATGGATTTGGATGAAATTTAGCACACAGATAGAACTGAAGTAACTCATATGCTATATACTCTTAGGCCCTTAGGAACGCACCCGAACTAAGCGAATGTAAGTCGCTAGTTCTCTAAAATTAATTTTTATTCATTATTTTTTACTATACTTGAAAACAATCAATTATATGAGGCCTATATTATTTTAACAACAAAATTATTAAATGTATTACCTTATACTTTCGCAGCACCGTCAGCAGAAAGCACTAGTAATGTAAACAACGTACACGAATCACCACCGAAGTAAATATATTTTTTATGTTGTAATAACTTATATTACCATTTCAAATACTAAAGTAGCATATACTTTCAGAGACAACGAAGAAAAAGAAAATAGAAATGTAGTAGAGATGGTTCACTTAACCGTTGTACATGAAGCGCGTGCGCGAAGCGCGCCTCCCCTACACTGTTCACCCCCACTATCCCCCGCAATTGTGATATCTCCCCCTCCATCCCCTTCTAAACTACAAGAACAAACCACAATTCTTATAGAGGAACCGGAAAATGGAGGTGTGGAAAAACCACCTGATGAACGAATATAATTTAGTCACAGATTAGAAACGATTGCTACGAAGAGTTCTTTGTAAAAAATTTACAAAATTTACAGTTGTACTTTATAAATTGTATTTGTGCATATTTTGTAAAGAGTCAGTATTGTTTATTGTTACTAAATATTATTGTTTACTACAAATTAATGGAGGAACTATCGGCACATTAGTTCGAAAGTATCGTCCGTGTTAAAAATATTATGGCTGCGGTTCAGTATAGTCATGTAAAGTAATAATAATTAGAGTTCATCAATTAACACGTTTCTCTTAGATCTTTACAACCCCTTTAAGATAAAAGACTGATAAAAGCGAATTTTGTAAAGAATAAAACCAGATATTTCTATGATAAAATAAACAATAAAGACTATACTAACTACTAATGGAATGTGAAGTAGATATAGTTTAATCGAGGGTTATAGTATGAGAGTATAAATAATAATATTGGTTAATAAAATAACTTAATTATTTTTATTATACGTCTATACACACGTATGCTGCTCGAGGAGGCGGCAGATCTTGTCCACTAAATAAATCACACTAATGTGTATCCTAAAATAATGTACCTTGAATAAAGGAATCTTCTATAAGTTCAGTGTATTTATATATTAACAATAAGTAATACAGAAATGCAATAAAGTTCTCAAATATTCTAAAGTGATATGTAGGAGTGTACACAAAAGTATTTCCGTGCAGGTTTTCATATTCTAAATAAACAAACCTATTTTGGTTAATCTTTTACACTATCCTTTTCTTATATGTAGGTACATTTTGTACAATATACGGGTAAATTTTTAATAGTAACATTATACTTAATATTATTTAATGATTAGACATATAAGTATGTATTTCTCTTGTATTTAGTGATCTACAATCTGGGGGTATGTGGTGCTTGAGCTGGAATTAATATCAAGTATTAAGTATTTTGGTAATTTAACATTTCGGTTTGACACGTTTGGCTCAGTTTGTAGTGACTTGCTGCGCCAGCGGTCGCGGGTTCGAGTCCCGCTGGGGGCATTCATTTGTGTGATGAGCACGAATATTTGTACTCCAGTCATGGGTGTTTATATTTATAATATGTATGAATTTAAAAGTTATATATGTATAATGTATCAACTATCTGGTATCCATAACACAAGCCTTGTAGCTTACCATGGAACTAGATGGTGTTGTGTGTTAATGTCCTAACATATTTATATTTATTTAATTACCAATATCTTGTTTTAGTCACGAAGAATAATCCTGTCTTTCTGTAACTCAATAGGGCCTCAGGATAAAGGTGGTGTAACTCTTAAAATAAATAATATGTTTCACTGTGTTTAAAATAGTGATCGCCTAATAAAATAACATTCTTAAATAAATAAAGTAAAAAAATATGATGGCTAATTTAAATTGGGTAATATTTACCAATGTATGAATGAACGACTTCACCTGACTGAACCGCTATTTCGTAAATAACTTTACATATTCTTAAACGTTTTATATTGATAGATATTCTTAAGTGTAAAAATGTCAAATGTAACATTGTGTAGGTACTCGATCCAAATGGTTGTTGTGATGTCTATTAAACTTGTTGACGATGATAATAATGCTTATTTTTTCCCTTATAATTATTTATTTTAGAAAGTGGCGTATTGTTCTGGTATCAATTAAAATATTATTACTTAATTAATAATTTAGATTCGAACTAGATGCAAAAAAAACTACTAATAAATAATTTAACAAATAGGTACATTGTATAGTAATATATTTTATTCTATAAAATATATATAAAATCAATGTTATATTTTCAAAATGCAAAACTTAAAATTATTTAAAATATTTTACAAAGTTACGTGGACGTTATTATTTTTTTGGTCTATACCAATTGGTCTATACCAATGGTCTATACTAATTATTTTTTTGGTCTATACCAAAAAAATAACAACGACCACGTAACTTTTTAAAATATTTTAAATAATTTTTAGTTTTGCATTTTGAAAATATAACATTGATTTTATATATATTTCATCGAATAAAATATATTACTATACAATGTACCTATTTGTTAAATTATTTATTAGTAGTTTTTTTTGCATCTAGTTCGAAATTCGAATCTAAATAATTGTACGTAAGTAGTTGTACTATTGATAACTAAAAATTATGGATAAAAATATTTTACAGGGTCCATGTTGCACACCCAAATTCTTGTTAATAATATTTGTGACTAATTTTAATTTTATTTTCTTCTATTTAGAAACTACGATCATATCATATACATTTTCTTTTTCTTTTTGAGAAATAATAATATATATATATATTGGGTTTGTTACAACACTTATAACTCGAGAACTGCTGGACCGATTTTTATGACCTTTGTTTTATTGGATTTGTTTTCACCCCGAATAGCTATTCAAACATCGAAAAAAGTCACGAAAAAAAAATGTGAAAAAAAATCTATTCCATAATAAGCGTCAAAACGTAACTAGGGACGAACCTAAAACCCGAAGCGAGGGTGAGTCGCTAGTAATTTGTAAAAACTTATCATTATTCATTACAGTTTCTTGAAATGTCTATTATATTAAGTTATAATTTATAATAGTAATATTGAAACACAATAAATCGACTAATTTTTATATTTGCTTATTTATAACTATACAGGGCGTTTCATCAATGTTATTAATAAGCACCGAATAATTACTTTATTACGTTATATGAAACCAACAAAACAAAACCTATTTATAATTTGTAAGGTTTCTTATAATTCTAACGCCTGTGTAATATAACAATCTTTGCTTAGGCTGCGCAAATCACAACAGATCCATGTCAGTGAAATCACGACTAATCCTATCACGGCCATGCGGATATAGATAATCCTAGGAATCTTGTTAGTAAGTGGTTGATATATAAAGATGAGATGGTGACTCCAGGTCAGCAGTCAGTCAGTGGTATGGGCCACGCACACTACCGAGGACTGCTCACAGAATGATCCCTGTTATGAAAATGGAAAACGATACGGATAACTACAATGTGTATGGTGCGTACTTCGCGCCACTCAGGTGAGATTAATATTATTTTATTATTATAAAAATTATTAGAAAACACCAGATTATTAATGAAAAAATTAAAAAAAGTATTTCTTTCTTATACATTAGTATTATAAAATCGATTTCTTAATAAGTTAACGTGTGTTTGTTCCATCTTCACGATGTAAGGTATCAAGATGTAAGTAAAATTCGGATTGGATATTACTTATGTCCTTTTTTTTAACGTTGGGAAATGCATTTAAACACGAATTGTGGGACTCACCGGCAAAGCCAGTACTACCCACTAAAACCCAACGGAAACTCAGTCTTAATGAGGAGTCGCAGGATCGCTTACGCTTTCAACCACGACGCCCCGACGGCAGGTCTGCCGAAGCAGACCACAACAGCCATGGGGTTACTCCACGGTCCACTCTGCTATCAGAGAAGTACCAGGAGCAACCCGCATAGCATACCGCCCACCGAGGTAGGCCGCCTCCCAGTGCGTTTCTTGGCTTCGCGCCCGGTTGTATTGCCTGACACTACTGAGACCCCCCCCCACACCACGATAAGGTGCACGTTGGGGGGTATATTACTTATGTCCTAAATAAACCCCTGTTATTATATAATCTACGTTTATTCAATAACTATCATGGGCATTTTCATTATACGAATATAGTGTACACGTATAATCCGCATAAAAATATAACATACATATTGTTAATAAAACCTTAAAATAACTTTAATATTTAATTCAATAGGTCCAGTGATGGCGTCAAAATGCTGGTCGACGGTCTGGACAGTGACGACTTGGCAGTAATACCGGAGCATTGGCTATCGTTCACTGCACCGCCTGCAAGCGCACACACTGCGCTCGCACTTCTGTACAGCTTTTTCACTGTTGCTGCTTTAATTGGAAATGGCCTAGTAATTTTCATCTTTGCCACGTTAGTAAACATTACATTGCTTAAATTACTGCAGTTAATAGAGTACTATAACATCAATCAATTTTTCATAAATATGTATTATTCTTAACAGGACCAAAGTCTTAAGGACCTCAAGCAATTTGCTAATTCTCAATTTAGCAATTTGTGACTTCATCATGATGGCCAAAGCGCCCATTTTTATTTACAATAGCGCCATGCGTGGCTTCGCTTTAGGAGATCTCGGTTGCCAGGTATTTTCTGTCATGGGCGCATTTAGCGGGATTGGTGCAGCGACGACTAATGCTTGTATCGCTTATGACAGGCAAGTCAAAGTATTTCGATAAATCAATATAAAAATGTAAATGTTGAATAATATATTTATAATTTTTAACATTACAAAATCTATCTCAAGTAGTAGTTTTCTCGAAAAAATAGATTGATAAAAATAGGAAAACATATCAGAGGAAAGTAAGATTCATTTGTGTATAATGGAAAATAGATAAATGCAAAGTTAGAAATTGCACAAATAGCGCAAAAAAATATTGTTATCGGAATGAATTATTTATATGTATTGAATTTTCTTAGACACTCTACAATTACGCGACCTCTGGACGGGAGATTGTCTCGCGGGAAAGCTTTGTTAATGATAGCTTGTGTGTGGATCTACGCTACACCATGGGCCTTGATGCCAGTATTTGGAGTGTGGGGTCGATTTGTTCCTGGTAATATTTTACTCTATTATTAAAGTTTATTTATATTGTTTAATTGTATTATTTAAACAAATTCTTTTTTGATAATTTCAGAGGGATTCCTAACATCTTGTACATTTGACTATCTCACCAATACGTTCGACACAAAACTTTTCGTAGCTTGCATTTTCACCTGCAGTTATGTATTCCCTATGTTACTTATTATATACTTTTATAGTGGAATTGTAAAACAAGTCTTTGCTCATGAAGCAGCGTTAAGGTATATATATTTTCTTATTTTTAAACTATTAAGATTAATGATTTACTATCTATACTCTAGTAAATCATCAAATAATAATAAAAATTTAAAATATACATAATAAATATATATCGCTTTTTAAATATAACTTCGAAAACTGACAATTAAATAACGATACCTTCTAAACAATTAATTGATAAAGTTTATTATAAAAATCAATTGAAAGTAAAATAGAAATATAAAATCTTTGAACAGTAGATTATACTTTAATATTTTGATAAATATCTTAAGCGAACTATGAAAAAAATAACAATAGTATTAACCATTTCCCCAAAGGGAACAAGCGAAGAAAATGAACGTTGAATCTCTACGATCGAATCAAAACGCATCCGCGGAATCAGCCGAGATTCGAATAGCGAAGGCAGCGCTCACCGTGTGTTTTCTCTTTGTTGCGTCTTGGACTCCCTACGGCGTGATGTCACTGATAGGCGCTTTTGGCGATCAGCGTTTATTAACGCCTGGTGTAAGCTTAACTTCTCATTTATTTACAATATCAGAAATAGTTTTAAATTAAATGAAGTAAGTTTAAAGTGAGTTTGTTTGGTTGTTGCCTATTTAAGTAGTTCAAACGATCTTAATAAAAAAATAATGCCGTCGCGGGACGCTTAGTAGATGTAAAAGATTGAATCTACTTTGTATAGAAAATATTCATGAAAGGATAGTTATTTTAAAGGAAATAAATATGGCATAATTAAAGACAAAATATTCATACTTTTTAAGGATTTAAAAAAAAATACATATTAGTATCAAAATTAAATATTAAAATACGAGCTCAGTGCGATGAGAGAGTGATGGGATCAGTGGGAAGGTCTGAGAGTAAGAGCGCGTAGCGATGTGGCGACGCGTCGCCACGACAATTAGATTATAATAGAGATTAGATGTTTGACATCAAAAGTTGTTCCTGTGAGACGAATTTTTCACTATATATGTATATGTACTTTAATGTTTACGATAGCTAATAATAATGTTTATAAAATTTTATAAGATATCAATGTTAAATTTAATAAAGTTCGGTTCGATCCTCGCTATGAGGCATGGTCACTATTTCTCCTTTCCGAACCGCCATTAAACTTTTAAACAATCACCGACGAGCTTACATACTAGCTCGTCCCCATCGCCCGGTAGTGCCGCGAAGGCCTCTAGGACTAACAATAAAACGTCAATTCTATTATTTCTACATCACTTTAATATACGCAGGTAACAATGATCCCTGCGGTGGCATGCAAGACAGTTGCGTGCATCGATCCTTGGGTGTACGCCATTAGTCACCCTAAATATAGGTAAGCCTTATAATAAAACATAATATTAATTATTTTTACGATTATAATAAGGGTAAATAGTTATTAAATTCAAAAACTAGCACTTTAGCACTGACATATAAATATTCCAGCTATTCTTCGCTTAAGAAGCCTATTACATCATGACCGGGATTTGTCAATTTAATACCCATCTTTGATGTTCTTATTCTGAGAAACTGAACAGCTATGTCCACACCAGTGCGCTTTTATGTTGATCAAATTAATTTTCGTTTAATTTATTTAGCAAGCTCCACGACCTCTATTTTTTGCACATTTTCTACTCCATCTTAGAGGAAGAGAGTACAATGATTTAACTCGCATATAATGTTAACGACATAAGAATCTACATAACTCGCCTAACATATAAACAGGCTTTTTTAAAGGATTTTTAAGTCTTCGACAATCTTGACTTATTGTATTTTTTTTAGTGTCGGGAAATGCATTTACGCATAGCACCTGATCTGACTTATTGTATGGTGGAAAATAGTTATTAATATCATCCGTCAGTTATTAAATTCAAAGCGGCCTCGATTTTCGCAAATTTTCATAATTAATTGAAATAAAGCCAAAATGAAATATAAAATGCGCGACGGCACTTTTTCAAGCTCATGGATTGAAATACTATACTAAGCCAATAAAATGAAAAATATATAATAAAATCTCGTTAGTGGTTGAGTTTATAGCGGCCTCGGAATTTGAAAATATGTATTGAATTTCTACAAAAAAAAATCTTTTCAAAATCTTAAAAACTATCAAAAACGTTCAGAAATAACTGTAATTATAAGATATATCCTTACAACATTAATATTATAAAGTAAAATTTAGACCAGAATATACAACAGTTCAAAAGAACCGTAAAATATACTTTTTTTAAATAATTTATTATGAAAACTTTACATAAAAATTACAACTGCAGAAAATGCTAGAAACAGCGATGCGTCGGCCGCTCGAACTCAATACCATAGAGCGCAGTAGGTACATTTTGTGATAGGCCACTAATAAGGGTATATATAGTATAGGTAGTATGACAAAAATATTTATATTCATATAAATTACTTATTCTTACTACATATTCATATATTTTGAACATAGTTTGATTTCCTAAAAATATTGTAAAATACATTACAGTTTTTGTATTTTTTCTCAAAAATGAGACATTTTCCCGCGATAAAAAGTATCCTATATGTTGACCCGGATAATCAGCTATCACCATACCAAATTTCATTAATATCCCTCCGGTGGTTTTTCTGTCATGCGGTAACAGACAGACAGATATACAGGCAAAAATTCTAAAAACTATAGATTTGGACTCTGCATCGATAATAATGTCTATTTCCATAAAATATTCCAAAAAATATTTAATGTTCACAGATTCGGCTTAATTACACTTTTATTATATGTATAGCTTTGTATTAAAAATAAATCAACTTATAATCAATTAAATCTACTTTGTAGACAAGAACTACAGCGACGTATGCCATGGCTCCAAATCAACGAGCCAGATGACAATGCTTCAACAGGCACTAACAATACTACAAACTCTTCCACACCAGCCGCTTCAGCCTAGACAGCACTAAGCATCGACCGAAATAAATGGATTTCATAAAGGACAACGATTATTGCTCTAGTTTTAAGAAAAGTTATTGAAAAGAAAAATAAAAAAAAATGTAACACGAAGAATATTGAAGAATATTAAAGGGGAAATTGTATTTTTTTTAAATTAAGCTCAAAATGAGATTTTAATATAATTTCTTCCAGTGGACACAAATATTGACGAAACGGCTACGCTAACGGTGTACGATTTATGCAATATAATATGTTATTTATATACAAATAAGCAAAAACCATTTAATAAATTAAATGACGAACATGACTATATCACGTCTATTATTTATCTACCCAATTACAATTGTGGTCCTTAGTGTAAATATGGCAATTACCCCATGACATTAACAGAGATAACGGTTCGAATGAAATTATTATTTAAACTTTTAGCTATTAATTTGAATTGCACTTTTATTCAGTAGGTTCTTACTTTTTTACCTAAGTTTATTTCGAACTGAAAATGTTATCTATACCTACTATAATAAAATTGTATTGTAAGGAGACAAATAGAACAAATCCAGTTTTTTTTTCATTTTTTTTGTTTCTCTATCTGTCTGTTTGTACGGGCTAATCTCCGAATATATTGGACCGATTTATATGAAATTTTCATGGTGATACTTTATCCCCGGTCAACATCTTAGATACTTTTCATCCCGAAAAATTAAAGTTTCCGTGGGATGCTCAAAAAACTATAGTAACTTATACAGCTTAGTACACAATAACTACTGATTGGATTTTAATGAAACTGTACAATAATATAGTTCATACACCAGAATAACAAATACGTTACTTTTTATCTAGGAAAATGTACGGTTCCCGTGGGATAGATGTTTTTGTTTATTTGCAACGCATTATGTACACAACATAGACTCCAAAACAATACTTATTAAAATTTTTGTCTGTTTGCCTGTAAGTCTGTTTGTCTGTTTTGGTGTGCGCGTTTCACACGAAAAGTAATGAATCGATTTCAACGAAATTTGGTGAAGTGATAACTTATTACTCCAGTCAACATTTAGGATATCTTTTACTTCAAGAAAATCTTTCTTTTCCACAGGAAAATACAATAACTGGTTTTATCGAGTCCTCCCTAGAAACCTTCCGCTGGCTAAACCTTAAGACATACATCAAAAAAATATACTAAAAAATTGTAGGTCTTGAAAAGTCCTACAGAAAAGTTCTAAATAGTTTATGTCTATCTCCTAAGCAATATCTATTGGTTTAACCTTTATTATTATAGGTTATTTATTCTATGTTACATTATATTATATATAATAGATAATATATTACATATAATAGAACTGTAGAGGTTTTTGCTAAAAACCGAGTCAGTTCTCTTCTTACGGGATGTAGAAATAAAACAAATCCAGATTTGTTTTCAATTTTTTTGTTTCTCTGTCTGTCTGTTTGTACGGGCTAATCTCCGAAACTATTGAACCGATTTAAATGAAATTTTGCGTGGTGGTACCTTATATCCCCGGTCAACATCTTAGATACTTATTATCTCGGAAAATTAAAGAGTTCCCGTGGGATAGTTAAAAAACTATAGTAACTTATACAGCTTAGTACACAATTTTTTTTTATTTGATATTATTAAATAAAACTATCTTTTCGGATTATTTCGCGGATTTATTTTGATTTTTGGTTCCCGACGTTTCAAAATCAAAATGAATCCGCGAAATAATCCGAAAAGATAGTTTTATTTAATAATGTCAAACATTCGCGTAAATCTAAGAAAGTATTAATTTAATATTGTTTTAAAACAATGACTGTTACGTATTGTGTATACCAAAATTCAGCTCTGTCGGAGTTTTTGTTATTTGAAATGTCTATTTTGACCGGACTATTGTTAGTCTATAACTACGCGTAACAAGACTGTAGGTCCGTACGGCACGAGCGTTGCGATGCAAATTTTGTCATCCATGAATCATGATCATTCCATGATGCAAATGGCGTTTTGCTTTCGCCCTCGGCCAGTGCTGCCAGTAGAGCCACAGTGTTGCAAATTACAATTTTTATTCATATTTCATCATTTATACTCCAGGTTTAGAGCGTTTTAAAACTTAAGGTAAACAGATCATAAAATAGGCACTTTTAAATGCCGTTCTTCCTCATTCCAATTTTTTTGTGCTCAAAGAAATAACTTTGTAATTTACACTAAATTTTAATAGGTAATTATATTATATATTTGTGCAATAAGCTGCACTTGAAAACAATTTATGATTTGAATTAGGTATAATGTAAATATAAGGTATTGCTATCTGGCTACTGTAGAGAACTGTAGTAGCTTAAGAAGTTATAGGGGAGAGGGGGGCATAGTAGGGTACTTAACGTTTAAACATTCCTAAAAACTAAAATAATGTGATTAAATGAAAAGTTTTAACTTAGAATCATAGCTTAATTCATGACGAATGCCTATGGATGATACATTTATGTTGACAACGTAATAAATCTACGAGATGTAAATACTTAAATGAAAAAAGGCATTTGACCCGCTATGCCCCGTGCATAGCATCTTTTATAAAACTTAAATATTAAAAAAAGGAAATATAGAACTTTAGTACACTTAAGTTATGAATTACGGTTAGTTATAAACATATTTAAAATAAAATAAAAATAAGTTTAAGAGTTTTAGTTTAAGAGTTTAAGAAAAAACTTTTAACAGCTACTCTATTGAAACCCATAGCTCTAGCTGCTGATGTTGGTTCAGGTTTTCTGTAGCTTATATCTAGATGTCTTTTAAGGAATCCTTTTAACCAATCTATACCAGCCAAACCTCTCCTAACTCTCTGAATCAAATTTATGAGGAAATCCATTTTTTTGAGCCACTTTAAATGCAAGTGCAAGCGCAGGTGACGTGAAGTCAGTCCATGAAACCGTGCATCCATCAGTTTTATGTAATTGGCAGAGGCAGAAAACATGCTTTGGAAAGAGCCTAATTTCTTTTGAAAGATGCTGTCGTCTGGATTGCTCCGATATTTAGAAACATAACGTTATAATGTTGTTTGTGGAACGCTGAGTATATTTGCTGCTTTTCTGTAGCCCATTTCTCCAGACAACACTTTAAAACAGGGCAAAGTGGGGCACTTTTCTATGATAAAAAGGGGCGTAGTGGGGTGCCCCACTTTGCCCCAGGTGTCATATCCCACTATGCCCCACCGGCTCGTTAAAAATTAAACACAAACTGACGGCATCTTACCGTTGATTCAATGACCTTGTGCTTGTTGATTAAGAAATGCGGAAGGGAACTGATTCATAATAAACTATAACACACCACAGTATACAAGTATGTTTTAGAAAGGATTGCTGTTCAATTTCACTAAGTATTTTAAGAAAAACACGGTTTTGATGTTTTTGCTTACAACACACAAACGCGTACCGAAATGGCGTGGCTCGCATATAGAGGTCACGCGCCGACTTACGACCAATCAAAGCGAGTTGACAGTTTGCACAGCTTTCGTTTCGAGCTGCGTAAAGCTCGCCCCGCTATGCCCCGTGGCCCCGCTATGCCCCCCTCTCCTCTACTGGTGGACAAATGGTCAAATATGTTTATTTTTAACCCTGCTACTAATTGTTTTTGTGTAATAAGTCATTTTGTATGAAGGACAACTCGGCCGAACCGGTTATGTGCTTTTCCGCTGAAATTAGAGATTCTAAAACATACTTGTATACTGTGGTGTGTTATAGTTTATTATGAATCAGTTCCCTTCCGCATTTCTTAATCAACAAGCACAAGGTCATTGAATCAACGGTAAGATGCCGTCAGTTTGTGTTTAATTTTGAACGAGCCGGTGGGGCATAGTGGGATATGACGCCTGGGGCAAAGTGGGGCACCCCACTACGCCCCTTTTTATCATAGAAAAGTGCCCCACTTTGCCCTGTTTTAAAGTGTTGTCTGGAGAAATGGGCTACAGAAAAGCAGCAAATATACTCAGCGTTCCACAAACAACATTATAACGTTATGTTTCTAAATATCGGAGCAATCCAGACGACAGCATCTTTCAAAAGAAATTAGGCTCTTTCCAAAGCATGTTTTCTGCCTCTGCCAATTACATAAAACTGATGGATGCACGGTTTCATGGACTGACTTCACGTCACCTGCGCTTGCACTTGCATTTAAAGTGGCTCAAAAAAATGGAATTCCTCATAAATTTGATTCAGAGAGTTAGGAGAGGTTTGGCTGGTATAGATTGGTTAAAAGGATTCCTTAAAAGACATCTAGATATAAGCTACAGAAAACCTGAACCAACATCAGCAGCTAGAGCTATGGGTTTCAATAGAGTAGCTGTTGAAAGTTTTTTTCTAAAACTCTTAAACTAAAACTCTTAAACTTATTTTTATTTTATTTTAAATATGTTTATAACTAACCGTAATTCATAACTTAAGTGTACTAAAGTTCTATATTTCCTTTTTTTAATATTTAAGTTTTATAAAAGATGCTATGCACGGGGCATAGCGGGTCAAATGCCTTTTTTCATTTAAGTATTTACATCTCGTAGATTTATTACGTTGTCAACATAAATGTATCATCCATAGGCATTCGTCATGAATTAAGCTATGATTCTAAGTTAAAACTTTTCATTTAATCACATTATTTTAGTTTTTAGGAATGTTTAAACGTTAAGTACCCTACTATGCCCCCCTCTCCCCTATAACTTCTTAAGCTACTACAGTTCTCTACAGTAGCCAGATAGCAATACCTTATATTTACATTATACCTAATTCAAATCATAAATTGTTTTCAAGTGCAGCTTATTGCACAAATATATAATATAATTACCTATTAAAATTTAGTGTAAATTACAAAGTTATTTCTTTGAGCACAAAAAAATTGGAATGAGGAAGAACGGCATTTAAAAGTACCTATTTTATGATCTGTTTACCTTAAGTTTTAAAACGCCCTAAACCTGGAGTATAAATGATGAAATATGAATAAAAATTGTAATTTGCAACACTGTGGCTCTACTGGCAGCACTGGCCGAGGGCGAAAGCAAAACGCCATTTGCATCATGGAATGATCATGATTCATGGATGACAAAATTTGCATCGCAACGCTCGTGCCGTACGGACCTACAGTCTTGTTACGCGTAGTTATAGACTAACAATAGTCCGGTCAAAATAGACATTTCAAATAACAAAAACTCCGACAGAGCTGAATTTTGGTAGAAATCTTGTAGACATAAAACCTAGTAGCAATAAAGTGCCAAAATCGCATACATGGGAATTCTGATCATAAATAATTCTTTGCACATATAAACTTTATAACCACCTTATACCTCTTTAAGGAATGAATTTAAAAAAAAGTAATAAATATATGTCTTTTATTTTATCTTAAAACTAAAGACCACTTTCTGTGTATTTCATATTAAGAATGACAGAGTTTCACACAATCTTTAATCCCCTATTTTAGCCACTAAGGGAATGAATTCGAAAAATTCTTTCTTATCAGATGCCGACATCATAAAAGGAATACGAATTTCACGTTTCTACGACCAGCGGTTTACGTCGTCATCGTGTGATGATTCATCAGTTAGTCAAGAATGTAAATAGGGTATAAGTGTGGCACCCTCCTTTCGACAAATCCTCGTCCTCCCCATTGGAAAACAGGGACCATAGATTATACACTTATATTCTGGACAGGGACTATCTCCCATATGGGACCTACCCTACCCCAGCCTGCAAATTTATGATATTTGCAATGAAAAAAATACTAATCGATAGATTTTCAATAGCTCAATTTAACTACGTAGCCCTTTCAAATTGCTCACCTTTAATTCTTTAATTAAAAATCAATAAAGTCTTTGAAAAAAAATTAATTTATCTGTATATTCAAACTCCTATATCTTTTGATGTATACAATATTTCAAATTGCTCAAAGTTCTAAAACACTGCTCAAGTTGTATTTGTAATTGCTCAAGTAGAGTTTTTACCAGCTCCACTTTCGCTGATTATTAAATAATTAAAAGTATAGTTGTAATAAATGTAACGTAGGTTAAGTGAGCGTGCGCATGCGCACCGCGCATTGTCGGTCGGCCTCGGCGGGCTTGGACAATCGTTCCAATTCAACGTCTTAATTCTGTTTCTCGGTGGATTTCTTTAAATTTATTGAATTTATGAATTGTTCACATTACGTGATTCCACTTCAGATATTATAACACAAAGAACAGATCTGGAATCTACCAATAAATGAAAATTAATACCAACAGATAAATTAAGACAAAATCTTATGTTCAAATGCTTATTCTATTAAGGTAATAGCCATGACAGGGATCATTAGTAAAATGTTATTAACATCAATACAAGACGGAACTTTTTTTATTTTTAAATATACATATAGTTTAATGACATTTTTATTTCAAAGAAACAAACTGCATGAATATAAACTGCCTTTAATATAAAGGAATTTTAAACTCTGATCAGCAATCAATAATTTAATAATACTGCTGTTTGCGCGCATGCGCAGCACTCACCTATCTATACGTTAAATTTATTCAAACTATTTATATTTATTTAATAATTAAGGAAAGTGGAGCTGGTGAGAACTCTACTTGAGCAATTACAAATGCAACTTGAGCAGTGTTTTAGAACTTTGAGCAATTTGAAATATTGTATACATCAAAAGATATAGGAGTTTGAATATACGGATAAATGAATTTTTTTTGAAGGACTTTATTGATTTTTAATTTTATAATTAATGGTGAGCAATTTGGAAGGGCTACGTAGTTGAATTGAGCTATTAAAAATCTATCGATTAGTATTTTTTTCATTGCGAATATCATAAATTTGCAGGCTGGGGTAGGGTACCTCCATATGGGTTGACAGAAAGAAATTTCTTTTATAGATAAAAATACCTTTATCCACACATAGTTCCATGTAAAATAAGCAAAAAAGGAATTTAATGCTGAAGTAAAATATATCGTGAGGAATGTGCACGTCTGAAAAAAAGACGAACATACAAAGTAGAAAGAAACACTGAGGATGCCTGAAAACTCAAAATAGAAAAGCTACGGTTCAAGGCCCCTCACTTTCAAAAATGCTCGTGTCCAGGAATAAAATACGGTGCAATGTTTATGTACTTACTTAGACATTTTATTACGATGATAAATAAATGTTAAATTAAGGCTTTTATTGAAAGTAATCCAAAGTCTTAAAGCGTAATAGATATTCTATAGTCTGATCATCTTTTATTTTTATATTTTTATTTTTGCACTAAAAAAATATAAAACAATCGGGGTTTAGTATCGTTAAACATTCTGCTAATGGAAAAAGAAAATATTGTAAAAATGTTGCGTTTTCTCGATCAAGTCACCAATAATATAATTACCCGAGCAAACTATAAAAAAATAAGATTATATTTTGAGATTAATGCTGTCATAAATCATGTATCTTTTTTTATTCTGTGGTGTGGTGGTGTTACTCTTGTTGTTCCTGGTCTATGGTGTTATTTATGAACTTAGTAAGTTACAATTATTTGTCAATGTCATCCATGGTTATGAAATGCGAATTAAGGCTAAATGAGTTTTTAAATGGCATAAACTGTATAGTTTATCTTTATAGTCTCCTTGACAAAATATCAATGCTGAAAAGTTGTTCCGATAATATTACCTATTAGACATTAGCAAACAATTGGATGAACTATTTTTAAATTGATGTAAATTAAAAAATATCCTTCTGAGAAACACCAATTAAAATGGATAAGCTCACAGTTATCTCAGGAACACTTTTCATGACTGCAGATGTCTTTGCTATTGTGAGTCTTGCAATGCCAGATTGGATAATTACGGACGTTGGAGGTATACTTAATCAAACATTTTTGAAAACTATTATAGTTAATCTTCTAATAATACGTCTCATTAATGTTACTTGTTTGTTAATGTTGGTAAAAGTAATAATATCAAATTGTAAAATATTTAATTAATATATACTAATATCTGTTTTATGTGTATTTATCTTGTATATACTTTATTGGTGATATCTTGTCTGTTGTAGGTCCAGATCTAATTGTATGATCTGATTTTATATGTAAAGAGACTTCAGTGTGAATATAGTTTTTAATCAGTTAATATCTTATCTATACCCTGTCTTCTCCATTCTACATAATATGGGCGAAGTAATCTGTGTCCAACTGGCACTAAAAGCCAAATAACAAAGAATTAAATTGAGTTATTATAGTTAATATGGTCAAAAACATTTAAGTCATCCCATTTAAAGTTTTACATATTATAGTAGTGGATAATGAAATTATTAAGTTGTAAGTTAATTTAATAAAATTATACAAAAATATATTAATAAATTATATTTTTTCATAGGTGATACTCGTTTAGGATTAATGTGGTCTTGTATAACTTTGTACAACCGCCCACAAGTTTGCTTTACTCCAGATCTACAACCAGAATGGTTATTAGCTTTAATATGTATTTTCTTGGGATGCATCTGTATAACTACAACAGTAATTCTACTAGCATCAAGTCATTTTGATCGTAATGTTATACCTTATGCACGTTGGGTTGGATTTGCTGCAAGTAAGAATTTAATTTTCTATTATCATTACATGAGGAGCTTCTTTTCAAAACTTGACTATTCTACTTTAGGTAAAACTTTTTTTTTGTTTGGTAACATTCAAATGTATACTTTGCGAAAATAAAATTGGTCCAACACTTGATATTTACACCAGAAAAAAAAGATTAAAAGGCATGATTTCATCAAAAATAGATTATTCCATGTCAAAATGACTACCCATTTCAAATACTCATTTTTGGAACAAAATATGATTAATCCAGAAGTTATTTAATTATTTTAATCTAAATTGCAACAAAATAAAAGATACCAGGAATTCACATTACGAAAAATGAGATTTCTGATACCTAATTAGTTTCAGCAAAACAGGATTAATCCACAGTGGTTTGAATAAAAAAATGATTATTCCTCTAGAGCACATAACAAAACTTAATTATTCCAATCAGCCACCTCAAAACTAGATTATTCCATTTCAAATTTTAGATTTATTCAAAACATATTATTGCTAAATTTTTGAATCCTGTACAAAGCAATGACTATTGTTGTCGTCTACAATAATGCATCAAAATTTCGGGTTAAAAACTAGCTGCATACCTACAAAACTATTTTCTCAGATTGTAAAAAAAAACACAAAAAGTGGAATAGTCAAGTTTCGAAAAGAACCTCCTCATATTTAATCACATTATAAGTTAGTTAAGACTTAAATATAATATATTCTATAATTTGCTTTTTTATATCAACTGAAACATTAATTAAAGAACACTTTAAGGTTAAAAATATTTTGTATAAAATCTGGAATAATTATTATGAAAAAAATAATTATTCAAATAATAAAAGTATTCAATAATAATTATATTAAAATAAAAAAAATAGTATTCAATCTAATCAAACTTGGTTATTGTTCTGCATCAATCAAAAAAAGTACTAGATGCACAATCCCATTCAAAAGTTCTCTTAAAACTGTCACCAATTAATGTGTTAGTAATAATTATTCCAGTTGAAATAAATATGCCAACAGTGTAAATTGAACCTTAAATGCTTAAAGTTGTTTTCACAAAAAAAAAGTGCTCTCAAATATTCCAATGAGTGCTCATTCGGTGAGATCATTTCTTGTCCCTGATTGTGTATCTAGTTGTGATGTAACGAATATTCGCATATTTTTTGACATTCGTATTCGCAAGAAACGATGCGAATGCTTAGCGAATGTATTTGACAAACAAAAAGGTAATTATATAAGGAATGAAAGGACGAATGAAAATATCACAGCTGTGCTTTACTCATGTTTTTATATCACTTTGTCAATTTGACTAGGTATTACATAAATTTGACAAATGCAATAATACTAAGTACTAAACTTTTTTTTTTTTTAACGTTGGGAAATGCATTTACGCACGACGTGTGGGACTCACCGGCGTAATACAGCCAGTACTACCCACTAAAACCCAACAAAACCTTCCCCCGTCTTAATGGGGCGTCGCAGGATCGCTTACGCATTCAACTACGACGCCCCGACGGCAGGTCTGCCAAAGCAGACCACCACAACCATGGGGTTGCTCCAAGGTCCACTCTGCTATCAGAGAAGTACCAGGAGCAACCCGCAAGGTAAACCGCCCCCCGAAGAGGGCCACCTCCCACCGCCCACCGAAGTAGGCAACCTCGCTGTGCGTTTCTTAGCTTCGCTACTACTACTGAGCCCCCCCACCACGACAAGGTGAACGCACGTTGGGGGGACTAAGTACTAACCTAACCTCACATCTTTCCAACGATCTCTACGAACGAACAAGACAAATCTTTTCCAACGAACTCTATGTGACTAACTTCGTTCATACAACCTGTATCGGCTCGGATATTATGTTATGTTTAAACATGGTCGACACGAAATGTCAAACCTATCTGCTAAACACTTTGCGCGCGCTTTGTTTAAAAATCAACATTCGCATTCGTATTCGCGAATTTATTGGAGACTAGCATTGCGCGCGGCTCCGCCCGCGTTCACATGACCAAAAACCAAATTCTTAGGTTTTACATATTAGTTTATTCTTACATTACAGTTCTTGTATTTTTCAACCGACTTCAAAAAGGAGGAAGTTCTCAATTCGACTGTATTTTTTTTATGTTTGTTACCTCAGAACTTCGTCATTTATTAACCGATTTGGACAATTTTTGTTTTGTTTGAAAGGGTATACTTCCAGATTGGTCCCATTTAAATTTCAAAAAAAAGTACCACCCCTAAGGGCGCGTACACATAGAACGTCCGTTTTACAGGTCCGTTTAAACGTACATGTTATTAGCGTATGTAGCTGTATGAGCCAGTTCACACACATGACAGTATTCCGGATCTAGTAAAAAATCCCATACACAACAGAAATACTGACCCGTTTTATCGGATCGAAATCGCGCGAGGCTTGGCACAGGGGTGCGGGGGTTTTCCTCCAGTTTGTGTCTTTCTTTTTTAAATCCTTTTCTAATCTTTTAAGAAGGTCATCAAAAGTACATGTCGTTATTCGGAAATAAGTAAAAATGCTGTGTGAATATTAACTTCCAGTAGCGACGGGTCCGTTAAAATCGGTCCTGTAAATGCTGTGTGAATATTACCTCCAGTAGCAACGGATCAGTTAAAAAGGATCCTGTAAATCGGACGTTCTATGTGTACGCGCCCTAAGGGTGGAAAAATAGCTAATAATTAATTTAACCTACTTCTAATTGTCATATTGACTTGAAACTTTGCAAGTGTTTCTATTTCCGTTGATAGTACAGTGGTTCGGTATTGTTGACCTGATCTAATGGTAAGGCCAGAAAGTGGATAGGTGGAACTCTTCAACGGCTAATAGTAGATACTTTGAGTTTGGGCTTATTTTGTTTGATTTGACAAGCCTAACACGTTAGAATTCTTACTTTGCTACTACTGTCTACACTAAAAATGGAAAAATAGAAACTGTTTAGCAAAAAAATAAAAACCGACTTCAAACAAAAGCACTAAAAAGTAAAAACTAACTGATTGGTAGTTTTCATTTACTATACATACCTAATCAAATATTTTCGAAGTCGGTGTGCTTTGGCTAAGTAATTAAAGCCTACCTATTAAATACATACCTAATCAAATATTTTCGAAATCGGTGCCAGCCCATACAAAGCAAAGCACACCGACTTCGAAAATATTTGATTAGGTATGTATAGTAAATGAAAACTACCAATCAGTTATTTTTTACTTTTTAGTGCTTTTGTTTGAAGTCGGTTTTTATTTTTTTGTTAAAAAGTTTTTATTCTCAGAAATGAGACATTTTTCCGCGGTAAAAAGTATCCTATATGTTGACCTGGATAACCAGCTATCACCATAGCAAATTTCATCAAAATCTCTCCAGTGGTTTTTCTGTGATGCGGTAACAGACAGACAGACAAAATTTCTAAAAACTATAGTTTCGGCCTCTGTATCGATAATAATGTCTATTGCAATAAGATTTTCCAAAAAATATTTAATGTACAGATTCGGATTAGTTGAAATTTTATTATATGTATAGATGAATATTCGCATTCGCGAATGTGAAACATCGAACATTCGTTAAATCACTAATATCTAGTAATTTTTTGATCGATGTTGTTCTGCGTAAATTTATCATTACAGCAACATGTAGCTATAATTTTAGAAAGATATATATCAAAATAAACAGATTGTAAAATAATATTTATTTTCAGTGGTTGTATTTTGCCTGGCTGCAGTTATATTTCCAATGGGATTCCATGTTGATGAAATTGGAGGACAACCTTACCAACTCCCTAATAGCCACCAAGTTGGGATATCTTATATATTATTTGTACTTTCACTTTGGATTACAGTAATATCTGAATTATTTGCTGGCAAAGTATGCTTGCCACATTTCTAAATAATAATTTATTAACTTTTAGTAATTTTATACCATGTTATCAAAATTTAATACATAATATGTATAACAATTTTTTTACCATTTTTATTTTATTACTAAAGAGAAGATTGTACTGCTCAAGAAGTCCTTAGATATTCATATTAATCTTAAGGTATCTTTAACAGTATAAATGTATATAATAATATTAAAATTTGTTAATTGTAACTATTATAGACTTATATTATATGTACATAGTATAATTTTTATGTTATAGTTAATGTTTATGATCATTGAGTAAAAGTTATAAACACATTATGTAAATATTGTTATAATAAATCATTATTATTGTACAAATTATTTGAATCTCAGAAACTTTAATAAATAAGTTTAAAAAACATCTACAATTTTTAATTTTATTACTCTACTGCAGCCATACTTAATTTTTTTTTATAGGAGCCACAAACACGTTTCAGTCATGGTGTCGAGGGCCGTAAGCAAAAATTATTTAGGTCTTAATGAAAACGAATTCCAAGTTAACGATGTAGTTACTTTTTTAACAAAGATATGTTATAATGCGATTTTTGACGCTGCCGCATGCGGCCCGCAGGCCGCAGGTTGAATATAGCTGCTCTTCTGTGTTGACTGTTGAAGCCACAGTGATTATTATTGCGATGTCCAAAATGTCAATGCCGAATTTACAGGGCAGTAATTTTAAAGTTTGGCAGGTTTTATTATATCAAGTTATTGATTAATATCTTATATTTATTGCTTTAAATGGATAATTTTAGGTAAAGTAGGTAAATTATTTTAGTTTTTACCAGACTGCGGTGAAACCGAAAGGAGGGTTGTGCTTGTCCTGTATGTATATCCGACCCCATGTTCCCTCGTAATTACTAAATGGATTAACCGATATTGATAATTCATACGTCGACAGATTCGTCTTGATAACGCGAGTGCCTTATGGTACATAAATTTCATTGAAAATCGAAAATTGTTAATAAAATTCCAATGTCTAATTCTACATTATACATTTTATTATAGTCCAAACGGAATCCGGTTTGGGAACAAAATATAGAAAACTAATTAATTAATTCTCATTCTTTTGTTTTAACAATTGTCTACTCAATTATATTTTGAACTTAAAAGCCTTGTCGGTAAAAGATTGAAATGTTCTTTTATATTCAACAGGCAAGTTTATATATATCATTGTATGGGTATACTTTAAACCAATTTTATACAATTTTAGTTTATAACTTAAGAATGATCGGTGAATATATATATGTAAGTATATAATCGTAAAATTTTAAACACCGATAGATTACAATATATCTAGCAAGATTGTAAACTAGCGTTTACAATCTAGTGGCACTTACAATTTTACAGTGACTTACACATATTATAGTAACTACTTCAAGAGTTTATAAAAACAAAGAATTTTAATAAAAAAGATCATTTATTGATTTACCAGCTACATGCGTAATTTAAAAATTAATTAATATTAATTACATTATATACAAAAATATTTAAATGTTTTATTATTTACACAATAAAATTACTAATAATGAATGTTCTTTTATTTTTTGCAAATGCATTTTATCTTTTTAAAAGTCTTTTTTAGCACTGCTTAAATGTCTTTGCACTAAATCTTCTACTTCAGAGCAGTTTTCTTGTATTTCCAAATTTCCCTCTCCTGGATATACCTTCAAACTGCTATTAATGGATTCAGCTGAACTTATATGATGAAATATTGTGTCGCCGTCTGAGCCTAATAAAACGAAGGTGGATAATGTCGGGTCGCGATGACGATACTGCTGAAGCATTTCGCCGTAGCCGAATTTTCGATTGTGACCCCTGTGACTATGCTGCCTTTACATTACCACACATACAAAGAATTTTATTTGAACAGGACGGCTGTGCACAAAAGTACACATGTTATGTTAGATACTTTGATTAGCAAAGTTGAGGCTGGCCTTACAATCAATGTGAGTCTGATCGCTGCCAGTGTATGAGAGAGGAAATTGATTTAAAAACTCTAAAGCCTTAGAACTCGACTCAAACGCCAACTCTCGAACGATGAAGTCCACGGGAACACTTTGTCTGTAGCTGCACATATAATAAAATGTTAATAGAAAACAACCAACCACTGAGGTTGGATAGGTTTACTTTTTAATAAATAAAACCAATGGTTGTTTATATTTCGAGCATTCTAATTTCAAATTAAAGTTATAAAATACTAAATTAAGGTATATTTATACTAACTGACTTTGTATAGCTGTAGAAGTTCATTATTTTATATGAAAATTAAAGTTAAAGCATAAAGCACATTAATAAATTTAACAATTTGTATAAGAATATGTATAATAAAAAAGATGATTGCCAGCTCGATTTATTTTTATTAGCAATGGATTATAAAATTTTCCTAAGTTAAATTAATGTTTAGTTTTTAGTAAATTATAAAAGTTATTTAAAATCATCTCTAATTAATAATGATGTTTTGGATCAAAACACGTAGTCTAAACTATGTAGGCGTTTAGGAGTGCACATTTAATAAACCTGGGCTTCTGAACAAATGTAATCACAAGTACCATGCATCATGCTGCCACTTTATACTGCTTAGTTGGGACTATAAAGTAATAAGTATCATACTATTAGAAATGTTGTGAAGATTTTTGGTTGTTATTACTGGTCGCAGTTAGGTTATAGAACAAATTTTGATGAAACTTGGAACACATATAGACCATAAACACCAATAGCTACCCAGACGCAATAGAGGGGTTATTGCTAAAAACTATGCATAGCAAGCAAATCACAAATGAACAATAAACTAGACAAAGCTATTAAGACTGAATTATTAAATTAAATTGTCCTAATTACACATTTAAAAAATATTTAAATCTATTGTTTTATGTCTATTTATTTAGATTTGTGATAAATCTTCATAATTTCAGAATTTTTATTTAAGACTAGCATTGCCCGCGGCTCCGCCCGCGTTTAGATAACCAAATACCAAATTATTAGGTTTTACATTAGTATACTCTTACATTGCAGTTTTTGTATGTTTTCTCAGAAAAGAGAAATTTTCTCGCGGTAAAAAGTATCCTATATGTTGACCCGAATAACCAGCTATCACCATACCAAAATTCATCAAAATCCCTCCAGAGATTTTTCTGTGATGCAGTAACAGACAGACAAAAATTCTAAAAACTATAGATTCGGCTTCTAAATCTATAATAATGTGTATTTCAATAAGATTTTCCAAAAAATATCTAATGTACAGATTCGGCTTAGTTACAATTTTATTATATGTATAGATGAAACCAAATCTAAAAGGTCTGAAATACTTATTTGATTAAAATTATATTTTATGAAATTCAAATGGGACGAGGGATAGTAACAAAATTCATTTTAGTATGGCAAAAATAAAATGTGGAATAACAGATATATTCATCTAGAAGGGCTACCATTCCTTTATAATGGATAAAAATTTGTAAGTTAAAAGCAATCAAATATAAAATATAAAATAATAATAAAGCAAAAAAGACATACGACTTTATGATGTATTTCAAGTAATTTTTCCGCTCCCTGTCCACAAACCAGTCTATCAAATATCCCGCCATCATTGGGGCAGACTTATATAACATGAAAAACTTGTGCAAATTTCCTGTTGCCCACGCACATCGAGTATTTAATGCATGTTTGATACACTCATTTTCTCTATCTTCTTTTGACAAAAACTGAAATATTGTAGTTAGATCTGGAAAAAAGTAATCATTAATATTATTGACTGTTATTTTAATATAGGTGGTAGTTACTGGAAAACCTTTTCAATTATACAACACAATCATAATATTTGCATTAATTAATATACAAACCTAAAGTATTATTTGTGAATACATAATACAATATCCTATAAGCTTTGAACTCTGCTTCATTAGCTCTACAATCCGGTAGTTCAGAGTAGAGCATTTTAAGTTGTGTTTGACATTGATTGAATTCTTCATGATCACCCTTTTCTAAAGCTATCCTGGCATGAGTTTCATAGACCTCTACAGTAAAACTATCTCGCACACCTTGTACCTAAGAAACACACAAATTTTAATCAAAAGATAGTTTTTTAACTAAATAATTATTAAAAATAAAATAATATATAAACTTACAGTTAAATCTTGTCTTATTGATTTTAATTGATCACAGGCATATCTGTAATCTTGTTTGTCTATCCAACGTTCCTTTACATTCTTGAGAGAGTTCCTCAAAATGAGCACAGGTCTTACTTCACAAGCTTCTGGAGCTTTAGTTAACCGTAAAAAGGACTTTTCAATATCTGTGCAAGTTCCTACTATATGCATATTATTAAGTTCATAATCGCCTTCAGTGTCTTGTATTATTGGCCTCTTCGAGCAAGGTTCAGGTCTCTTACTACTGGCTTGCAGTGAGCTAGCTATGGTGGGTACACTTGTATTACCAAAACGCTGTGCTCTTTTCTGCAATTTTTCAGCATTGCCATGCACATCTTCAATGGCAAAGTGATTATAAGCTTTCTTTTTAATATTTTTTGGATATTTTTCATGCTTCTTCTGATCCAAGGACAATCTGTCTTTAATCTTTTGACGACTTTTGTTCTTAAAATTTTTCTTGTCTTCAACTTCATCACTAGACCCGGAGGATGTGCTATTACACAAAAAACAGATAAAAAATTAATTCATTTATTAAAATTTTACTATACAGGATAAATATATAGATAAAGGACTCCAAGTTTTATTCTTACAATAAAAATCATTATGAAATGGATATAACATGAACTATCTTTGCTTACCTATGTCTCTTTCTAGGTGGACTTTTTGATTTGGAATGACTCCTGGAACGTGCTTTGCGTCTTCTTTGTTGGGAGCCTCTAGGACCCAAGGCAATTTTGTTCTTATTTGGCTCTGAAACAGCCTCAGATTTTTGATATAAAGCAAATGAAGTATTAACAGGTTTCACTGATAAATTATTTCTTTCACTATGAACACTAGGTATGGGCTCTTCATCCCAGTTCCTTGTCCAAATTTCATCTTTGTTTGCTGCAGCTGTAATACGACCCTTTAAACATATATCTATTTGGTCACGATCAAAAGCTGTTTTACATTTCTCATAGCATCTTTTGATGTACCTTTCTAAGCTTTCAGGCCATGTTCCTGCAGTTGTTTGTATCGAAGAAGAGTATAAAAAGTTTGAAGAATTGTCACTCAAGACAATATTCTCCAATTCTCTTTCTTTACTAATTGCATTTGTAGGATCCTCTAATGGTTCAGGAATGTCTTCAGTTGCAATCGGAGGCGGCAGTGGAACATCAAGAGGAGGAGGAGGAGGAGGCTTAGGAAGATCCGGCGGAGGACATGGAGGTAAAGGTGGTGGATGATCAGGCAGAGGCGGGAGCAAAATTGCCTCCGAATCGTCACAAGACTTGCTTCCCTTCTTTCGTTTTTTCTTTGAATTATTATTGGTTAAAAGAGGATTTTCATTAGGGGGAATAGGGGCAGATTTTCTATTACCAGAAAGATTAAACCGTATAGGAGATTGATTGTTAAATGGACGATTTGAATCGAGTGGAGACATTCCCAACAAAGGAGGAGGCGGTTTGGAAAACTGAGTATGACCAAAATCAGCTTTAGCGTCCTTATTTTGTTGAAAATGGTGAGCGTCGTTATGAAATCCTCCGTTATTTCCGATTTGATTGAAGTATTGATGATTATAAAATTGATGGAACATGCCACCGTGATACCCATTGTACTGGTGATAAAGACCATACATCCATGGGTTATGGTTCGGTGGCATACCACTCATTGTTTGTAATGGGGGCTCTTTAGAAGTATTGTCAGTCATGACGAATAAATTACTTTACATATGCTCTTAAAATTATATTTGTAGTTTAGGGCCAAAAATAATACCTTGAACAAAATGGCGTCTAGCCCACTAACGAGAAAAACCAGTCTAATCCTTCATATCATACTTAATATCACGTGAATAATATTTTAAAAAACAATAAAATCTGATACAAATATACTAAATTTACCGCTTTTAACAATACTCAACACAAATACAACGTTAAAAGCTTAAACATTTATATCAATCTTTTCTTCAGCAGGCAGCAAAGGTAGACACCACAGACTAAAAAGAATATAATATAAAAATTAAAAATTATATTAATCGTTCTTCCTGCTGAGGCTGAACTACAGATTATACAATAGTTACAAAAAGAATGTAACCACATGTCCATGACGAATAAAAATAACCATTACGATTATAAATAATAATTATTTGGATAGTGCAGGTTATCTACATTTTTAAATATTAATATTGTTTATACTATATACATTTTTCTTAATATATAGTAAAAATTACAAGAAATAAAATTATAGTACAAAAAACAATCATCTGTAGACGACTTAACAGTTTTAAAATCATTTTCTGCAAAATGATTCTTAAAGCCTTTAATATAAAAATTATGATTTCGCCAATTTTGGTCATCTTATTGCTTTAGCCCACCACTTCTTCAGTTTTTGTCTTTTGGGAACAATTAATAACCATTTTCTTTGCATCTTGGCACTGCACAATTTGTCATTTGAATTAAATTTTAAATATAATGAAAAATAAAAATACATCCACGTTTTTTTCAGCTTTACAATATACTTAGGATTATAGTGATCCTGACATCTGTCGGGAGAAAATGCTAAAACTCGTTCCCAGTGTATACCTTAGAATATCTACAATAATAGACAGGGGGCTTAATATTATATTTCATAACAATTGACAAATAAAATTTAAGTATGTGTTAATCGTTCAATTTAAAAGATCTAGATCGGCCATACTCAATCTTCTTTTTATAGGGGCCACAAACACGTTTCAGTCATGGTCTATTTTCCCTTTTTTCTTTAAACAGAACTTCTAGATTTTTATCGTTTTCAAAATCGATGAACTCATCAAACAACTCTGAGTAATTACAATTTAAAACGGAAGCAAACTCGGAGATGTAACTTCAGATGGGCCAATAACAAAGGCCCGGCGGGCCGCAGGTTGAGTATAGCTGATCTAGATCAATACTGATCTGTCAGAAAATGACCCGCAAAGAATGACCCGGTTCGTTTGACCCGTTCAATCGATCGATTGATGACGTAATCGCCGCGCCGTGCATACTGCATAGGGCAAATCGATCTAGTGATCGAATGAACGAACCAGTTCAATCAATCGCTCGCGCAGTGTGCGCGACCCGAATCGTTCTATTCTGTCAATCGCGAACGACACATATGAAATAGATAATTGACATTGACAATTGACATAGGTTGATTTAAAATGTTAAAATACTCTGGATGTTAAAATCACTTGGTCAGCGAAATTATTTTAGTTTTCGGCAATCTACATACATTTTAATTATGACGAACTTGAATAGTAATCTATAAGAGTTATCAATATAAAGGTCCTAATAATGGATTTGTTAAAAACTCCCTCAACACAGTCATTACTAGATTCTGACTTAGAATCAGTTGAAAGTCTTCAGTATGTGGATTTTGAAGAGGTGGGTAGCTATTTCGTGATAGTTATAAAACAAATAAAAATTGAAAATGTATGTAAAATTCCATTTTATATATCATTAATTTTTTTCTAGCTGGATGAAGTAGAATATGCTTTACCTGCAAGTGAAGCTCCAACTTTAGCAGAACTTTTATCTTCAGAAGAATTGGAAAATGAAAATGAACATAAATTACCTATAAAAATAAAAACTTTTGAGGAACCTACAATATGTTCTGCATTACAAGTTGATTTTTTACAGGCCGTTTCGCAGCAATTGACCCAAGCACAAGTAAGATAAAAATTATTATTCCTGTCTGCCCTTTGTTTTATAGCTAGAATGATTTTATTTAATTCCATTTTAAAGGTATTGGTAATAGTGATTTGGCTACACTATGAATGACATTACTTCATCACATAATATGCAATGCATAAAAGTATATAGAGGTTTATTTGTCTTTTTCTTAGCCAGAGTTGAGGTATAAAATTAACCTTTTGCCAAATCTGGTCATTGAACTCCTAACTGAATATTTTTTTGTGTTAACATTAAAATAAATATTATGTTGAATTACACTCATCAAATGAAATCATCAAAATTAGACTATCAGTAAAAGGTTATAATAGTTGTGGTCATGGAAGCATATATCAAGGGTTTACTGCGAAAACCAGCTAAGTGCAGTCAAGTTAGTTTTGAGTTATTGCATTTTAAAAGTTTATACCTAATAAAATGCTATAATTTCAGTCAGCCTTAAATACTGTAGTAGTCACAAGTTAGGATATATAATAAAATTTTTATTTTTGAGTAGTCTAAGTAAATATGTGTCATAGAAGTGTATGAAATAAAGAAAGTCATGAGTGAGGTAGTACAGTTAGAATTTGTTGTATATAACAGTTTTTCTTTGTTATATCTTCTAAAGTATTTAACATAGCACTAAGTTGGTTTTACCAGTATACAGAGTTTGAAAAGATAAGAATTTTCATTTATTTAACTAATTTTCTCAGCCAAAAATGTAGTTTAGCAGGTTTCCTCAGTAAACCCTCGAAATAGGAAAAGTTAAAAAAAAAGTATTAGTAAAATCCCTATTTAAATTTACATATCTGCAAAAATAGATGATAAATAAGATTTGAATAAAAATTATGAAATTAATAATTTAAGGATTAGTTAGTAGGTTATTGTGAAGAAGCAGATGCACCCCCCTGAAAATAATTCTGCTGACCCTCATGGTTGTTAATCATGAATATTAATAATGTTACTCTTGTTCTTTTTTATTATATATTAGTGCTATCCTACTATCAGGACTCAGAAACATGTTCAATTTTTAAACTAGTTTCTGTCATTGACACCAAACCAAAAGGCTTTTCAGTGTAAGGTTTCATTCATGTCTTTTAACCTTTGAAAATTTTGGTTCCATGATTGAAATTAACCAGTTACAATAAGTTTTTGTGTTTACATTTGGTGAATCTTTGCTAATGGTGGATTGCTTAGTAGAAAGATATATGTATGTTTATTTTTTATGAATGAATTAGGTGGCTCATTTAAGTATCAAAACCTAAATCTAACGTTTCTCTAAAATAACCGTTTACCATTATTATAAATTATTACAGTTTACTAAACCATTTGTTTTGTATTAACTGGTTGATAAACAAGTGATGAATTAACTAATTACCGAAATTAACCAATTCCGAGTCCAGCCTATTATTATAAGCAGAAACGTTTCTGAGGATTTATGGATGTATGTGTGTTAATATTTCACACAAAAATTACTGGATGGATTCTGATGGAATTTAAAAGTAATAATATACCATATACAACGAAGTAACACATAGGCTAGAACTTATGAAGATATAGTAATATATAATTGAACTATGTGGGCAATGCTGCATGAAAATGCTAGTAAATATGTCTTAATTTCATATTCATTTCTTTTATTTAAAACAAATTTTGCTTTTATCAGTATAGGTACATTATATTGCAATGGAGTATAAAAATGATAATGTTATCTATTGAAAATAATTATTTTGTCAGTGTAATCCATACATATAATAAAATTGTAACTAAGCTGAATCTGTACATTAAAATTTTTTGGAAAATTTTACTGAAATAAACATTATTATTGATACAGAGGCCGAATCTATAGTTTTTACAATTTTTATCTGTCTGTCTGTTACCGCATCACGTAAGAGTATACTAATATGTAAAACCTAAGAATTTGTTTTTGGTCATCTGAACGCCGGCGGAGCCGCGGGCAATGCTAGTATGACATAACTTCATGAAAAAAAGCAATAAAGATGTAGTTATTAATATTATAATTAAAATTCTATGAATCTTAGTACTGGGTTTTCTAGCCGGTGAGTCCCACATAACCATTTGTATACAGATGGTATGCGTAAATGCATTTCCCAACCTAAAATAGCAATGGATGCAAGTTGTTAGTATTGTTATAATAATTATATTATACAAGCCAATGGATAATGGATATAACTATTTACTCGCTATCGATGCACGCTTCTTATGCGTTTGTATAGAAATGCAAGTGTGTAATCTTTATTTAATAAGGTCGTAGCGCGGAATATGTACAGACGACATACGTTCATGACACGCGCCGCGCGCCTTTGCCGCGTTTATAAAACGTAGTGTGCAAAGAACCTTGCAAGTTTTTCAACACAGAATCTATTCTGTGAGCCAGCCCCTAGGCTGATATCGGGTATTCTCAATATGCACATCCTAAGCATGTTCCTAAAAAGTAGTATGCCCTAATAATATCTACTATCCATTTGAAAGAAATAACTGAATTAACATGTTGAAATATATTTTTAGGAACGATCATCAGCTGGTGCTGCTACTACATTAAGTATCGGGTCAAATGGGAGACTCACTGTAGGGACAGCACATGGACATCTGTTATCGTTTTATGAGCAAACATTACGATGGGTCTGTGATGCACATGGTGAGAACGGTGCAGTTACATGCTTGTCATATAACCATGACAGCACTCGTCTATTAGCGGGCTTCGCTCGAGGGCTTGTATATCAATATGAAAGTATACGTGGTATAATTCTCCGGCGGGTAGTGCTTGGGGGGGAAATATGGGGTACATTAAGAGTCACATGGGCTGGCACATCTGGACTAGCACTCGACACCGGAGGGTCTGTGTGGCTCATAAAATTTTCTCGACCCTTGGGAGTACGTTCAGCTAAAGTATCCTGCCTGTTTTCGGGTGCTAGAGGCGAAGTAGTGGCTATGACAGCTCGCGATGCAAGAATCTTGGCTTTAGCAACTTTGTCAAGAGTTATTATAGTAGCTGGTGGCAAGGCAGCTGGAGTACGCCTAGATGGTCCTCCAGATGTACTCCCGGTTCTCGAGTGGTGCGAAATGGACCATAGGATACTAGTGTGCGCCCGCGGCAACGTCATGCAATGGCTTACTGTGACGTTAAATGGATCTTCAATAAATCTTCGACCAGTACAACGTGTTGAGCTCAAAGCAACACCTATATGGCTCGGGTGGCTAGGTGGTAGCCTTGCAATATTTGATTCTAACGAAAATCTTCGTCTTTGGGGTGATGATTATGACAAGCCATTGGACCTATCACAAATAGAACCTGTTTATTCGTCTGCTTTTTTCAAGGTGAATTTTACAAATATTTTAATAAATTTCATATATTAAATATATTATTTAGATTACCTAACAACCAAAGAATTTGGTTATATTTATCTAACAACGACAACGAAAAGAATTAAAATCAAAGTAATTAAGTAATTGGAGTTCTATAAAGCTACTATAAAAAAAGTAATGTAAATCCGCTCAATAGTATCTTAATATATATAATTCTTCTGTACGTGTGTTTGTTAACCCACTACTCCTAAAGGACTGGACCGATTTGGATGAAATTTTTTGTGTATATTTCAATGGGTGGGTTCGTGGATGGTTCGAAAATACAAATGGACCCAGTAGGTGGCGCTGCAGTCGGTGTGCCACTGATCATTTCCTAAACGGCAGGGACGATTTTAATGATATTTTTTGTGTATGTTCGAGTGGGCCCGTGCAAGGTTTGAAAACACAAATGGATGCAGTAGGTGACGCTGCAGTCGGTGTGTCACTAAATTTTCATAAAAGTTTTAATTGTTGGTTAAATAAAATAAAAATCGATGTATGTTTCCTATGGACTCCAAAACAGCTGGAGCGATTTTGATGAAATTTTCAGGCAATCTTCAGATTAACCTAGCGGGTGATCCTGTAAATTTTCGCGACCGGAGCGATCGGACGTTTAACGCGGGCGAAGCCGCGGGTACTGCTAGTTTTTATAATTTTCAAGCAGATGTATTATATATTTGTATTTAATATGTACATACAAAATAGAATGAATGAATTTAATTTCGAATAAACTTTGAAGGGACATTGGACAGATGGCAGAGTATCACGCGCAATGTGCAAGGCGGGAGAAAGTGCTTTAGGCGGCGCCTGTATATCGGAAGGAACGTTGGCACTTTTAGGTTGCCGAGGAGTAGTTCGCGTTAAGCCACGGGACCTCATTGCCAGAGCCCAAGCATTTATAACCTCAGGGCGCTATATACAAGCTTTAAGATTACTCTGCTCTGCCCAAGGTCCAGATGCAAAAAAAATGGCAAGTGAATTTATAGAGACCTTAGCAGATAGACCGCATATACTTAGTAACAAAAATGTTGCTGTTCAAGTTGTAAAGTTATGCCTGAAATATGAAATGAGGTAAAATTCATAAGCTAATGATATAATATTATGATTTATGACGTAAAAGGTTAATTTAAATCCATTGACCTTATTTTCAGTGATGAATTATGGAGTTGTCTTTGGGAGAATTGTTCAGAAGAGCAAGCTTTTGTGGAGGCTTTAGGTGATGCCGCAGTTCGCGGCGAACTTTCGAATACTCCACCCTCGCCTGACTTCACTCAGGTAAGATATATAAATACTTAGATTTGATAAATATTACATATACTCGTAGGTACTATAAGATGTTCTGAATGATACTTTCTTTAGAATTTTATAAATATTAGTTTTTCAAATAACTTATGTTTCAAGTATAGTTGACTATTGGTGGTAAGGAGATTTCCTATCGGCAAGTCATACAACTAACTTCGCCCGGTAAAATCATTATGTAGTCTATGTATATTATTAATAAGACTTAAGAGTATGTATATTGTCATTAAAAGTTGTAGAATAGGGGATCGGACAATTTTTCAGAAAGTGTTTTAAATTAATCTTCATGGATACTTATTCACATAAAAAAAATATTTATTTATAGCCTTTTAGGTACTCAAAATCATGTTTTAATATTGTTTGTTTAAAAATACCGCCAAAACGACACGTTATACGCGTGACGTCACTTGTAAATGTCATCAATATTATTGTTCTGTGGTCATTCATAACATAAACAAAACGACTGTATGAACATAAGTTCGCAAGAAGTTTTGTTCCGTGGAAAATATTCTTTATTTGTTGTTACGAAACGAAAAACATATCGTTGGTGTGTAGTACCTCAATGTACGAACACATCAAAAACTACTCCAAATAAATTATTGATTGATGTGCCAAGAAAAGCAGATATACGAAAAAAATGGTTGGTCTTAGCAAGAAAAAAGTGCGACGGAATGTCTGTAAATTCACCAATTTACTTTTGTGAAGATCATTTTGACGTAAGTGTACAGTAGTTACTTACTACAAATGAAAAATATTAATTTGTAGTAAATGTACATTGTTTAATGTTAGAGGTTATATTTACGAGATTTTATTCATTTTTACTTGTTTCAGCTGCCGAATGATATGGAAAATTACATGCGATACCATATAATGTGACGATGATATATATACTGTGACGTGCTGTCAAATGTCAAAATTCAACAAATGACGTCACGCACTATGTTTTGGTGTTTCAGTACAGACTTAAAATATTGTAAATAACAAAATTTTATTTCTTCATTTAAAAATATTTAAATGAATTATATTTAACTATTATTCGATAAATAATCGTTAAACAGTGTACTTATTTTATCTAAGTATATTTTAGATTTTTATCTGATTACTGTCCGATCCCCTATACTATAAGCTACTTAATTTTGTTCCAAAATGCTCCGCTGTGTAAAAATAAGCAAGTCAATATTTTTAAAACAAGTACGCCTACCGGCTACACTTCTGCCACATGACTCTCATCATAAACTTTAAGTTTAGGATGAGAGTTGAGAGAGAGGTTGTCTATCTCTTACAGGCTTCTAACAATAAGGTCACCTGCTATGCTTCTTTTATACTTGCATTGCTTATATGAATGATGTATCCTTCTTATAGTGTACAATAAAGAGCATATTGTATTTATCTTACCTGTATTATGTAAATAATATTAATTTTCAGGCACTAATAGAGAAATTAGCCACGTTTGAACCGGACTTGGTGGAGCGCGTAGTGGCGTCACTCCCACTCACGTCCTTAGACCCTCACCGTGCCAGTATGTTTACACGGGAAAAAGGCTTGTGGCGGGGAGTGGGGGCCATTGCTGCTGCTTTAGGTATGTTGTTATATTAGTATAATGAAATTATACATATTATATAACTTACGTCGTCTGCACGTACTGTGCGCTTTTTATATAAAACTTTCTGTTTGGATTTATTCGCGGCTTTATTTTGATTTTTGGTCCTCGACGTTTCGAAAGCTTGTCTTGCTCATGACCATGATTCCTAAAATAAATTCGCGAAAATATCCGAAAAGATAGTTTTATTTAAAATGTCGAATAATCGCGTAAATTTAAAGAAGAATTAAAATGTGCACTGAAATCTTAAGTTTAAGAATCTGCATTTGTTCGCATCACTCGCGTTCGTGTCAAAACAAACAAACAAAATCGTCAGACACATCGACAGCGCGTTAAATTGTCGCCGTGTGCATAGATAAGCCATAACGCATATAAATTTAACCAAAGGTGGAATAATTATTATTAAAGTCATTTTTAATTTAGTGTAAATTTATAGTTAAAAAATAGTAAAAACTATAATATAGTATGGTAAAAGTACAGCTAAATTAAGTTAAATTATAAATAAAATTGTATAACATTAGTAAAACAAGATCAAATATAATCTATACATGTAATAAAATTGTAACAAAGCCGAATCTGTACATTAAGTATTTTTTGGAATTTTTGTCTGTCTGTTACCGCATCACAGAAAAACTACTGGAGGAATTTAGATGAAATTTGGTATGGTGATAGCTGGTTATCCGGGTCAATATATAGGATACTTTTTACGAGGGAACAGTTCTCATTTCTGAGAAAAATACAATAACTTTAATGTAAGAGTATATTTTTATCCCGGAAACCATTTCTTAAGCGGGTAAAAATGGGGACGAAATTGTGTATCGGGAAGCAAGCTAGGGAAGAGCCCAAGCGAAGAGAGGGTGAGCCGCTAGTATACAATATAAAGCACTGCGTTCACATTTCTACTGAAAGTAATTGTTCTGTCTGCAGACGGCTGCACGGGCGCGATGCGCGAGCTCGTGTCGTTCGTGTCGCCGGCGTGCGCGGGCGCGGGGGGCGCGAGCTGCGGCTGCGCGGGCAGCGCGCTGCTGCTGGCGGCGGCCGACGCGCTGGCGGGGCGCGGCGCCGGTGGCCGCGCGCTGCCCGCGCACGCGCGTCCCTCCGCGCGCCACGACGCGCTGCACGCCCTGCTCACTGAAGAGGTAGTGTCTACACTGTGCCTACCTACTTACTGTGTTTGACTTTTTATGAAGTGTCCGAACATTAAACATGACCTCTGTTTTGTATAGCGATACGCTGTTGGATCTATTGTGCTTTCGAATCAAATTATATATCCTATTAGCGTGATGCCTAACGGTACATACGGTGTGGAAGTAACATACAGTACCCACACATACGTGCTTTCGCTTATTGTGTATATATAATAGCGATCTGATATATTTTTACCAAAATAACTGGTGAACGTGTGCAGGGCGGGCGGTCGCCGCTGCGTGCGCTGGTGCGGCACGATGCGGGCGCGGCGGCGCGGCTGCTGGAGCAGTGCGCGCGCGACCCGCCCTTCGCCGGCCCGCTCGGCAAGCAGAACCGCCTGCGCGTGGCGCGCGCCCTGCTCGCCTGCATGCCCGACTTGCAGGTTGGCCCCGCTCTCATTTTATATTTATCTATACAGATAAATAAAATAGTAACAGAGCGATAGCGATAGTAGATATCTGTTCATGTTTATATGTATATTTTGTATAGAAAAGACCCACTACAAAAATTACAAACTTCTAATTTATTACATAATAAAACGTAACCAAGAACGGGGAGTCCCTGGCGAGCAAAGCGAGAGTAAGTCGATAGTGATGATAAGTATATAGTACCTGGGCTACCGAGCTTCGCTAGGAGTTTTTGGCCTAAACTACAATTTTCTTTTTTTTTTTAACTAAAAACTTGAATAAATATTAAAAAAACCAAAAGTAAAAACTTTTTATGCGACCGAGATTCGAACCTGGATACCTGTGATTGTTGATCTTGCACCTTGGCCGCTTGAACACGACGCTTATTCCCGAGCGTGCAAATTACCGACCATATTTTGCGTAGAATAGCAAAAGAAAACTGCATGAAAACTCGAAAACACGCGTTTTCTCAGACATAAGACTAAGCTACATCGATTTATCGCCCTCGAACACCCCCCACACCCCCTCCCGCCCGCCGTAATAAATTACATGAAAATAGAGAATAATAGATGTCAAAAGAGTGATTTTGTTCAGTTTATGTTTAAGTGGCAACATTAGGACTACCCAAACGCCACCTTTTTATTATTTTTTTCCAATAAAAAAAGCTTATGTTTTAGTTGATTCGCTCGAAGTTTTTGGTCAAAAGTACAATTTTCTTTAAAAAAACTTGAATAAATACAAAAAAACAAACAAAAATTAATAAAACTTTTGTATCCGACCGGGATTCGAATCCGAACACTTATTCAATCTTGCACCTTGGCCGCTTGACCATGATGCTTATATCTAACCGTGCGAAATTATCGAACATAATATTTGCATGGAATAATGCAAAAGAAAATTGCATGAATATTCGAAAACACGCGTTTTCCCAGACATAAGACTAATCTAGATTGATTTATCGCCCCCGAAACCCTTGTATACTAAATTTCATGAAAATCGTTGGAGCCGTTTTCGAGATTCAGATTGTATATTATATTTATACATACAAGAATTGCTCGTTCAAAGATATAAGCTATATAGTATGTTGTATTATTTGGTATCAATTGGCAAACATACCACATGTTTGCCAATTGAGACAGATTTTAGTGATTATTTCTTTAATGAAAAGTTATAATTCTATCTATCCGGATTAAACTTACACACCAATAAACCTTTAGATAAGTTTATTATTTTTAGTTCTTCGGTGGCGCCTAGATGGCGTTGTTAGGTTTATGCAACTTTCTGAATCGCGCTATGGTTTGGTTAGTCTGTAAAGTATTATTTAAACATTTTTTTTTGTGTGAATCGTTTTTACGAGGAAATAGATACTTAAATTATTCTAAGTATTTTATTTCGTGCATAAGAGCCTACAGGACTTTTGTTCTTGGTCCTTCGATTCGGAACGGCAAGGCGTGTTTTTTGTGATATTTGCCGCGTCAGTGGTATAGTAGTACCACCCGTGTCGTCACTACTGGCAGTGGATCGCTGTTCAGAACATCCCACCAGCGAGGCGCCACGAGCGGCGCCAAGGCAGTGGAGGAGCCGGGTGTCTACAACCCGGAGGAGCGACGGGCGAGAAGTGGCAAGCAGCAGCGGTAGAGGTTGCGGAGCGCTAGAAGGCGCTACAGGTGCATTAAAGCGAAGACAAGTGAGTGCGTGTGTGCGGTGATAAGTTGTGAGTACATTTTTAAATATTATAATAGAAGAAATTAACTTGAAAATTAAACCTTATTTCAAAGATTAGTGGAACTTTAAGATACATTGAAGATAGTGAAGTAACTAAGAATAATTTCAATAGTTTAGGACTTGTAATAGTTTTAAGTAAATATTGGTTGAGACGGCGAATCCACGCCCGATTTTAGTTAGAATTTAAAGTTAAAAAGACTTGTAAAATTTTGTTCATCTGTTTCTTGGACTTAAAAAAATGAGACAGTTGTTAGTAGTAGAGTTTAACTTTGTCAATTAAAGTAAATTGTTATTCTGTTTTATATTGATAAGAATTATACCTAAGTGATTAAAACTGTCAAGGTAAAAAATTTAAAATGGAGTCGTTTAATGATCTGCAGAAAGACATAAGGGCTAAAATGCTAAAAGTTAAGACTAATTTTAAAAAGTGTCCTAAGGATCGTTTGACGGTTGCTTATATTGAAACAAGGCTAGATAACTTGGAACAACAGTGGACTTTGTTTACAGACACTCATACTAAAATTATTAGTCAGGTTAAACGAACTGATTTGTATAGTTCGGATTATTACAAAAATAGTGTGTATGATTATGTAGAAAAATTATATGTTCAATTCAAGACTGAGTTAAAAGAAATGTATAACTTAAAAACACTTGAGTTCAGAAAGACGTTTCAAGTTGCCTGAAATAAAAATACCTACCTTTTCCGGTAAGTACACAGAGTGGCAGACATTCAGAGATTTGTTTTTGGGACTTGTGCATGAAAACAAGTCACTGGATGATGCCCAAAGATTTTATTATTTAAGGGGACATTTAACCGGGGAAGCCGAGCAACTATTGCGCAACATTAAGGTGACGTCGGATAGTTATCAAGTTGCGTGGGAGAAATTAGATAGTATGTACAATAAGAAAAGGTTTTTGGCGAACGGCATCTTGAAGCGTCTACTAAGTCAAAAAAGTTTGTTGTCTGAATCCGCATCTGAAATTAAAAACTTAATTAGTACAACTTCAGATTGTTTAGAATCAATAAAAAATATTGGTGTGGATGTTTCATCTTGGGATATCCTGATTATCCACATTATAAGCGCTAAATTAGATAAAGATACGCGAAAGGCATGGGAGTTAAAAGTATCTTCAGATCCAAGTGACGAATTACCCACGTTTCAACAATTTTCCAACTTTTTAATAGGGCGTTTTAGAGGTCTAGAAAATATCGATTCTAAGGTACATCACAGTGAGAAAAAAGTTACTAAATCTTTTCATGTTGTTAAAAACAACCCGATTGTATCGTGTGCGTATTGCAGTGCGGATCATAAAATAACTGCGTGCAAAAAATTCGGAAAGAAAGTAATGAGAAACGCCGTGAGTTCGTGTTAGATAAAAACTTATGTTTTATTTGCAACCATTCCGCTAAAATGTGTAAAAATATTGTCCGATGCCAAGTGTGTAAACGTAGACATCATTCTTTATTACATCCCAGTGGTGATTCTGGTTCTGGTAGTGCTAAAGTTGAGGCGATTCATCAAACAACCTCCTCGACCAGTTTAAGGTCAACTGAGGAAGATACTGCCGCAAGCAGTAATAAGTTATCTGTGCAAGCAGAAAGTTTAGATAAGCAACTTGTGTCTTGTTTTTCGACAGGAAACTGTTCCAAAATGGTTTTATAAACTACAGCTGTGGTGCAAGCTGAGTCGAAAGACGGTACTTATTTCCCAGTTAGGGTTTTATTAGATCAGGGGTCGCAAGGTTCTTTTATTACGAGGCCATGGTGCAGCACTTAGGTTTAAAAAGGCTTGCGGTCCAAAATACCGTAGTTGGTGTAGGTAGAGATAAAAGTGTGACTTCCAAGTTCACAGTCAAAATTAATTTAAGGTCGAGAGTTGATCCTAGGTTTCAAGTTAAGGTTAATGCACATGTCTTGAAGTCAGTTACGTCTCTTCTCCCAGTTGCGAAGGCAACTAGGGTAAAATGGGAAGACCTGACTCTGGGTGATCTAGCTAACCCTGAGTATCATACGCCTAATAAGATTGATATCTTATTAGGCGCGGAGATATACAGTCAAATTATTCAGGAAGGCATTAAAAGAAACCTCAACGGATCTCTCTTAGCGCAGGATTCTGCTTTCGGTTGGATAATATCTGGTGTCTGTGAGGTAGATAGCACGTCAAATATCCATTCTCACACAATTGTGATGCATTCGTATCTAGAAGTGGACAACATGCTGAAGAGGTTTTGGGAACTCGAAGCTGAACCACCTGTAACAAAAAAAATGCTCACAGACGATGAAAGTAAATGTGAGAAATGATTTAAGGATACTACGATACGGGATGAAGACGGTCGGTTCATCGTAAGACTGCTGTTTCGTATGGCCAACCCGGACTGCATGCGTGGTGAGTTCAGGAAAATAGTGAGGTAGTTTTAGCCTGGCTTAATAATCACCCAAGCCGGTGGAAGACCTTCGTGGCTAACCGAGTTTCTGAAATCCTACAGATTTTGGATACACATCACTGGTCCCATGTAGCCACTAAAAAGAATCCGGCGGATGTTGCATCACGAGGTATTTCTCCGGTGGAACTATCAGAGATGGTTATATGATGGTTGAAGGGCCAGCGTTTCTAAAAAGTAAGGTAATTATTTGTAAAAAACCAAAACACCTGGTTACAAATCTTGAGCAGGTTAACGTTCATACAGCGGTCGTTAACACAACCTTGTGGCAAAGGTTTTCTTCATTCTCGAAGCTTGTTCGGGTGGTCGCTTATTGTCGACGTTGGTTAAGGATAAGGAAAGGTTTGAGTAGTAGGCCAAGTTCAGAAGCATTGGAGCGACAGGAAATTGAAGATGCGATAAAGGTCTGTATTAAAAAATGCCAAGAAGAAGGATTCCGGAAAGAGTTGGAAGAATTGCGAAAACACGGCATAATAGATAAGAAAAAGAAAAGTTTAAAGACATTAAATATATTTTTAGATTCGGAAGGTGTAATTAGAGTAGGTGGTCGGCTGGAAATGTCTTCGCTGTCGTTTAACGAGAAACATCCGATCCTCATACTTAAAGAATCTTACTTAAGCGGACTCTTAATTGCTGATGCTCACCAAAAAACCCTGCACGGAGGCCCGCAACTCATGATTACCTATTTGAGATCGAAGTATTGGATTGTGGGTGCAAGGTCTCTAATTAGAAAATATTATCGTGGCTGTGTCACTTGTACGCGTTACTCGAACAGGTCCACATCTCAACTTATGGGGCAGTTACCTTCCGCGCGTGTGACACCGGATAAGCCCTTTCTTGTCAGCGGAGTCGATTAAGCAGCCGTACATCTTGAAGTGGTGAGCGAGCTGTCTACCCAAGGGTTTATAGCCGCTTTTAAAAGGTCGCAAGACGAGGTAGGTGTGCTGAGTTATACAGCGATAACGGTACCAATTTTGTGGGCGCTGCTCGAGAGTTACTGTGTCTGTTCAACTAAGAAAAAACTAAATTTAAACCTGAACTGGCAGAGTATCTCGCGACCAATGGAACACAATGGAATTTTATTCCCCCTCGCGCTCCGAATTTCGGTGGACTATGGGAGGCAGGAATAAAGTCCACAAAGTTCCACCTCAAACGAGTAGTTGGAAACTCTACGTTGACGTATGAGGAGATGGCCGCAGTATTATCTCAAATAGAGGCATATCTTAATTCGAGGCCATTGTCTCGTGTAGAGGATCAAACCGAGGTTGTAGTTTTGACTCCTGGTCATTTCTTGGTGGGGGAACCACTGATAGTAGTTCCTGATGTAAATTATGAGTCGTCAAATATGTATACTTTGCGAAGATGGCAACGTATGATGCAGGACTTTTGGCGTCGATGGTCCCAGGATTACCTTCATCAGTTCCTTCGAAGGCATAAATGGGAATATCAGAACCCAGAACCATTAGTGGGGGATGTGGTTTTAGTCAAGGAGGACGATCTACCCCCGGCGCGATGGTTGCTAGGCAAGATTGAGCAAAAACATCCGGGACCCGATAAAATCACGCGGGTCGTCACAATACGTACCAAAAGTTCTTTAATTAAAAGACCTACTTCCAAGATAGCAATTTTACCTGTAACTAAATAAATTATTAGTTGAGTGATTCGTTACAGTTTGGATTGTTGCATGGTGGGCGGTTTGAAGGACATTTCTCATTATGTCCTTGGTGGGCGGTATGTCCGGATTAAACTTACACACCAATAAACCTTTAGATAAGTTTATTATTTTTAGTTCTTCGGTGGCGCCTAGATGGCGTTGTTAGGTTTATGCAACTTTCTGAATCGCGCTATGGTTTGGTTAGTCTGTAAAGTATATACTATTCTTTTTATTGCACTTTAAAAAAAATCAATACAGTAATTTAAAATCAGTTGTTATTTACAAAGGTGGACTTATCTCTAGAAGAGATCTCTTCCAGCCAACCTGTGGTAGTGAGAAATAGTGTTACAAAGCGGGCTAAATTCGTGCAGTCGTAGTTATATAAATAATATATAGATACTCAAAAATATATAGCTAATTAAATAATATTTATAATAACATATAATATACACTACTTACTTATACCATACATACTTATATACATATATACATACACACTACTACTTACATAAATACATATCTATATAATACAATACATAATAATAGTAATTAAGATCATTTTTGATTTAATTGAGTGAGAAGGTGCTGTTTTAATTTTTTTTTTGAAAGAATCAATAGAGGGACTAAGTTGGATTTCTTTAGGAAGTTTGTTCCAGAGCAATGCGCCATACACCGAAAAAGAATGCAAGAGGAACTTTGTGTTGCTCTTGGGTATATCAAGCGTCGCAGTGATGCAAGGCCGCCTGGAACGTGAAGGAGTAGGGAGTATTTGGAAACGAGAACGGAGATATGAAGGAGAATTAGGGTCATTAAGAATATTGAAAAGGAACGAAAGGATGTGCATATCACGGCGAAGGCGGATTGGGAGCCATTTAAGTTGAGCACGAAAGTTTGATATATGGTCATGCTTACGCAAGCCAAAAATAAAGCGTATAGCGAGATTTTGGAGACGCTCTAATTTGTTGAGTTGCTCCTCAGTCACATCTAAATAACACACATCGGCGTAGTCAAGTATGGGGAGAAGGAGTGATTGAGCTAGCATAATCTTGGTTGTAAAAGGGAGAAAAAATTGGAGACGTTTGAGAGAGTGGAACGTGTGATGCATTCGTTTGCTGACCTCGTTGACATGAGCTACCCAGGTCATGTTACAATCCATTATTAGGCCCAAGTTTTTCACTTTATTACAATAAGGGATTGGAACGCCAGAGAACTGGACTTGAGGTATTGAGTTCCAGTCGATTTTGCACCTCAGTCTGCTGCTGCCAAAAATTATACATTGCGTTTTGGTGGGATTCACAAGAAGGCCGAAAGACTCAGCCCACAACTGAACTTCAACAAGGTCCGAGTTTAATACACCAATAGCCTCATGCAACTCGGTCAGCTCAAAGTGTCGGTATAACTGTAAGTCATCTGCATATAGATGGAAGGGAGAAGAAATGATTTTTGATATGTTATTAATAAAGATAGAAAAGAGTAAAGGGGAAAGTACGCCGCCTTGAGGTACGCCAGCAGTAAGATCTAACCAATCCGATGATGTATCGTTAATTTTCACGCACTGCTGACGTCCGAATAGGTAAGAGTGAAATCAGTCTATAACAGTAGGAGAAATGTGGACCGCGCGAAGAGTTCCAATAAGAATGTCAAGGTCAACTGAGTTGAAAGAACTGCTAAAATCTAGCAGCACCATCGCGGTGAGCTTGGTGTTATCCATTGCGTGACGAATATCCTCTGTAATATTCAGCAGTGCCCCAACCGTGCTGTGTCGAGGTCGTCACTACCGATGGCTTTTGTAGAAATAGAGCGTACACACTTCTTTATATCATCTACTGAGACTGTTTCAAAGACGAATGGTGGTATGTCAGGGGGAGCAAGGTTCGATAAGAATGAAAGTGTTTCAGTTTTTGTATGCGAATCTAAAGTGATGGGGGGAGTGGTAAAATGATAGTTTAGAGCATTGAGATCCACAGAACTTTGACAAGTTTCTTGGGCCTTGCCCACACCCAGTGACAATAGGAATCTCCAAACTTGCGCTTGACAAAGATCCTGAATCGTTGTGTGAATATAGCGGCGTTTGGCATCCCTACACATTCTGTTGCAGATGTTACGTAATTTTTTATATGCATCAAGATTTTCGGCAGATGGGTGCCTTTTGTACCTGGATTTAGCCTTATCACGTTTGCCCATAGTTCTTTTGATCACTGGTGATAGCCATGGAGCGGGAGCATGTTTCATCCGCACCGGCCTGATCGGAGCATGCTTGTCGTATAATTTAATCAGCTCAGCAGTTAAAGAGGCAACCATGCTATCAATGTTATTTACTGACATTATTGTTGACCAGTCAATGTTTTTAACATCCTCTCTTAAACGTTCTAGATCCATATGCTTAAAATTGCGCTGAAGTATAACCTTGCCTCTAACCTTTGGAGGACGCACTTTGTAAGCAAGGTAAATTAGGTCATGATGTGAGAAGGGTGCAGTCATTTGACCATGCGAAACAGTGAGAGTAGGTTGAGAGACAGAGATTATATCTATGAGAGATGGCCGACTATTGGGAAAGTAATGAGTGGGAGAATTCAGGGGAAGAATATGCAAATTAACTGAAGTCGTCAGTTCATTTAAAGCTTGTGCCCTGGCGTCATTTTTTAATAAGCACGTATTTAGATCGCCCATGTAAATTATATGATCGTAATTAGGAACAAAGCTCTCAAGGATATCTGCTAATTCCTTAAAATAATACTTTCTTAGATTTACGCGAATATTTGACATTTTAAATAAAACTATCTTTTCGGATTTTGTCGCGGATTTATTTGTATTTTTGTTTCCCGACGTTTCGAATGCTTTACAGCATCCATGGTCACGGGAGAGACTGAGGTGTTACATGTCTTAAAGATATAGTTGTTACAGACAGCCTACCCACAATTAACAAAATGAAAATTGCACCAATTACATTACAATATTTTAACTTTAAATATTTTTATAATTTTAATTATAATTGAATATGGAAAATTATTTATTTAATTTTTGCTATTATTTTTATAATTATTACAATTTTAAAAATATTAATTAGTAATCTATATTTAGTGTTGCCATTATTATATTTATAACCATAAGAAAAAATATAAAATATAGTATTAATTATTTAAGCCACAATTGATCTATGTGTAATTTGAAAAAGTTAAGATTAATTAAAAATAATAATTTTAATTTAAATTTGCTATTATTTAAAAAAACAAATTATTAAGCAACATATTACTACATACATTTACAAATGAAAAAGTGAAAAAATATTATTAATCAGAAATGCTATCATTTTGATCTACACAGTAAGAACTTACTACATCTACCTGTCTGTTATGTTTAGATTTATTATTAGATTTTATTATATTAATAACAGGATCCCATGACGATGGTAGTACCCAGCCATCTTCCCTATTGAAATTAGGATGTTTTTTAATTTCTATGGCTTCTCGAATCATTCTAGGGCGATATCGGTTTTCTTTCGCCAGGATTTGAGGTCTATCGAAGCGAATATAATGGCTTGGGCGGTCCTGACTGTGTTTGCAGACAGCAGATGTTGTATTGCGACGGTGCTTCACATCAGCTATGTGTTCTTTGACCCGGGTTCTGATGGATCTCTTTGTTTGTCCGATGTAAGAGAGCCCACAATCACAATCAAGCTTGTAAACTCCTGCATCTTGTATAGGGATGTGGCACTTGACAGGTGGTAGAAACTGACTAATTTTCTTTGGCGGCTTGAAGTAAGTATTAATTGAAGCTCGCTTTACAATGTAGCCAATCTTGTCAGTGACGCCTCTCATGTAAGGTAGGACTGCAGGGACGCGCTCGACTGTGGCTGGTTTCACTCGGTCCCTGTGACGTAGGCGCGGCACTTGCAGCTTGTTGTCTCGCAGAACTTGCTTGACATGTTGCAGCTCTCCGGCCAGGTGTTGCTCGTCACAGATCCCGCGTGCCCTCTGAAACAAAGATTTTCCACGGCGGTAGCTAACTGTGAAGGGGGGTGGTGAGAACAAAACCCCAAGTAGAACTTTTTTATGATGAATTACCAGTTCCAGAAAAAGATATTCAAGGGTACCTGTTGAGAGTGAAACAGAGTGGGAAACAACACAAGCAGAAATGCTGCTGCGAAGGTAAATACCCACGCCGCCACCACCCTGACCAGTGCGATCATTACGGAAGAACCGATATTCTGGAATAGAGCAGCTAGTCGACGGGAGTGAAGGTTTAAGCCAGGTTTCAGACACCAGTATACAATCGACTACGCCGCTACTGAAAGATGTGAGAAGATCTGAATAGTGAGCAGGAATGCTCTGCGCGTTAATATGCACTAAGGTAAGGAAATTAGAATTTTTAGGGAAAACCTTTAAAAGTTTGTCTCCAAGTGTTTCTTGATCCGAAAGAGAAGAGTTTAAGCTACTTTCAGCACTTCCAAAGTCTTCCGAAGAAGAACAAGAAAAATATTCATCTTTATACATAATACTATTATTACTTAAAATATTTATATAATATAAATAGATAGATTACATTCAAATATAAATAAAAGTAAACAAATATATAATTAAGAATACTTGCAATTAAAAAAATAAATAAAAAATACCGAAGAATAACACTCACTATACTCATGCACAAGTTAACTGTAAAAGACATAATTATAGAACTATCAAGAAAAAAATAATAATTAAAGAATAATTAAAGATGAACAACAAGTGAATAAACAGACAGAGTGAAATGAAAAATTAGAAAACAGAATAAGCACAATACCACGTTAGTCGTTGACATAAAATAATCATTTTGTATCTGTGCGCATATCATTAATGACAGTTGGCATTTGACAATAATTGCATAGAGAAATCAGAAAAGTGACTGACAATTGACATTGTACTATAGGTTTTTAATAATAGGAAAAAAAGGTTTTAAAGTTTAAACTATGAAATCTAACGAAAATTATAATATTAAAGTGGAAAACTACCCTGCATACATTTAAATGATTATTTGACACTATACAATATAAGCCGACCATATCAAAAAGTATAAACAGAAATAAATTTGTTAGTTTTTGTCGGTTTTACTATGTTGTATCATTAAGTTTTTGAGTTCAGATAAAGAAGTAACCTTTACTCGGGACTTATCAGGGAGAAGAATGACTATAATACCGTCTGAAGACCAACATTTCTTCATCCCAAAGTGACTACGAGCAGCAACAAATATATCTTGCCGGGTCTTCGTTAAAAATTCCGTCATAGTTGTTTTAGTGCCTTTCAGCATAGTTTTAGCCTTCCATGCAATGGAGCGTGTTTGCATGTTCGTGAACCGCACTAGAATGGGCCTGGCAGATTCCCTCTTCACACCTAACCTGTGACAGGATTCAATTGTGTCAGGCTTTAAGTCTGACAGCTTCATTTGGCTGGTTAATACTTTCATGATCTTCTTCGAAGCATCTTCATCCTTATCTTCCTTGATACCATGAAAGAGAAGAATCTTTCTTCTTGATTGAGTCTCCAAACGATCCAGACTATTTACAACAAGCTCGACTTGAGACTTGAGTAAACCAAGCGACTTCCATATAAAAGTCTAGAAAGTATAAAATTCTGCAGCCAAGGCTTTTACAGTTGGATTAGGAGCAATGGAACCAGGTTGTTGGAGGTTTTTCTCAAACTCAACCATTCTCATATTAAACATAGAAGATAGTTCATCCATGCTCTTCACAAGCTGTTCAACTGGAGAGTCCATAATTCAGTGAGGAAAGTTTGTGTGAAAGTGAGTTTACAGTCAACTTAAGCACTGGTAATGTAAACTTTAATACATATGTACTATAAATATTTTAAAATATTAAATACTGTGGAGCTACTAAAATCGCGTCTGTACTCTTTTGTGTCTACCCGCCGAAAAAAAAGTTATTATTATTATTTTATTATTATTAGTTATAAGTTATTTAAACATTATTTTTTTTGTGTGAATCGTTTTTACGAAGAAATAGATACTTAAATTATACTAAGTGTTTTATTTCGTGCATAAGAGCCTACAGGACTTGTTCACTATCTTATCCATGCCTAATTTTAAAAAAGCATGACCACATTTATTTAAAATGTAAATAATAGTCTATTCACATGCCACAGACTTTACTGCTACTTAAAAAAAAATCACAATAATAGGAATTGGCAAGGCGAAATCATGGTGGTAAATATGGAGATTTTTTATTTTCGTGTAGATGCTTCAGGTTTGAAGAACCGGTTGGTTATTTTATTTCTTTTTCAGGAAATGGACAGTAAAATGGAGATTTTAGAATTTATAACTGGGCAGCTGAGCATGGGTTCCTTGCCACTGGACCACGAGTTGATAAATAACATCCAAGAGTTCGTGGCGAGTAACGAAGGCGAGCGCTCCGACCGCGCGTGGCTGGCGGTGCTGGCGCGCGTGCGCTGCGCCGCCCCCGCGCGCGCCGCCCCCGCGCGCGCCGCCGTGCCGCGCCCGCGTGTGCTGTGGCGCCTCGACGCCATGCTCGACCAGTACGAGGACGCCATCAGGCAATTCTTCAACATTCCTAATCCGTCCACTCGGGATATCGATGAATTTTTCGAATATTTAGGATCGAAAGTTGAAACCGATACCGACGCCCGGGATCGTATCCGACCGTTTTTTCCGGCATTAGTCGACTTGCAGCCGAGATCGGCGGCAGCTATGTTCAGTGAGAGCTGGTGCGATTCAGTGGCTTCGATTTTAAAGTTAGTAAGGGTAAACAAGAGATTAGACTTTTGTGAGAGTCTTTTGGAATCGGGGCGCCTTCGAGACGAGGCCGCGACGATTTACCTAAAAGATTTAAGCGTGTCGCGTCCCAAAGATGTCAAAAGTATTTTAGTAAAAAACCAAGGGATCATCAGACCGGAGGATGCGCTTCGCATCGTTCGAGAAGTGGGTGTCAAGGACGCGGAGCCGGCGTGCCTGGAGGCGACGGGCGACCAGGCCGGCGCTCTAGAGGCTCTCTTAGGGCTCATAGCGTCGACCGACGACGAGGAAGACAGGACGGAACTGATAAACGAGGCGAGCAGCCTCTGCCTGCGCGTGGGCCCCACGGTGCCGGCAGAGGTCGCCGCAGAGCTGTGGACGAGGCTACTGCGCAGCGTGGCGGCCGTGCCGCCGGCGCTGCTGTTCGAGGCGATACAGTACCTGCCGCTGGAGGAGCTAGTGGTGCGCTCGTGCCGGTCCGTGGCGGTGGCGGGCGCGGTGGTGCGTGGCGGCGCGGCGCGGCGCGCGGCCTGGCGCGGCGCGGCGGCCGTGGCGCGGCGCGAGGCGCACGAGGCGCTGGCGCGCGCGCTGGTGGCAGCGCGGCGCGCGCTGGCTGTGCGCGGCGCGTGCGGCGGCTGCGGACGCGCGCTGGCCGCGCCGGGCGTGGCGGGCGTGCGCACCGCGCACTGCGCGCGCGCCTTCCACACGGACTGCGCGGTGGAGGCGACGTGCGCGTGCGGGCGGCGCGCGCCAGCGGACGCGCTGGCGCTGGCGCCCGCGCCGCCGCGGCGCGACCCGCCGCCGGCCCCGCACGACCTGCTCCTCCTGGCGCCGCCCAGACCCGACCTGGAAGGTGTCGTGTAGCCCGGGTGCTATTTTATTTAAATATACATAGTATTTATAATTAAGTATGAATAAACATGATATTTAATGTATATCTATTTATGTATAAATCCTTAATTTTTATTCATCGTCGTAAAGTTATCGTTGAGAAAAAAATCGCGTTTTCGCGAAATATAAAACCTGTGTTTACAAGCAATACTATGGAGACTGTCAGTACTCTCGAAAACAAAAAATAGGTAATTTTAACTCATAAAATCCTTTAACGAATGACGACGTGCACGCAATTAATAGAGGTTATAAAAAAAGGACACAGTAAAATGATAATTATTTTTAGCAAACCATAATAGACTTAGATAGACCTTAAAATCACAGCAATATGAATGTAACTGGACATTTATTTTGAACTGAAATACCTAGTATTGTAAAGTCACAATCATATTCAATTCTTACATATACTACATACATATGTACCGATAATCGCACACGAAATCCATGCATTATAAAAACAAATTCACAAAAATGATAATAATCTTTTACTGTTTGCACCCTCGGAAATTTGTTTCAGGAGTACAAAACAGGTTTTACCTTACGCACGTCTGTCAAATACCTCAATAAAGAAAACGGAGCAATCATAATAGGGAATTTGCGTGTGATTTAAAGAAAGGTGAAATATTTTATTTTATAATAAAGATTTATTGCTTTTGGATTAAGAAAATAATAATTATTAAAAAGTGCAAATATAGGTGGGAAATTCAAAGTAGTTGAAACGCACGCCATTGGTCGGACCGAATATGACGTCAAAGTATCATCATAATAGAGCTCTTAGCGATTTTGTCGCTACAAATTAAATTCGCCATTTTCCAGTGTATGATACTTTGACGTCACGCCAAGCGCGCGAAATGGCGTGCGTTTCAAGCATCCGTATCGGTATATTTTTTTTTATACTAAATTTTAGTTTTTTGGTGTAGGAAATTTTTTTACAGTCATATAATGATGTTAGCTATTGTATCAAAAAAAATCACGCATATTCCCTATTCTGTATTCAGATTTCAGAGAAATGAATTCTTACAGCAAAGAATAACTTGAGTGTCATTTGTAATTGGACCCAGTTATGCAAGACAGCCGTAAAAAGTACCAACAGAGTTGTTTTTTCTGTCGATAGTTCACTTCGGTTATGTTTTGTTTTTCTGTTTTTTTTAAAATTGAACAATATTTATATATTGTTTATTTTTTATAATTATTTTATTTTTTATAATAAAATGCTTATAACTCTGTTGGTATTTTTACGCACATGGCTGTTTTTTGCATAACTGGGTCCAATTGTGTTCGATTCCTAATTTTATCGCCTTTATATCGTCATAACGTTCATAAACCCTTTTATTGCAATTGTACCTTTCAATACATTTTATGAGCTTGCCTTTAGAATTCGAAGAGATGAATAAAAATTCAATATCTGTCAACGCACCTGTGTAATACAAAATATAACTTTAGATACAAAATTTAATTTTAATAGTAAAATGTTTCTATTGCACTTAAATTCGAATGCCATGAAATTGCCTTTAGAATTTCTAAAATTGGGGAACCTGAAAAGGAAAAATAAAATATTATGAAATAAAACTCGCAATTGACATTAACTATTTATTCTTACCAAAGTTACATTAAACACAAAATCGTTGCTACAGATTGTAGTTTTTATAATAATAATAAAAAGGAATAGTAATGACGAAACTGTTCCATTTAGTTATGTGCGTGCTACAGATATTAAACGATTTTAACATTTCAATAACTTTCTTGAATATAATTCAAAAAATTGTATTGTAGATATAGAATATTAATTTGCAATTTCTATATATGTACATTGCTTGTAGCCGTTTTACAATACACGGTTTATTTATCAAGAATTAATAAGGAAAACAATGTATAATATATTTTTATTTATTTTTTTGAAAAAATAGATAGGTATGTCCCGATGCCATCAAAAATAAAAACCACAATCAAAATCAAAACTCGCTATTACGAAATACTCTAGTTCCAATAAAATAGAATTTAAAACTGTAGTTGACATATCTTCATTAAATAAACATTATTAAATACAGCCCTACAATTAAATTTTTGTAAAACTTAAAAGATTTAGACACAAAATAAAGATATAGGTTATATCTATTTTATATATAATTATTCTATAATTTATATCTGTCATATTTTAAAATTAACTAACCACACAAGATTAACTGTAGGAAGATGAAATCGTTATTATTATGTACTCTTTATATAATACGTAATATGGTGTGCATGTTGAGTAGGTGCTTACAATGTGTCCCTCATCTCTCTAAATTCTACAGTAAAATTAACCTATTATTTTTTAAAGGTGTTTCAATTTGGTTTAATTAACATGTTAAGTCGATTATAAATCTCTTTAAATAAAACTATCTTTTCGGATTTTTCGCGAATTTATTTTGATTTTGGAGAGACCGAGAGTCTCTCCAGTGACCATGATTGCTGTAAAGCATTCGGAACGTCGGGAACCAAAAATCAAAATAAATTCGCGAAAAAATCCGAAAAGATAGTTTTATTTAAAATGTCAAGTATTCGCGTAAATCTAAGAAAGTATTATATAAATCTCTTATCAACATAAAATTGGTTTCCACGATACAAAGTGAAACACATCGGCCAAAAATAGCCATATCCTTTTTATTTTAGTATCTCAATTAAACTGAACTCTTCATACATTTAGATATATACTAACTTAAAACTATATACTGTATGTACTCTAACAAATATATAATAGTAAATCAGAAAAGAACAACATGTGTGTATACAAAAAATCTTAATGAAATCCCGAATCTTTGGAAAATTCATTAGATATAATTTAAGTCTCCGTCTAAGATAAAATTGAACATCTCAATTTTTTTATGTTAATTACAATGACTTCCGTACAGTATTTCGTATAATTGTTACTAAAATCAAAAAAATATAAAACAAAAGCATCATTTAATTTTACGCAAATTCTCGCAAACTATAGAACCGCAGTCTTCATAATTAATAAAATATATTTTTTATAATGACCTCAATGTACAATAGCTACGTTTTAAATATATAGTCACATCTTTAGCCTCGTGTCAATAGAACTTGCAATAAATGTAAACATTGAGGCAAACTAATACCTACATATGTATCAATATATAATAATTAGAAAGAAGAAATAATTAATGACAAATTCTTTAAAGTTAACTTGCCAAAATCTTAAATTTTAAAAAAGGGATTTGCAGCTTTTTTTATTTTGATTTATCTTTATAAGTATGATAACTTTATATACTTAAATGCAATTATGTATCTAGTAATAATTTTATCGAAATTGTTATTTAGTGTTTCATTAATAAAAACTAGTTAAAAATATCGTTGTGCAGAACGCAGGTAGCCTCTTAATAATTTATTTAAAATGTAAGCTGTTTACATTTATTACAATTTATTGTAACACAAGCCTACATATATACGTCGCCATATATTTTCATATACATCATTTATAAAATATTATTGAAAGAGAACATTTAGAGAGATATAAGATCTTCATATATCAATATAATACACATAAATCTTGATGTATACTGCTTATGATATATATGAACAGTATACAACTAAGTTGTAAAAATATTACACACTATAAGCACAGTCACTTCTTCAAATACACTACTCAGCATTATCATATCGTACACTGAAACAAAAAATAATAGAAAACATTTTAGTTACTGCAAATATGTCAAAAAAGAAATAAAAGGAATTCATTTGAAAATGAACCGTTTTTTAAAAAATTTACTTTCTTAAGTCTTGTAGCTTAAAGGCACGTATAGCCGATCGGTGCATATCAGTTTGTCCTAGTGGCTATTTTCTGAAATAATATGAGGCAAACTAGAGACCAATTGGTCTGTACGTACTTTTTCACAGATATTATAAGATTTTGACCATCAAATTTTGAAACAATGAAATTGAAAATTATTAAATTAAATGATGGGCTTTACTCTATCTGTAACAAATTAGATCGACTTCGACTCGACGATAAGTGATCAATTCACCTATAGCTTTGAAATTTATCATAGGCTATACAATTCCACAGCATGATATGGAGTTAAAGAATATTTCCGTTAAAAAATTGTGAACATGTGATGCTCTAGTATAATTTGTATGAAAAAAGGGTTTGGTTTTTAAAAATCAACTTTTTAAGACTTTTTAAGATTATTCATTAGGAAAACTGGCCAACTATAAATTAAAGTTATAAAATAATACATGAAAAGATTTACCTATCTACTTCCAAATGAGACAATTGTAAAAAACACAGATTCTTACAAAATTACTTTAAAATCAAGGAGAAAATTCCGTATTCAAAATAAGAGTTCTTAAATTGAGCCATAAAGCAAGTCGCTTATTTTCCTTATTTTTTTTCATTGAGGCATTTTCTGTTGTTCTTTATTGAAGACATGATAGTGATTTCATTTTGTAGTTTCAGCTCATATTGGGCACTGTTAAGGTGGTTGGCACAAGCGTCTAAATCTTAATCTTAGTTCGAAATTATAGAATTCCTTTACTTGACAAAAAGTCATGGTGTGCACTAATGTATCTTAAAACGGTGTGGGTTTTCAAGAAATTTATATAATTTCTTCAATATTTACACTGAAGAGCCACAAATGATTAGATATTAAGAAATCACATCCATCACCAAAATCTATACACATATATAAAACTAGCATTGCCCGCGGCTCCGCCCGGCGTTCAGATGACCAAAGACCAAATTCTTAGGTTTTACATATTAGTATACTCTTACATTGCAGTTTTTGTATTTTTTCTCAGAAATGAAACATTTTCCCGCGGTAAAAAGATCCTATATGTTGACCCAGATAACCAACTACCAGCATACCAAATTTCATCAAAATCCCTCCAGTGGTTTTTCCGTGATGCGGTAACAGACAGACAAAAATTCTAAAAACTATAGATTCGGCCTCTGTATCGATAATAATGTCTATTTCAATAAGATTTTCCAAAAAATATTTAATGTACAGATTCGACTCAGAATTTTATTATATGTATAGATTGAAGTGTCTGTTTGTAATGACAAAATAACAGCTTTTTACTAAATTCATAGAGAACTTTATATGGTATTTAAAATAATTTAGAAGATTTATTTAAGAAAAACACAATTTTTTAAAATTTTGTACGTCTGTCTGTTGGTTCCGGCTAATCTCTGAAACAGCTGGGCCGATTTTGACGGGACTTTTACTGACAGGTAGTTTATGTTATAAGTAACTTAGGCTACTTTTTATTCCAGTAATATATATTTATTTATTCCAGTATGTATGTATTATGTATTCATATTTATTTATTATATTTCAGTTAAGCTTATCCATCAAATTTTGGAAAAAAACAAACGTTAAATAGTGCAACAGCTAAATTTGTAGTCAGCTCTTATTAACGTCCCACTGCTAGACACGAGCCTCCCTTTCAAGGTGAGGGGATCAGGGCGTAGTCTAACACGCTGGGCGACTGATCGGGCAAGTTGGGGGATTTTACATGTCTTTCGAAAACTTGCTAGGTTCTCTCAGATATACAGGTTATCTCACGATGTTTTTCTTCATCGTAAGACAAATGGTAATTATGTTAAAAATGATTTGCACATGAGAACATCAGAGGTGCGAGAAGCCCGTTTCCCAAGCGAGCTCACCGCTTTACTGCCACCGTCTCAAATGCGTAATAATGTGATTCATATTCATATTTATTAACAACACCACAAATGTTGGTTATTGATGCATCTAAAATATGTATCCTATTTATCTAACTTTAACGAAAAACCGAGTTTTTAAATTTGCTGTATTTATTTATATGTATTTTTAGAAAAAAAACTAGATTGAAGGTAACCATGGATTTTTCCATTACATAATAAATTCTTGCTAATTCTACGTTATCCAGCAGTGTAATTGTGGTATCTTCAACAAGTAGTTAATAAGACACCCGTGGAACTCCAGGGGGTACCGTTTGGTGATTCCAATCAATAAATGATTAAATTTTAGCAGCAGCTGTAGAATGAAGGTTAGTTGGACAATGAAGTTTCAACGAGACAAGCGAGCCATCGGACAGAAGCTGTCGAACAAACGAACTAGTAAAAAGGATGATAAAAACGTATTCTATCTGCTTGTTCTTACAGTATGTTTGTGTCTTATGTAGTTACTGGAAATGGGAAAAGAACATATATTTATAAGTTTATTTCAGGAAGCACTGACAAATGTTTGAAATAGTTGTAGAAGTGAATAACAGGTATAAAAATAATACTAATTTCACAATGTATAGTTGTATTAATTCGTTATTAATAGTGAGTGTATTTTTTTTCTTATTACAATCTTATTATACCTATGAATACTAAACTAAGTTTAAACAAAGCTTTTGGTTATTACACTTTTATCTGGTAAAGCAGTACACCAAAACATTGCATAATGTAATATATATAAGAGCAATATATAAGAGCCCTTTGCCCTTGCCACATTTAATAATGCTGATATTTTTTGTCTAATTAGTCAAAAAAATTAAATGAAACTGGAAAAAAATTGTTTTTACAAAATACTAAAACACGTTATTGATCTTCATCACATATCGGGCAGAAAAATAAAAGACAATCTTTCAACAAAAAATATGATCCTATGCATAACATTTTTTTTTACTCTATTTTTTTTTAATAAAGTTGCGAAACTTATATCTAAAAGAATAGAACTGCAGGCTATTTAAGAACATTCGCACACCCTAATCGACTCTGTAGTCTTAACTCCAAATATCATTTCGGCCTCAACAAACTGTCAGTTCGTGTTCACAATTCAACTGTTAACAATATAATCGCCACAAGTGGACTAAAAAAAAAGTGATGTTATGATTGAAACTGGTTTCCTGGTGAATTAGAAATAGTATTTAGATTAAATTGAATCCTCTATATGTGCCTCTACTATCATCTTACTTGATTAAGTAGTGACATTTCCACCAGGACGTGGACAACGGAACACAAAAAACAAACATTGGACAAGCTATGTCACTGGCAGGCAGCTAAGCAATACGTCGACATTTAGTCGGATTATGTCAATTGAGTCGGAACTAGCGCTGACGATGTTATTATCCATCATCAATTATTCAAGTGCTTATGACTCAACTGACCAACTTATATTTATGCATTTTTCTGCCAAGAAATTCAACACCATGCCTTGGAGAGAACGGAAAGCTGTAGATCCTTAGCTGTAGCTGCAGTAGATTGTCGTCGCATTAAAGTATGAATTAAAAGGAGTACCGACTATTGTGGTTATATGAGACTATAGTAATTGACCGACGTAGGTGATATTTGTCAGAAGTATTTAATTTTTTGCAAGAGCTAAACGATATAAGGATCGTATTGCAATGCTTTACTTTTAAGTAAGTTGTTGTTGAATCATTAAGGTGTGCAATGGCCTTAAAGCAGTTAACACAGAAGCACTTATTTTATACATATTATGTTTCTTACATTATATTATAGGACTTTTTTTATTTGTTATAACTTTTAGAAGTATGTTTGAATTAAAAGGGATTTAAAGTGAGATAGTCAAATGAATGAGTTACCGTTGGCGCTGGCCTCTTCGCTTACTGAGTCGGCGACCTGAAGAAGGATCTTGTAAGGTGAAACGATTTGTCGTCTCTGGAGCCACTCTGAGATTTCTGGATTCTGTAGAACGGGCAGCTTCAACCTGTCCAAATATACAATACTAATTGTTGTAGAAGTAATAATCTAAATTGAAAACATAGCTAACATTCATTTCGACCTGGCGACTAGCCTTTACGCTACACGTACCTATACGCGGCTGATAATTAATTGTTCATTATGAAAACTGATTTTACTTTTCTCTTAGAGACCTAACGTGGCGTCTGGCGAAGTACGTCGACAATCGTTTTGAAGTACGTATTCTGAATGTTAAATCGTTTTTTTTAAAATACAATATGGCAAAGGTTGCCATATTTTCTGCCGCCATGTTTTTTTTGTAATTTTGAGCGCACAATCAAATATTTACAAAACGAAAACAGTAATCTAGCTTACCTCTACCTTCATGTAAGGTAAGCTTACGCGTGTTTAAGTCTACGCGACACGCTAGACGCTGAACGTGATGTTTAGCATCAACAGACAATGTAATAAACCTTACTTACATCGCAAATGCAACCTTCTTAACTTAATGGTATGTACAGTCATTAATGACACAGAAATCAAGATATTTATATAAAAAGTAGCCTAAGCCTTATAACAGTTAGGTAGAATATAATAAATTTTGTCCACCAATGGTTGAGGTGTCATTAATTATAAATGAAAATTCACATTCGCAAATAAAAAATTTTGAAATTAAATTTATGCATCATATAGATATTTAAGCATAACAAAGATATGAAGCTATACATAATGAAAACAATAATCTCCTCCTGGATAAGAAAGTTTTATTTAAAAGAAAAAAATACTAAATTTATTAACTCTGTAGTAGATATTACCTTATCCATAAATTTTTTAATTAATTCTGGACAATTCAAATTGCTTTCAGGCTCCCAGGAATCAAATCTGTTAGACCATCCCTTCCAATGAATGAGGAATTCTCTTGCACCACTCTTTTTATGATGTACTTCCAGAATGCGTTCTACCTAATGAATAGAAACAAGCAAGCAATTTATTTAATGTTTTATGAGCATGTATTTCAAATTAAGACTAGTAAATAGATGAAAAAAGCTCAATATTAAGAAAATAATCAACAAGTACCTCATATTCCGCATTTTCATCAGCATTTTTCCCATCCCAACTAGATTTAGATTTCTTTGCTGGTGACTTAGTATCTTTTTTGCTAGCTTTCCTCTTCTTACTTCCTTTAGGAGAATTTTTAGAATTCTCTTTCTGAAACAGAACAATAATTTATCATCATAACTCTTAATGGTTGCAGTAATTAATACTGTATTATAGGTTTATAAATGCATATAAATGATCAATCATATTATTGATGAAATTATTAAGCATGCTCACTTTCTAAGTATATAATAATTTTATGGTATTTATTAACTTACTTCCTCATTAAATTTTTGGATTAAGTCTGGGCATGACAAAGTATTGTGTGGTTCCCATGTGTCACTATCAGCAGAGTATCCTTTCCAGCGAATTAAATAATGTATTTTACCTTTGATTCTCTTTGAATCTATTATTTTATCAACCTGAACAGGAAATTAATAAAAAATATGTTTAATATAGTATAATTTTTAGCTTAAGTTATCCTATAAATTTACAATATATTGATAAAAATATTTATTACAATATCAAATATTTACCTGTAATCAGGATGATACCTCATTTTTTTATATAGATTACTATAATAAAAATAAATAAATAAATAAACAAAAAAAATTAGAATCATTATTTCTGCAATAGTGTAGTTGTGCTTATTCCATTTCTATAATTAGAACTAACGACTCACCCTCGCCTCGCTCGGGTTCGTCCCTAGCGTTACTTCCCCATGCAAAATTTTCATCCCCATTTTAACCCTTAAGGGATGATTTCCGGGATAAAAACTATCCTATGTCCTTCCCAGGGTCTCAAACTATCTTCTCACCAAATTTCATCTAAATCGGCTCAGTAATTTCGGAGCCTAATCGGTACAAACAAACAAACATATCTTTTCTCTTTATAATATGAGTATAGATAACATAGCCTGTACTTAATATTATATGAATACCTAGTTCCACAACATATCTTTAAAGTACATTCTAATGTAAACATCTCATATAAACCTCATATTCTTCTTCTTCCTCTTCGGCGTCTTTTTTGTTGTCGCTTTTATCAGATTTCTTTTTTTTCGCTTTATTTTTTGCCTTACCCTTTTTTGGAGTGTCCTTAGACACATCAGATTCGGGTAATAAGTCATCGCTATCATTTTTTTCACTTTGCCCTCCACTTTTATCCTGAGGCTCTTCCGGATCTTCATGCTCTTCGTTGCCTACTGATCCAGATCCGTTTGTAGATGAAACCACATCGTCGTCTACAAGATTTTTAGATATTTTGCGCATCCTGAATTTCGGAATGTAAACAATAATGAAAGAGTTACTCAACGGTGTTAAAAACAGGAATCCTGTAAAACGAGCAATGGAGGGAAAATGCCAAGCTAATAGCTACCAAACTATGCTCGATTATAGACGCACACGGCATAGAGTACCTATAGATGCCTGATGCATTATAAATCAATTATCATAGACAAGAAAATTCTTGACTTGATGCTATGACCAAATGAACAAAACAATTTTTCCGTGTATATCAAGATTTTTGCTAGGTTTCATTAATTATATATCATTCTGTAGTAATAATACTGGCCGCTTATTTATATAATATATGTATTAGAAACATAACTGACACATGTATTTTATATTAGTGTCTAACACATGTTACGTAGTATTTTTAAAGATGATTAAAGCCTAATTTATACACAGGCAATCTTTCAATTCTGGAACACATTCAAAATTTTAGTTCCAAAACACAAACTAGACTTGTTTATGCAAGATGAATTCTAGCCTGAAGGAATTGCCTATCGTCGTTTTATTGATTTTAAAAGAAAAAGGCCACAAGTGACCTGACACGGCAATATGTATAATAATAAAGAATTATAATATTAACATCTAATTACTATGGATTATATATTGATCTGAAATAAATACTTATTATTATTATTAATAGTCGAAATATATTTTTCATGGGTCAAAAGTACCCAAATTTGAGATTTTTCGAACCTTTAAAAATTCATATTTCTAAAAATATTAACCTTATCGCGAAAAATCATAGAACATTCTTTATTTGTATTTCAATAAAGAATATAAAAAAATTGTCCGGTTAAAAAATAACAATTCCTTGCAATTGTTTAAACAATATGGCACGGGGTTGCCCCATGGCACCATGCGTTTATACGAGTATCATCAGTATAGCAATTTGAAGAGGATCGCATAAAAAATTGTGGTGGAAGTTTTCGGTACTCAGGCGCCGATTCATAATGGACTATAATGTTAATCGCCACCAGACGCCCGGCAAATGTGATAGATATTAGAATCAAATTTAATAAAAACCTATAACAAATTATGGAGTAAAATAAAGAAAAAATAGTTTTGTTAATAAAATCAATTTATTTTTCTTACTATTTAAATTATAATAATTATTATAGAATATATATAATATTCATATATAGAGAGAGCATAATATGCTATCCACATTTCAACTCTCCGCTATTTTTCGGATTTGGAAATTTGGATCTTTACTCGTGCTGGCTGTATGCTATGATGCTGTTTTGTTATGAAACTTCTATGGGGCCCGTAGTATGGACGCGCCCTGACAGTAAAACCGACTCGTCGTGTAACGGCAAATGGTGCGTATACAAGCATTTTTGTATAGTTTGTGGGTGCGTGAGTCATGAGTCGTGAAGCTGTCATACCATCATGCTCCTTCTCCGTGACCGCTCTCGACTTCCTTGTGTGTGCGTACAGCAGTCTTCTATACTAATATCATAAAGAGGTAAAGTTTATGATCTTGTGAGTTTGTGACGTTGTAGGGGTGATCTCTGGATCTACTAAACCGATTTTCAAAATTATTTTACCAATAAAAAGCCACGTTCTTTCTGAGTGTCATAGGCTATATATTAGCCCGAAAAATGAAAAGACTTTCATGGTAGTCGGATTTGCAAAGTAAGTCGAAGAAAAAACGATCGAACGAAAACGTTTCTTACGAACACTGCCTTAACGATGAGAGATATATGAATATGTTCTAGAGAAAAGTTGTAGCGCTTAATAATGCCTACAAAAAAGTCAGCGACAGCATATGTCTAACTTATATATTTAAGTCACAAAAAGTAGTTTTTTATATTAAAAAAATAATTTAAATCGGTAGGTCATGTTTATTGGTCATACCTATTATAAACAATTATGAATTCTTATCAAAATAAGTAAATTTATCGTCTAAAATGTTTAAAACAAAAGACTTTTCCCTTTTACTGCATATAATTTGGACAAATGCTTAAAGATTCATATTCGTAGGTATGGACGAACCCGAGCAAACTGTTTTCCTGTTTGTACGGGCTAATCTCTGAATCTATTGGACCGATTTAAATAAAATTCTGCATGGTTGTACCTTATATCCCCGGGCAACATCTTAGATACTTTTCATCCCGATAAATTAAAGAGTTTCCGTGGGATAGTTAAAAAACTACAGTAACTTATACAGCTTAGTACACAACAACTTATCCTCCTAATTTAGTAAAATTTGGCATGCTGATACTTTATATTGCCGGTCAAACAACAGGTTACTTTTCATCCCGAAAAAATGAACGGTTCCCGTGGGATAGATGTTTGTGCTTTTCTAGAGGTGAACCCGAGCGAAGCGAGGGTGAGCCGCTAGTCTTATAATATGTATATGTATATTCAGCCTCCATATAATAAGGCGTAATGATATACGAGGCTAAATTTAAAAGAATAATTAATTTATATATTTATTAACCACTTGAACCCCGCTGGTGCCATTGGCACCAATTCCGGCGTTACTGTCAAACCCCGCTGCTGCCTTAAAGGCACCACCTCGCCCGCTGCACTTTTATCACTTATTACAAGACGAAATCAATTTATTTTATCCTGAATGATACCCGCAAACTAGAAGTTTTATGAAGTATATAAAAAAAAATATTTTTTTTCGCTGTGGCCTGTGACGGATAGTCATAAGCTGTGGTCACTGGTCACCGTCACAGGTCACAACCATAGAGTATGTAATCCTTTTTTGTAATCTCCATAATCTGTGATAAATGTTAATACATTAACATTCGTCATCTGTGTAATTTATTTCATATTTGTCTAAATGAAATAAAGATAGATTAAGCGCTGTCTGTTGTTAGAATTAAATATAAAATCATGACAAGTAGAGGTAACTATAAAAATACTCGAATGAACTATAAATTTCAAAATGACTCGCCAGATGCAAAAGGTACCAAACCCATCAGAGAAGCATCCTCAATATTAGAAGTTCTTATACTTATGATAGTGCACATTTGTAAGAAAGTGTTGTTCTTTGACACCGGTTTAAAAATAGCTGTTTATTTAGGAGCTCTCTTTTTACTTTCTCTAATCGCGGACGTTCTAACGTTTCCTAAAACTTATTTTTCTAGAAGTGACAATATATTTAACCAATATTTTGTTAAAATTGGATGGTTTTGGACATTGTTTTTAACAGTGCCTTATGTTTTTTTGACATCATATACAACATGTTGCGGGAAAAGGAAACTCATCTTAACTGCCCATTTATTGAGGCTTTTAATTGCTACTATATTTTGGTACACATGGACAACAGTATTTAATATGATAGAAATGAAATATGGCCGTTGTAATTCAAGGACTTATAGTGACAAGGTTGAATGCCTCAAAAATGGTCATTTTTGGAATGGATTTGACATATCTGGGCATTGTTTCATTTTGATTTATTCAAGTTTAGTTTTGATAGAAGAAGCTAGAGCTATAAATGGGTGGGAAAGAATCAGAGATTACATACGAGATGAGAAATATTCTAGAAGTTTAAATGACAAGTCACCTAGTGTAAATCCACTAAGAAAAATCAACACTGATGAATTGAATATACTTAAAACATCATATGAGAAATTTACACCATATGTAAGAGCGTTTCTAATAGCTATAACTTTTCTTCAACTGTTGTGGGATGTAATGCTAGTTTCTACAATATTATATTACCACATTATGGTTGAGAAATTTATCAGTGGGATTGTAGCTATACTCACTTGGTATGTTACTTATAGAGTATGGTATACAATACCAAGTTTATTGCCTAATTTACCAGGGCAAGGAATTTTTAAATATAATATTGAAAAACCCAACACTGCAGCAGTTCCCCAAAGAAAAAGATCAATTATTAATAATGGGAAACACTTTATGGGAATGCCTATAAATAAAGGTTCAGATGTAGGAGATGTGGTAGATGATATTAAATAAGATTTAATTGTTACAAATGTTGTTATTTATATTGTTTATAAAATTAATAACAATAAATCATATTTATTATTAAACCTATACTATATTTATTTAAGTATTTATAACAAATTTAAATATTGTCTGAAATCTTATTATATATTTTTTGGTTTATAGGGAAATTGTAAATAGTTTTAGTTTAAACCTTTAGATAGTAAGGATTTGTTTTCTTTATGGAATTTAGTTTTTTTTTAAGGTTTTGTTATAATAAAGGTTGATGCTGGTACATACAATTGTTTTTCTTTGCAAATGAGCATTCCCGAAAATAATTATTATATCTTTATTTATACTATTATAATAAAGAAGTAAACTCACAAAGAGTTTGTGTTGTTGTAGGGGATAATCTCTGGATCTACTGTACCGGTTTAGATTAAATTTGGTAAGAAGATAGTTTGACACCCTTGAGACCCTGGGAAGGACATAGGATACTTTTTATCCCGGAAATCATCCATTAAATGGGGGAAAATAGGGTAAGATATAATGCAGTTTGTAGCAAAGAAAATCGCTAATCGCTCTGTTATGATTACTAGTATAGTATTATATCTGTAGTTATGATATACTCTGACGTCATATTCGGTCTGACCGATGGCGTTCGTTTTAACCACTTTGAATTTCCCACCTATATTTGCACTTTTTAATAATTATTTTCTTAATCAAAAAGAAATTACATTAAAAATATTAATACAGGCTTAATTCAAAAGCAATATAGTTTATACAAAAAAAATGGTTCACCTTTATTTAGATCACACACATATTCCCTACTAGCGACTCGCCCTCACTTCGCTCGGGTTAGGTACGTATTAATTTTTTTACCCGAACCCTAATTCTTTTTCTAAGCCGTTTCTAAGTTATATATATATATATATATATATACTATAATAAAACTGTAGAAGTCGAATACATAGAAAAAATCTAAAGACTGAGTAAGAAGAGAAATAGAACAAATCCAGTTTTTTTTCAAATTCTTTGTTTCTCTGTTTGTCTATTTGTACAGGCTCATCTCCGAAACTGTATGACCGATTTAAATGAAATTTTGCATGGTGGTACCTTATATTCCCGGTCAACATTTTAGATACTTTTTATCCAGGAAAAATTTACTGTTCCCGTGGGATAGATCTGTTTGTGCTTTGCCGCTAGTAATTTCATATCTAAAACGCTGTTATTTTTACATTACAAACAGACAATTCAATTTCATTTATCTGTATAGATTATCAAGCACGCATTTTTAAATTCCAACTTTGTATCAATCAAGTGTGAGCGACAATCCAGCAATTTCAGGGAAAGTAGCAATACGCGGTACATATTAGTGCACAAATGTGTGCGCAGACACTCTGTTTCTTTAACTTTGATATTTCTGAGGAGTGATGGGCGAAAATTTGACGACTGGTGAGAGATAAGGTAAAAGACCGTCTGCTTAACGTATTTTCCAGGCCGACAGTTCACCTCTCAAATTATTAAATATTGCCAAATTCCCTATTTCGGGCAGCTATTGAGTATAGCTATTATATTAATTTATTTAGTGATAGGAATATATCTATTATGTATATAGATAGCCACTTATAATTTAATACAGAGAATTTTCAACTAAAAATGAACAAAAAATTTAAACTATACATATTAAGAAATTTAAAAATAATACATGTAAATTAGGGATGCAAATGCAGCGAAGCCGGTTTTTCAGTCGATGAAGAAGTTTCCCTTTTTTGTATTAATTATAACAATGTAAGCAAAATATAACAAAAATATGCAAGAATTATTAAAATATCACAGCAAATGAAAAAGTTATGAAACTTTAAAGTTGCGCTTGTAACAATAATTTCTTGACATCACACAACCTACACCTTCGATCAACAATAGTACTTACTACTTACTCGTAGATAACGTGTCACATACAAAATCAAAGCTAAATTCTGTAATATGCACGCCACGTACCTATACAGCTTCATTTGTATAGAATCTTTTTTTTTAACGTTGGTAAATGCATTTACGCACGAGGTGTGGGACTCACCGGCGTAATAAAGCCAGTACTACCCACTAAAACCCAACAAAACCTTCCCCCGTCTTAATGGGTCGTCGCAGGATCGCTTACGCATTCAACTACGACGCCCCGACGGCAGGTCTGCCGAGGCAGACCACCACAACCATGGGGTTGCTCCAAGGTCCACTCTGCTATCAGAGAAGTACCAGGAGCAACCCACATGGTACACCGCCCACCGAAGTGGGTCACCTCCCTGTGTGTTTCTTGGCTTTGCGCCCGGTTGGTATCGCCGGGCACTACTGAGCCCCCCCACCACGACAAGGTGAACGCACGTTGGGGGGGATTTGTATAGAATCTAACCTAACGAACCAATACAAAGTCTCATAATTTTCAAGCTAGCGAACACCATGGTACCTTGTAATAAAGTTACAAATCTTCAAATTATCATTATACACTTACGATCATTTCGTAAGTTTTATAATCTTTATTGTAAAATCAACCTTATATTAAAAAATCATAAAGCACTTTTTCCCGATGTTACTTTGTGAGCTAAATCGTTTTGTTTCTTTTTTTTTGCTTCTTTGAAGTGGCACGTATATTGGCCGACCTTTTTTTTTTTAACGTTGGGAAATGCATTTACGCACGACGTGTGGGACTCACCGGCGTAATACAGCCAGTACTACCCACTAAAACTCAACAAGACCTTCCCCCGTCTTAATGGGGCGTCGCAGGATCGCTTACGCATTCAACTACGACGCCCCGACGGCAGGTCTGGCAAAGCAGACCTCCACAACCATGAGGTTGCTCCAAGGTCCACTCTGCTATCAGAGAAGTACCAGGAGCAACCCGCAAGGTACACCGCCCCCCGAAGAGGGCCACCTCCCACCGAAGTGGGCAACCTCCCTGTGCGTTTCTTAGCTTCGCGCCCGGTTGGATTGCCGGGCACTACTGAGCCCACCACGACAAGGTGAACGCACGTTGGGGGGGAATATTGGCCGACCTGGACCAACGTTCTTAGCGGATTTTAAATTGTTCAAAATGTCATTTTTATATTATTTCGTAGGTTAAATCTTACAATATTGACTTAATCTACCTGTATTTACCGAAAATAAAATACTCCGTCTGAAATAGTTCTTCTTCGCGCATTATTTTTGCAACTTTTAAATACGTATTGCAGCATTGTGAACGTGTTTACGTTGGCAGTGTTTCAATAGAACTAATCGATATATACGCTCACTTTTCAAATGAGCTGATATTTACCGAGACGGATTTCTTACGCCGACCCGATATCTAGTAGTATTGTTGATCGAAGACCTGAACTTTTATGTATTAACATTTAAATAAAAAAAATTATCAACATTTCAGTAAAATATAACAAAAATACGAAATAATTATTAAAATTTCTCAACAAATGAAAAAATTATGAAACTTTGTAGTTGCGCTTGTAAGAATAATTTCGTGACGTCGCACGACCAACGTCCTAAATTTAAATTAATTTCTATCATTTATTAATGGATTTCAAATTTTTTTCACCGATTTATTAGTTTTGACCTATACTATAATTCCATTGCGTTAAATATGATATTGTCAACATGAGGAAACTTCTCCATTATATCTATAATCAGTGCCAGCTTTAGAGTGGGGGGTGGGAGCAGGGAGGGGGGAGAGGTTACCGGGACGGCTGCCCGAGGCGCCAGGTTATACAGGGCGCCGCGCGCGCCAGCTCAACTTAACCATTTAATTTGAATACTTATTTTTATCGATCTAAAAGAAAACTAGTATCAGTGTTTTATCGTATCTCTCACTAAATAATTCTACATACACGTTTTTTTTAATTGTAATGAAATAAGTATACCTAAAAGGGCGCCAAAGACATGACTCGCCCGGGGAGCCCAGATGGCTACGGCCGGTCCTGTCTATAATCTTCCATTCTTGAAATCTTTTAGAATTACGTAGTTCGATTCCGAAAGGTCGGAACTTCCGATTGCACGCTTTCAATTCCGACTTTGGTTCTAAAACATAGAGTCAGAGATTATATTGAATCTCAAAACGCAGTATTCGCGGCTAAATACGAACTGCGTTCGCATCTACTGCGAAAATCTCGACGTGTCGCGCGGGGAAACACCTCACGCTGGCTTCGCGATATTTTGTGTTGCCGGCCGGTTAAATCGTTTTTGTGTCAAGCGCGATTTAATTTCGATTTCTATCTAGCCTTCAAATCGATTCCAATATATAGAATTCTAAACTTCCGACTACGATGCTAATTAAACCACTCCCGTAACATCCATAACAGGATAACCATTTTATTCCTAACAAACATTTTTGTGTAAGTTATTTGGTACGATAATAAAAAAATACTAATTAAAAAGATTTACTATATATTCAATAGAGTCAAATGTATGTATAATATAATAAAAAGTATTACTTTTAGTAATTTGTATATCACATATCTTCTATACCTACGATACAATAAATTGTATTTAATTAATATTATAAATAATACTGGTTTAATAATACTGTAACATTTGATTATAACATTTTTATAATAACATATTTTTTATAGGTAATATATATCGGATTTTTTACATAACCTTCTATTTTGCTTTTTCTTATGGAAAATATATTTATTATCTACAGACTACAATAATATACAATACAAAGATATTTCTTTCTTAAATATTAGTAAAAATATAAAAATAAATATACAGTACAAGTATGAAAAAGTATAAAGGAAGGTTCGATTTATATATAATCCTTTACAACTAATCTACTGAACTCATTCACATATATGTACATATATTATTAAATATAGTTATTATATAATATAGTAAATATAGTGTTTTATAATTCTTTAGGGACATTGTTGTGGTACTTTTTGTTAGTTACAGGTAACATAAAGTGAGAGTATATGTTTTAAGAACCTGGGTATATTTTAAAAAATAAGTTTTTTGAAGACATATGCAATAACCAAAACTACACCAATAGATACAGCACCTGCGGCTCCAACATAAGCAGGAGGTTGTGTTGTTATAATCATTTTTAAATGTACTGGTAAGTTTGGTATTGTCTTTTTAAAAGATTCACGCTGTTTTACACGTGAAAAATAGTGATCTATGTAAGGACGCTTGCCTCCAGTCCAGAACCTGTCTTCTAAACCAAGCTCCCATAAACGTTGAAGGAGAACAGCTAAATTAATATCTGCTATACTAAATTTCTCACTGCAAAGCCAATTATCTGAAATATGTAGTGTGATCATTATTAGGAGTAATATTAATCCATAAAAAATAATTTTAATAATGATTGCTCTGATGCAATTAAATATGTGAGAAAGATTCTAATTTAATCTTATAATTTTTTTTCCATAATACTGACAAATGGGTAGCAAGACAACAATTTAGTCTACACAACAAAGTCATTAAGTTCAAGTATTATGTAACGCAATTTAGGGGGAGGGGGAGTCTTATAAAATGTTACAATGTCTTTTTTTTAATTTAGATAAAAAACTAGGGAATTTAAATCTCCTGAGTTGGCAACACTCTTCGTTTATGTTTTATGGGGAATCCCTCGACTGTATTGTATGTCTTATTTTTTTTCATAGTCAGAATTTCTCAGTGTTTACAACTTTACGCAGAAGCAGACTGCTGTAGTCGATGTTGTTAAAGTAAGTTCAAACTATAATGTCCTCAAAAGAGAGATATTTGCATCTTCAGCAAAAAAACATTACAGTGCTTTACATTTGTCAAAAATCTTCAAAAATTGTTTTACGGTAATACTTGGACGCCCCCTTACTTTCTCTAGAATGTATTTACAAGAGTCAATATATACTCAGAGGCACAATTAACCGCCCACCAGGCTAAAGCGACGTAACTTTGTTTACAATAACTAAACGCTTATGAAGTTGAATGACCATTTGTTAAGTGGGTAGTTTATGATAAATTAAGACAATTTATGCCCCGTTTTCAAAGATACCCTCAAGTGCGAGTCTCTTTTATAGAGTATAGTCGAAAATTGACTTTCCAACTTATTGTTTTCATAGTAAATAAAGTATTGCCGGTGAAGTTTTTAGACACATTTCTTGGTTCATAAGGTGCGTCAGGGTTTGATAGTTGCTCTTTACTCAATAAAATGCCATTGGATGCAGCCGGTGTAGCTAGAGCGGTGGCGCTGTCAGATGCTGGATATAGCCAGCGTCATATAGGCCGTATGACGCCGATATCCTCGAACCACGATACGTAATGCCATCCGACGATACACAGACCCTGGATCTTACACTAGAAGACCAGGACAAGGTCGTAGGAGGTGCACTTCTGAACGAGATGGCCGCTTCATCTTGTCCAACGTTCTAAGAAATCGCTTCACTACGGCTCTCGAAGCCCGTTATCGCCTATATGAAGTACGAAATGTAAGCGTAAGCATTCGGACTATAAGAAGAAGGCTTGCAGAGCGTAATTTGACTGGATTCCGGCCAGCTCGAGTTGCAGCGTTGACCACAGAGCACCGAAGAGCTTCGATTTGCTCAACAATAACGGAACTGGACCATGGAGCAATGGAAGATCGTCCTCCTCTCTGATGAGTCCAGAGTAGCTCTAAGAGGTCCCGATGGACGCCAGCACGTGTACCGACGCCCCGGTAAGAGGTTTGCACAATGTGCTGTTGTTAAAACAGTAGGCTATCAAGGTGGCTCAGTAATGGTATGGGGTGGTATTTCTTATGAGGCTCGTACAGAGTTGGTTGTGTTTGAAAGAGGCAGCGTAAACGCTCAGAGGTACGTGGAAGAGGTCTTAGAATCTCATGTCATCCCTTTTGCCTAATTTATTGGACAAGATTTTCTTTTAATGCATGATAACGCTTTGTTTGCTAGAGTGGTGTACCTTGATGCCGTGGGTATAGCACAACTACCCTGTCCAGCGCGAAGCCCGGACCTAAACCCTATCGAATATGTTTGGGACAATCTTAAAAGGCGGGTATGAAGTCGGTAATTTCTACCTTTTTTTCATTTAAAAAAAATTAAAGCAATATCCGATTTGTTTATTATTTTTTTATATCTGATATTATCCAATCTATAATATTGCCAAGAAAAAATTAATTTTTGAAGTTACATCGGAAAGTGTAAGTGGGCGGTTAATTGTGCCTCTGAGTATAGAATGATGCAATAATATTTAGTTCGTTTTTCAAAATTTGTGTAGCAAGGCATAGTATAAGTAAAACAAAAGATTATTGTCCGATTTCACCAACATCCCATAACCTACCACCTATGTATGGGATCCCTAGCTTAAAAATTTCCCTAAACTAGCCCTGAAATTAAATTTCGTTTTACCATTGTCAGAGCCCGTATTTCTAGTACCTATATTTAGGTGTCATTTTAACATTTAGGTGACCCCTAACTATCGGTGAAACAGAAACTATCCCCTAACAGCCCCCTAACCATGCTTAGGGGATCCCTTAAACTTAGGTGAATTGGCGAAATCGGCCATTAGTCATATAATATGTTCTTTGGTACCTTCATTTTGTTCTTTAAGTTGTATCTCAACTTTTTCTAGCACCTCATCTACAATATTCAATACTTTCAAGTATTCTTCTTCATTGGTAAGAATTTCATGTTTCCTGTCTTGGATCTCAGCTTTATATAACAATACTCTTTCTGCATTAGGATTTTGTTCAGCTAGCTTTCGTAAATTTTTTGAGCTACTCAAATCTCCACCTAAAATTACAATATTAGTTATGATTGAGAATAAAAAAGTAAATAACTATATATACTAACTAAATAAAACTTAATCTATACATTATTTAGTGAAATTGCGTTTTATAAGAATATAAAAAAAAACTATAAAAAAATCTTATAAAAAATTACTTTTTAAAACTTCTCTGATAGGTAAAATAAAGGGTAGTTTAGGGCTTCCACAAAGCTGCGGATGAAAGAATGATCCTACAGTTATTAAGCCAGCAGGTAAAGCCTCTATCAGGTCTCTAAACTTATTTACATTCAAAATTACTTTGCTATCTTCTGATACTTCCAGGAGTGGTGTAGTCTCTAAAATAAAATAAAAAATCAGTATAAACATTGCGAAGTCATGAAGGCGATTTCTTTTATCGATTTAATATATAAATGAAATACCTTGATCTAAGTAAAGCTCAAGATAGTCTAGGATTCTTGTAGAATCTGGTATAACTGTATCATTAACTTTAAGTACTGGAATTTCGCCCCGAGGATTAATTTCGAGAAACCACGGTGAATATTGTTCTCCTTTAGTAATATCTATTACAAGTGGCTCGAATTCTATATTCTTTTCATAGAGCGCCATCAATACCTGCAATTAATAGTTGAAACTTTCATTTAGCTAATAAATATCTCTATGTTTATTAGTCAAAATTGCAGATTTTTCTTACCTTTTGTGAATAAAAGCTATAATAATTACAGTATAAAAAAAATATTGTTTTATTTTTATAGCCATTACTTATTGCACTATTATTTATTTTAGGAATCTGAAGTTTATCCAAATATTTCTGTACATATTGCATTATTATAGCAGTTCGTTCGAAGTCAAAAGTAAATGTAATTTTATTTAAATGTTTTATACTTTTTTATTACAACTTATGACAAATTTTAACGCTAAATTAATAAGAAACACTACAAAACAGAATTCACAAACTTTTAATTTTTGTAACTTCTTTAGTTCAAAACAAGTGCTACCAACATCAAGATAATAAAATCAGGTGATAGTGATAAAAACATAAACGTCACTCACAAGTCACAGCAAATATTACAAAATTAATATAATAAGTATATTAATTTAAATAAACTTTTTGATTAAACTTTAATTTTTTAAATAGATTAATATAATAATGTAGTATTAGTGTTTTATAAACAAAAATAATAATTTTTCTTTGTGAACTGCTTCAAGGTAAAAACTTTTTAAGGAGCAACTTTATATATGTAGCAATATACTCTATGGGAGCAACACAAGTGTAGACTTAAAAGTTACCATGTAAGTAATAACAAATATTGCAATTTGCAAGGCATTTTTTGTTACATTAAATTAAAAATGCAAAAAAACTTCAAATTCTCAAGAAATCTAAATAAATCTACATGTAAACTGTTTGTGATGTGACACTTCCTATTGTTTCATGTTCGTAGTCTGCTGTGACGACAAATGATATAGTCTGTGTAAATATTTTTATTCTGTGTTAAGTGATTACAAATTAGAACTTCTCATGTTCATTAATAAATATTTTATACAAGAAATCAAAGCATTTATATAAATAAATTAGTCTATTTTGAAGCTTTTTTGCTAAAATACTTTGTTTCGATATACGGCATAACTAAAGCGATGTCATATCATTTTCGTCTGTGAATAGTTTATACATTGAAAATGGAGGTTTCTAACAACACCGACGCCGTGAATCTTGGCGTTGGTGAAGTTGAAGCAGAGATTGGAGAAGAGCTTAAACAGTTAGAGGAAGGTAAAGATTATGATACTCGTAGTGAAGTATCAAGCTCATCTTCTAGTGACTCGAGCACACCGAGCATAAGCTCGGTTAGTACTAATAAATCTAAAGAGAGACGTACGAATCGCAAACGTACTAAGTCTAATAGCCACTCTCCGGTACAAACCAAACGTCGTTGTATTACATCTTCCACTTCGAAAATAAAAACATATGACTACATGACGAAGTTGAACTATTTATTTAGGGATACTCGATTTTTTCTTATAAAATCAAATAATGCAGAAAACATAACTTTATCTAAAGCAAAAGGTGTATGGTCGACACTACCACAAAATGAAGCAAATTTAAATCAAGCCTACAGAGAATCACGAAATGTTTTATTAATATTTTCAGTTAAAGAAAGTGGCAAATTTGCTGGGTTTGCCAGACTAAGTAGTGAATCTCGTAGAGATGTCCCTCCTATATCTTGGGTGTTACCGCCTGGCCTTTCTGCAAAAGTTTTAGATGGAGTTTTTAAAGTAGATTGGATTTGTAGAAAAGAGCTATCATTCAGCAGTACACTTCATTTATATAATCCATGGAATGAAGGGAAACCAGTAAAAATTGGCAGAGATGGGCAAGAAATAGAACCTAAAGTTGCAGAAGAGTTATGTAGGCTCTTTCCAGAAGATGAGGGTATTGAAATGACCCCTATTTTAAGAAAGTCTAAAGAGGCTTCTAAAAAAGCTTATTTGAAAAGTGGAGGGAGTTACAGAACATATAGAGCACCTTTGTCTTCCAGAGGAACAAGTTACAGGAACAGAATGAGCTCAGTATCAAGAAGTAGAAGAAAGGCCTTTTTGTCTCCTAGAAACCGCTTAGGCTCTTCATCATTTAAAAGAAGATCTCCTTCGCCCTACATGAGAGATAGACTCCCATCTTGGTTTACTAGAACCAGAGAGAGTTATAATAATAGTGGGTCTGCAGCAGCTGAAGCTTATTTAGCAGAATATATGCGTTCCATGCACCACCAATTGCCACCTCTACCTTATGTACCCCCTCCAGGATTCAGTGGAGCTGTTGCTACTTATGATGGATTACCTCCTCCACCACCGCCTCCACCGCCAAGATACTATGATTTAGCTGATTATCCTCGTTCAGTGCTAGTATATGATAAAAGATCTTATGAACGTTCAGTAGATGAATTTTTATGGCGAACTTCAGAACGTTCACATGGTCGTAGTCGTGAACGTGAATCACATCGATCTTATAGAGATCGTCGATAAAACTTATTATACCACCGATGATGTATTAATTATTTTATAAGGCTAATAAAAAATTGTGTATGAACTTGGAACTTTATTGATCTTTATAAGTGTGTTGTGAAAAACTTTCTAGTTTGGAAACTTTCTTTAGATTCCATGTGGACATTCTTAAATCAGTATTGTTATTACTAAAAGACATTTAAAATAGTTGAAGTGTTTTAGGGTGAAAGTGATTCAGGGTAATAAGTGCTATAAAACCAAGAGACTGATTTAGATAAAAAGATTCCAAATATTTCAGTGATATATTTTACACTGGGTTTATTCAGTAACCAGTAAATCAACAACTGAGTTGATAATCTAAATTTTACACCTTAATATAACAGTTTGTGTACAATAAGATGATACGTTAAATATCTTTGCATCTATAAGAAGGAACTCTCTAAGTTTAGGGCTGTGTTTATCTGTGATATTTTTATTTCCATTAATTATAAAAAGTACATGATGACTAAAACTTCTATATATTTATAAAATTTGTTGAACTTCCAATTCCAACAATCGTTAATACCTGATCTTTTTGTTACAAGTATAATACTTGGTTGTAATATTTGCTTTAAATCTAATAGCTCTATTTAATACTGCTTTACTAATGATGTTTAGATTTTTTGTGGGTGATTAATATCTGATGATTGTGATGTGACTGAATTTTTTTTTTGTATTTAAACATACATTTTGGATATAATAGTTGCAATAAAAATGTTGAGATGATTTTGTCACATTACAAAATAGTAAATAATATGCTAATCGTATATATTAAAAAAACTCGAAAAATGCTTTTGCACAATTAAAACATACATACATGTACACATACATACATATTTAAAATGCAAAAATATTTATGTATAAAAAACATCGTATTATATTTATTAAAACTAAATAAAACAAATCATTGCATATGAAAAAGTAAGAAATTACAATATTATGTTACTTTTAAACGTATATAAGATATATATACCTAAGAGAAGGGTGACGCCAACTAATACTGGTAAGCCTGCGTTCATCAGTTATCCATTCCGTTTTTTAAATCATAAATCCATCCTACCACAGTGTGCCCACTATTTTTGCGTAAACATGCATGTAGCATGTGTTTGACTAGATTAGTAGAGAGAGTTTTATGTATCTCACATGAATGTAGCTGTTGCTTTCCAATGCATTGATAAATAAGTTAGCAAAATATAACGTCCATCTGCCTGATCGCGCGATGCAATTGGATTGCGTTTGTGTTACCTTGTACTTCGATATTTAATAATCATCGATGTTGCCTCTTACAAGCCTATAAATCATGTCGATGTCGTAAAGCTTGTCTGCGTCGTGGCGGATTGAACAGGTGATTTTTGAAATAATTCAAGGAACTGCAAAATATCTTCGTGAGACTAATCTATTATGTAGTAAAGCAACAAATTATACAGTATACACACTACCTGCACGGGTCGGCTACACCCTAGTAAACGAATGAAGTGAGAGCGCGATTCGCGAATGTAAAACACTGTAGTCGCGTCGCTCGCGAGAGAATTTTATTATATGTATGAATTATGGTTAGTCTTGAGTTTCATTACTAGCTAAAGAAATTAAAAATGATGCCACCTATCCATGCAAGTGGTTGCAACTTGCATTGTCCTTAACAAATATTTTGATTTGAAAGTAATTCATCAAATTATTTGTTAGTTGTTACTATTACTACATAAAGTCAAACAGTGTTTATTTTTTGGTAATTTAAACGCGGGTAAAGCCGCTGGTAATATTCTAGTTTTAAATAAAGCTATCTTTCGGTTTTTTTCCGTTTTTAATTTTTTGGTTTTGAGATGTCTGTTTGTATTGTCATTTGTCTACAACCTTAGTTTCTGTTCCGACCATGATTGCTGCTAAAGCATTTGAATCGTCGTGAACCAAAAATTAAAAAAAATTATACAAATATCTTTGAAAAGATAGTTTTATTTGAAATAAGCTGTAACAAGTATAACAAAAAATAAGTACCAAGAGATCAAAAGCTTTAATTTTTTCATTAAATATCATAATGATCTCTAGTCTCAAAAGTTAATAGATAGGTTTTCGAGTAAATGCTTTAAAAGTTATTAATTTAAGTTTGGAAATAACTGTTTTCGCAAGGAGGGCGCCACACATATTTACATTCAGTCTGAAGTTAAGCAATTTATTGTGAGATCTCTTTTATACTGGTTTTTGCTTCTATTGTGTTCGCATCTTACCTGTGCAATGTATTGTACCTGGGAGTTAGACCAGCTGAAGGAAGAATTGAGAAGGAGGTGCATCCTGCGGTGGTCGTACCTGATGGATCATCACACAGCCTAAACCGCTGATTGCAGAAACGTTAAATTTGGAGGACGTATTCCTTATACGACATAGCCATCCTATAAGAAAGGATTTTTCGAAATTCATCCCATAAAGATGTAAAAGGGGGTAATAAAGTTTATATGAGCAAAGAATTATTTATGATCAGAATTACTTGAAACTTGGTATTAATGTTCTTCAATACAATTAAATAAATACATGTTTTAGTATTATTATTTTTTTTTAATTTAATCGTAGGTAGCAAAATGCGGGGGTAAAAGTTGGAAACTCTGTAATTGAGGAGGGTCAGAACAAAAACCGATAAATCACATTTTGCCATTTTTTTTATGATGCCAATTGGTTGTTATCATACATATCTTGCTCTATGGTTAACGTAACCTGGTCGAAAACTGATAAATCCGCTCTAAAGCCGTCATAAATCATTTCTGAACATAAACCGATAATTACATAAAAAACGATGGCGATCGGAACATTTATCCGATAAATTCAAAACGTTTTTTTATTGTTGCCTGTTTGATTCGGCCAAAAACCGATATATCTAATTTCGAGTTTAGATATTATATCCTACTAGCATTGCCCGCGGCTCCGCCCGCGTTCAGATGACCAAAAACTAAATTCTTAGGTGTTACATATTAGTATACTCTTACATTGCAGTTTTTGTATTTTTCCTCAGAAATAAGATATTTTCCCGCGGTAAAAAGTATCCTAGGATCGCGCGCTACATCGCCCGGTTTATATAGCTTGAGCAGGCGGTCGAGCGATGCGGGGCAGAGGGGATGGACTCGCCGTAGGCATCTCAATGCTCGCCAAGCATTAAAAATGTTTCGCTACTAATTACTTCTAACAACGATATCTCAAAAACTATTCATCTGATTGATTTAGTGTAAAGAGCAATTTTAATCTGCATTAAATGACTAAGCTAACTAAAATATTCATTTGGATAAGGATTAATACCGAACTAAAGAAAATAACTTTGAAAATAACGTAATGTTTTTAATTAAAAATGTTAACATAAAAGTGGTTATTGTAAGTCAACCGTAAGAGATAGAGATATGCTATCGCGGACTTTTTTGTAGCATTTTTATAGATTTTGAATTCTCTAGCACATTACTTAACTGTATCTTTGCTAGTTTACGCGGCGTTCGCGTGGAAAGTTCCCATTTGGCGAGATTTTTTGCGACCTCTTCAACATTTGTCGCCGTATTTCAGCTAATTTACATAAAAGCATAATAAATTATATACCTAAACCTTCCTCAAGAATTACTCTTTCTATTGTTGAAAACCGTATAAAAATCCGTTCAGTAGTTTTCGAGTTTATCGCGTACAGACAGACAGGAGGACAGACAGGAGGACAGAAAGACGCGGCCGGGGGACTTATTTTTATAATAAGTATAGATAGCGTTTTTTTTTATAACTCAACAGGTACCACAGTTAAGAATGCAGAATTTAGGTTTCCAAACAGTGATGCAATATATATATATATATATATATATATATATATATATATATATATATTCCTGTACCTGAGCCACCGATCGCTTCGCTCGGAGTTTTCGGCCTGAAGTACAATTTTCTTTTTCTTTAAAAAAACTAAAACATTGAATACATATTAAAGAAACAACAAAAGTAAAAACTTTGTTCCCGACCGGGATTCGAACCCGGACACTTGTACTTGGCCGCTTGACCATGATGCTTATATCGAAGTGTGCAAAATTATGGAACATAATATTTGGCGTGGAATAATGCAAAAGAAAACAGCATGAAAATTCGAAAACGTTTTCCCAGACATAAGACTAATCTAGATCGATTTATCGCCCCCGAAACCCCTTGTATATTAAATTTCATGAAAATCGTTGCAGCCGTTTCCGAGATTTAGATTATGTATATATAGCCCTCAGTTAACGGGCTCTAATCTAATGCAAAAAGAAGTCCTGAGATTAGCGCGTTCAATCAAACTAACAAACTCTTTAGCTTTATAATATAAGTATTGATTAATAGGGGCCCTTATGAACGCTTAAACATAAAACATTTTCTATATTGATATAACTTTGGCCGTCTCACAAGTGACGCCAGTTTTTGTTTCCCACAAATGAAGCATCAGTGCCCAGTTAACTGGGCTTTGTAGATGCTTAGTCTTATTATGTAATAGGAGGCGTGGAGATTGTAAACGGCTGGCGCAAGCGTGGTTGAGGTGTGCGCGCAAGGGATGAGGGTGCGTCAGTCGGCGCTCGGCGACCGGAGGTGCTTCGCGCTTCGCGCCGCGCCCCTTACCGCCAGAGCGTGGCTCGGGGCGTGGCGCTTACGTAAACACGCGTGGACTCGCGCTGCGGCCAAACCACTGTCCGTCCTAGAACGACCCCATGTCGGCCCGCCGCCTTCGAGATATATGTGGATAGCTCGCAGCACGCTGCCGCGCCGCCGCTGCCACTGCCACCACCGCTTATCGCGCTTATAGGTATTTGCTACTATACTAGGAAAAACTATTTTACGATTACATACATATTTGTGACTGAACAGGATTAGATTCCTTTGTGTACCTATGTTTTCCACTTATGATATACAGTTAGGTGCTTATTTAAATAGCGAGTTAAAAATATTTTATTATTAAGTGCGACATAATATATCTTTCATAAATTATGATAAAAATTAATGGGTTTTAAAATAGAAACTTTGAAATGCTCATTGCAAGAAATATGTTACTACATAGTAATGATATTTTATCAACCATATACTTAGTCGTATGAGTGTTTCCACTTACCTACCATGTTTAAAGCTTATCGATTACCAATCAATAATAATCTATGTAACTGCAAGCAAAACAAAAAATATCATAAAATAGCAGCAATAAAACTTAGTTTTTTTTTTTACTTTTTCATTCACTTTTTTATCTTTAATAATAATATTATGATGCGATGTGAATACTCAAGTAGGTACTAAACATTACAATACCTACATATATATGTGCCTTGTATTACCATCTGTAATAATAATTATTAATTCCTACCGGCTTATAAAGTATTTGTAATAATTATTATAAAGTACATATTTGCATAAATTCTACGATAAAATAAAAAATAATTAGTCACCATTGTTTCAATAACATTACGTTTCTACTTTCTAGTAGGTACGAGTATGTAGGTGCCTATTTGCTTTGTAATTGAAATGTTTAAGAAACTGTAGTGGTTAATGAGGTCTAAATGAAACGACTTCTGGATGACAACTGATTTATTATAATTCCCTTCTTCGAGAGTTACGAATACCGACATGACAATATGTTTATTTTAATATAATATAGTTATACCCACAACGCTCCCTTCGTTATAGGTCCCTAAATAAAAATAAATCAAAGGCTACATTTTAACTAAGCGCGTAATATATGTATATATAGAAAATATTTTGATACATAAAATTAATATACTACCTAATACATTTATTAAACATAAATATTACCTATTTCACTCCTTTTTCTTTTTTTTTATCTCAATTATATATTTATTATTTAACCAAACTAATATCAACACCATTACCATCTGCTATATTCCTAATCATAGCGAAGTCTGTTAGGAGGGCGCACAATTCGTCCACTCCTAGTCACTTGAAATGATGGCGAAGGGTGCTGCGCCTGCGTGGGACTTTGATCTTTTACTAAGTCTGTTGTTAGGCCGTAGTCGTAATTAAAACAATCATAGTCTAAGCTACTAAATCTACTTATTGAATTATTATTATTATTATTAAGTTTTTTATTGTTACAATTCGGTAATTTCATTATATGTTGTCTATTTCGTCTGTAAATGCCTCCATTTTCAGCTTGAAGCTAATATGAACGATCTCCACTAGCGGGACGCAAAACTTGAGCTTTAATCCATTTATTATTGTGTCTCATTCTAACAGATTCATTCGTTTTCAATGGAATTAAGTCTTTAGTACCACGATCATAATATGATTTGTATTGAGTTATTCTTTTTGATCGGTTTTTTAACATAGATTGCGGTTGAATCGCTTGTGGCTTTAATTGAGAATTTTTAACGGGTAATCTAGTGTTTAACCGTCGACTCATTAATAGTTGTGCCGGGGACCAAGTTTCACCAGTGACTGGTGTATTCCTAAAGTTTAATAATGCAAGTTTCCAGTCCTCTCCACTCTCATTAGTCTTACTCATAAGCGCTTTTATGGTTCGTACATTTCTTTCAGCGAGTCCATTAGATCGTGGATACAGAGGGGAACTCGTAGCGTGCACAAATCCCCACTCCTTTGTGAAACGTTGAAACTGTTCTGACGTAAATTGAGTCCCGTTATTAGTTACTAACTTATAAGGTATCCCGAATCTACTAAAAATATCTTTAAATACATTAATTATGGACGAACTCGTTAAGTTTGAAATATGCACGACTTCTACAAATTTTGAATAATAATCAACTACTAGCAAAAAATACTTTTCACGAAATTCAAAAATATTCAATTACAGACAACTTATTTTTACTAATTTCTCTTAAAACGGTATTACATTTAACTAAATTTAATTTATCAAATCCGGCATTTTCAAAAGATTTAAGCGACATTACCGAAGCCTCCGCTCCAGAGTCCAGTTTAAATTTAATATAAACTCCATTTACATTAATAGTTTCACACCATGAACTACACGACTCCCCTGCCGCCTCAATCGAAACATTGTACACAAGTAACTCACCGTTATCGCCGTATGTCTGTTCATCATTCTTACTCTTTATCGAGTCCGAACTCACCCCCGCCTCTTCGACGACTTCGCGCGTAAATTTTACTTTACAACACTTCGCAAAGTGACCTACTCTCTTGCACCGAAAACACTTAATTGAATACGCCGGACAATGCATACTATTGCCATGCCTAAAGCTACACTTTTCACAAACACTCTCACTGTAGCGTTGATAGGTGCCGGCGGGCAGGCTGCGCCGCTCGCGCCAACCGCCACCGGCCGCGCCGACGTCACCCCGCGCCACGTGGCGCCACCGCACCTGCTCGAGCGCCGCGGGCGGGTCGGCACGCGTGCTGCACGCCGCCGCCTGCTCGCTCGCTCGCTCCGCCGCGCGACACCACGCACTTGCCTCTTCTAATGTTATCGACGATCTCGCTAATAATTTTTCACGCATTTGTATGTCTTTTAAGCCACGTATCAATTGAGTTAATATGAGGCTATTCTTTAAAGTCCCGAACTCACAATTGTTACTTTGCTTTTTTAGTGATCCGACAAACTTATCAATCGTCTGCTCGTTTTGGTAGGTTTCAAAGAAAGTATGACGTTCAAAATTAATATTTTTCTTGGGATCACAATATTCACTGTATTTTTTACACAAGATTTTGTAGTCATTTTCATCGCTATCCGATATTTCTAATTCTTCCAAAATTTCTCGTCCATATTTTCCTATACAATGCATAAATAATCCACATTTTTCTTTATCATTAGTAAATTCTTTGCCTGTAGCTACTAAAAAATAATTAAACGCCGTTTTCCATTCTCTCCAGTTGGCAGCCATATTGCCATCTTGTTGCATCGGTGGAGGTTGTTGAATAGCCGCACAGATGCTGCTGTCACCCTTGCTATCATATTTTGCCATGATATAACAATTTATTTACTTTTTAAATTCACTAAATCCTTATGCATATATTTTCTATAATATCACACCTGACACCATGTAGTGGTTAATGAGGTCTAAATGAAACGACTTCTGGATGACGACTGATTTATTATAATTCCCTTCTTCGAGAGTTACGAATACCGACATGACAATATGTTTATTTTAATATAATATATTTATACCCACAACAGAAACTTTAATAGATTTTTTTCCACTCCATTCTCCGGAACAAACATTAGTCTGAGGTAAATCTAATAACAACTTAATAAGTTAAAGGTTTTTAATTAATTACTGTAAACATGTAGGTAGGTACAAATATATTTCTAAGATTAAGCAAACTTTTTAATATACAGAAAAGCGTTAATTAAAAACGTAGTACCTATATTTCAGTAGGTATGCAAGGTTATCGAAAGTATTGCAAGACTTTTTAAATAAAACTGTCTTTTCGGATTTTGTCGCAGATTTATTGGCATTTTTGTTTCCCGACGTTTCGAATGCTTTACAGCATCCATGGTCACGGGAGAGACTGAGGTGTTACATGTCTTGAATGTATAGTTGTTACAGACAGCCTACCCACAATTAACAAAATGAAAATTGCACCAATTACATTACAATATTTTTTAACTTTAAACATTTTTATAATTTTAATTATAATTGAATATGGAAAATTATTTATTTAATTTTTGCTATTATTTTTATAATTATTACAATTTTAAAATATTAATTAGTAATTTATATTTAGTGTTGCCATTATTATATTTATAACCATAAAGAAAAATATAAAATATAGTATTAATTATTTAAGCCATACAATATGTACTGATTCAAAATTGAACGCGCTTCAGCTTCTAACACCATATTTTTTTAACAATCTAAATATTCCCCGGCGCAGAATACGAACTTGTGATAATAGACGTTGCCAATTCAATCAATCAATGGTTCATCCGCATTACCTATATGTACATACAAATAAATAAAATTGAAGTGTCTGTTTGTAATGTCAAAGTAACACTTTTATAAAAGTATATACGATACTTATAAGAAAAAAACAATTAATTTCAATTTTTGTCTATCTGTCTGTTAGTTGTGGCTAACCTCCGAAATGGCTGGACCGATTTTTATGGGACTTTGACTGGCAGATAGCTGATGTTATAAGGACTTACTTAGGCTACTTAGATTTTTTTTTAAGTTAAATGTCTTTAAAGAAGTTTGTGATTCTCATATCGTATAAAAATATTATTGGATATGAGAACCACCACCTTTAGGTATTTTTAAACTACTTCTAATTATGGGATCGATTTAAGATTAGTAGGTATTATGAGAAATCGAAAGATTAGAATATTTTGATACAATCTATATAAAGATAAACTCATAGGAAGGACAGTACAACACTTCAATAGCTTCAACTTAATTTATTAAAACGCGTATGTTACTTGATGTCTGCGTCTATAGGGAATAGATTTTATTGATTCTTTTTTCACATATAAAGAGACTACTGAAAGGGGTTCCTGTTTAAGTTTCAAAAAAAGGGTTAAAATCTTTATGCTCGGAATTATTACATTTAAAGTTGGTAATTTTATTAAAGAATAAAATCTGAGAAGTGGATGAAAATTTTAAATATATTGTATTTTAATTAATTTAAAATCTGAAAGGATAACAATGTTTTTGTATTACATATTGAGAATACCTAAGTATCTATACTAGTATTATCAAGAGGTAAAGTTTGTGAGGTTGTGAGGTTGTAGGGGGTAATCTCTCTCTCTCTCTCTCTCTCTCTGGATCTATTGATACGATTTAGATGAAATTTGGTAGATGAAGATAGTTTGAGACCCTAAGGAGGACATAGGCTACTTTTTATCCCGGAAATCATCCCTTAAGAAGGAAAGCTAGGGACAAATCCGAGCGAAGCGAGTTTGAGGATCGCTAGTACTATACTATATTATATACTATACTATTAATAAAAACTGATCTAAATATAGGCAAAGCGAAATCGGATTCGGTTCAGTGGTTTTGAAATGCTGCAATGCATTCGGAATGAAATGTCAAGTTTACTAGCGATTCATCAAAGTATTGATATCGCTTCCTTATGGATTTGGAAATACATTAACGCACAATATCAAAGCTTTGTTTAAAATACAACTCATTATCTCCACAACCGTTATCTTCAGACCCTAAAAATAATTGTTCACGCGTATATTTCATTGGGACAAATAATCCAGCTTAGAACAACAAGTAAGAAATGGAACCCAATAAGAGAATTCGAACGTGACACTGGCAGAATGGATTGCGTCTGTTAACACAACTATAAGCCATTATAAAAAAAAGAGAATTCGACACATTTTCGTATTCTCTTATTGACTTCGAAGGTTCTTCATCTACATTTCTATACTACTATCATAAAGAGGAAAGATTTCTGTGTTTGTATATTCGTAACGAATAAACTCAAAAACTGCTAGACCGATTTAGATGAAATTTGGTAAGAAAATAGCTTGAGACCCTGGAAAGGACATAGGATATTTTTTATTACGAAAATCATCCCTTAAAGGCGTGAAAATGTGGATGAAAGTTTGTATGGAGAATCAAGATAGATCAATTATAGACTAATCATATACTTACAATGTCTTAGATCTGACCATTACAGCGAAAGAAGTTTTGAAATTTGGAGAGAGACTATGTTTAGCTCTGTAGGTACAAAAAATATTATTTTATTAATTGCGGTTGATCGGTTGAATGACATTGTTGGATAACAATCCATACAGTAGGCGATTGTCTTTGATTTTAACGAAAATGCTGCCAATTGAAAGGACATAAAGTACTGCTTAACGGCTTTAAAATAATTATGACTTTTTTTGAAACAGCATCAAAGGAGAGATGCAGGCGCATACCGCGCTGATGGCGCTGGCGGCGCTCGGCGCGTTGGCAGCGACGGGTGCGGCGGCGGAGCGTGGCGGTGGCATCAAAGTGGGCGGCGGCGCGACGGGGGCGGGGGGGCGGGAGGGTGCGCGGGGGAGCGGGGTGCGCCTGGGAGGTGACGGGCTGTGGCGCCCGCGCACCTCGCCGGCACCGCCAGCCCCACGCGTCCCTCCCTTTGTCACTGCCGCCCTCGTAGTGCCCTACAAGGCGTTTGGTGCACGCGACTACACGAGAGCTGAGAAGGCGGCTCTGTCCAAACTGCCGCGCAAACTCAAACTTTTTACTCAAGTGCGCCTAAACGTTACGCTTTCGATGCAAGGCCTTACGCCTAGTCCTATGTGTAAGTGATTACTATAGATGTAATTCATAGAATTTAGAAATCGGTAGTGCTCGATCGATAGATTAATCCATATGTTTCTATGTAGATACCTATCTATATGCATGAAGACATTTTATGCTCTGATATGTAATTTCTCTGTTAAATTATAAATACATAAATATATGTTCTTATATCCATATAAATTATAGTAATAATAGCACAAAGCAAGCAATAGTAATATAAAACATTAATATCACTGTGTAGATTTAATAAAAAATAATGTATGCTTAGTTGTTAAAATTGATTTTAAATCGTTGAATCGCATGATACTAAGTAGAATGAGAATAATAAATCAGTTATATAAAATATTACAATAAATGCTTTCAGCTATCTTGGACTCGCTATGTAAAGAATTTTTAGCAGTTAATGTATCTGCTATACTTTATCTTATGAATCATGAACAATATGGGCGATCAACTGCCTCCGCACAGTATTTTTTACAACTTGCTGGGTACCTCGGGATACCGGTAATGTCTCTTATATTATGAATCCAAATTAAAAAAATATTTTTTATTAAAACTATTATAACAATAACTTTATTTTAGGTAATAGCATGGAATGCAGATAACAGTGGTTTAGAAAAACACGCTTCTCATGCGTCACTACGACTCCAGTTAGCGCCAACAATCGAACATCAGACGGCAGCAATGTTATCAATATTGGAGAGGTATAAATGGCATCAGTTCAGCGTCGTAACTTCTGCTATCGCAGGCCACGACGATTTCATACAAGCTGTGAGGGAAAGAGTGACGGCTTTACAAGTATGTTATCGAATGATTTTTTTAATAATCTTTAGAATAATGAATTTAACACATGAAATGTAAAATGTTGTAGGATCGGTTCAAGTTCACAATATTGAACGCCATAGTAGTGAAGAAAGCGGCAGATTTAAACGAGCTGGTAACGAGCGAAGCGCGAGTAATGCTCTTATATGCCACTCGAGAGGAAGCTGCAGACATACTGTCCTCAGCAGGAGATCTACACCTCACTGGAGAAAACTTCGTTTGGATTGTTACACAGAGTGTACTTGGCTCTATGCAACAACCAAATAAATTTCCCGTTGGAATGTTAGGTATTTAGGTTTAATAAAATTATATATTTACTAACATATACACTACTACTTATTAGTTATTAGCAGTTATGATGTTTGTTTATTATTTATACGATTATTTGGCAGGTGTGCATTTCGACACATCGAGTGCGTCAATTATATCTGAGATAGCGACAGCGGTTAAAGTGTTTGCTTACGGTGTAGAATCCTATATATCTGATCAAGAAAATATTCGCTATCCACTCGGTACTAGGCTGTCGTGTAGCGGAGTTGGTACTGGGGAAGCACGTTGGTCCACCGGAGAGAGGTTCTACAGACATCTACGTAATGTTAGCGTGGAAGGTGAATCTGGCAGACCGGGTATTGAATTCACACCTGACGGAGAATTAAGAGCGGCTGAACTCAAAATAATGAATTTAAGACCTACCCTCGGTGATCAGGTAAAAACTTTGAGACAACTCTTTTCGAACAAGCCTAATTATTTATTATATCTACAGTTATATTTCTTTATACCTACATTCTACATACGTATGTATCATTTATATAAACACTTCTTCGAATTAGCCTCTTACTTCTTATCTTACTCAGAAGGCAGAGATATACTTATCGTTTACTCCATTTTTCACGCCCACTTATATGGAAAATCTACATTTTGAATGACAATAATTATTCAATCTGATTATCTTATTCTAGCTGGTTTGGGAGGAAATTGGAATGTGGAATTCATATCCAAAAGAGCGTTTAGCAATCAAAGACATAATATGGCCTGGTGGATTACATACCCCACCTCAAGGTGTACCGGAAAAATTTCATATGCGGATTACATTTCTTGAAGAACCGCCGTATATAAATCTCGCTCCGCCAGATCCTGTCAGCGGTAGATGTTCCTTAGACCGTGGCGTCATTTGCCGAGTGGCTCCTGAAGTAGAAGTTGCAGGGTAAGCGTGTAAAAACAAAGATATAAATTTAATGCATAAGGTTTTTAAATTTCGTAATTTATATCTTATAAATTTCTTTTTCCTAATGTTAGGTTAGAAGCGGGAACTGCATATAGGAACAGTTCTCTCTACCAGTGCTGTAGCGGATTTTGTATAGATCTTTTACAACAACTGGCAGAGCATTTAGGATTTACATACGAGCTAGTTCGCGTAGAAGATGGAAGATGGGGAACATTGCACCAAGGAAAATGGAATGGACTTATTTCAGAACTTGTAAACAAGAAAACTGACATGGTAATGACAAATTTATTTATATTATATATTGCCTATTAGATTTATGAACATGATATTTAAAATGTTTTCATACTGCTTAACTATAATTCTACCATTTATTATTTCTACTACATAGGTTTTAACATCACTTATCATAAATTCGGATCGGGAAGCAGTCGTAGACTTCAGCGTACCATTTATGGAAACTGGCGTGGCTATAGTTGTGGCAAAACGAACTGGCATAATATCTCCTACAGCTTTTCTCGAGCCTTTCGATACAGCTTCTTGGATGCTGGTGGGCGCAGTAGCTATACAAGCGGCGACATTTTCAATATTTTTCTTCGAGTGGCTGTCTCCTAGTGGATTTGATTGTTCGACAGGCCACAATTCAAATCGGATACCGCAGAACAGATTTTCACTGTGTCGGACGTATTGGATTGTGTGGGCGGTTCTATTCCAGGTTAATGTTAAACTTACATAAAGCTTACAACATTCAATTGTTAGTCAATCCAAATAAAATATTTGTTGCAAAATAGTTTTATGAATAAGTACACAAAAAAATATTAATACATAAACTTTTTTGCTAGGCATCAGTACACGTAGATTCACCGCGAGGTTTTACAGCACGTTTCATGACGAACATGTGGGCTATGTTTGCCGTAGTCTTCCTTGCGATATACACGGCCAACCTGGCGGCTTTCATGATTACGCGTGAAGAGTTTCACGAACTCAGTGGATTGGACGACCCACGAATTGCTCGCCCCCTATCACATCGCCCCGCGCTCAAATTCGGTACCGTGCCTTGGTCACATACCGACGCCACACTCGCCAAATATTTCTACGAACCACATGCCTATATGGCTCCGTAAGTAATACTTATATTAAATTATTTGCACTTATTTTATCTTGCCAGGTTACCAAACCGAAACTAAATACATTTGGGTATGAGATTAATAATATTTAATATTAATAAATAGTATTAAATTTTAGTTCATATCTGAAGAATAATCGCGGCGCAACAGCCTGTGTTACGCAGCAGAAAGCTATATCGCCCACTCCTTTTTTTTAACGTTGGGAAATGCATTTACGCCCGAGGTTTGGGACTCACCGGCAAAGCCAGTACTACCCACTAAAACCCAACAAAACCTTCCCCCGTTTTAATGGGGCGTCGCAGGATCGCTTACGCATTCAACTACGACGCCCCGACGGTAGGTCTGCCAAAGCAGACCACAACAACCATGGAGTTGCTCCAAGGTCCACTCTGCGATCAGAGAAGTAACAGGAAACAACCCGCATGGTACACCGCCCTCCGAAGAGGGCCACCTCCCACCGCCCATCGAAGTGGGCTACCTCCCTGTGCGTTTCTTGGCTTCGCGCCCGGCTGGATTGCCGGGCACTACTGAGCCCCCCACCACGACAAGGTGAACGCACGTTGGGGGAGAATATCGCCCACTCCTACTGTATATTTTCATACGCATTAAAATCTCTAGAACTTACGATTTGATTTTTTTACATTTTTAGCCAATTTTTTGAAGGAGGTCATAGGAGCAGAGAAATTACACATAAATTGACTACGTAAGCTCGTATATAAAATATTGAAAAACAAACTCACTGGTCTTGAGCGAAGCGAACCTAAGATTTGCTTAAATTATATGCAATTTATAAATATTTCAATTGTTATTTAATTATAGATACAATCGTAGCACAGTGAGCGCCGGAGTCACCAGCGTCCTAACGGGAGAACTAGACGCTTTTATCTACGATGGAACTGTTCTGGATTACCTGGTATCACAAGTATGTTCTCAAACAATTCTAGTTGGCTTATTCTCTCACTTTTCGCATTTACTAACACTAGGTTTAATATTTTGTAGGATGAGGACTGCCGATTGTTAACAGTAGGCTCGTGGTACGCGATGTCTGGCTATGGATTAGCGTTTACACGAAATTCCAAATACCTAAGCATGTTTAATAAGAGATTACTTGATTTACGCTCCAATGGAGACCTAGAGCGGTTGCGAAGGTAGGCTTCTGATCTTTGCTGTCGATTTTATTTTAACTCTCTTTCTCTAAATTTAAATATTTTTTTATAGCGACTATCTAGATAAAATAGCTAAACTAAACACATTCTTATATAACACTATTAGTTGTCTTTTTGATGCTTATCGAAATATCCAAACTAAAAGCTCTATCTAAAAATCGTTAAGCATATAAATGGCTAGTTGAACTACAGTTGACAAAATGATATAAAATAGATATAGGTAGCTACAATCGCCAATGCATTTGGATGCCCCTGTTTAATTAATCATTTATTACATTAGCTTGTTGTTGTCTATACATATAATAAAATTCTAGCGTCCAATTATCACATTAAATAATGTTTATAAATTTTATTGAAATAATCATTTTTATCGTTACGGAGATCGAATCTATAGTTTTTAGAATTTTTGTCTCTCTGTCTGGGCACGCATCACGAGAAAACCACCGGACGGATTTTGATGAAATTAATTATAAGTATGAAATTATGGTATGATAAGTAGCTGGTTATCCGGGTCAACATATAGGATACTTTTTACTGCGGGAAAATATCTCATCTCTGAAAAATCGATACTAACCGTTAAAACGTACCTATATATATATAATTTATGTGGTATGGAGTGGGTGCGTACAATAAAATTCGTATAGATACTGAAAGTATTACATCTTATAAGTAGTATTTGGTATGGTTTGATGATAAAAGTAATTAAGTATGAGTAAAGTAATTTTCATCACGATAGTTAATGAATGAAAATATAAATTTTAAAATGGTTATATCTTTTCCATAGGTACTGGATGACGGGCACATGCAAGCCTAACAAACAAGAGCACAAGTCTTCAGACCCGCTCGCGTTGGAGCAGTTCTTGTCGGCATTCTTGCTGTTGATGGCGGGCATTCTGCTGGCGGCTCTTCTCTTGCTGCTCGAGCACGTGTACTTTCGGTATATGCGAGAACACCTGGCAGCCTCTAATGCCAGTTCGTGTTGTGCTCTCGTGTCTCTTTCAATGGGTAAATATTATGTTTACACAGTTTTAGTTGGTATTTTGTAATGTTTACTACCTAACTGCTTCGGTGGTCTAGTAGCTAGCAAGTACGGCTGCAGGTCCGGGTCCTGTGTCGGGCCAAACTTAGTTAATAAGATTTTCTATTAAAAAAATTCTTAGTAACAACCCGGAGCTGAAAATTAGACTGTATTTCACCCCCGTACCTCGAAGACCACGTAAAAGCCATTAGTGACAGGAATAGAGAGTGCACTTCTGTATGCGCGTACACTTGTATACTATAATATCTCCTGCGCAGATGTCCTAGTCTCATTGAGTTAAAATCGGTCAAGAGAACATCATTGTTAAAGTCTTAGTATAGTTTTCAAGCCAGCTATACCGATACTAATTAATATTATTGAGTGTAATCATTGAATTTCGATCTATAAAGAGTATTAGGTGCTTCTTGCTTGGAGGCTCTTGGAGGTGCTTATTGCGTTTCATGTTGCAAATGAGAGCACCAGACATACTTATCCATTAAAACAGTACAGTTAAACAACAAGCTTTTGGTACATTGTAACTTTATTGTTGGAATAATAATTATCCTATATAAGAACACTAAGTTTGATTTTAAATTTGTTAAGCTAATAAAATCCAAAGATACCGTTTACATCCTATCTACTATTGATAAAACGATGATCGAATTTGTGACGTGGAGTCGCAAATGAAAGCAATCTAAGCCTACTCGATTAAAATATTATTGATTTTTACTTTATTAAATAAAGAGTATTATTTTAGGACAATCACTAACATTTCATGGCGCAGTCGTAGAGGCGTCGGCGCGGGGCTTGAGCCGAGGGCCCTGTCGCTCTGCCATTTGTGCAGCAGAGGTACAGTAAATAGTGAACAAGTAACCACAGTGTTATGTTGATAAGAAAATTAAAGTAAACTTATTAATTTAAGTTTAAAAACTTACCCACCTTAAGCAAAAGATATTTACATATTTTACCCATGCCTGTGCGATGCAGGTAGTTATAAAGATAATATTATTATTTACAAAGTACACCTACCTACCTAAAATACGTTTTATACTGCTTTAAGGTCCTCCTCCTAGAATTCGTAATCATAATATAATAATAGTTTAATGTAATGATAGGTTTAAATTTAAACTACCCCAATCAAATTCCGGATCATCACTAATTACTTTTCAATTATCTGTTTTATAAAATACATATTTACATACATCATCTTAATATATACTGCCCTCCCGAACCTAAAGTGCAGTAACAGCAAAAACACGAATTCAAGAAAAACGCGCCTAAAGTTTATAATCCATAAAAATATATCAAAAAGAGACTTTTCGATAAAACCTTGAATGGAAAGTGAAAGAATATGTACCAAACTAAAATACTAAACATTGTTACGTTAGTTTTTTTATAAAAAACTATAATTATGGCAATTTTAATTTTTTAGCCCCTATTACTACACACACTTTATTTGTGTAATCTTTTCAAAAACTGTTTCAAATGCAGTAAATCCTGTTATTACTGCATTTTAGACATTTCTTCCGTGATCGTTACTAACTAAAGTGCAGTAATATTATGAAAATACTGCTATTTAACCTGTTTTTTTGAACAAAACGCTGATATTCCACACTTATAGTAATATAAAATTACCTTTAATTTTGATAAAAATATGTAATTTCTTAAACAAAACTGGACATGCATTTATGACTATGCTATTAAAACTATTCATCAAAACATTGTACATTATAATCTAATAGTGTAAATTGTTTTATATGACTAACAATATAACAATCTTTACAAGATGTTGATAATCTTAACTAGGTAATCCACCATAAAACTATATCACATGTATTTCTCATGCATGGATCAATAAAATTAACATAAAATCTTTCATCTGAACATAACTAATTACTAAATGAGTATTCTTGTCTTACAAAAATAATAGTCTGAAAAGATTATGGAAGGGAGAACTAAGGAGAATTAACTTATATGGGAAACAAGTTGAAAAAGTGTCCAGTAGTGAGCAGCAAATTATAGCTCAGAAACTCACCGTTACGGAGTTAACGGAGTGAAGCTGAATTATTATTACTTGAAAATAATATATAATTATATTGTATATCGCTGTTTGCTGCTAGAACTATTTTGAAAAGTGCGCCACAGTAAAGCGGAAATCTTTCTTTCCTTGTTTAATTCACCTTCTTACTTTTATGACGCTATGTTTTTAGCTACCGACTCACCCTCGCCTCACTCGGGTTTGTCCCTGGATACTTTTTTTTTTGAGCGGAACTCTAATTCTTTTTTAAAAATAAAAGTAGCCTATATTACTCCCTATAACATCAGTTACCTTCCACTGAAAGTCCGTCAAAATCAGTCCAGCCGTTTCAGAGATTATTCGGAACAAACAGACAGACAAAAAAATTTAAAAATTAGTTTTTCTTATAAGTACCGTATATAATTTCATATGCATTTAGTAAAAAGCTGTTATTTTGACATTACAAACAGACACTACAATTTTATTTATCTGTATAGATGTATAGATTCATATACTTGTTTTCTGTGGCGCCACCAATTTAATGCTTGTCAGCGGTCACTTTTTATACGAGAAATAGTTCTCCTTAGTTCTACCCTCCATATCTCTTTGGTACAGACACAGCATGGCACGTCAAGTCAGCCTTAAGCCACAGATTAAGGAGACTGCCTCAAACCGCGATATTGCCTGTCCTATGTTTTAATATTTTAATAATTTTACCTATTAAAACGCAGTATTTGGGAATAGTATTTGGCTTTAAGTATTTTAGGTAGTATGAATTGGATGGAGCAAACTAATTAATATGCAGTAAAATTTATAAATATTGTAAACTAAATGGTCTTTTACAAGCAACTACAAAACATCCTACAAGTTAAACTGCAGTAAAGTTATTAAATACTGCATGTCTTTTAGTTTTTCACAAGAAATTACAAAATCCCCCACAAGTTAATGTGCAGTATGGAATGTTAATACTGCACTTTAATTAGGAATATAAATAAAAAATATTTTTTCTTAACCTTTGCAGTATAATCAATTTGTATAGAGTCGAATAATACTGCATTTTAATAAGTTTTTTCTTGAATCTCCTAGAACAAACTACTATTTTAAGTGCCACAAAATATGATAAAACACTGCAGTTTAGTTAGGAAACAGAGAAAAATCTTGTGCAGTATTAATTGTACTGCGGTTTAGCTGGTAAACATGCAATATTTTAACAGATTTGTGATATTTTTGCTGTTACACCTTCCGAAAAAACATTAAAATAAAATACTTTTATTAGCGCTACAGAAAAAGAATTAATTTGACTGATAGCTACTAAAATGGGGATTTAGAATATATATTTAACTCAAAACCGACCAAAATGTCTATTACTGCACTTTAGGCTCAGGTGGGCAGTATACGTCATATAACAACAGTAACAACCACCTGTGCTTGTATATTTATAATGCCATGAACGATGTCAGATATGGCGCGTGCGGCACGAGCGCGACGCGGCGGTGGCGCGCGCGCGGCAGCTGGCGGCGGCGCTGGCGGCGCACGGGCTGCAGGCGCCGCCGCGCCGCCTGGCATCGGCCGCAGCGCTGGCCACGCGCGCGCACGACGCCACGCGCCCGCGCACGCTGTGTGCGCCCGCCGACCTGCTGCCCGATCTCGACCGCCCGCTCTCTTGCGGGGATCTACGCGCCAGGTCTTCATTCCTTTATAATTTAGCCTGTACTATAAACATATTATTTCTAATTGTTTATTTTTACTTCAGTATTCAATTAAGTATAGATAAATAAAAAGAATATTTGAAATACGAATCGCGAATTTAAACAATACTATCAATATTTTTAATACATATAATAAAATAAATCTCCTCTACGAGTACATTAATTTTGTAACATTTATATAATGCACGATTAAAATAAAAGTGAAAATAGGGTTCGTAGTAAAATTGTAACTGCATATTTTGTGAGTTCATGCTTAAATATTTAATACTTTAATCCTACATATTTTTCAGGGAGCGGACGCGTGTAGAAATGGAAACAGTGCTGTGAGGCGCATATTGCGCCACCTTATTTCAATTCCTGAAGGCTGTTCTTACACCAAGTTATACAAGACGAAGTTAGGTATATCTAATGTTAAACTATGGACAGATAAAAAAACGTTGTAATTATTAAATAAATTATTCCAATTATTAAAACAGAGATGGACGTAGATAGCGAAGCGTTGTTGTGGGAAGCGCGCGCGGGGCGGGCTGGGCGCCGGGCGCGCATCCTCGTGTTGTCTACTACAATAAAATATATTTTTTGGACAATATTGTGACTTTATTAATAACCTCTTGATTCTATTGTAATAATAATATAAAAAATACCGTAAAAATATACTACTATTATATATTGTACCTGGACTAACGAGCTTCGCTTGGAGTTTTTGGCCTAAAGTACAATTTTCTTTTTTTTTTAAACTAAAAACTTCAATAAATATAAAAAAAAACAAAAGTAAAAATTTGTATGCGACCGAGATTCGAACCTGGACACCCGTGATTGTTGATTCTGCACCTAGGCCGCTTGACCACGATGCTTACACCAGAGTAGGTATGCAAATTACCGACCATATTTTGCGTGGAATAATGCAAAAGAAAACTGCATGAAAATTCGAAAACACACGTTTTCCTAGACTTAAGATTAATCTAGATCGATTTATCGCCCCCGAAACCCAATGTATACTAAATTTCATGAAAATCGTTGGAGCCGTTTCCGAGATTCTGACTATGTGTATATATATATATATATATAAGAATTGCTCGTTTAAATATATTAGATAAGGCTGTTTATATCCGTACTTAAAATAATGACGAATAAAAAATAATTATTCGTACTAATCAAACGTAATAAATAAATGAGGCTGTTGCTATTCGTCCGATAATCGGATGGATAAAAAATATATTATTCGGCCGACTATTGTCGGTTTGTACGAATATTAACCACTTTTTTGTGTTCATATGTAGAATAAATAATTTTTAAGCGCAGGAGGTTCTATATGCAAAATAATAAAAAAAACCTTAACCTACCGAGCTGAGCCGAGCTACTTATTCTACTTATTATTAGTTATTAATAGATATATATATATTTTATAAAGGATAAATAATTATTTTTATTCATCCTATTATAGGACAAATAGACACTCCGTTAATATAATGGCTGACGTAAGTATATATTTATATAATGTGTCGTTATAAATTTCACTTACCATTTTTATAATGAATTTCATTACAATGAAATCGCCATTATTGAGATATCGTTAGAAAGAAAATTTTACAGCACAGTATTACATCATAATTTACGTTTAAAAATAACGTTAAAATCGAATATAGCCATCTTTACCAAAAAATATTTTTTTGTATATTAATAATTAGACAATTACAAAGAGTCGGATAGTTGGAATCTAAGAAGCAAATCCACGTTCACTTCACTCCTTTCTAGTCGTCACTTTTTATTCTATCGACATATCCATACTTTTAATACATGAACGCGTACGCGCATTAGCGTTCATGTTTTAATATTATAAATGTGAAAGTGTGTTTGTTTGTTTGTTTGTTTGTACTTCTTTCACTTCGAAACAGAGTGACGGATTGGCGTGATTTTTTGTGTGGAGGTAGTGGGAGAGCTGGAGAGTGACATGAGACACTTTACCGCGGGATATCAACTCATTCACACGGAAAACACGTTATAATACAAATCAAAAAATATTTGTTATCAGAATTACTTCAAACTTGGTACTAATGCTCTTATATATGAAACCTACGTTTTTAGAGTTTTTTTTTGTAGTTTTAGCGCGAGCGATGCGGGTTCTGCTAGTTATATTATAAATTTTTTGTTTCCTCTTTTTTTCACTTAACGACAAAGTAACTATTTCTTGTAGTGTCCCAAAAAACCGAGATTTAATTGGGGAAGAATTTTGCCCTTTTTTCCCGACAGATGTCGCGAGCACTATGACCCTCAGTATAATGTAAAGGTCTATAGCGTAGATGGATTTTTTTCATTTTACTTAAAATATAATTAAAATGATAAATTGTGCAGTGCCAGGATGCAAAGAAAATGGATACTATTTGTCCCCAAAAGACAAACACTGAAGAAATTGTGGGATAAAGCAATAAGACGACCACAATTGGCGAAATGACAATAATTATATTTAATTCTATGTGGACATCATTTTAAATAAAGTGATTTTAAAACTCTTAATCATCTAATTTTTTTTTGTATCTTTTACATATTAATTATAGAATTTCATACAAACTTTCATGCCCCATTTTACCCCCTTATAGGATCGAATTTCGAAAAATGCTTAAATACCAAGTTTCAACTCAAGTAATTCTAATCATAAATAATTCTTTGCCCAAATAAACTTTATTGCCTCCTTTTACCCCTTTAAGGGATAGATTTCAAAAAAAATCAAATAAATATATTTTTTATATTTTATCTTGAAGTTAAACACTACTTTCTGTGTATTTTACATTAAAAATGACAGAGTTTCATACAACCCCTATTTTACCCACTAAGAGGATGAATTTCAAAAAATCCTTTCTTATCGAATGCCTACATAATATAAGGAATATGTCTTCCAAATTTCACGTTTGTATGACCAGCAGCTTAGACTGTTTGTTGATCCATCAGTTAGGACCACCGCAGGATGCATTTCTCCTTCTCAATTCTTCATTCAGCTGGTCTAACTTCCAGGTGCAATACCGGTTAGCTGTCGTCCCCCCTCCCCTGGATCGTGTATGTCTACGTACCTACTGTTGTCGATAAAGTTATGTTTGAGTCAGGTTACGAGTGTTACCCCCCCAACGTGCGTTCACCTTGTCGTGGTGGGGGGGCTCAGTAGTGCCCGGCAACCCAACCGGGCGCGAAGCCAAGAAACGCACAGGGAGGTGGCCCACTTCGGTGGGCGGTGGGAGGTGGCCCTCTACGGAGGGCAGTGTACCATGCGGGTTGCTCCTGGTACTTCTCTGATAGCAGAGTGGACTGTGGAGCAACCCCGTGGTTGTTGTGGTCTGCTTCGGCAGACCTGCCGTCGGGGCGTCGTAGTTGAATGCGTAAGCGATCCTGCGACGCCCCATTAAGACGGAGGAAGGTTTTGTTGGGTTTTAGTGGGTAGTACTGGCTTTGCCGGTGAGTCCCACACCTCGTGCGTAAATACATTTCCCAACGTTAAAAAAAAAAAAAAAAAAGGTTACGAGTGTTACGAATTACTTTACAATATATTATGTGTTAATTTATAAAAAAATTGCGCTGCGCGCCCGATCACCTTATATTCATGCGAGACGCTAGAGCAGCAAGCGAGCGGAGAGCCTACGTATGGAATTCGGGATAGAAAAATGCAAAACCTATTCTTTTTGTCAAAGTAGACTTCAGTTAAAAGATTATGTCTTAAATACCGGAGAAAAAATTGACGCATTAGATCAAAACAATTCATACGAATATTTAGGATTCCAACAAGATCGGCAAATTCTTCAAAAAAATAAGAAAGCAGAACTTATCCGCAAATTTAAACATAGACTTTGTTCAGTATTCAAAACGAATTTGAACTCTGCTAACACTATAAGAGCTGAAAAACTGATTTAATAAAGTTACAGCGTCTAATTAGTACTTCAATGACAAAACAACGTAAGCATCATCTAAGATTTTGTATACAAAGACTGACGCTCCCTAGAGAAGAAGGTAGAGACTTAATAACATTTCCAATTTACACCACTGTGCGCCAAAGTACGGTAATATGCTCTGTTATTGGAAAACAGGGTAAAATAGTTAATAGGCGAGAGAATTATATATTGTAATAACGCAATATTTCAATAATAAATATTGTAATTTTAATAAAATCTCATCTATAATATTATATTTTACATTATTTTATGGCAGCCCTAATGTGACTTGGTTTTGACTTTGAATTTTGATAGATTGTCAAATTGTTAATTGTCATGACAATTAGACAATTACCGAATGCCGGTTTTCTTTGGAATACCTAAATTTTCATAATAGTAAAGATACTATTTTTCTCTTCTTATTAATAATGTCGAGAGATATTACTGTTCTTGTGCCAAATGGAAGAAGAGTAAAAGTGCATTGTACAGCAGACACAAGTATTTTACAGGTTTGTAGTAATAACGAGAAAATATTTTGTAATAATTATTAATAGTAAGTTTCACTTTTATATTTAAATAGATTAAACATAATTGTCAATTTTGTCATTTGTAAATATGATATGATTTAATTCAAAGATGTGTAATACTTTATGTAAAAAATAATTATTTTTCTGTTTATAGTAGGCTTTTTATTTTTATAAATTGGTTTACCAACATGCTTTTATATATGTAAAAGATTCTAGAAAACTTTCAAGTTCATATAAATAAGACAATAACTATGCAATAAACTTACTGTAAACAATACTTTTAGCTGTTAGAAGATGTATGTAAGAAACAAGGGATTCAACCTTCCGATTATAATTTAAAACATCATAATCATATATTAGATTTAACTACAACTATTAGATTTTGCAATTTACCTAATAAAGCTCAACTTGAAATGGTAGAAGCAGAAAAAAAACGAGTGGAATCAAATCTTACTATTGGATTAACATTAAATGATGGTAAGTTGTCTCTTTGAAATGACTCTGTTATATTCCCATTCCATATTCATACTTTTTACATTTGTTAAGATTTTTTCTATGTGACCTCATTATTAAAAAAATATTTCCAATTTACGCTAAATATAACAACACAAGGCTTTTTATAAAATATTAATGTTATTGTTTACCTTTTAGCTTTCCTATTGGAGCACTTTTAACTGTAGTAAAAATTACTTTTAATATATTATCTATACATGTAATAAAATTCTAACTGAGTCAAATCTGTACATTAAATATTTTTTGGGAAATCTTATTGAAATAGTCATTAAGAGATACATAGGTCAAATCTATAGTTTTTAGAATTTTTTTCTGGGGGTGCATTACGAGAAACCCACTGGACGATTTGGATGAAATTTGGTATAATGATAGCTGGTTATCCGGGTTAACATATAGGATACTTTTTACTGTAGGAATCTCATCTCTGAGGAATCTATACTAAATGTGAAAACATATAATAATATTTCAAATAATTCATTATAAATAAAAATAACTGTATATAATTATGTAATAACCTTAATTATCTCAATAATATGAAAAAAATAATTTAATTCAAAAAACTATAATAGTACATATATTAAGGATTTTTATGAAATAATATGGGTTTTTTTCTAAGGTGAAAGGATGACTGGTGACTTTTCCCCCAATACTTCTCTTTATGATTTAATAATATCATTGGCTCCTAATGAATTACGATCTTTAAACAATCCAACAATTATGTATATGAGACAAGAGGTGGTTGGTGTAGATGCTTTGAAAGGAAAATCATTAAGACAGTTGGGTTTAATTAAAGGAAGAGCCATACTGCGGTTGTTAGACAAAACAGAAGCTACGTAAGTATATTTTTGATATTATATTTACCATTAAACTAGGTCCGTTATTTAATAGTCATTGAAAGCCTGAAAGCCAATACAGCTCACTCTTCGTCACTTTTTATTACTGCTTAATGATTTAATAGTCTATAGCTTGCACTGTAATTCCAAGTTAAGTTTTAGACTTTATGAATTTGACTTTACAAAATAGAAAAAATATACTCAATTAAACTCACTTGAATACAGAACAAAAAATTGAATTAAAATACACTAACTTATGAGTTTGCAATGAACACTTGTGCACTACAACAACATACATTTTAAAATAAGTTTATACTTTTAATGTTAGATGCATAGCATTTTAGGTATATAGTTATTTTGAAACATGAAACTACTACATAAAGTCTGAAAGTATCATTATAGCATAATACAAGAGTTCACAGTATAAATCGCTGTAAATTTCAGAACAACTAACACTGGTCAAACCAAATGCTTTTGTATACTGTAACAGACAGCAACTGGCTTAAACACTGATCAATGTAACAGCTTTATTTATATTTTCTATCAAAGGCCACGTGTTTAAATTAGTAGTAACATATAGACCACTCATATAAAAAACAAAAACTATAGTATTTACACAAAAATTACTCTTACAGACAAGCAAATGTATCATCTGTCTATCGTCGAGTACAACCAGAAAAGGAAGAAAGCCGTTCAGCAACCAATCAAAAATTAGATAAATTTGAAAAGCCAGAAGTTGAGGAAAATAACAAACCAGGTCCATCTGGAGTTCATAATGATAAAGCTGTGCCTAAAACATTGGATCCAGTGAAAACAATATTGAAAGAGAAGGAGCAAAAAACCAATATTGATAATAATGCCACTCTAACACCTCTGCAGGATGTCGAAAGCAATGATAAGAAAATAGTTTCTGAACAAAAATTCACAACACCAAAGTGTGAAACTTCAAACCCTACTATAACGCAAGAAAGCTTAGAAAGACGACTTAAAATTGAAGAAGAAGTCACTTTTGTAAGTTGGTTACAAGAATATGTTGTGCACTATTGTTATAAATTTAGTGTTTGAATGAAATAGGATATGCAGCCGAATCCGAAACGAAAATTTCGGCTTCGGTTTCAGTTTCGGCCGAAACCGAAATCGAAACTTACTTAGATATGTTAAAATTTCTATTTATATAATATTTTATGTTATGTAGTTAACTAATAACTAAAACTTACTTCGCTCGGGTACCGAGGTGATACATCACGCACATCTATGTTCTAAATTTCAAGGAATAACAAACACAAACACACACGCAAATAAATACACATACACACCCTCGTAGTGTCCCGAAAGATCTCCCGAATTCTGCAGTCAAACTCCGCAGTGACAATTCGAGACGTTTCGAAACTACCGGTGAGAGATTAGGAGCAACGGTTTTATGTCCTCTCCGAGCCACGGGGATGACATACCGTCGATCTCAGGATCTACAGCCGACAGAAAACGTTAACGTTTAAAACGTTTTGTTTTTTTTTTTAAACTAGCATTACCCGCGGCTCCGCCCGCATTCATATGACCAAAAACCAAATTCTTAGGATTTACATAGTATACTCTTACATTTCAGTTTTTGTATTTTTTCTCAGAAATGAGATATTTTCCCGCGGTAAAAAGTATCCTATATGTTGACCCAGATAACCAACTATCACCATACCTCAAAATCCCTCCAGTGGTTTTTCTGTGATGCGGTAACAGACAGAGACAGAAAAAATTTAACAAAAATTCTAAAATCTATGTATTCGGCCCCTGTATCGATAATAATGTTTACTTCAATAAGATTTTCCAAAAAATATTTAATGTAAAGATTCGTCTTAGTTTGAATTTTATTATATGTATAGATACAGTATTTTTTTGGTCTATTCCCAATCGAAAGTTCTATCTAGGTGCTTCTTTGGAATTTAACAATCGTAAATCTAATAGAAATATACCTACGCATGAACAAAGCCGATGGCTAATGGCTGGTGTGCAAAAATTTGTAATTTTTAGATTGGATCTCAGAAAGCGGTGGCCTTTATGCAGCCAGACGGGAATGAGGATGAACTATCTGACTTGCCTGATGATTTTTATGAGTTAACAATTGAAGAAGTTAGGAAAATGTATCACGAATTACAACAACGCCGTATTGATTTGGAAAACACGCCAATGCTAACCTCTACGAAACGAGAAGAACTCGAGCAGGTACTAATAGTAAAGTAAATAAAAATTATATAAATTACACAATTATTAATCTTTTAATTTATACAAAAGAAAACTTTTTTTTTTTATTTTTTATTATTCTTGATAATACCATACCCAAATTTTAGGCATCACTATCAAGATTAAGAAATTACAAGAATGTAGTTGTACGGATTCAATTTCCAGACAATATTATACTCCAAGGTGTGTTCACTCCAAATAACACTGTAGAAGATGTGCAAAACTTCGTCAAGGAGCATTTGCATGAACAGAATAGGCCATTTCATATATGTAAGTAAAGCAATGTTTGATTATTATCTTAAAATCCATTTTCATTATTTGTAATTAATTGCATTTAACAATATTTATATTTTGGCATACATATAAGCTCTTTAAAACATATAACCTATCCCTTTTACTATTAAGAATACTTTAACAATTACTTGTAATACAACTCATTGCACTAGCGAAGCAAAAAGCTTTAATTTTTTGCATTAAAACGCTAAGGTGCTAAATAGATAACAAAGTTTATAAGTTATTATGTTATCAAAATCTTAATTGTTAGTTGCACATGAAGTTTCCGACATGGCAGGCTAGAGAAAATGTTTGTGTGTTGATAAAATTTTCGTTATTACGCGCGATGGCCAATATACGCGATAGATAAGTACCAGTAAAATTTTTATTTGTTCTTTTCGTACTCGCCATATGTATAACGAAATATTTCATAACGGCGAAAAATATGTATTATGTACTTTGTTCTGTAAGTTTCACTGTATAGAGTTTGAACTGTATTTTTATTTAAATAAAACCATAATATCATCAAGCTAGACTATTTATCATTATTACCAATAACAAAGTTATCTGTTTCAGTTACAACACCTTTAAAAGAAATTTTAGACCCAAAGATTACATTGCTAGAAGCTAAGTTTGTGCCCTGTGTTCACATGCACTTTAAATGGCTAGACGAAAAACCAAACCAGTCATATTTAAAAGAAGAAATATATTGTAATAAAACTACTAGCGACGCTGCCAGTATTCTAGCGTCGAAGTACCGGTAAGATATATTTATTATTGGCAACCTATAAATGACGGCTTAAAACCTTTCATTACTAACACAATTTGTTGTCGACACGTTTGGCTGTTTGTAGTGTTTGTAGAGTCCCGCTGGGGGTATTCATTTGTGTAATGAGCACGAATATTTATACTCCAGACATAGGTGTTTATATTTATAATATGTATGTATTTATCTACCTGGGTGGTGTAGTGGCTGCACACCGGAGGTCCTGGGTTCGATTCCCGGGTCGGGCCAAATTTAGTTATTGAGTTTGCGGTGTTTAACCCCCGTGCCTCGGAGAGTCCGTAAAGCCGTCGGTCCTGCGCCTTAACTCTCACTGGTCGTGTCGAGCAGTCGTCCCACCGGAGTATGAGAGTGACAGGAATAGAGAGTGCACGTTGTGTCTGCGCGTACACTTGTGCACTATAATATCTCCTGCTAGTCTCAGCAGCATAGCAGTTGGCTAGTCTCAATGAGATTGGCCGCCGTGGCCGGAATCGGTGAGAACATCATCATGTATTTAAAGTTATATATGTTTAGTGTATCAACTATCTGATATCCATAACACAAGCCTCGTAGTTTACCATGGAACTAGATGGTGCTGTGTGTTAATGTACCAATATATTTATTTTTATCCTTGCGAAGCACGATAAAGCTATGTAAATGTATAATGTAGGCAAAGGATAATAATTACTTGGAAATATCTCAGTGTATGAAACTTTAGGGCACCACTATGTTGCTTACATCTTTGTTTAAATATGTCATTGCTAACTTTTTTTGTTTTAAATATATAGGTACCAGTTGTATTATGAGCCGCTACTATGAATAAATATGATTTTTTCATACTAATCTATCAATAGGCTTTAGCCTTAGTAAACAAATGATCTAAGTCAAGTGAAGTTAGAAGTGTGGACACACACATCCTTTTTATACTTTTCTATTTTTTATTATGATCTTATAAATTAAGTTTTTTGAGAGATATTAATAAAAAGTAGAAAGTAGTGACATTAAAAAGGCGTACAATGATATACACGATTTTTATTCCTATTCCAATTAAATAGATGTAAATAATCTAATATTGCTGCAAAGGCCATAGAAGGTTGAAATATGTACTTATGTTATGCTGCCTATAAATCGCCCACATAGTACGCTTTCAAGTTAAATGCACCTTAAATTATTAGTCTATTGAAATATACATAGTTAAAAATTTTAATAGAATTTTCGTACACCTCACTTAGCTCTGATAAATTCTAGCGCTATTCTGGTCACTTATTAAACTTAATGATTGGAGATCGTCATTGAAATGAAATGAATTGTATGTTAGATCATTAATTTTGGAATTTTCATAGGGCACCAAGCCGAAGGAAACTAGAAGAATCATCGAATAGTTCCCAAAAATCAAATAATGGTTCATCTACATCTAAGGAGAGTAAATTGCCAAAATGGTTCAAGAAATAATTAAAAGATGTTGTTATGGCTTAATCAATATTGTATATATTTTATAAGTTTTTGTTTTTATATAATAACCTAAATTACTGTTTTAGTTATATTCTTGTTAATATATTTTAAATTAGATTTTAAACCGCTTAAAAATGTAATCTTAAGGTTGTATATAAGATATTTCGATTACACCCTTCAAAGTAAAAAAAGCAAATCTTTCATTTCTTTATTTTCTTTATAAAACTTAATATAAAACATACTTTAATTAAATAATCTTAATACTATACTGCCTAAAAATCATACAAAAATATGATTTAAAATAACAATTTACAACTGTATGAATGATGGTAAAGTTCCCAGTTTACACCTGGTGGGTTTTATATTTATAATCTGACAAATATTCACGTCAGAACCACTGTCTTTATAATATCTGTGTTCAACATCACATTGTTTTGTACCCTGCGTTATATCTTTATCGTTAGCAACATTTTTTTTCTTATCATTTTTTCTTATTTTAACTCGTTTTATTACCATGCTTTTATTAAGTACATTTTTATTTGTCTTCAAATTGTTAATCTCAGATTGCCTTCGATCATTTTTAACATGTCTAAAAGGGCATTTGTCTCCATTTTCACAGTACCCTTTTAGGAAATCTTGGCAAGTTTTAATATTGTCACTTATCTTAATATGCAGATAGGGACAGTTCTCTTTAGTACATATGCCCTTTAAATAAAAATAACAAGTGGGCATTTTTTTTGCAGTTAACTCGTGTGAAAGAGAACAATTATTATCATGACATATTCCTTTTAAAAATTTTCTACATAATGATACATGTTTTTTATCATGTAGATATTGACAATTTCCATATGTCTGCCTCAAACATTTTCCATATTTAGTGAATAACCGGCATGGAATATTATTTATCTTGAAATTAGCTTTTAACACTTTAGTTTTAGTGAGATGATTTTGCCATATATTTTTATTGGGACATTTTAAGACTGGTTTTAATGTAACTTTGTTAACAATGGGTGTTCTATTGTTCTTTGTATATTTAAATTGATTTGACTTGAGTGTCGTAAAGTGTACACAATTTGTAGGTTTTGTATGCAAAAGGGATTTTTCTTGTTTGATCTTGTTACTCGCGTCTCGTTTAGTCAAATATGAAATGGGTACAGTTTTATACCTACTTATTTTAATTTTGACAACATTTTCTGAAGACTGACTACTGCTACACTTGATTGGTATCTCATTATTAAAATTTGATAAAGTGTTAAAGGAAGGAGAACTTACAATTGATAATTTTTCTAAATTAATATTTGGTTCGTTTCCAATGGTAGTGCTAGAAGATGGTTGATTTTTTTTTCTGACTATACAATATCGGGATCTCGTTAAAGGCGCCACTCTTAAATTATTGTTCATGTACTCTTTACACGATATGTTTTCCGTATAAGTATTTTTATTTTCTTCCAGAATATGATCCTGTATCTTGTTAACAACAACATTATTTACTAAAGAATATGTATATTTTGATGATATATTGAAATTTTCATTTCTTGTCATGTTACATGTCCCTCCTTGACCTGTTGACGTTTTGCATTGTTCAGAAGTAGATGTACTACTTACTGGTATAAAATTAGGGTTTACATATATTTTCCTGTTCCCAGGAATTGGATGAATATCTGACCTGCCTTGATTTTGAAATTCTATGCAATGTTTATTTATGTAAGTTTTATTTGTTGATTTTGCAACAGAATTTCCTTTAAAATTAGGATTTATATACACCTTATTTTTAATATTTCTATCCATTACAAAATTTGAATCTTATTTAGTCCAAACAGTACTGATAATATTTGTTACCACTTTTGCAATTAATTTTATCAATAAAAACGGATTCTACATACTCTTCTTTTCCTTTAAAAATAACTTCATTCAATTTATCTAATATTTTTGAAATTTGATCTTTTTGATCTCCATTGACACTCAGAATGCTGATGTGGTATGATGGTTTCTAAAAAACAAAATAACCTGTCAATTAATGCACTAAAAAATTGTTATTGGGAGTAAAACAAACAAGCTAAAAATATTTATTTCAAAATTTTGTTTGAGAAAAATATGTAATAAATATAAATATTTTTTATCCAACATTATGTTTTAATCTGACATAGTGAACATTAATATTTAAACAGCTAAAGCTTTGGCAAGAACAGTCTAATATTCACATAACAGTCTAACAATAAGTCAGGACTTAAGTTTTTCTTTACAAAGCTTTTCTGCCATTGATCTTTTTGAACAGATGTTCATAATGATAGTACTGCAAAAGCACATGAGAAAGTATCTGTATGTCAAAGCTTCATACAAACATGCAACAATAGGTGCATTTCATCACAAGGCAACATTGTATAGCTTACACTATGAATTAATTATTAACATACGCATAATAATTTAAAAGCGACATGCACATGAATACCCACAATGCAATCTGAGCTATGCATAAAATAATCCTGTTAATATTATAAACACGAAAGTTCGAGAATGGACAAATGGATAGATGTTTGTTACTCTTACACACAAAAACTACTGAATGGATTTTGAAGATACTACAGTAATTACATCTTTTACATCAGACTAACACAAAGGCTGTATATATGGTAATAAATAATTGAACTATGCATGCAGAGCCATAGGAAAATGCAAGTTAAAAATAAAAATGTCATACTTTACTTGTAAGTACAAGTTAAAGAAGTTATTGTCAGTGTCTTTGCACTGTGCATACAACACAGTATTTTGATTTCATAGACAACAATCAAGCGTGGCTACATTTTTAAATACAAAATAAGCAGTGAAAACATTATAAAGGATTAATTTCAAAAATTATTTAATACTCACTTCATAAAATTTTGGTAATTTGTATTCTTCTAATACATTATCAATCTTCGAACTTAGATTCCACAAAATTCTGTGACTCCAAGAATCTACTTTAAGTGCTACAAATGTTCTTGTCTTTTCATCATTACAGTATACTTCAACAGAATCAAAATTTAATTCAAAGCTGAAAAGATGGAGAAGAAGGAATAATAATTATTGAAAGGTAATTGAAAAAAACTGTCACAAATTAAATATTAAATACCTTGCCTACACTATACTAGTACTGGTGCCTTATTGTACAAATAAATTGGACAGCCTTAATAATAAGAATGGCCCAAATGAAGGCTGTCCAATTCTTTCTATGGAATGGAACATCTTTACTAGTTTTCCATCTTTACAAATAGAACTTTACATTAAGGCTATATTTATTTATTTACTTTTAAATAATCAATAGAGAGATTTTTTTTTTCTGTATCCCGCTCAACGCAACAATCTGACATCAGACATTTAGCTGCTCCCTTGTTTGAAGTTGACTTTATAGCAGTGAGAAATTGTCCATTGACCACTCTCGCTTATTCTGTTGGGAATGGGTTTATTAGATTTGGAACACTGTTCCTCCTCAGTCTTGTGTAAACGGTACTTCCAGATCCCGCCAAATCAGCAGCCAGGGAGTTGATATGCTTGGTTAGTTTGTACTGGTAATTTTGACTACGGGCAGCGATTTCTTGTTTAACTGTTACTAGCTTAAAGTCTTGCAGAATATATTTATTATGAATGCATTTAGGCAAGTTAAACATGGATCTGATGGCTTTGGTTTGAAACCTTTCCAGGATGTCAATGTTACTGTTGCTTGCTGTTCCCCAGAGTTCAATACCGTATGTCCAAACCGGTTTCAATATGGTTTTGTATATTGCCATTTTGCTTTCATTGGTTAACTGAGACTTTTTACCAATCAGCCAGTACATGCTTCTCAACTTTGAGTCTAGGGTCTTTCGTTTCTGCCATATATGTTTTTGCCATGTCAGTCTTCTGTCCAAATACATGCCGAGGTATTTTGCTGTATCATCGTGTGGAATTTGTTCTCCGTTTAATGTTATTGGGGGACAGTTGCTTTTTCTTAGAGTAAAAGTGACGTGTACAGATTTGTTTTGGTTTGCCTTTATTCTCCATATCATTAGCCACTTTCCGATGTCATCAATGTGTTTCTGCAGGTTCGCTGAAGCGACTTCTGGGTTGGTGTCGTCTGCATATGTGGCAATGAGGGTATTATCATCTGTAGGTATGTCAGCTGTAAAGATGAGATACAGCACGGGCCCAAGAATGCTCCCCTGTGGTACTCCCGACTTGATTTCATGCAGCTCTGATGTGACGTGATTAAGTTTAACTTCGAAACAACGTTTGTCTAAGTAGCTTTCTAGAATGGAAAGGGAGGAGTGAGGTAAGTATTTTTTTAATTTAAACAGTAGGCCGACATGCCAAACCCTATCAAAAGCCTGACTAATATCCAGGAAAACCGCGGAACAGTATTTTTTGTTTTCAAACGCGTGGCTAATCGTGTCTGTCAACCTATGGACTTGTTCGATGGTACCATGCTGCCGTCTGAATCCGAATTGGTGTCCAGGAAGTATGGTTTCTAGATGCGGATGCATCCTGTTAAGAATATTTTTTTCGAAAAGTTTGCCCACCAAAGGGAGAAGGCTAATTGGTCTATAGGATGAGGTTTCTTCTGGTGGTTTGTCAGGTTTGAGAATCATGACAACTTGAGCAAGTTTCCACTGGGATGGGTAATGGGAGAGTCTGAGGCATGCATTGAAGACTCACCAAGAACATTATGGCTTTTTTTGAAAGGTTGTTTAGCAGTTCTGCATCTAATAGGTCATAGCCTGGTGCTTTCCTTGGTGGTAGAGCTTTGACCTCTCGGATAACCTCTTTAGGACTTACTGCCTTTAAGGGTAAGCATAGCTGGTTCGGCGACTGCAGGTAGTTGGATATTTCATTATCCTTATCGGGTTCAGTGCAAGGTAAAGGATTGAAGACATTAGATAAGTATTCGGCAAATACGGTTGCTTTTTCTATTTCAGATCTAGCCCAACCTCTGTCCTGTCTTCGCAACGGCGGAATATGATCTTTTGGTCGCTTAAAATTTTTGGTTGCGCGCCATAGCGAGTAATTAGTGTCCTTATGTGGGGTGAGGTAAGAAAGCTGTTTTTGTAGGCCGATGTTCTCATATTCTTTGGTCATTTCATTCAATTCTTTTGATGCTCTGTTAAACTTAGTTTTGTCCGAAGGGTATCTCGTTCTATGCCATTCTTTTCTCATTTTGCGCCGTTAGTTGACTTTCTCCATTATGTTCTTTGGGAATTCCATCTGCTTTGTCTTTGCTTTTCTATTTTTAGGTTTTTTTTTAATTTAAACAGTAGGCCGACATGCCAAACCCTATCAAAAGCCTGACTAATATCCAGGAAAACCGCGGAACAGTATTTTTTGTTTTCAAACGCGTGGCTAATTGTGTCTGTCAACCTATGGACTTGTTCGATGGTACCATGCTGCCGTCTGAATCCGAATTGGTGTCCAGGAAGTATGGTTTCTAGATGCGGATGCATCCTGTTAAGAATATTTTTTTCGAAAAGTTTGCCCACCAAAGGGAGAAGGCTAATTGGTCTATAGGATGAGGTTTCTTCTGGTGGTTTGTCAGGTTTGAGAATCATGACAACTTGAGCAAGTTTCCACTGGGATGGGTAATGGGAGAGTCTGAGGCATGCATTGAAGACTCACCAAGAACATTATGGCTTTTTTTGGAAGGTTGTTTAGCAGTTCTGCATCTAATAGGTCATAGCCTGGTGCTTTCCTTGGTGGTAGAGCTTTGACCTCTCGGATAACCTCTTTAGGACTTACTGCCTTTAAGGGTAAGCATAGCTGGTTCGGCGACTGCAGGTAGTTGGATATTTCATTATTCTTATCGGGTTCAGTGCAAGGTAAAGGATTGAAGACATTAGATAAGTATTCGGCAAATACGGTTGCTTTTTCTATTTCAGATCTAGCCCAACCTCTGTCCTGTCTTCGCAACGGCGGAATATGATCTTTTGGTCGCTTAAAATTTTTGGTTGCGCGTCATAGCGAGTAATTAGTGTCCTTATGTGGGGTGAGGTAAGAAAGCTGTTTTTGTAGGCCGATGTTCTCATATTCTTTGGTCATTTCATTCAATTCTTTTGATGCTCTGTTAAACTTAGTTTTGTCCGAAGGGTATCTCGTTCTATGCCATTCTTTTCTCATTTTGCGCCGTTAGTTGACTTTCTCCATTATGTTCTTTGGGAATTCCATCTGCTTTGTCTTTGCTTTTCTATTTTTAGGTGTTGAAGCGGTGGCTGCTAGGTGTATTGTGCTGTTGAGCATTTCGACAGCTGTTTCGACATCTTCACCCGTTTTTAATTTAATGGTTAAGTTGAGTTCACTTGATATGATTTCTCTATATAAATCCCAGTTTGTATTTTTGCTATGAATATTTTGAGGCGGTTCGAGTGCAACAGCTTGTTTAAAGACGTTTAGTATGACGGGAGTATGATCTGATGATAGATCTTCACATTTTTACTAGAAAGATAATAATGCAAAAACTATGGTAACAGTGATTATACCATATAATCTCACCTCTCAATTTTGCTTAACGTCTCCTGTAAAGAACTTGTAAAAGATTTTATCATGTGATATCTTAAAATAAATGTTTTAGATAGACTAATATGATAATCATCAATTTTGATATAAGATTTATCAAATAATATTATGAAATCTGCTAATTTATCTGTGATATTTAATAAGTTTTTCTTGTTTGGATCTGAAATGACAACAAAAAAATTATTTCTAATCCATTTTCACTTCAAGTACAATAATCTCGTGTTAACTTACAATCAATATATACAAATGTAGCCCAATTCCCTCTAATATGTGGAAAGGCACGTATTCTACCCCCATGAAGCGATGGATCGTCAATATGGTCTTCACTGGATATCACTGATATTCCATTTAAATTGGGTGTTGGTAGTTTAACTCTAAAAGAAATAACACTAATAATAAATATACAGAGCATAAAATAATGACTGCTTAAGGAGTGAAATATGTGTTTATAGTTTTCAGTGGTCAAATTAAACAAAAAATAACCCTTATTTATTTACGCAAAATTCTACTTACTTTTTTGATATCTGAATTTTTTCTTCTTCGTCACTGTCTTCCGATTGCGATTCGCCGTAATCACAAATATAGGACAATCCCGACATTGATTAACTACCTTTGAAGTAAAAAGAAATAAAAAGTCTTTAGATACTTAATACCTTAAACAAGAATTGTGATTTCTAATAGAAATCAGAATGTCGTGATGATTGATTAAAACATTTATTTGTCATGGATGACTCACTATGTGTAACTCAGCTCAGAGCCGGTTCAAATATTCAGTTCACAGTAGCTAGAGCCGTTGAGCTGCGGCTCAGTTGCTAGATAATCGGTTCACAGCTCAATATTACTTAATATGGCTCCGTGCATCACTTCAGCGCCACCTAACGTCAGCTATTTCGATGGACCCGAGCCGACGGACCTGTACTATAGTCTATAATCTATACTTTTTACAGAGAGGTCAAATTAATTGTTTAATATTTTTTATTCTTATAATAATAATAATTAATTACACGCTCCGTGTTTTAAAATAATATTAGGATAAAATCTAAATATACTTTATTCAAATAGACTTTTACAAGCACTTTTGAATCGTCAATTTTACATTTTAAATTTTCAGTGTAGTTAGTTTGTGCGGAAGTTACCACCGTCTCGGAAGGCAGTTCTACTACTTAGTTTTATACAACAATAAACTAATATTAAGTAATAGTTTTATAGATTAAATTGAACAGAGTCATAAATTAGCTGTAAATCTATAGTTATAAGTACCCATATAACATCAATTGAGCTGAACTGTGAGCCGGTTCACAGCTCCGGTTCAAGCATATGACTCATGAGCTGACCTGCAGCTCATAAAAATTCATTGAGTTACCCATGTCTATGGATGACCAGTGTTGCCAACACTCTTTAAAGAAAACGCGACTGTTACGAAACTTGAATGACTTTACGCCTTGTGCTTTGCTTTGTATGGGCTGGCACCGATTTCGAAAATATTTGAGTAGGTATGTATTTAATAGGTAGGCTTTAATTACTTAGCCAAGGCACACCGACTTCGAAAATATTTGATTAGGTATGTATAGTAAATGAAAACTACCAATCAGTTATTTTTTACTTTTTAGTGCTTTTGTTTGAAGTCGGTTTTTTTTTGTTAACAAGTTTTTATTTTTCCCTTTTTAGTGTAGACAGTAGTAGCAAAGTAAGAATTCTAACGTGTTAGGCTTGTCAAATCAAACAAAATAAGCCCAAACTCAAAGTATATCTACTATTAGCCGTTGAAGAGTTCCACCTATCCACCTTCTGGCCTTACCATCAGATCAGGTCAACAATACCGAACCACTGTACTATCAACGGAAATAGAAACACTTGCAAAGTTTCAAGTCAATATGACAATTAGAAGTAGGTTAAATCCATAATTAGCTATTTTTCCACCCTTAGGGGTGGTATTTTTTTTTGAAATTTAAATGGGACCAATCTGGAAGTATACCCTTTCAAACAAAAAAGAAATTGTCCAAATCGGTTAATAAATGACGAAGTTCTGAGGTAACAAACATAAAATAAAAAACAGTCGAATTGAGAACCTCCTCCTTTTTGAAGTCGATTGAAAACCGCTAGATTTGGATATTTTTCGAAAAAAAGCGCTGAATTATAAAAACAATTAAAAAATTTGGTAATTATAATTATTTTTAATTAAAATTTGGATGTAGGTTTTTTTTTATATAGTGTTTTTTTTATTTCTGAGGCTCTGGATGCTTGTTATTTTATTTATTTCTTAGAGTATGCATAAGCCATGTATACTCTGAGATTTGTTTTGAGCGATAACGTTCTGTTACACGTTATTTCAAAGGAGAGAAATATTATTTAAAAAGCGCGCTAAACGCTAGACTTTTTTGGTGGGCGCTGAGAGAGCCCAAAGAGCTTTAGATCTAGCGCCCAAAGCGCTAAGTTGGCATCACTGTAGATGACATAAACAGATCCATTATATGTATGACATGACCATGAACGAATTAACCACGGACATGACGTATATTAATTGTTACCAATAAAAAAAGTGATTTTAAAACTCTTATTTCGTCTACAGGTAAATATTTTTTTTTTATTTTTGTTCTTTTTTACATTTTAATTACAGAGTTTGATACAAACTTTCATCACACATTTTAGACCCTTATAGATAGAATTTCGAAAAATGTTAAAACACGTTTTTATTTAATTGTATTGAAGAGCATTAATACCAAGTTTCAAGTAATTCTGATCATAAAATAATTCTTTACCAATTCTTTACCTATATAAAGTTATTTTTTTATTACCGATTTTTATCTCTTTAACCTTAGACTAAAAGTAAATAAGCCATACGTGTGCGGACACAACACTTTCGAGAAATCCTCCTCATTACAATAATTCGTTTATGATCGAAAATATTTTTAGCGACATCTATGAGCAAATAAATAAGACACTATGCATTTTTACCAGACCAAAAAAGTAGATGTCGCAACTTACTTTGGAAAAATTAACAATGACTTGTGTCGCCCCTCAGTCCAATGTTTGGACCTTACCCTGGTCCCTGACACGCATACTGAAGTCTACAATTTCCATCTACGCGCATAACAGTTTTTAAACTTTAGACGCTCGTATTTATTAACCATGTTTCGGTCAAAAATATATGCTAATTCAAAAAATGACGCCCAATTAAGACGGGGGAAAAAAAAAATATGGTATAATCTAAGGTCTCTTAAATTATGGTATAATCTGGAAACCAAAACTCAAAATAAATCCGCGAAATAATCCTAAAACATAGTTTAATTTAAAATGTCAAATATTCGCGTAAATCTAAGAAAGTACTAAGATTCTTATTTAATAATACTAACGTCCATATATTAAACCGACTTTGAAAATAGTTCAGTGTTCACCAAAAGAAACGCAACTGTAGGTGGAATGCTACTTCGCACCTAAGTTCTGTGAGAGATTAGAACTCTCCTGATCGAGTCTGCCGTATTCAAGCTAACTAACAAATACACTATGGATATTTAAAAACAAGGTCAAAACAATGACTGTAACGTATTATGTACACAATATTAGACCCCAAAACAATAGTTATTAATTTTTTTTGTCTGTTTGCATGCCTGTTTGTATGTGTGTATTTCACGCAAAAAATAATGAGCCGATTTCAACGAAATTTAGTTAAGTGATAACTTATATGGGTACTAGCGGACCCGACAGACGTTGTCCTGTCTACACGTCTTTAATTTGAAAATTTCAAACTTTTTTTAATAATTTTTTCGATGAAAATTATTATTCAAATTGTGAATCTAAACCATTCCCAGATCCCCTTGAACACACACAAAAAATTTCATCAAAATCGGTCCAGTCGTTTGAGAGAAGTTCAGTGACATACACACTCACAGAAGAATTATATATATAAAGATGTATTTAGGATACCCTTACTTCAGGAAAATCTTTCTTTCCCAGGGGAAAACGCAATAACTGGATTTATCGAGTCGTCACACATTTCATCCTTACCGCGAGAAGAGTAAATGTGTATGTCTCCGACTGCATAATATTGTATTCCTCCGTCAACTTGTTTTTATCTTTTTAGTTAGCTTTTATGCAGTCGGGTATTTTATTTTTATAATATATTTTTTTACATTGAGCCTCGTCAAAAGTATAAAACCGAAGTATTTTTTAACATTATAGATAGGTACAGCTATAAATTCCTCAGAGTTAGAGAAACAAAAAAATTTAAAAAATCTGGTTTTGTTCTATTTCCATTCTTACATCGCCCTGACTCGGCTTTTAGCATATTTTTTTCTATGTACAGACATTCGACCTCTACAATTTTATTATATGTACCTATAGATATAATAAAATACTTCGACATATTATTACAAAGGAAAAATTATTTTATATTACAGAATAGGTTACGCTATAGCTAAGAGATTAGGTCAAGAAGGTGCATCAGTGGTTATAAGTAGCAGAAAAGAAGAAAATGTACAAAAAGCTACAGCCAACCTCCGAGAAGATGGCATCAACGCGGAGGGGCTTGTATGCCATGTGGCCAACGCTGAGCATAGAAAAAAATTATTTGATTTTGTACGTATTTAGGAAATAATTTAAAACTCATCAGTGAAAATTTATGGAAAGTACCAACAGCATAGTGATAAAATTCATGTTAAAAATGTTAAGTGATCTGGTAATGTGAACTTATATTTACTAGAAAGTTGTTAAACTTAATGAAAATATTATATAAGATTTACGCGAATACTTCACATTTTGAATAATACTTTAATTGAAAATTTAATTTGCAGGCAAAAAGTAAATTTGGTGGCATTGATATTCTTGTTTCAAATGCTGCTGTAAATCCTGCAGTTTCACCAATATTAGAGGTAACTCTACGAATAATATAGTTATATTTTTCTTAATTTTTATAAGTGGTTACATTGTCGAAAATGAATTATGGTCAATTTGTACATTTTAGACGGATGAAAACGTTTGGGATAAAATATTTGAAGTAAACGTAAAATGTTCGTGGCTGTTAGCAAAAGAGGTGTATCCTGATCTTATCAAGCGAGGGGGTGGTAGTATAGTTTTTATTTCCTCAATTGTAGGCTATCAGCCAATAGAGGTAAGTAAATCTTAATTTTTTTACAATTTTCTTCCCATAGTAGGGAAGTTAAAGAGGGGGTTTTTTCGAATGTACTTAAGCACGGCAGATTAACATAAGGGGGGATACCTTGCTTTCTGTTGAGTGCCACATATAAGTCCTCTGTATAAGGTCCCGCGTCTAGGACAGACTTATATATATATATATATATATATATATATATATATATATATATATATATATATATATATATGGGTGATTCTACAAAAAATGGGTAACTCGATGTCACCAGTCAATAAAATGATGTATTATTACATTTTGTTTATAATTTATAATTAATTATAAAACAATTAAAAGCCATTTATTTGGTCACTCAATTTCAGCCATCCATTATAAATACAAATTTGTGAAACTTCACAATATATCCTCAAAACGTCAGTACTTTGGCGTGTCACAACGTCAAAAGCGCGCAATCAAATAGCTGTGTATTAAATATTACCTTTAATATAATAAAATGTATTATTTCACTATAATCTGTGATGTATTTAATAATATATGATCACAACTTTATATTATAATATTTTCAACTTTGTTGTAAAAATAATAAGAAACTTTGTGTTCAGTTTTATTCGTCAGTCCGTTGTGTGTTGTTAGAATTTGAATATCTCGCTAAATACCGGCGACTCAAATCCAAATCCGCGTTAAACTTTGAGGTTGGTAATAAAGTTAGCTGCAGACCGCAACATTGTTCGGCCGTCATTTCTGTGCCGGTGATAGAGTTGTGTTTGTCGTGTGAACACGTGCCGACCCAGACAAAATGTCAGTCCTATGGTGAATCGCTATTTTTTTGTAAATTTGTGTTATATTTTAATTTAAACATACTTAACTTTGATTTGTTAAAATGTAACTTATTGATATTCGAAAATATCAAAATAAACGTTGGTTCTAAAGATAAGCTCAAATTCTTGTTTGTTTCGTCAGTCCGTTGTCTGATATTGCGCCAAAGGACAGACGTGTTTCCAGGGTACTAACTTGTTGGGCGTGTTTAATTATTTTTTATAATTATTTCAGTTTATAACATCATGGCTCCATAAAAATAAACAAAATATGTCTAAGGATAGAGATAAAATATTGAAAAAGAAAATAAAGAAGAAAATTAAATTAGCTGAATATAAAAAGAAAAAAAGGTTGCAATGCTTGAAAAAGAAAGGAAAGGGACAAAGAAAAATATTAAGGACATGACGCCTCGGGGGCAACGATTGACAAGAAAAGAATGGAAAAAATATTCATTAAAGTACAGGCAAAAAAAAACAACTCTTCTACAGATAATTTTGTACACCAGAATACTCCTTCAACTATTGACGATGAAGCATAACCAATAGTTGTTGAGCTAATAAGGCCCATTGTGAACGAAGATCAAAGAGCAAAAGAAGCAAAGAGGAGAAGTGAAAGACAGAGAAAATGCAGAAATAAGCAATTAAAAGAGATGAAAGCAATGGTTTCAAAACTAAAAACTAAACTAAACAATCAGCGTCAAAAATATGGAAGAGTCAAAAATATATAAAAAATATTTTTTTAATTGTTACTTAAGTGAATTAAGATTAAAAGTGAGACTCAAAATATGTGCCATTATTAGTTCCTAAGAGATTTTTTCTAAATTTTAATAAATTTCTTGCATATCTTATGAAACTGTGTATTTCATCAGTACTTTGTCACTTACGTCAGTCCCCTGGTTTCGGAATTCGGAAAAATCGAAATATCTCCGCATCTACTTTAAAAAGTGACTGGCCCTATCATGAGCAATATTTTCATTAGATTAGCTATCTTATAATCAGAATTCGTAGGAATTTGATTTAAAAACTATCTTAAACAAAATATCCTGAAAAGTTACCCAACTTTTGTATATCCGCCCATATATACATATATATATATATATATATATATATATATATATATATATATATATATATATATATAACTGCCTCGGTGGTGTAGTGGCTAGCATGTACGGCTGCACACCCGGAGGTCTTGGGTTCGAGTCCCGGGTCGGGCCAAGTTTAGTTTTTGAGCCTTTCTGTATAGTAAGCCTTAGTAACAGCCCGGAGTTGGGAAGTTGGCGGTGTTTCACCCCCCGTGCCTCGGAGAGCACGTAAAGCCGTCGGTCCTGCGTCTTAACTCTCACTGGTCGTGTCGAGCATTCGTCCCTAAGCATGGAAATGATTGCTACTTTTAAATCATTATCATATGATAAAATTATTTTTCATGTGATTTCACCTGTTACTTTTCACAGGCAATGATTTTGCATTTCGACGGTCTGGTGTCACACTTTATACACTCGCCGGCATATTTAGCGGAACACAAAAAAAAGGTTCATTATTAAAAAAAATGGTTTTATTTTAAAATCTACTTACTACACTTCTTTTGTTATTTAAAGTTTCAATTGTTTTACTTAAAATGAGATCACATTAAAAACAGATTTTGCGAGTAAAGGCTATTTGTGAAAAATTGTACATTTTTGAACTTTTCATATAACCGGGAAAAGTGAAAATTAATATTAAAATAACAATTAATTAAATTAGAAAAATGGTGATTAATATCGCGTATTTCCTCCACGTGCTCTTATTAAAGTTTCTACCCGTCTAGGCATACTGAGAATGATGTTATCGATGGTCTCCTGGGATAGTCTTCGCCATTCCTCAACTACGGTGATTCGCAGTTTACCCACGTTGGCAGGAGCTGGAATTCTGGACTTAACTTTTCTTTTCAGCAAGTCCCAAACGTGCTCTATTGGGTTCATATCTGGTGATCTCGCCGGCCACTCCATAACAGTGATATTCATATCATTAAGATAAGCTTGAGTTACCCGAGCGGTATGCGGCCGAGCATTATCCTGCATAAAAACAAAACCGTTACCGATATATGGGGCAAACGGTACGACATTTTCTTCTAAAACTTCTCTGATATAGCGGTCTACAGTCAGACTCTCTCTGTCAATCACTACCAAGTCTGTGCGAGCTCCCAAACAAATGCCCGCCCAAACCATTATTAATCCACCACCGTATGCAACTGTAGTTTCAAAGTTTATCTGAATGTATCGTTCTCCTTTGCGTCTGTATATTCTTTGCCTGCCGTCAATTTGATTTAAGAGAATTCTACACTCATCACAAAACAATACCTTACTCCATTGGTCCGCGTTCCAAAGTCGATGTTCCTGAGCAAAAGTTAACCTGTTTCTACGATGATTTACCTCGAGCCTTGGAGCCTTGGCGGGCACAAATGATCCCAAACCAGCTTCTTCGAACCTTCTTCGTACCGTACGCTCACTTACGGTTACACCCCGCACTGCTTCTAACTCATGTCGGGCTTGGAAGGCTGTCAAACGGGGGTTCCTACGTACACGAAGCCGAATGAAACGGTCATCCCTACTCGAAGGGCGTCTTTTTCTGCCTTGTCCTGCTTTTCTCACATAAGTACCGGTCTCCCTGAACCATTGGATACTGCGATGGATCGTTGAAACTGGTCGACGAAGATCTCTGGATATAACTCTGTAGGTTTGACCATTTCTTCGCATTTCGAGTGCCCTGGCAATCTCCGTTGGGTCTAAGTCAGGCATAATTCAGTCTTCAACTCCAAAAAGATACGCGATTAAAAAAAAACTAACAAAAAACAGTATTTCAATGAAATTTTAAATCAAACTCAGAAGGAAGAAATACTCGAAGTTCGCTCCAAATAAGGTGTATTTGAATAAAATTAAAACAATTGCATAAAATGTGATGTTCAGTTGTTTTCTTAATTTGAAAATATTTCTTTTTAAATTAAATGAAGTATAAACCAGCCAGCAACCTTATTTGATACTGATATCAAACCTTTATTTTATGTTCCGCTAAATATGCCGGTGTGTTTATTATTTGCTATTAAAATGAAGTATGAAATGTCACCAATGTTATTTATACCTAATTATAACGAAAACACAAAACTTAAGTAAATTGGTATATTAAATATTTACACTAACTATTACAATGTATGTAGTATCGCAATCCCCCAAGCCACCAAGCTGTGATTTGTAGCAGTCACTGTGAATTTAAGTAGCAGGTGTGACGTGTGATAGCGCATTTCATGTGATTTTTCACTTGCTACTCGTGAAATGTTCCATGCCTATTCGTCCCACCGGAGTATGAGAGTGACAGGAATAGCGAGTGCACGTTGTGTCTGCGCTCTCCCTCACACGCGCTGCACTATAATATCTCCTGCGCAGTTGGCTAGTCTCAATGAGATTGGCCTAGAGTAAAAATGTTCCTTGTTGGCCGCCGTGGCCGGAATCGGTCAGGAGAACATCATCATATATATATAGTGGAAGTACTTAAGACAGTGCAAGGTATCTCCTCTTATGTTAATCTGCCATGCGTGAGTAAATTCCAAAATCCCCTATTGGGCTCCTATACTATCATTATTGTATACAATAAAAAACTAAAAATTCAAAAAAGAAACACTAAAAAGTAAAAAAAAACTGATTGGTAGTTTTCATTTGCTATAGATATCTAATCAAATATTGTCGAAGCAGCTGCCAGCCGATACCTATCAAAGCACTCTGACTTTGAAAATATCTGATTAAGAATCTATATTCTATAGTAAAGTATTTTTTTTAATTTTTTTCCTTTTTAGGTCCGAGATAGTAACAGCAAAGTAAAAAAAATATATTTTAATAAAATAATCGCTTAAGCCGTTTAAGTTAAATTGATGGCAATTTTTATATGAAGATTAACAAACTAAAATTCGCTTAGACAATAGGTAGGTTAAATTCATCATTAGCTATTTTTCCATCCTTAGGGGTGGTACATATTTCTTTTTTAAATTAAAATGGGACCAATCTGGAGGTACCTACATACTTCAAACAAAAAAAATTGTCCAAATCGGTTTATAAATGACGGAGTCCTGAGGTAACAAACGTAAAAAAAAATACAGCCGATTTGAGAACCTGTTCCTTTTTGAAGAAGTCGGTTGGAAATATAACAAATACCTACACCCGTTCCCTCATAAAATTTCACTTTTATAATATTAGTTATTTATTTATTTATTTTTATTTTATTTATTTAGGTACAGAAACAGAAAACAATTTAAAAAATTACATCTACGTATTAAAAACTAAAAATATCATTTTAAATTTATTCTCCAATGATATCTGTATTCTGTTCGCAATATTCAAATAAAAACATATAATAATTATATAAAAAAACTTAACCAGAAGATGAATGTTACAGTACGAGTCTGTGCATTTAAAGTTATGAGTACATAAAAAATATTAAAAAAACAAAAAGAAAATAATATTTACATTTCATGTGGAAAAAAGACAAAGAATGAATTATAATACAAATTTATAAATATGAATTAATATGAATATGAATGGATATGAATATGATATACCTACTCATAACTAAATAGTTAAAAAAAATTACCTATCTTTCCGACAGTGAAGCTATAAAAGTCATTGACTTAATTCTTTATCAAATGCTATATTATCAGTTCCAGCCTTTGGGATCATACAGCGTCAGCAAAACGACGCTGATTGGCTTAACTAAAGCCATTGCAAACGAAATTGTTCACGACAACATTAGGGTTAACTGCATCGCACCTGGATTAGTGGCTACGAAGTTTGCTTCTGTGGTAAATATACAAACAAATAAAAAAATAGATAACAAAAAATATTTAAATTGCTGAGTCATAATTAAGATAAAAGTTACATTACAAAACATACATTTTACGATACTTAGATTTTTCTTTACTTTACAAAATCATCTGGAAGTCGTTAAAAATTTATCTGTAAAGTAAGGATTATTACTACCTACATATTTATTATTTTTAGGTTAATTTAAAACAAAACTTGTATAGTGACTAGACATGCGTAGGTCCGGATTGAAATAGTTCCCGGAACTATGTCTTTGGCCGGAACGATATCGTTCCAATCCGAGATGTCAATTGAAACAGGTTCACAGTTCCATATAGTTCCACATGTGCAGGAGTGAGATGGAGCGAGTAAACGAATATATTGGACCGATCACCGAAGCGATTGAATGAACTGAACGTAACCGACTCCTGCCGAACCTACCCGAGCTATAGCTGTATATTAAATTTTAAGGTGCTTCCTCACAAGAGTTAATTTTTTTTTCTAAACATCTGTTAAGCCGCGTCCACATGCTGGGCGCTTGCCACAAGCACCGAGAATCTTAAACACGTGCCAAACACCGAACACAAACTAAATACATTAAATAAATAAATTAAATTAAAATAAAAGCCTTTTATTTCTTGCGCTTACTAAAAACAATTTAAGAAAGTAGGTATTTATTAATTATTAATAAAATCCTTTCATATTCAGTTATATTATAATAATAGTATTAGATCTAATGTTATATTAATTATTATGTATATAAAGAATGTTTATTAATTTAAACTTTTTTCTTAATTTTTACAATACCTAATATGAATTAGAATTTATAATTAATAAAAATAATAACAATAAATAATTAAAAATTAAGATCAATGTATATAATAAAATAATTCATAAGTTAAACAAGTTATTTGAAGTAGTTTTTTTAAGTTTTTATTTTCCATTTTTAGTGTAGATATAGTAGATACCTATTACCAAAGTAAGAAGAGGTCAAACAATTAAAAAAATATATTTATACATGTCGATTTGAGAACCTTCTCCTTTTTTTCGTGGATTTAAAATGATTTCATGTTAAAAAATGTTAGGTATGTGATGTTATGTGCTGCACTGCTGTGTGGAAGCGCCATTATGTCGCGTAGCTACTGTGTGTAAACTACTGTAGTGACTAGTGCGTGTGCGAGTATTCGCAATAATTATAATGTCATCTCTTACTATGCTATTACGATTAATAATGTGCCATCTTCACTGTGCGTTAAAGTCGATAATTCATTGATTAAATCTGATTTTCGTTTTGAACTTTTAAAACATTAATAATATATTTTTAAATTTTAATATTCTTTCACTTTTGACACAATATTTTTGTACTTTGTTGCGTTCGTCTAGATTCACATTGCGCGCGAAAGCACCGTAGTTTTTTGAAGTTGGTTTAATTTTTTTTAAAACCTTTTTTATTTCGTAATTTTTAGTTTTAAGTAAAAACTGAAATAGTTTTTGTAAAAAGTAGTAATTACAAAAAATACACTTTTTTATCCATATACAATTTTTTAACCACTGAACCGATTTTGATGAAATTCTTACTATTCCCTAAGTTAAAATAAATGTAAGCAAATAAAAAGGCATCATCACGTCGGTCGGAATAGTAGTTTTGGCGAAATGCGTGGACGAACATACATACACACAAACAAACAAACAAACAAACAAACAAACAAACAAACATACATACATACATACATCTATACACCCATAAAATTTTGTATATTTGCTTCGAAGCCCTAATATATCATATTATGTTAATATCTTGCAGTTCTAATAATATTATATACATACGTGTCGAATTGATAACCTTCTTTTTTTTGAAGTCGGTCAATTAAAACTATATCTCCCGCTATACTGTCCTCGGGACAGTCATGTCATACAAATGAAAACGACCGCACTAATTCGGGCTATTTTTGATTACTTGAATAGATAACAGATGTTACGACAAGTCCCCCTGATAGCACGAAACACCACATTCGTGTCGAAGGAAAAATCCTTAAATCACTATAAATGTCACAACAAAAAAAACAACAAAACTTCCTGTTCAATCATAAAATCTCGAAATCTTCAATGTCAGAATTCAAAAATATATACATATTGAATATTGATCAACTAATTACCTATTTATATTATTTTCAGATAACCTCATCTGATATAGGAAAAGAGAAAAGCCTATCAATAGTGCCTATGAAACGATTTGGAAAGCCATCTGAAATAGCCGGCGCAGTCGCTTTCTTAGTATCTGACGACGCAAGCTACATGACCGGCGAGACTCTGGTTGTTGCTGGTGGAACGCATGCTCGCCTTTAGATTACATATCATTTCTTATATAAATACGTACCTATCTACTAAACTATTAAAATTCCTACACTGTAACATTACATAATGTCGAAAATAATCTTGATTAAATCATTAAGAATACAGGAAAAATGTAGAACCTAAAAAAATAAATGCATTTTAATTTTGATTAAAAAAAATCCCATAAATGCAATAGTTGTAGTCTTACATTTTGTGAAATAACTTTGTCGAAAAGAATATTTATTAAATAGGTACTACAAATAGGTAGTACAAATGATATAATATGTATTCTAATAAATGATATCACATTCTTTTCGGTAATGGTAAAATTAACCTATCTCCTAAATACTTAACTCATTTTGAAACTTTCTTTGTAATATTACGTACTGTAATTTAATTTATTTCTATGACATGACATTTTGCGGTCTCAGTTATCTATTACTTATGCATTTTTACCAACTTCCAAAAAGGAGGAGGTTATCAATTCGTCGGAATCTGTTTTTCTTTTTTTTTAATGTATTTATATATGTTACCGATTACTCCAAGACGCCTTAACCGATTTGTAAAATATTTTTTTTGTTTCAAAGGGTATACTTCCCAGGTGGTCCCATATAAATTTTATCGAAATCGGTAGAGCCGTTTTTAAAAAAATCGACAATAAATATATTTTTAAAATAAATTGTTCAGTCGAATATGTTATTAAAAAACTTTCTTCTTACAAATTACATGCTTATTACGTCTACACTAAAAATGAAAAAATAAAAACTTTTTAACAAAAAATAAAAACCGACTTCCAGGCACTAAAATGTAAAAAATAACTAAACGGAGGTTTTCATTTAGAATAGATTCCTAATGAGATATTTTCGAAGTCGGTGCCAGCCTACAATATTTTAAGATATGAACATCTAATAGGTAAATATATATTTTACGTATCAAAATATATTAGATTTGCTTTGCATCGGCTGGCAAACCAAAGAGATATGTATCATAATAAATCGCTTAACCTCAGACTGAATGTAAATAGATTATACGTGTAGCGCCCTCCTTTCAAGAAATCTTTCCCATATTTATATAGTTTTGTCAATAATTCCTGTTTTTATTTTAAATATTAATGATATAACGAGATCAATTTTCGTAGTTATATATTAATAAAAAAGCACTCGATTATATTATTCTTAAATCATAATTATTATCTGTATCGTTCTCATAACATAAATTTTATCTGTTTGTTTGTATAATTATTATCATTTTTTATCACGTATTTTGGAATTTGGACCTGACCCTGCCACGCATTACGCATAAATAACAGTTTCTAAACTTTACACACCTCAGATATATATAAACATTAAACATGTTTCGGTCGGGTACATTTTTCTCACCCAATGTGTCAAAAATATATGCTAATACAATAAATGCTAGAAGTTTTAATAGTGGTAGGCTTAATGGCAAAGTTGCTATAGTAACAGCGTCTACTGAAGGGTGTGTATTTGTTTTATATTTATATATGTAACAACATAATATGTACATATGTATACAAAGACTTCCAATAGTTCTTAATCCAACATATTTTTAGAATAATTATGAGTAAATTAATAAAACTTACAGTAAGTTGAATTTGAAGTAAATGGTGTAATTATATGTAAGACAATTTTTTGTCGTATAATCTAAGCAGGGCCGGATTTAACCTTAGTGCCGCCCCTGGGCACAGTAAAAAATGCCGCCCTATTGAAATTTTCGATAAAGTTTAAATGTTTTTAATTATTAATGTTTTGAAAAATACAAAAAAATAATTTATAAATGATATCAATTTTTCGGAGTGTGTACCTACTACTAAAATACTTTCTTACATTTACGCGAATATTTGACATTTTAAATAAAACTATCATTTCGGATTATTTCGCGGATTTATTTTGATTTTTGGTTCCCGACCTTTCGAATGCTGTACAGAAATAATGGTCACGGGAGACATAAAATCTAAGACGTCTCTGCAAAGGCGTTATAAGTATACTTGTTACAGACAGTGCCTACCCACAATTTTACTAAAACGTGCCATTTTTGATTTTTTGAAATCGTTCGGGAACCAAAAATGAAAATAAAACCGCGAAAGAAACCGAGAAGAATGTACCTACTAGTTAATCATTTTTTATTTTTCAATTTTTGTAAACTAAAAAAAACATTTTTAATAACGCGATTCTTCGCGTTATCAATAATTCTTTTTTTACTTAATTTTTTTCCCTCCGAATTTTAGCCCCGAGTGCCCCTAGTGTAAATCCAAGGCTGAATCTAAGGTTCCTATTTAATAATGCTAACGTGCATAAGTATTTCACCGACTTAGAAAACAGAAAAGGTTTTAATTCAGACATATTTTTTTGTATTCATCTATGTTCACCGAAAGAACTAAGCCTAAGTCCTGTGAGAGATTAGAACTCTCCCGATCGAGTCTGTCGTGTTCACGCTAACAAATAGATTAGATTTCTATTCAAGAAATTGGAAGGTTTAGAATCAGGTCAAGAGCGAAGATAGCAAGAATCAGTTTAACAATGTTTGGGGACGTTTAAACTCTTGGTTCCTAAGGTGAATGAAGATAATGTTGGTATAGATCAAGAGATGTTTACATGATATTTTGTCTCCATGATCACTCAGTGTCGTTGATCATAGTGACAAAATATCTTAATTATCTGGGGAGTGTTAGTTCGAAATGGGTGAAAAGGTGTTTAATAAAGATACTTCTAGTAAAAACAGAAATGCGATAACGTCTTATTTGATAGTCACGAGTCTGTGTGTTAATATATCGTATAGCTCGTAGAGCAAGTTCTTGTAGTATTTGTAAGTTTTATGAAGTATTTTTTTGCCAAAAAGACGTAGTGTGTACCTAGCCTTAACCGCTGATAATGTACTGTACTGTACATCTGTGCACTATAATATCTCCTGCGCAATTGGCTCGTCTCAATGAGATTGGCCGCCTTGGCCGGAATCGGTCAGGAGAACATCATCATCATCATCATTCCTTCGTCAACTTTTTTTCGTCTTTTTATTTAGCTTTAATGCAGTCGGGTTTTTTATTTTTATAATGTATGTATGTATTCAGCCCTTTTTAACGTCCCACTGCAGGGCACGGGCCTCCCTTCAATACTTATTAACTAATATTTTTATAATATACTAGCATTGCCCGCGGCTCCGCCCGCGTTCAGATGACCAAAAACTAAATTCTTAGGTGTTACATATTAGTATACTCTTACATTGCAGTTTTTGTATTTTTCCTCAGAAATAAGATATTTTCCCGCGGTAAAAAGTATCCTAGGATCGCGCGCTACATCGCCCGGTTTATATAGCTTGAGCAGGCGGTCGAGCGATGCGGGGCAGAGGGGATGGACTCGCCGTAGGCATCTCAATGCTCGCCAAGCATTAAAAATGTTTCGCTACTAATTACTTCTAACAACGATATCTCAAAAACTATTCATCTGATTGATTTAGTGTAAAGAGCAATTTTAATCTGCATTAAATGACTAAGCTAACTAAAATATTCATTTGGATAAGGATTAATACCGAACTAAAGAAAATAACTTTGAAAATAACGTAATGTTTTTAATTAAAAATGTTAACATAAAAGTGGTTATTGTAAGTCAACCGTAAGAGATAGAGATATGCTATCGCGGACTTTTTTGTAGCATTTTTATAGATTTTGAATTCTCTAGTACATTACTTAACTGTATCTTTGCTAGTTTACGCGGCGTTCGCGTGGAAAGTTCCCATTTGGCGAGATTTTTTGCGACCTCTTCAACATTTGTCGCCGTATTTCAGCTAATTTACATAAAAGCATAATAAATTATATACCTAAACCTTCCTCAAGAATTACTCTTTCTATTGTTGAAAACCGTATAAAAATCCGTTCAGTAGTTTTCGAGTTTATCGCGTACAGACAGACAGGAGGACAGAAAGACGCGGCCGGGGGACTTATTTTTAAAATAAGTATAGATATTTTTTATTTACAGCTGTTTAGTTTTTGCTAATTAGACATTTGGATCTATAGTTATTAGTTAGCAATTTTTATCCTAAATTACTTGTGATCGCCTCTTAAAATCTGTATTTTGATACCTCATTCGATTGGTTTAGAAGATTTTTTCTGCCTGGAATCCGCCATTTTAATTTTTACCTGTTTATATAGTCTATGACACTCGCGTTATCAAGACGATTCTAATGACGTATGAATCAACGTAAAATCGGCCCATGAGTTTGGTCTCTAAAACGCCACATAGGAACAAAATATTACGTACATGCATGTATATGCACACATGCAAACGCGCACACGCACGCACGCATGCATGCGCGACACACACACGCATACACACACATAGACTGATATAATTGTACATTAATCATACTTTGTTTCGCGCAGTCGGGTAAAAAAGCTAAAGAAAAAATACTATTAATACTATTATAAGAATGAAGATTATTCATATTTCTGCACCGTCTTGCGCCGTCCCTAGAGCCCTCCCGCCTGGACCATGGATCCTACCGCTACAATGTATATATGCCACAGTCCAGGAGAACATAAAATTAGTGCGGTTACATAAAATCCTTCCGGCAGCCAATCTTACTAAGACTAGCCAAATTCGCAGGGAGATATTATAGTGCACAAGAATGTTTGGAAATACAATGACACTTTTTATTCATATTACTTTCTAACTCCAGTGTAATGACAATTCGAAACGCAGCACCGAAGTCCAAGAACTTCTCAACTCCGGGTTCTTATTGAGCCTTGAGATTGAATTTCTTATAAAAAAAACTCAATTACAAAACTTTGGCCCCGGTCGGACCCCTGAGTCCAGGGCCTCTAGATCTGCAGCCTAACATGCTAAGCTCGACACTACTGAAGCATTTTTTTACTTGATAATTACGAATATACCAAGTATGACAATGAACAGTCTGTCTCGACTTTCGAGTATGATCAAAAGAAATGCGTCAAATTTTGACACTATCTCTAATGCATGGCTCCGAAAATACATCATTAGTACGAATATAGTTCAACATATTATTACAAAGGAAAAAATATTTTATATTACAGAATAGGTTACGCTATAGCTAAGAGATTAGGTCAAGAAGGTGCATCAGTAGTTATAAGTAGCAGAAAAGAAGAAAATGTACAAAAAGCTACAGCCAGCCTCCGAGAAGATGGCATCAAAGTGGAGGGGCTTGTATGCCATGTGGCCAACGCTGAGCATAGAAAAAAATTATTTGATTTTGTACGTATTTAGGAAATAATTTAAAACTCATCAGTGAAAATTTATGGAAAGTACCTACAGCATAGTGATAAAATTCATGTTAAAAATGTAAAGTGAACTTATATTTACTAGAAAGTTGTTAAACTTAATGAAAATATTATATAAGATTTACGCGAATACTTCACATTTTGAATAATACTTTAATTGAAAATTTAATTTGCAGGCAAAAAGTAAATTTGGTGGCATTGATATTCTTGTTTCAAATGCTGCTGTAAATCCTGCAGTTTCACCAATATTAGAGGTAACTCTACGAATAATATAGTTATATTTTTCTTAATTTTTATAAGTGGTTACATTGTCGAAAATGAATTATGGTCAATTTGTACATTTTAGACGGATGAAAACGTTTGGGATAAAATATTTGAAGTAAACGTAAAATGTTCGTGGCTGTTAGCAAAAGAGGTGTATCCTGATCTTATCAAGCGAGGGGGTGGTAGTATAGTTTTTATTTCCTCAATTGCAGGCTATCAGCCAATGGAGGTAAGAAAATCTGAAATATATTTACAATATTCTACCTATAGTAGGGAAGCCCAAGAGGGGATTCTGGGATTTACTCAAGCACGGCAAATAAACATGGGGGGGGGGGGTCGGTTGATACCTTGCATACGTACTCTTGTATTGTCCAGGTGGAGCGGCGTACCGGGCTCAACATCGTGGTATCCCGAGTACACACCGACACGAAGACTTTAGCAGGACGAAGACGTTACTGAGCTTCCTGGAAAAACTAGGGTGGCAAGAGTAACAGAATAATATTTCCACACACGCAAAATAGGCACAAAGTCGTCGAGTTGCGCAAACCAGTCCGTTTATACCATACCAAGCCGAAGAAACAAATATCGTCCAAAAGCTTCATTCATTATTATAAATATATTTTTGAATATTCTGATCGGTTGCCATAACCCATAGATGCGCTACCTTATACAGATGACTTACCTTTGTATGGTAGAGGTACTTAACAGAGTGCAAGGTCCCCCTCATATGTTAATTTGCCGAATTTAGGATTTACTTAAGTAAATCCCAAATTCCTCTTGGGCTCCCCTATTATCAATATTGTTTACAATACAATACAACAAATATATACTCCTTCACTCATAGAATTTCGCTTTTATAATATTAGAGTTATTTATGATATATATATATTCATATTTTGTAAATTAATTTGCCTTATCTTGTGGACAGTAAAACTATAAAACTCATGGACTCAATTCTTTAATAAATACTATATTTTTAATTCCAGCCTTTGGGACCATACAGCGTCAGCAAAACGACGCTGATTGGTTTAACTAAAGCCATTGCAAACGAAATTGTACATGACAACATCAGGGTTAACTGCGTTGCACCTGGAATAGTGGCTACGAAGTTTGCTTCTGCGGTAAATACACAAACAAAAAAAAAAGTAAAATAAGTCATAAAACTAAAAACGTAAAAGCACCATCTGGGATTTCAAACCTGAGGGCTGTTTTTTTCAATAATCAGTAAAATTAAACGCTATTTTTCAATAATCAGTAAAAAAACAAAAAAAAAACAACGCAAATATTATTTACGAGAGCATTATTTCTTTTTCCTCTACTTAAGAGACAAAAAATTTTGTTTAAATTATTATATTACATATCTTTTTGAGACCTATTAATTACTAGCGGCTCCCCCTCGCTTCGCTCGGGTTCGCCAAATCAAAATCGAAAAAACAAATCTACCCCTCGGTAACCGTATATTTTTCCGGGACAAAAAAGTAGCCAATGTTTTATTCCAGACTAGAATCTGTTTCTGTGCCAAATTTCATCTAGATCCGTTCAGCTGTTCTGGCGTGAAAGAACATGATTCTGGCGTGAACAGAGAAAGAATAGATAGATACGGGTATAGATAGTTTAACAAATGTTCAACGGGATTCTTTAAATAACTTTTTTATTTATGCACCGATTGACATGAAACAAACACTAAATTGAAAGTGAAGCTTACCACAATATATTAGTGAAAACCACATCTAAATCGCATAAACAGTTTCTGAGAATAGCGTGCACAAACGAACAGACAAACAACGTAGCTTTAAGCCATAAAGAAAAAAAACGATAAACAAAAATTCTAACAATCATTGTTTTGGGTGCTATTTGCGTTGATAATGGTCCCAATAATATTTTTTCTCATATATCTTCCATGTACAGGCAGCGATCTGTTACATTTTTATTATATGTATCACGTCGGGGTCACCACTTTGGCGGCTGGGTGCTATATGGTGTAATAAATTAACACGTAAAACTAAACGATATATTTATTATGAGTACGAGTATCTCATTCGAGTGTCTCATTTCAACTGAGGGCGCAAATACCTAAAATGTAATGTGCTGACGGCACAGATGATAATTTTACACAATCTTTATTAACAATATCCAGGGCCGGATTATCCATAAGGCGGATTAGGCGACTGCCTAGGGGCCCCGCATCGACTAGGGGCCCCGTGCAAGCCCTAACAAAAAAAAACATTCCATGGAACGATTTTAGAACGACAAAATTACATATAAAACAATAATATTGCTTAAATAAATAATTAATATTTTTAATTTTTAAATTTCTTTGTGGTTATACATATTATAGTAATAAAAACACTAAATAATATAAAGTTTTTGAAAATTGTAATATTTATAATAATAACAGCTTAAATTAAATAAATAATATTATTACTGTATTTAATTATAATATTTATTAAAAAAAAATAGAATTAAAATCAACAAATATTGTAAGGTACTCTGGTGCCATTTTTGAATTTTTGAAATCTTTTTGAAAAATTGTGGGTAGACACTGTCAGTAACAAGTATATAACGCCACCCCAAACCGCGGCATAATTTGGAGTCTGAGGAAAAAATTTTTTAACTTTATGCTACGAAAATTAATGATTTTGAAAAATTAGGAAGTTATTGGTGCCTAATCGATTTTTAATAATCGCGTTATCACTGGATCTTCACGATTTGAAATCTAGTATACAGTACATTTTTTTTGATTACCATAAGTAACTTAATTAATACTTATTCAAAAAATTAAAATAATATCCTTTAGAAATAAATGATTGTTATAGATTTATCCTTTAACCTAAAGAATACTCCCGTACAGCATGGGGGTGTAAAGATAGCAGATTTGGTTTTACTAAATTCATTTTATATTGGTATTACCCCCAGGGTCGATAATTTTTGAAACCAAAAAAAATTATAGTAGGATTGAAACTCATTGGAAAAGGATGAGAATATAACAAAAATGAAAGGAAAACTAATTTACGGGCGATCTGAGGTCAGGAAGTGACAGGGGGTGAGTTTTTAAGGGTAAAAACGGCTTATCTCGATTTCTTCCAAAACTACAAGTCCTATGGAAAAAAGTTAAATGGAAAAGTTGTAGGTAATAAAAAGATCTACAACTTTTGTATTTAGACTTTTTTCACATAACCTCAAAATTTATTTGAAAAATTTTGATTTTGATCATTTCAATGAAAATAAAATTTTGATCATTTCAATGAAAGCAATTAGTCAGGCATGTGAGGTGATGCTGTAGCATCAAGCCAAGGTAACCATATTGTTGCAATCTATACTAATATCACAAATGTGAAAGTTTGTGAGTATGTATGTATGGATGTTTGTTACTCGTTCACGTCAGAACGGCTGAACGGATCTGGATGAAAGGCACAGAAATAGATTATAGTCTGGAATAACACATAGGCTACTTTTTATCCCGGAAATATATACGGTTCCCGAAGGATAGATTTCTATTGTTTTTCTAGAGGCAAACCCGAGCGAAGCGATGGTGAGCCGTTAGTATCACATAAGAAATTGAAGTAACAGGATACCAAAGGAGTCCATCTGATAAACTGACTTTTGTAATAGAAAAATGTATTTTAAAAAGTAAGAAAAGGGTAAACGAAAGGGGCCCCGAGAATTGCATTGCCTAGGCCCTGATAGGGTTAATCCGGCCCTGACAATATCGATACATACATATATGATAATGCCACCTATTGACGTTTATTTGAACTAATATTTATTTGTTACTGATAAGTGATAACTTATAAGTCACCCTGATGGTACGAAACACCACACTTGTGTCGAAGAAAAAGTCCTTAAATCCCTATTAATGTACAATAAAACATCCCGTTCAATCATAAAATCACAAAATTGTAAATAATCTCAGAGTTTAAAAATATATATTTTAATATTTATCTACTAATTACCTATTTATATTATTTTCAGATAACCTCATCTGATATAGGAAAAGAGAAAAGCCTATCAATAGTGCCTATGAAACGATTTGGAAAGCCATCTGAAATAGCCGGCGCAGTCGCTTTCTTAGTATCTGACGACGCAAGCTACATGACCGGCGAGACTCTGGTTGTTGCTGGTGGAACGCATGCTCGCCTTTAGATTACATAGCATTTTTTATATAAATATTAAATATTCTACTGAACTATTAAAATTCCTACACTCTAACATTACATAATGTCGAAAATAATCTTGATTAAATCATTAAGAATACAGGAAAAATGTAGAACCTAAAAAAATAAATGTATTTTAATTTTGATTAAAAAAAATACCATAAATGCAATAGTTGTAGTCTTACATTTTGTGAAATAACTTTGTCGAAAAGAATATTTATTAAATAGGTACTTGTATATTCCATTCTGGCAAATGACATAATATGTATTCTAATAAATGATATCATATTCTTTTCGGTAATGGTAAAAATAACCTATTACCTAAATAGGTACTCATTTTGACACTGTCTTTGTAATATTACTATAATTAATTTATTTGGTTCTACTATATGACATTTTGCGGTCACAGTTACCTATTACTTTAGCATTTTGCTATCAACATAACATGAAAAATGCATTTAAATAGACACATGATGATGTTAGGAATATTGAACAAGGAATCCACAAAAGTAAGAAGCCAAGATGTAGGTAATATTTAACTCAAGAAGTTTTTATTTATAATTTGTAACTTTTTCATTAAATCATATTGTAATATTGTTGAAAATCTAGTATGGAATTGCTGTAATTATTATTTTAGTGCGACAATTATTATCATGGTATCAGGAGGGACTTAAATGAAAGGTTACTTATTTAGTATAAGATTATTATTTATTTATGATCTGGCCCTGTTGTTTATGCATGTATTTAAAAGGGCAGACGACCGAGGTGTGCGGCAGTGAATTTATTCAGTCTAAACTTATAACTAGTTAATTATTTCTTTCTTTATTTCACTGTGGGATACTATTTACACTTTTCTTATAACTAATGGAACAATAAAAGATTTTAGGCTTTAATTATAAAATTGCGAAAAATATAACAAGGTAATGTATATAAATAATGATATATTGTATAAAAGCTGTTGAAATATTTGTAGTTTAAAGTTACTAATGTTTGTGTTGTTATTTATATTTTTTATTCAGTTAAAAGTATATTATATGAGAAATTTGTATGTGATAACATTCCGTAAAACGTCTTCAGGACCATAAAACTATAAACTTTTCCTGGATAAATTTAGCCAAGTAACAATTTTGTTATAAATACAGTATACAACAAATATCAAATTTTGTAAAGTTTTGTTTCAATGCATTAAATAAATATAAGTTTTAAAGTCGAAAGCTATGAAATATTTTTTTAAATTTAAGCGGTTAAATTAATTTAAACAGACTACTAAAAAGGAGGAGGCTCTATGTTCGTCGCAATTTATTTTATTATACAACTAGCGACTCGCCCTGTTTCGCTCGAGTTCGTCCCTAGCTTTCTTTCCAATACAAACTTACATCCCCATTTTTACCTCCTTAAAGGATGATTTCTGGGATAAAGTCTAGTTAGGAAAAATATAATATATCTAAATATGCACCGTGCTATTGTAAGAACAGGACACGATTGATAATACTCCAGGGAATTATAATTTCATTAGTAGAATTTCCCTGCGACATATCCAATGAATCTTTTTACACATAATAAAACTGCAAGTGATCACTGTCTGTACATGGAAGATATTGGAGAAAAGCTTTTATTGGGGGTCTTTATTAACATAATAGAACCCAAAACAATGATTTTTTGTCTGTTTGTCTGTGCGTTTGTGCGCGCTAATCTCAGAAACGGCTTAACCGATATCATTTAGTATTTGTTTTATTTCGGTTAGTAAATAAAAGAGTTATGTCAATTTAAAGAATCATCTAAGCGAGGGTGAGTCGCTAGTAATGAATATATCAATAATATAATTGTTTAATGCTTTTTATGACATTACTTTTAGGGTTACAGTAAACTAAAAAAAAATTACAAAAACAAATCCAATTTTAGAAAATAAAATTTTATTTTCACTCTGTATTCTCAATATCATCATCATCAGAGTCTAGTAAATCACTCTTCTTTACTCCTATGGTTCTTAATACAGTGCTAGAAGGTCCTGATAAGCCTTCTTCTTTCATACTTTGTATTAAATTCTGCAATACATCACTATTATTACTTGCACTACTTTTTTGTGTTGATTTTAGTTTGGAAGCCAGTTCTAGGTCTTGTTCTGAGGGACTAACTTCAACCCCATCGTCATCATCATCATCACTAAAATCACTTCTATCAGAAGGAGTGATATCACTATCTTTTGAAATTATATTTAACATCTTTTCTAAACAATTTACGAATTCATCAGAATCAAATTCAATATTATTATCATCTTGTGCTTCACTTCTTGTTTGTTCAATGCCTTCAAAATCCGATGATTCCTTCAAGAAATTACTTAATTTATTTGTTATTGTTACAGAGGTTATAGGCTCATCTTTTTTAATTTTAACTTTATTTCCGTATTGTGTATTTAAAAATTCATTAAGTTCATCTGGCTGAATATTCAACCAATCATCACTGTCTTCTTCAAATAAGCTCATTTTACATTTTTGTTTTATATTTTCTTTAACTTTATCAAATTCCGGAGATAATATGATATCACTGATCTGATTAGAAACATAAGAATTTATTGGACATTCTAAAGTGTAAAAATAATCCTTAGCTTTGTCTAGTAACTGATTGTAATCCTTAGATCCTTCTATATTATCTTTAAAATAACCATTGTTAGTTAAGCTGTTAAGAAATTTCTGATATTCAGATGTAGCGAAAATGTCTTTCGACGCTTTGTTCATTATAGTTTTGTAACCACAGGTTAATTTCACCCCGAGTTGGTTCATTTTGTTCAGTTCAAATTGCTTCAATTTACGAATATTAGGAAATTTCGCATTCATAAGCATTGCATACAAATACTTGCTAAATAGTACTTCAACTCTAACACAATCATCATAATGGATGTCTTTATAGTGTTTAACCTCTAAAGCGTCAGCATTGCAATAAGTAGTCACTAGAGCAGAGATAAGTGAAGGTTTAAGAGTTAACACTGCTGCTATATCTACCGGGAGGTTAAGAACAGCCTTGTGAAAATGTTTACTTATTTCTGAACAAAAGCTAACTCGTTTTAAAATAACCTCTTGTATATCAGAAGATGCTTTAGTTTCACTTGATCTTTGTATAATAATTTCTATAGCTTCATTTAACTTAAGAGTTGAGGGTATGGACACAATTGTAGGAGGTATCAGATGAATTTCCCCTTTATAGATGAACACCTGAAAAGAATGGAGTAAGTGTTCAAAATAGCAAAGTAACTTTTTAATAATACATTACAAAGATTTAAAATTTACAAAGCCTCAACATAACATGATTGTATAAAAAGTAAGCTACTGTTCTATTAAGCTAATTTTTATTTAAGGTCCGAGTCTCTTGTACTGGCTGCTTGCAAACGATGTTTGTTACGGTAAAGAACTTGTCTACCGAAATTTCATATTTTAAAAGGCACTTTCACAACATATAGATTTTTATGAATCTAATGCGTAGCTAACACGCTTGATACTTTTAAGACTAGAATAAAGTAAAATGGATTTTTTAGTACGAAAATCAATTTTGAGGTTTTAAAGTAAGTAGTTGTAGTGTAAATAGTTTCAAAATGTATAGTTTTATTTAATATTCTCGGCACCACAAATGTGACAATAAAAAAATCTTCCCTTATAAAGGTTGAATTTTTCGTTGCTTCCTTCTCAGAATAATTGAAGGATCCATTATAATTTTAATTTTTATATAGTGTAGTGTATTGCCAAAATTATGAAATTACTCTTGAAGCTTCAGCTTGTTATTAATCATTAAAAAAAGGTGTGGCGTATTCTAGAATATATATAATTATAGAATATATAAAATAAGAAAATGTACTGTCTATGAAATTCTACATAAGTATATAAAAAATGTTGTCATGCAATATAACTAAGAAACACCACAATTGAACTATCTTTCCAATAAATCTATAAATGTAAATGTAACTAGAATTAATCAACCAGTTTAAGAGATATAATAATAATACCACAGAAATAATAGAACAATATACTTTAGCAAGTATATGCACACATACACAGACAGGGGTATAAAATCTGATTTTTTCCCTGATATTAAAAGGGTTATATTTTAATATATTATTACCGAAATAAAACTAAGTTTATAAATTAGTGTATTAGATACTTTAGTGGAATAATTTTAGATACAAAATATTATTATTGTCATCTTTATTATAATGTCTATTATAATATTTTTAATTGTGTGCAAAAACTTACCCTATTTTCAGTGTTATCAGGATTCACCCAAGCAGGTAAATAGTTGGCTGCTTCTATCATAAGGAAATCTCCATCATTATCTTCAATTTTTACAATTAAATCAGTGTACCTTTTAGTAAGTTCCAATAAAAGATGCACTATAAACCATTCATCCTCAATGTTATCACCAAAACAAGTAATACTCATAAGATAGTCAGGATAGTCTTAAACAGAAACAATTAAAAATACAAGCTTAAATACTTTCAATACTTTTTTGTTTAAAAAATGGTGTGTAAGATATATGTACCTCCTTCCTCTCTAGAAATTGTAATAGGTAAAACAATTTTAAATTCATCTCTATGCCATATATAGTTTTGAGACAATGATGTTAATGTTTCATTCAGGACATAACAAAGTTGTCCCCATTCATCTTTTGATAATTTTTTTTCAGAAAAATAGAAACATTGAATGGTGTCCTCAAAATTAATATTCATAAAATTTCTTGTCATTATAAGTTTGTTTGTATTACCTGAAAAATGAACAAAACACATAAATTTAGATTAAGTATAAAATATTAGTGGCCAAAGATTTCTTTTGTAGAATGAGAATTTTCATTAAAATAGAGTTCAAAAAATCAAAATAATTTACAAGTTCTTTATTTATTTTTAAACAGTTGCTATAGCGTCCATAACAAAAACATTTTCAAACACATTAAAAGGCACAATGTTTTACAACATAAGCATATTTTAATAAAATCTAATTGAAGTTTTTATTTCTACAGTTTTAAATACTCAATGATTATTAGGTATTACATTCTATGATATGTAAGAACTAAAGACCCTCTCATCACGTCCTTCCTTTTTATGTAAGGAATTCATTTACCATCTTAAGGAGACCTTGATAATTTGTTTTAAATGCAGAACAAACTTACCTTATTATTTGCCTATATTTGTAACAAGGTAATAACTTGAATGTTTCGAAAATAATCGTAGTTTTGCTAGAATCGACTTTTTCATATAAAATGATGTAAAATTAATGATGTCTTAAATTATCCTTTTTTTATACATGTTTATGTGTATAAAATACATTTCGAGTTTTAATTGAAACGAAATTTAGTGAATTATTCTGGTCTTTTCTAAGTTTACAGTTCCTTGTATATTAAATATTAATTACTATTAAACTCTGGTTTACAGCATTACAGTTTAGACTTTTCAACCGACTTCAAAAAGGAGGAGGTTCTCAATTCGACTGTATGTTTTTTTTTTTTTTTATGTTTGTTTGAGGCTTGAGAGTTGAGCATCGATGACAAACATCATGGATGACAAATACAAACATGAAACATGCATGGAATTATGGAATATGGATTTTGTACAAAGTTGTGGTTTTATTTTGACAAATAGTTTTTGACATAGATAAATAATATAAGCTCTTATTCATTGTTGTCTCTTGAGTCTTGACTCTTTCTTGAGTCTTTTTGTTCTTGGTCTATGCTTTTATTTGTCATTCATGGTCTATGCCACTATGGTCAGTTCACAGTTGCTCTAAATGTTTTAGACTTTAGTTTGTCATCCATGGACTTTAGTTGCTTTTTTTAAATATTTCAAGATGTATCTTTTGAGAAAATATCAAAAAATTTATATATTATAACAAAGCACAGTATTTTTTTTTAAATCGAAGCACTATAATGGCTTTTGTTCGAAGATTTTTTTACAAATATGCAAAATGTTTGGCAGTTATAGTTCTAACTACATTTTTTGCTCAAATATTAATTTCTGTGAGTCTCTTTCCTTCTGTTCATGATAATTTACTTAAAAGAAATGGATATACATCAATAATTAGAAATGAAATGGGTGATGTCTCTGCGAGAAAATTGGGCAGTAATGATGGAGATGATGAAGACTTGGTCTCTAAAAACCATAATAAAATCACACCTTATTTGAGAATAGAAGAACTGGATTTTACACCTGCTTGCGAAATAAAAAGTCGAGAAGCTATTTCTGCTATACATCGTGCCAAGACTCAAATTTGTAAACAGCAAATTGTGAACAAGACTTGTCATATACAAAATGGTGATTTTTATCCTAAAAAATTACCAAATTACTGCATTTCGAAGAAAAGGACTTACGGTCGAAATCTAGGATGTTACTTAGATGAAAAAAAATTAAGATTACTCTCCAGTTTCTATGGAAACTATGCTAATCATAATTCCCCTAAGTTTTGTTTAGATATTTGTGTACAAGCTGGATTCCCTTTTGCAGGAGTTCAATATGCGTAAATATTTTTAAATTACTATAAATATAAAATTGAATCTATTTTTACTTCACCATTCTGGATGAATATTCAATTATTACATTTCAACACTCCTCATAAACAATAAACAATTGATTTTAGCTCTGAATGTTTCTGTGGTGATGTTGAACCACCATTGACTTCAAAAACTTATAATGAATCTTGTGATATGAAATGTCCAGCTGATAACACAAAAAATTGTGGAGGCTATTTTACAATGAACATATATGAAACAGGCTTAGATAGTAAGTACAATATGTTTCTCTTCTACCCTTATTTAACTTATATGTTTATGTAACTGTTTATCATTGGAATTTATATCAATAGTCATTGTAGGTATTATTGAACATTGGATTTTTTTTACCATGATAATTTTATATTTCAATCACTTTTTTTTATACATCACACATTTAAGAAAATTTTAAGAGAAAAACCTGTAATAAATAAATAGTAAAGAAATTACAAAATAAGACTTCAGCTTTAATAATAATATCAAAATAGTATTTTTTGAGAAAGACATTTAAATTCATGTTGCATTTCAGAGTTTGTTCCACAATTGCCTACAGGGTCCCTTGGTGAAGAAACTTCAGTCGGAATAGTATTTCTTTTAACATTAAATGGAAGGGCATTGCGTCAAGTCCACAGATTAATTAATGCTCTTTATAGAACTAATCATTATTTTTACATACATGTTGATCAAGTAAGTTAATATTTGGTTTAATGTAGAATAGTTAAATTCTAAAACAAGCAAAAATATAGAATGTTATGTTGGTATTTTGTGCCATGAAATATAATTAGATATAGTCTGTTATGAATAAAAACATTTTTTTTCAATAAATTCTGTAATTGGTGGAAAATTAATGTTTTATTTTAACAAAATAAATGCCACAATAAACATAAAATATTTAATTTATTTTCAGAGACAGGATTACTTGCATAGAGAATTATTAAAATTAGAAAACAATTTTCCAAACATTAAGTTAGCTTCAAAAAGATTTTCAACCATATGGGGTGGAGCATCCCTTCTCACTATGCTGCTGTCATCAATGAGTGAAATATTAACATTAGGCTGGAAGTGGGATTATGTTATCAATTTAAGCGAAAGTGATTTTCCAATTAAATCATTAGAAGAATTAGAGAAATTTCTATCTGCAAATAAGGATTTTAATTTTGTTAAATCTCATGGGCGGGAGGCACAAAGATTTATTAAGAAACAGGGTCTTGACAAAACTTTTATTGAGTGTGAGACACACATGTGGAGAGTTGGTGAAAGAAAATTACCTCAAGGTATTGTTATAGATGGAGGGAGTGATTGGATTGCTCTCTCACCAAAATTTGTTTCTTATGTTATTGAAAAAAAAGATGAACTGTTAGCAGGCCTAGAAGTTATATTTCAACACACCTTGTTACCTGCAGAATCTTATTTCCATACTGTATTAAGAAATTCAAAATTTTGTAATACATACGTAGATAATAATTTACATGTCACAAATTGGAAACGTAAATTAGGTTGTAAGTGTCAATATAAACATGTTGTAGATTGGTGTGGTTGTTCACCAAATGATTTTAAAACTGAAGACTGGCCAAGAATACAAAATACTAAAAGTAGACAACTATTCTTTGCAAGAAAATTTGAGCCAATCATTAATCAAGAAATTATTACTAGAGTAGAACAATATATAGGCATTACAGATCATTATTTAATACCAAATTTAGAAGCATATTGGCAAAACCTCTATGATATTAATGACTTAACAGCCAGTACTGATGATATACTCTTGACACATGCAGGAAGTATTACACGTCTTAATGCAAAAATATTAAGTGAAGAAAATTGTCATATAAAAATAAGTGAAGTAATAGCTATAAATATTTATAAATATGCAGACATTTACAAGGGAAACTTGATATTACACAAAGCTTTAATACAAGACAAAGAAGTACTTTTAGAAACGTGGTATAAGCCAAAACAATATCTAGATCTAAATTTTGAAAATCAAAATGATTACATTAAAATATTTAAAGTAAGTTCAGATTATGATCAGAAAGAAATGATGTTCAGAAATTTAGGTAACATATTAGGTCCACTATCAGAACCAGTTCTATTGTACCAATTTTCTGCACACATTGACAAGGTGTTTGGTAATTTAACAATACTTTGGCTGGACCCATCTGGTAGTGTAGCAGATGTTAATACTATCCAAAGGGATGAAAATAATTTGACAAATTTTATCAAACCCAATATTAAACAACCTTTACTGCCTGGTGTTTGGAAGGTTGGCTTATTTGATCAAACAAATACTATTGCAATGACTAAATTTTTAATAAGTCCTTTTGAGTATTTTTCTGGCAAAGAAATAACCCAACAAGAAGCTAATTTAATTCATCATGGGTCGAAAAATTCTTATAAAAATCAAAGTTATCTAAAGCCTAGAAACTTTTTGCCTAACCAGGAAGATAAGATATTACTAACAGAAATATCAAATTCAAATATCAAGAGAATCAATGGAGATTTAATAGATTGGATTGATAATTTAAGTATAGATTTTTACAATGTTTTAGGTTCATGTATTTTATATCCTGATAAAGATCTTATAGAAAAAGCATCTTGTGGTAATTATAAATTTCAAAAATGTATACTAACAGAATGGAGTACTCATTCACCAGATCCAAAAGGTTCTGTAGGCATATTAGATAAAAAATCAGGAAGATTAAAAAGAACATGACAAATGATTTTATTTTACCCATAAATCAACAATCTTATAAAGTTTTTGAAATATATAATATATATTTTAACAATTCTAGTATGAAGCTTATTTCTATAATTTAACCCAAAATATGAAACTGACCATTAAAAATATTTTCCAACTCGTCAATATGCTTAATTTTTTTTAATTTTGTAAAGAAAAAAGAAGCTTTTACATTTTATTGTTAGTTTATTTTTGTTGACACATAAATATATGTACTGCAACTTGATTGTCAGTTAACTAGTATCCGACCGAAACCGAAACTTCCTTACAAAGATCATGTTTTGAGGGAAAAATAAAGTTTTTTATCTTTAAAATTTAAATCACATAGCTATGCAGTTTTCAATATTTTCACTTATTGATAATCAAACATAACTCCTCAGTTAAAAGAAAAAAAGATTGCGCCTTAAAAATATTACGCATTTTTATTTCTATGTTTCCTTAAAATAATGTTTATATATTTGGGCTTCCTGTCACCTACCCTATCCAAAAATACCACCCACCGCCAGGGGCCGCGTCCCATATACTAAACTTGTGCCCTTCTTTTGAACATTATTCATGGTTTTTTAAAAGAATTAAACATAAAATTACTTATATGAGTATTATCAAGATAGGTATAGGCACTTAATGTTTGAGTAATAAAGCAAAATAAATCACTTTTGTCCTAACAACAAATTAACTGCTTCTAAACTTAATTCGTCATTTTGTATGACACTTCTTCAGTATAAAGAAGACCAAAAATGTAAAAAAAAAACAAAAACTAAACGAATAAAAGAAATATTAATCTTATTATATGGAAATTACGGATACCTAGGTATTTATATATAAATGTGTTAATTTTACAAAAAAAATAACGAATCCGAGCAAAGCGAGCGTGAGCCGCTAGTTAGAGATATAAACACTTTAAACGAGTAAATATAGACTAATGCTCACGAAAAAAAAGGTAATATGAGGAAGATTTGTGTATATAATTTGCTTAAAACAGTTAAATTATGGTGGTATTTTCTCAAACAAACTGTACGTGTGTGTTTCGTACGCGCTGGCTAAAATCTACGTACATCTATCACCTACTTTAAGAAAAACAATATACTAAAAAATTATCGTAGGTATGGAAAAGGGATATTTATAACTTTTTTATTTATTAAAAACGTACTACGGTCGAACCCGAGCGAAGCAAGGATAAGCTCTAATCTTACATAAGATGATCATTTGTGGCTACTTATTACTTACTCAAATTACCATTTTTAACATCGGTTATATCGGAAATTATTATCCTTTGAGGATTAAAAGTACTCGTATTATAATAAAGTAACAATGATAAGTCATAAACTGTGTCTGCATTTTGTGCAAATTATATTAAATCTTTAAATATAAAATTATGAGATCAAACAAAATTATTTATTTATTAAATTTAAATCCATAAATTATATTTTCTTTACTATATTTATACATACTATAATCGTTTCTGAATTAATTTGTACTGTCAAAAATATTTTGTTACTTTATCTGTCAAATGTCAAATCACAATCCCGATTTCCGAAAGGCGGGAAATTAGTGAATAAATAAGTTGGAACTTGGAACTTGGACTAAAATTCTCAAGTCAATACTCATATAGTCTAGTTTATCATTCTTCACCTTTAAAATAGAGAAGTGATCTATGAAGTGATTAGAGCATGGATTTAATTGAATCGATAAAAAAAGACAAAGCTTACCTAAAATGTAAACTAATTGTAAAAAATTGGGAAAAGGACTTTAAGGTAAATCATTCACGAACCCCTTCAAAGTTTGATATAAAAGAAGCTCCTTCAAATATAAAATATGCTTATAAAAAATATTTTCAACTTAAAAGTACCGCCCTTGAAAATTGTTTGTCAATATGTGACATTGATGAAGATCCTATTTTGTCTCCAGAACCATTGCAACATTTAGAAAATTTTGCTCGTAATGGTAGTTCTGAAGAACCAATATTACCGACTTTGCCTACTGGACAAGAACTTGATAGATTATTATCAAGCCCAAAAACGAATATTATTAATACAGTAATTGCAGATAATTTGTCTAAGAAATTATTTAAAAATAGAAAGTTTTGTTTAAGAAATCCCAGGAAAAGTGTCAATTCTAAAAGTCAAACTCAATATTCTCTTAATAGTAAATTGACTGATATAAAGAACTCAGGTATTATAAAATCTGACGAGTTGCAAACATGTGATAAAATAACTAAGGAAAATGCATTGGTTGAGTCCAATTTTGTTACAAGTAAACGCCTTGGTCAAGTTACAAGAAATGAAGAGGATAATCTTACAAATCTCATTAACAAAAATAATTTTAATGAAAACTTAAAGAATAAAGACCATTTTCTAATTTCTAATAATTCTATGTGTATACAAAGTCATCCTATAAGACAAATAAATAAAGATTGGCTTGATAGAGCAACAGGTGTGATAAGTCACAACTATAATAAAGAATTAAACCAAATGGAAGAGGTACAAAAGTTTGGTCTAGCAAATATAGTAAATAATTTAATAGAGAAACAATGTGATTATGTGGAAAATAGTGAATCAGATGATGACATAGCTTTAAGCAAGCTTAAACCTGCTCTAAAGAAGCAGAAATTAAACTCTCCTTTAAAAGCAGTGCCAGTTGAAAAAAGACATGTAGAACAGGAAAATTTTGAAGATAAAGAAAAAAAGAAGTCAAAAAGAAAAGGTAAAGTAATATCAAGAAATAGTAAAAAGACTGATGCTAAAATTAATAAAAAAAATCCTATAAATGACAAGGAACTTCCTCCAGACATATCAGAATATCTGCCCTTTGGATTAAAAGAAAAGGTAAATCCAAGACATAATGTTGTATCAGATATACTAAACACTATCAAAACATCAGAAAATAAAGATATCACTCAAGAGCCACAAGTTACTGGAAGAATAGAGAAACTGGAAAAGAAAATGGAAAGTGGTACTATAAATGAAAATTTTGTCAAAATTAATATTGAGAAAAAAGTTTACGTAAGGGGCAAAAAACATATTAATTTTACAAAATACAAGAAGCAACTATGGAAGGATAAGAAAGCCTTACATGCCGGAATGGAGTTTCCTGAAGCTGGAAAAGTGTTATGTTTTAAATGTGGTTTAGGAGGACATATGGCTCGTTATTGTACTGCTCATAGGGAAAATTCGCTTTTACCCCTGGAAGATTTTGATGAAAGCCATATGCCAACATTAGAAGATATGCAGAAAATTATTTCAGATCATAAAGAAAAAGAAAAGGAAAAACCTATAGAAGAGGAGCTATGCTCTTTTTTGTATCAAGCGAGTAGAATTCCAGATGAATTTTTAAAACTGTTAGAAGAAACACCTCAGGATTCTAATGTGATTAAACCAATATACACAGAAAATCAAGAAAATTGTGAAGAATTGTATGAAACATTACAAAAATTTGGCCACAGTTCTTTTCGCCCGGGCCAGGAACATGCTATTAAGAGAATTCTATGTGGTTTATCAACATTACTTATATTATCAACAGGGGGAGGAAAATCTCTATGTTATCAGCTACCGGCATATATTTATAGCAAATACTACAAATGTATAACTCTAGTCATATCTCCATTAGTTTCATTGATGGAAGATCAAGTGTTAAGCATGCCCGAGTTCTTAAAAGCTGGTTGCATACATACCAATCAACAACCAACACAAAGACGTAAAATAATTGAATTAGTTAAAAGTGGTGAGATTAATATTCTTCTTATTTCCCCTGAAGCTCTTATTGCCAGTGATACATCTAGTGGATTTGCTGGTCTTTTTAAGTCTTTACCACAAATTGCCTTTGCTTGCATTGATGAGGCTCATTGCGTGTCCCAATGGAGTCATAATTTTAGGCCAAGTTATTTAATGATTTGTCGAGTGTTAAGAGAAAAATTAAATGTGAAATGTATTCTCGGTTTGACAGCAACTGCTAGCCAAACTACAATTAAAAGTGTTATAGATCATATTAATATTCCTGATGGTCTCAGAGGTGTTGTAACAAACCCTGCCCTACCAAATAATCTTTTCCTCTCGGTGTCCTTTGAAAAAGATAAAGATAGAGCTTTAGTATCTTTATTAGCATCAGAAAGAATAAATTCTTTTAACTCTATTATAGTATATTGTATTAGAAGAAATGAATGTGAAAGAGTTGCAGCAGTTATAAGATCATGTCTTTCACAGCCCGGAAAAATAAATATGGAAAAACAAAATAAAAAACGTAAAAGGATGTCCTATGTTGCTGAAGCATACCATGCAGGTATGTCAGCTGCACAAAGAAAAAAAATTCAGAATCATTTCATGGATGGAACTTTAAAAGTAATAGTTGCAACAGTTGCCTTTGGCATGGGAATTAACAAATCAGATATTCGATGCATTATTCATTATAATATGCCCCCTAGTTTTGAATCTTATGTACAAGAAGTAGGTAGAGCTGGAAGAGATGGTCAACCTGCATTTTGTCATGTGCTTATGAATGACAGTAATAGTGATAAAGATGAGTTACTTAAACACGTTTATTCAAATTCTATTGATAGACCTGTTATAAGGAAACTTCTTCAGAAAGTGTTTATACCTTGTAAATGTACATCTGAGAACTCATCTACTTCAACATTAAATCAACCAATAAGGTGTCCAGGTCATGAAGTAGGCATTCCAATTGAGAGTACTGTGGAGGAATTAGACTTACCATCTGAAAATATCGCAACTTTATTATGCTATGTTGAGCTCCACCATAAACATTATATTAAAGTACTTAATAATGCTTATACCATGTGTAAGATCTCTTCTTATGGTGGACCCATAAAAATTTTAGAAGCAGCTAAAACTTGTGCTCCCCTTGCTATGGCATATTTAATACAGGGTAAAAAAGATTCAAATGTCAGAACAAATAGTGTTTTAGAATTTAATGTTATAGATGTTGCTGCTGCTATTGGTTGGGCAAGTGGTATGACAAAATATCATTTAAAAAATTTAGAATGGATAACTAAAGATGGGATATCTAAAAGGTCTCATTTAAAAGTAGAATTTAATACATTAGGATTTAGATTAAAAGCTCCTGGAGACCTATCTGCATCAGAATTAGATAGTGTGCTAGATGAACTACATGAGATAGTTTCCAATCAAGAAAAAGTAATGTTATACCAATTAGAGGAAATTAATAAAACATTCTGTAAACTTTGCAATTACTCTTGTAACAAAATAATATTTACCGAAGAATCGCTTGAAAAGAAATCAGATGAGTTGAAAGCAATAATAAACACTTATTTCTCTAGGGAGAATAATTTACCTGAAAACATAGTTTTAGAACAAAGACCATTAGACGTGGAGCGCGTTACGTCTGACGTCAGGGCACTAATCGCCACTTACAAGGATTGCAAATTTACTGGCAGGAGTATTGCGAGGATATTTCAAGGTATATCGTCACCTAGCTACCCGGCTTTGGTTTGGGGAAGATGTAAATTTTGGCGATCACATATTCAAGAAGATTTTGATGGCATAGTTAAAATAGCAACGCAACAAATTATTCAAATGAAAATGTAAAATTGATTCATATAAATAAAATTAAATGTATATTTTGAATTTTTATTTGGTTTATTTTATTTACTACTAGCATTGCCCGCGGCTCCGCTCGCGTTCATATGACCAAAACCAAACTCTTAGGTTTTATATAATATTAGTATATTAGTTGACCCAGATAACCAGCTATTACCATACCAAATTTCTTCAAAATCTCTCTAGTGATTTTTCTGTGATGCGGTCACAGACAGACAAAAATTCTTAAGACTATAGGTTCGGCCTCTGTTAGCGATAATAATGTGTATTTCAATGAAATTTCCAAAAAATATTAAAAGCACAGATACTGCTTCATTAAATTTTAATGTAACTTATTTATAAAGCCAAAAATATTGTTTTTTTGATAAATTAAACACGGGCGGGGCCGCGGGTAATTTAGTAGTAATACTAATAAAATCATACAAAGGTCGAATTTATACGTTCAATTTTTTGGACCGAATTAAAACTACGTATTTTAAAGACACATGGCGACATCTATTGACAAATATCTAAATAATACAAAAATAAATATTCATTAAAATATTTTTTTTAAAGAATAAAATAGTGCTAGTGATATGCTTTTTCAAGATGAGCTATTTTTAATAGTTTTTAACATATTTAGTAAATTAACTTGCTAAAATCTATATAGTATCATCGTTTTTTTTATTCTAATCAGTTTTTGTATTTTTTCTCAGAAATGAGATATTTTTCTGCGGTAAAAAGTATCCTATATGTTGACCCGGATAATCAGCTATGACCATACCAAATTTCATCAAAATCCGTCCTGTAGTTTTTCTGTGATGCGGTAACAGACAGTCAGACAAAAATCCTAAAAACTATAGATTCGGCCTCTGTATCGATAATAATGTCTATTTCAATAAGATTTTCTAAAAAATATTTAATGTACAGATTTGACTTAGTTAGAATTTTATTATATGTATAGATTTTAGGTATTCGACGAAACGATATATATCCTAATAAAATGAATATGTATTATTATTTGATGTGGAATACTTTTTACTTGATCGCACGACGCAAAAGAGGGTAATGTGTTTATCAGCCTTTAAATGTAGATATGTACGTGGGTTTGTACCTTTGTGGCGCTATTTAGAACAAACGCGTGTGCCGATTTTGATAAATCAAAGCATAAAAATTTGGAAAATCTAAAGTATCACGTTTCGTTTAGTACCAAGTTGCAAGTAGGTAATTCTGATAATAAATATTTTTTGGGTTGTATTATAACGTGTTTTCCCGTGGAAATTAATTAATCTTCCGCGTTAAAAAGTAGCCTATGTCACTCTGCAGCCCTCAAACTACCTATCTCTACACAAAAAATCCCAATCGGTTACTTCATTTCTACGTGAACGAAGGACAAACAAACACACTTTCACATTTATAATAATTATAATATGGATTTAGAACGTTATTGTGATTAAATACTAATGACTAAAGCATACATACTCCAAAAATTATCATGTTCTATTCATTCTCTATGTTTATTTACTGCAGAAGCCTTATTATTTAGGAATTGGCGTAATTTTTAAACATTTTTTTTTCTATAATAGTTTATAGATTTTTAAACTTAATAAAACTTTAACATTTCGGTTTAAGGCATTAGTATTTAGTACTTACCGTTTTTTTGGATAAGTTGTAAAAATTGCTTTTTTTCAAAAAAGACACCAATTTAGATAAATATAAAAAACAATACCTTATCTGAATACAAAATTTGATCCAAATCCTTATGAGCCGTTTCCTAGACACACGAAATAATATAGGTATTCGTGAATTACTCATTTAATATTATAAGATTTGATACGGATGAAATATTTTTAATCACTAGTCATAGAAAATTTAGTTAAAGTGGTATTTAAATAAAAGACTTGTTAAAGCAAACAAGATAATATTCATAATCATTTACAAGTCGATAATTTAACAAGGAATTCCTGTTATATAAATAGGTATGCAATAAAATACAAACAAATTTAGTTTCTACTAAAAACATATTATAGAACGAACATAAATAAAAATACCTAATAAAATTACTAAAAAAATAACATTCAGTTTAAATTAAAGTGAACTTATATAATAAATTTGTAACATCAGACAAATAGAAACAGGATTTATGTATAAAGTTAGTCCTAATCTTTCTAGTTAATAAAACACTGATGCAATGCGTCTGCAAATGCAAAGTTATATTTTAATCAATAAATTAACAATATGTGCATAAAATGGCGCACTTTAAATATTAAGTAAAACAATATTCTTCTATTTTCACTTAACAAACTTTATTCGAAGTTGCATAAAATAGTTTAAATAAATTAAGACAATTAAAGTTACGTATGATTATAATATATGACAGAAGTTTCTTCCCATCCACTTGCAACTGTTGGCTGGCAAGTGACTCAGTTAGAAATATTATGCAATGCATTTTATTGACCCACATTTCATAAGTCTTATCATAATTATTAAACAGAGAGTGAAACAAAACTGTTATACTGAGCAATATTTCTTTTAAGGATGTCTGCACAAAGACCCAATACACGTTCGAACCTATAAAAAATATGTAACATTAATTATTATCATTACAAATGTCAAGGTAGACATCTCGGGGCATGTTATGTTGGATCCACACGCTTGCCAAGGCTCAACAAGCTATCACAAATTCAAACATGTGTAGAGAGCGTTCACGTTAGTCTTGGCTTATGCAAGCTTACAAGCAAGATGTGGCCGTTACGATCGAGTGTCGGTTTTTTTGTACAAATCAAAAGAAAATAAGATTTTAAGTTTGTGGGAAGTAGCAAGCGTGTCGACCCGGCATTACAGTTATATCCGTCAATCTTAGCCGTATTCCAACCGAGCGCCATGCACGACTGCTCTGTCTCGACGCCGTCAGTGGACGAATGTACAGATTAGTAGGTTGTGCTAAGTCCTACTAATACTATAATCGTACAAGTTTGTAAGAGTATATTCTGTATCTCGAGGCAACATTTAAGTTTTATTTTATTTAACTCGATCCACTCTATCAAAACAATTAGAAATCAGGATTAAATTCCAATATTCTTTTGAAGGTGGTTTCTGACATCCACGCAAAGAAGTTGTCGACACAGGTAGTAGTAAATATTATAGTTTAAACAAAAAACAAAACACTTTTGATGAATTGAAATGTATGGGATCATCCAAACTAGGTTTACCAGTAGGCAGCAAAGAGTTCCACTATGCACTTCCTGGCTTGATCAGCGGAACAGCTCTAAGATACTTATGGCATCATTTTCATTTCGACACGATAATTAGAAGTAGACTAAAATTGACTTCCATGATTTAATAATTGAGGAGTGTCGGAACAAAACTGGTAAAATCACATTTGTGTTTTTTGTGGAAAAATGTAAAAATATGGCCAAGTTTATGGTTTTCAACCAATCGGCATCATAAAAAAAATGTCGAAGTGTGATTTATCGGTTTTTCTGACGCTCCTCAACCGTTAGTTGCTTGTGTAGGTAATATAAAAGCGCGGGCAGACCTGGCGCGGTCGAGCTTGACGCACTTGAGCGGGCCGGCGGCGCGCACGGTGGCGGCGCGCGGCCGGTCCAGCAGCAGCGCGATCTCGCCGAAGTAGTCGGACGGGCCCAGCCGCCCCACCTCCTCCGCCGCGCCGCCGCCGCCGCGCTGCTGCAGCACCACCGCCGTGCCTGCGCCACACCCACATGTACATCCTGGGCTCGACTCCCGGCTCGGGTCGACTTTAGTTATCGCTACATAGTATGAAACGAAGCAGCTTCCCGCCGTCTGTCTGTCCCTATTCGCTGGGCGCGTGACCCCAGCGCCACCTATCGATACGACTAACGGTGGCTCTTTTGAGATGTTTTATATGTATTAGATGCCAATTAATTATATAAAAAACTGAATAAACTTAAAAAAAATATTTTTACCGTGTAAAATGTACACAGAGTGTACATTAAATTAAAAAAAATCCCTGGGTCAACTGACGAAAGTAAGTATAATAAAAACAAATAAATAAAACAAGTCTCGAGTGAATTATCAATTAGGTTAATTAAGCAATGTTAAAATCTGTCAAGATGATTATTGTCAAATTAATATTGAATAAAAAATCAGTATTAATATTAAATATATAACCAACTGAAATAAAAAATAATTCATACATAATTATATATTTACAAATGTATTGTAAAATTTTTATTTTCTTTATTTAATTTTGCAGATAAAAAATGGAATTCGTGTTACAAACCGGTTTTCAATCTATTACCCATAACATTATTATTCAACCACAAACTTTAATAAAGGGTAAAAATTAAGTAATAAAGAGCCATCCCTTAGTTCTGTATTATCCGCAGTGAGCGCTGACATCAGTCTCGTCTCCCCCACTATGCCTTACGCACCCAGCGGATACGCAACGGATTTAGATGCGCTGTATTTTAATAGATAGAGTGAATCAAGAGGAAGGTTTATATGTATAATATATGCATATTATAGTACCAAATAACCGGGAAATTCAAAGATTTTTATTTCATACTAACCGTTAAAACGTACCTAAGGACGAACCTGAACGAAGTGTGGGTAAGTCGCTAGTTTAGCTGTTAAGAAAGTCTCAATAATTGCCCAGAGTTGAAAAGTTAGCGGTTATTCACCCTCGTGATTTGGAGTTTGGTCCTGCTTCTTAACTCTCACCCCTGGTATCGAATTATCATCCCATGAGTGACAGGAATAGAGAGATCAAGTCAAGATTTATAATGTATATAAAATTCGCTAGGGAACAAATTTAATAATACATAGATAAATTAATTATCGGACTGGACTACTATAAATTCGAAAATTTTTATGTGTAAATACTTCTTTAATTTATCACATACAAATAAATAAGTTTGTTATTACTTTAAGCTAAAACGGCTAGACAGATTTGAATGAAATTTAGTATAGTCTCTATATAATCGATACTGCCAACTTCTCAACTTCAGACTTTCACTGAGATTTTTACTTCTGCCTAAACCCAGGGCATAATAATTTTTAGCCACGCAACTAGACACTCGATATAGTAATGTTGGATGACACTTGAGATTTTGTCGAATGTAAAAAAATATTTTTAATGAAAACTAGACTAGAAATGAGAAATATATTTCTCAAAAAATATTTCACTTAATATTTGCCAAATGTATTTACTTCAAGTAATCGTGTATTTTTTGATAATTGAGATTTAGAGATCAAAGACTTAAATAGTATTTATATCAGCTTTTGGTTTTTCTATTTCATTAAATGATGAAATAATCTATAATAATATTATAAAGACGTAAAGTTTGTGAGTTTGTAAGGTTGTAGGGGGTAATCTCTGGATCTACTGAAACGATTTAGATGAAATTTGGTAAGAAGAGAGTTTGAGACCTTGGGAAGAACATATGGTAGTTTTTATCTCGGAAATCATCTCTTAAGGGGGTGAAAATGGGGATGAAATCTTGTATGGGGAATCGACCTAGGAAAGAACCTGAGCGTAGCGAGCGTGCGTCGCTAGTTATTAATAAATGTATACATATATACCTTCGACAATGATGTAAAAATCGTTGCCGGGCTCGCCTTGGCGGACGATCGTCTCCCCGTCGTTGAAGGACACTGGTTCTAGCGCATCGGCTACCGTCAGTCGCTCCCACTTTTCTAAGCTTTCTGAAAGTGAAATATCGACATAAGTCGAAGTGGATTTAGTAGAAATAAATTTTAATTTAATTTGTTAAATTTTTCTGCTAGAATATGAAACCTTATATTAGTTAAAATTGACTATTTTGTCACGTCAGATTAAGAGTAGAGGCGACGCCTCGAGCGGGACCGAGGACATTCGTTGATGACATTATGTTATTTCGTAATGTTGGATAATTGTGGTAGATCGTTGTAGAGTTATGTTTCTATTCAATTTGATAGAACTTGAGTTAGATCGGTGATGATATTGTATACCGAAGAGATAAATTGGTCTGCTACTTTTTATATTAATACTAACAGATCCGAAAGTCATTGTCCTGTCAAAATTTCAATAATATTTGAAATCATATAAATTCTTGAATTTCCCAATTTTTCATGCAACTTTTCCATTTTATTCACTTATTATAGACCTTATTGAAAAAAATATATTAAATAAACATGGCCAAATCGCTCCGACCGTTTTTATTATATGGATAAGATAATATCAGCGTTTTACCTACCAATAAAACGCTTATTAAGCGATAACCTTATTTGAAGCCTAAATTAAATATTTGAGAGAAGCTAACTTGATTTCCGGTAACGCGTCAGTTTTTTCTCGAATTCTCATTGGTCGTCCCCCACCATTTTAGTTTCCTCGTTGTACACCAGGTAGCGCTGCGCTCAGAAGATGGCTAGTGTCAGCGCCTTGCTTCATTGGATCTCAAATAAATAAATATATATATATATATATGAAAATTTTCACCAGGCAGAATTGATATAATAGGCTTCAAATAAGGTTATCGCTTAATAAGCGTTTTATTGGTAGGTAAAACGCTGATATTAAGCTTTGAACCGTTATTTGAAGCCTAAATTAAATATTTGAGATCTGTCTGTTATCGCCTGGTGTACATGAAAAGCCACTGTGATACTATGTTAAACCAATTGGGATAATTTTAAAATTACCAACAGCAGTTAAACAAGTAGTAAGTGAAGTGAAATGTGGCATAAGTTAAATGAGGAACAACCATGTATTTTTATCAATTTATTGTAAATAAATGAACTTTAATTACCACATACTTTATAATATAATCATTCCTATGTAGTACTTATCACAATTTGATAAAAATAATAACGATAAATTAACATGAACTGTTCAAATAAAAACATTTAATTCATGTCTAGCAACAGATATATTAAACTAATCAAAAAATGTATAATAATAAATAAACTCAAATTTCAAGCAATGTTTAAAATCAATCAGGCACAGGAGTAAATAATTGTAATACACCTTTAGAGCTAGACGGTAATGAAGAACTTTGAACTTCTCTGCAGTAATATTTTAGAAAAGTATTTCCTGATTTCCAATTCCCTCGTGCAAGTATGTCATCTAACGGACAATTTTGGATCCAATTTTTTGAAGCGACTGCGGGTCGACAACTACCTGGGCTAGCTTTGATACCTGCTTGACATAAAATCTTCTTAACACAATTACCAATATTAGTACTCGAAGCTTCTTTTGGTTTCTTCTTTTTACAGATTGCACGTCTAGACTGAGACAACTCAATAACTTTCTGTATCCAAAAATATGGGTCTAGGGATTGATTATCTTTGTTTCTATAAATACGCCATCCTGACTGTCTATTACATACCGTGTCAGTTTTGGACCCAAATTTAGGCCAGAAAATTATTGATTCGTCCTTTAACAAGCAATTGTTGTCTTCAATATCCAGTAATGTAAGAGCATGTACACGATGGCCAGAGTACAATAATAATAACACAGCTGCACGCGCAGAACATTCAAATAAATTATTCGTGTTTGGCAAATTATTTTGTAACCAATCTGTCAGTACATCTGTATCCCATATTGGAGCCTTTGTTTTATTATTATTGACAGATTGACTATTACAAATAGCTTTCAAAGCTTGTTTTACCAACACATGTGAACTCAAACGGGATTCTGTATTAGGGTTGCATAAAACTGAAACAGCAGATTTATAGACTAAAATGGTTTTATACGCCAGTCCTTGTACTTGGTGTATGTCTATAAGATACCTAGCAAAGTCAGCTCCAGTGGGTTGACTGATGGAGACAAAGTTCGCCTTCGCCCACGCGCACTATTTTTGCCATGCCATGCTACTTTATAGATAGTTAAAGTAGAATTCCGCCAACTTTTCTGTAAAAATTGTCTCTGCCTATCCGACCAACCTGTTAGATATTCCGTCCACCCCCACATCTCCATACCTCCAAATCAGTCTGGATTGGTCCCGCTCGACCACCGGGAGCGAACGGACGCGCTTACTGCGTCGGAAACAGTGCTCCGGTCGAAGAAACGGCGTTTAAAAGTTGTAAAAATTGCTAAATAATAGAAAAAGGACTAAAAATTTGCCAAATACTGTGTAATATAGTGTGTTAAGTGTCAACGTATATATATATAACAATAGTGACAAAAATTGTGCACGGAATTAGCCAAAATTTGGCAAAAAGTGAAAAACTTAAACATTTTTAAACTGTTTTCGTGTGCGGCGCTCGATCTAGATCGATAACGTACTATTTTTATTTGTGGGTTATAAAGTGCTCATGAAGACCTATCCAACGACACCACTCCCGGATTTTTTGGACAACGGGAAGTGGTTAGAAAGTTCAAAAAAACAAGTTGGACAAAATCTCTCTTTCCGTAACGGAGAGAGATAGAGACTTCGAACCACCACCACTAGAGAGAGCTGGACGCGCCGTCAACAAAAAGGTATCGTGCATAGCCGTAACTTAATCAGTGACAAAGATATAGACATTTTAAAATTTTGAAAAATATCGACAAACTTCAGAAGAAGATTAAAAATTATCTTCAGTGACGACCCCTGTAAAAAATTGAAAAGTGAAGAGCAACTCTCCTAGTTTTTTATAGTGAAAACCGCAATAAAATCCGTTCAGTAGTTTTTAAGTTATTAAGCAATCTAGATCATAAGCTATAAGGAAGATACATTCCATATTGGAATTTTATTTAGGATATAATTAAATTAAGGTAGACCAAGACATATAGCGAGCCATTTACACTCGCTATAATATAATTTATTGACTATTTTGACAAGAGCCGGACTCCACCATGCACAGGACACCTCCCAAAACCTCCAAACCGCCAGCGGTCAAGGCGAAAACCGCCAAACCGCAAGCCACGTCAAGCAAAAATATAAAAATGACAACAACCGCATCACCGTCGCCATCAAAAATACCAACACCATCACCTCTACCTCTACCCTTGCCCCCCTACGTAACTAAACTAATCAGACAAAAATCCGAAATTTTTCCCCCTAAAGAGGTAATAGACAACAAAGCAGAAGCACATTACAATAATATTTTGGAATCAATCAACGAATCAAAAAATATAAAGACGTCAATAAAAGAAAACATAGCCTTTCATGCAGAAAAACTGCTCCACATGGTAGATGCCATAAACTGCGACATGACAGACCTAGCTAGAGAGGTACTAGCGGCGGTAATGGAACGACTTGACCAGGCACCTGAAAAACAAAAACAGACACAAGAAATGACGGAACTAAACACAAAGATGGAAAAACTAATGGAACAAGTAATAACACAAAACTTGGACTTAAAAAAGGAAATCTCGGAGTTAAAGGCAGAAATAAAAGAAATAAAGGAGGAAAAAAGCAATACCGGACTGATGGAGGAACTACAAAAACAGAACATAGCAACCGAAAAAACCCAAAAACACCTACAAGAAATAAAAGAAGACATCAAGGCAATACCAATCTCACAACCAACACCAACAGAGAAGCCAAATACGACACCAGAATCCTACTCTCATGCATTACAGCAAGCTTCACTACCAAAACCGACCCTCTGCCTACTCGTAGGTACGGACAACGTAAATGACACTAGTGAAAAAGTGCTAACGAAAATCAAAACCACGTTGAATGCTAGAGATACAGGACTTCAGATATCAAAGCTGAGGAAGGTAAAAGACCAGAAAGTGCTCATTGGTTGTGAGAAGAAAGAAGACATAGATAGCATACGGGAGAAACTTGAAACGAAAAAATTCAAAGTAGAGATAAAAGCAAACAAGGACCCTTTAGTAATTATTAGAAATGTAAATAATAGTAACACGGATGAAGATATACTGCAGTCATTAGAGAAGCAAAATTACGAACTTTTAAATCACATCCCGACAGACGAATACAGGATGAAGGTCAGGCATAGACGAAGGGCGAGAAACCCGATGGAGACACACGTAGTACTGGAAGTATCCCCAAAAGTATGGAGAGCATTAACAACAGCTGGGAAGGTCTACGTGGATATCCAAAGGGTGCCCGTGTTCGACTTGTCCCCACTGGTGCAGTGCTCGCGCTGCTTGGCATTCGGACATGGGAAAAAATGGTGCACAGATAGTATAGATCTGTGCAGCCATTGTTCAGGACCTCATCTCCGCACCGAATGTCCAAGCTTGCAGGCAGGCGAGGAGCCTACATGCAAAAACTGCCTGCACGCAAAATGCACCAAAACCGATCACAACAGCTTTGACGTGCACTGCCCAGTGAGGAAAAAGTGGGATGACTTAGCCCGCTCGAGTGTAGCATACTGCTAAAAACACAAATAGAAGCCCACACATACGCATCAGACCCAATAAAGCAGGTATAATGAATATACCACGGAGCAAGATTATCTTACCCCGCAGCAAGAGTCGAAAAAGCAAATAGTTACCCACCACCGAAAACATGCAAATCAAACCTGAAGATTTGAGGAGCAAAGTTAACCAGATGGCACAAACACACCACAATAGAATAAGTACAAAATAAGTAAAAAACCAAACAGTACTGAAAAAAAAAAAAAATATCTCTAGTAAATAAAAATAATAAGTAAGAAACTAGTATATTAAAATATTGTTAAGCAATATTTCATAAGTATACTTAAGAATGCAAAAGCAATTAGTAATAAATAGGCACTTACCTTCAAAATGTACTCTCTGGCAAAAACACCTGTCATAAACATATAATAATTATAAAAATAAGTAAATTAGAAAGTAATACTATAAATACAATAAGAATAAAAGCAAGCAATATAGTATGTAAGAAATGTAAATAGAAATAATAATAGTAGTAAATACCTATACCCAAATAAAAAAAAAAAAAAAAAAACACTCAGTAATAAAAATTGTACAACTATATATAATAGTAAACTTAAGAGTAAAAATTGAATGTAAAGAACAAAAGTTCTCCCCAAACTAAAAAACTAAGGTAATACGAAATGTAAAAAATCACCTAAAATTTAAGTCTTCAAAACTGTAAACAAATCAAAATTGTAAAAAAGGTTTCTGATCATCACGTCAGAAGAGTTCCGGCTTTTTTTAAAAAAAAAAAAAAAAAATACATGTCTGGTGTCAGTGGAGGTGGCTGATTCGTTACTGTGTCGATCAGAACTAGTCCCAAGTTCCGTATTGTGAAAGGAGGATTCAGAGCGCGACTCTTCAAGTCTGGTCGCCAAAATACCTTGGTCCATCTTGGTGCTACAACCAAATATATTCCCGTTGCCGAGTTGAGGTGCTGTAATACCCGGGGAATTAGAAATGGAGGCGGGAATACCCATGCTAGTCAGAAGTGCCATTCCTGACTGAACGCGTCGTACAGATGTGCCTGCCGGTCTCTCACGTCCAGCGTACCGTAAACTGGGACAACGTGAGCTGTCGCTGATGCAAACAGGTCTATTACTGTAAGGCCCCATCTCGCAAAAATTATGGACGTAATTGTGGGTAGAAGATGCCATTCTGGCGGACGAATTGAACGTGACAACCGATCCGCTTCTCCGTTGTAGCGGCCTGGAATGTAATGGGCTTCTACGTGAATATTGAACCGATCCAATAAAGTGAAAATTTTGTATGTAATTCCAATCAAAGGACCCGACTTTGTACCCCCTTTGTTTCGCAAGTACGCAACAACTGTGCGATTGTCGCTCTGTATTAGCATCGAAGATCCCACAAGGTGCGGACAATAATCTTTTAATGCGTACCACACAGCCCGCATTTCTCTTTGATTGGAATGTAAACGCCCTTCCTCTAGCGTCCATTGGCCCGACAACCTCAGATTGTTCAGCTGAGCTCCCCATCCTACTTCTGAGGCGTCTGTTACCAGGTATTTCGAAATGGGAGGGAAATGAAGGAGCGAGGGCCGAGTCAGGTTGAGTTTCCACCAATCCAACTCTTTCAAGGCAGCGGTTGGTATCGGAAATTGCAGCCGAGGATTGCAACGCAGTAACTGCTGGCAATGTTTCAGGAGAGCTCGATGATGTAAGCGTCCCCTGTACACTGGAAAACTGGCAAAATTTATTGACCCCACTAAGCTTTGAATTTCTTTTAGATTGGCCCTTTTTCTTTCTAACATTGTCAAAATCTTTGTTAGAAGATCCCCACACTTCTTTATCGGTAAACTTTTTAGATTTACATGAGTATCCCAAACAATTCCCAGATATTGTACATTGGTTTGTGGTACTAGGACCGACTTTTGGAAGTTTATTTGCCAACCTAGTTTTTGTAGAATGCTCAGAGCATCCCGAACTTGTTGCTTTAGGAGCAGAGGATCTTGGCAAGCTAATAGATAGTCGTCTAGGTACACCACAGTTCGAATGCCTTTCCCCCGAAGAACTTGTGCCACCCAATTCGTAAGAGATGCGAAAATTTTTGGTGCACATGCTAGGCCGAAAGGTAGACACGTCATTTGCCATAGATGACCTTTGTAAATAACTCTGAGAAAGCATTGATGTGCTTTGGACACAGGTAGGTGGAAGTAGGCATTGGACAAATCTATCTTGGCTAACCAATCCCCTGGTTGCAAAAAGTTCACTATTTTGTGCACATTTATGAGTCTGAATTTGTCCACAAACACATAATTGTTTAGGCTTTTTAAATTGAATATTGGACGCATGGATCCGTCGCCCTTCGGTATTAGAAATATTTGTGACACAAAACTGGGGCTGAGCGGAGTCGGCTCTATGACCCCCAATTTCATTAATTGGTCTATAATTAAGTCCATGTCTTTCGATACTGGAGTTTGAAAACGATGGGAAACTAGGTCTGGTATTACTAATGGAGGCCTGGCTAAAAATAGGATGCGAAAATTCTGTATAATCTTTATTAGCCCTAGAGGCGCTTGTAGGTATTTCCAATGTTCCAGGAATTTCGGTAAGCGACCCGCGCGGAATGGGGCAGAGTCAATCGTGATCCTGACTGAACAGATTGTTTATTTGATCCCCTACCTGCGTTTAAGTACATCTCTGAATTTTGAAAATTTTGTGATCCTGGCCTTTGACGAAAGGGCCTTAATTGTTGCAGCTGATTTGATCTAAAGGTAGGGCGGACGTATTCTCGTCCTTGACTATTAACATTAAAAGTATTCCAGGCACCTTGGAAAGGTGGCCTATTTATATAATCAAATTGAGGATAGTGATAATTAACTGCACTAGGCATTTTCATTGCATGACTAGGTGTGACCTGAGTCTGCTGATGGGGCTGTGCTTGCAAAGCAGCTTTATTTTGTGTCGGCGCTCGGAGCGGCCAGAAAACTTTAGACATACCCCCAGATTTTTCGATAGCAGTAGAGAAAGATTCCTTATTAAAAAGATTCTCACTAGTGGGAGGGATTTTACGTAAACTTGACTTCAAAAAACTATCTTTTACTGAACGCAAAATATTATCACGCCTTTGTTGTACTAATTCAGCTCTGTGACCACAAGCTAACTGTAAAACATCGCTACAAATTTTTTGAAAATTTCCTTTTATAAATAATTCATTCACTTTTTCATGCAGTGATTTAGCAGTGATATTATTACCCGAGAATCTTGCCCACTCAATTAAAGCTGTAAAAGCGCTCTGTGCGGCTTCATTTTGCATAATAAGAGCCTGTGTAATGGCAGCGAAACCCCGCTCAATAAGCGCAAGAGATGAATATTTATCATATGATTGGATTTCTTCATTAGTCTCTAAATATGTAAAACCCGGAGCAGAACAGTACTGCTTTTGCACTTCTGCATAGCGTACGGTGTTCCAATCTTCAGTATCAAAATGTTGTATTGAATTAATTAACTTTACGCGAGCCTGAGAAGACTTGTATTGTTGGTTCTTTCAACACAGTATTCAGAGAAAAATTGAAACTAACGGGCAATTCAGAAGTCTGCACTGGCTCCTGCGTACAATTCTCATGGGTATATAGTTCACCACTAACATCTGCACTAATATCTGAATCAATATCTAGGTTTTGTCCTTGGTCAGGCACGTAAGCACTAGAGTGACATGTAGGTTGAAAAGCAACGCTACTGTTCGCAATATAATTTTGTATACCACTTACTTGTTGAGCCAAATAATGTATGGTTTCTTCAAACGTTTTCTCTTTTTTTCACTGCGCTCCTTTGAGCCTGAACGCTTCCGTTTTCGCTGTGTTTGGTAAGCAGCAGGCGTGGTTGGCAGGGCACTTGACTTGGCCCGTTGCGGCTCCTGCTCGTGAATCTCCACTGCCACAGTTTCCACGTTATGGGAACTCGAGCAAGAAGAGGAATCAGATAATTCGGAAGAATCTTCACTCATACTTAAAGGAAAACGAAATTATTTAAAAAACAAAATAAATACCGAACGATAAAATCGTTTAAAATATATAATATTTAAAAATATACTTATAATATACCATATCCAAAATATAAGTGTTATAAACTCACTTGTAGATTTTAGACACGACCGACTGTTACGGAAAACAAATCGCCAATGAAGCAAAGCGCTGACACTAGCCATCTTCTGAGCGCAGCGCTACCTGGTGTACAACGAGGGAACTAAAATGGTGGGGGACGACCAATGAGAATTCGAGAAAAAACTGACGCGTTACCGGAAATCAAGTCAGCTTCTCTCAAATATTTAATTTAGGCTTCAAATAACGGTTCAAAGCTTAATACAGAATACAATACCCAGTATGCTGACGCGCGAGAGGAACTCGTCGTACATGCGGCGCTTGCGGATGGTGGAGCCCATGAGGATGCGGCGGTAGGAGTCGCGGTCCAGCCCCCACAGCTTGAGCGGCGAGCGCGCGCGCACGGTGGCGGCGCGCGGCGTGCCGTAGATGAGCGCCAGCTCGCCGAAGCTGCCGCCCTCGCCTATGCTCGTCACCACCTCCCCGTTCACTAGCACCTGGTTTTATACACATACCTCGTTATAATGAGCGGAGAGGCAACGCGTTCGCTTGCGAGATCAAATTAATCTAAATTCTGAATCAGAATTTTCATTTGTGAATAATTAACATGATTATCACTTGTCTTACATTGAAAGAAAACATCGTGAGGAAACCACGCTGCGTGTCTGAGAGAACCTAGCACGTTTTCGAAAGACATGTGAAATCCGCCAATTCACACTTGGCCAATGTGGACTACAGGCCTCAGGACGGCCTCCTAAAGGGAGGCCCATGCCCAGCATTTGGACATTAATAAATCATCATCATAGTCTTGTCGTCACCTACGTAATACCTTACCTACTGTGTATTTTTTTTACAAAACAATACATTTAATAATATATCTTTCAAAAATTTCTATTTATATAATATACCTCAACTTCTCCAGAGTCAATGATATAAAAGTTATCTCCTTCATCCCCTTGCCGAATTACAGTTTCACCCTGAAGACACTGCACAGGGAACATGGCGTCGAACATATCTGCGCGCTCCGATTCGTCTAGGTGTGTAAATAGCACGTTAGACGCGATGGCTCGTGATAGAGCTCCCATTGTTTTGTAGTCTTTTGGCACCACCTATATAAAAATAATGATATGAGAAATTGAGATAATAATTAACAAATTCATTTATAAAAAGCAAACAAAGTAATAAGTTTAAAAAAAATCCACACGACTTAACCAATTTCTTTTGGGCTGTTTCATACTTTTTTTGTAAATTAATTCAATAAGAAGATTATTTCATTTAGTCTTTGCTTGCTACTTTTTGAAATCAGTCAAAAATATACCTTTTTAACATAACTGGTAGCATCTTCTTCAGTGACCGGTTCGGCACTGATGCCCCCTCGTCTACGCGGCAGCTGTCCGCCTGGCACTGGTAAAGGCGACAGTTCGCCATCTGCTTCTCCCTCTGATGTGGCCGCCGCCGCTGCTGCTGCTTTAACTTGTTCCTACGTTCATTTTTTTACATTAACCAATCAGCTTTTACAAAGTATAATTAAATGACAAACTTTTATAAGGCATATATACATAAAAAAAAATTAAGATGAATGGAATATGATAATTAGAATATAAACTAATATTATAAATGAGAAATCAGTCTATTACGTTTCACGCCTATACTGCTAAACCCATTTTAGGGGAAGATCAAGGTAATGATTTCATCTAAATATAGTCTATTTATTCTATATTAACTATTTCCATTATTAAGAAAGTTATGAGCAAAAAAACCAAATAAAAGAGCGTTTTTTTTGAAAACTCGATATTTTAGAACCAGTGATCCAAAAAATCTCAATATTTATCAGGAAGCTTCTTTTGAGGGGTACAAAAAATACCAAAATATTAAGAAACTCAAAAATAAGAAATTTGAAACCGTCCCATTTGGCGTGGAATGCCCCATATGCTACTGTTAGTAATAAAAATTGCAAAATGTGGTGTTGTCTGTATATACAAAATGCCTGTAAATACAAAAGGCAACTAGGGATGCATCCAAGAGAAGCAAGGGTAAGTTGCAGTTAGTGCACATATAATATAAAGTACTTGTCAGTATGATCATTGTATCAAAAAAGTATATGTACATTAGGGTGTGCCAAAAAATGACCTTATTTTTTTTCTTCGATCTCACCCCAAAATATCTCAGAAAATGTCCCAAAAAAGCTCCTGTTAAAAGCGGAGCTCAAAATTCCAATTCTAAGAGGTTCTCCACCGAATTTTAAGTTTTATCATACAAATAATATGGAAAATATGTTTTTTAATACTTTTTTGTCTCTTATTAGATGGTAGATTAACAAAATTAGTATATGAATAGATCTAAGCCAATAAATTGATTATGGTATCTTCAACCCAACAGCTACCAAAAATTAGTTTTATTTTGAACTACTGCAACAGTTTATCCATTGATTAAGTTTATAATTTAGTAGTAGATGACAAGTGTTAGTATAGTAAAATCTTGTTTCAAAATGCTAGAATACCAATTGCTAGCAGATTATTCCAGTTCCTTCACAATATTAAAACTACTTAAATTTTCTTAAATTAGTCAACTAAAGAATAAAGATTTGAGATAATTTCAACTTTCAGTAAAGCAATTAGTAGTAGTAAACAAACAAAGATTATCTAGAATGTGAGACTACTGGGTTTGATCCTAATTGACTCATACACTCGAGTGGTAGTTCTCCACATCCACATATCCAAAATTACTAGATATTAAAAATAAGGAAGCTTAGGCAAGTAGATATTGTTTAATTGCAATACTAATAGTAAAAAAAATGGTACATATATGATAATGCACCACTAAGTACCATTAAGTGTCATAGTAGCAGAATGTAATTTTTCTATTTGTATTTTCTTTTTTTAAGCTTAATAAAATACCTAACTCAACTTGATATAAATAGAGCTGTTTTACCAACAGAAATAAAGAGCAAAGTGGAGAACAAGAACATTATTATTACTAAATGAATAATATATTTTTTTTATTAATTAGCACTTTGACCAAAGGTTATTGATGTAATTTTCAAATTTATGACCTTAAAACCCTTTTACCATTTACAATTCCACACTTAAAGCTAGTGAGAAAATAGCAATTACAAATGCAAAAAAAAAACACATGAGAAAATATAGGTACTTCCCATAAAATGTTAATCTGTAACAAACTACTATATGGATTCCTATACTTTATAGTAGATTAGTCTTCAACAATACTAAATTATTAATACCATAATGATAATCTTCTTTAAAATCACGTTCAAATAGTACAAACAAAAAGATTTCCAGGCGAAAAAAACTCAGAAGTAAAACAAGCAAATTCAAGAAACGCATCAACGAATCCAGTAAAAGTTACGCAGTTATTAAATATAGTTTTAAGATAATATTTATAGTCTAAATACAGATCACTTCACAAGAATCTTGCGCGATTCTATTTTGAGTTAGCTGTCAACTCAAGTATCAAATGATATAAACTTCTTGTATCTGCTTTAAAAATGTTGTATAACTACGTAACAAGTGGAAATATATTAGTGACTCTCTCCACTTGTTAATAAATAATAACTATAATGCTCAGTTTGTAGATAAATAGAATTGTTATTATCATTTTTTCTTGTAAAATACAAACTTACTCTTTCTAACTTTTGAAAATACTGCCGCAAAAACACAACAGGATTTTCTGGCTTATGTAAACATAACTGAACGATACAATCTTTTAATAATGTTTGAATGTTATGATTCTGAATATAGTTTTCACACTGATGTAAACATTGTTCTTCCTCCATTGAGTCCATTTCTGTTTTGTTTCCAAAGGGTGTGAAAATAGTCAACAGATAAATAAAATAATGGATGACAAATACAGAATAAAGTAAAAGCATAGATCCGTAAGAAATTGACAGCTACCATTGAGAAGAATTTTGGTAAAACTATTTCGAACGCTTTAATTATATGTAAACAATTTTTTTAATTTCCTAAATTCTTACCTCCCTTTTTGCTTATTTCTATATTTTAAATCTATTGTACGAATTTTTTTCTTTTGTTTTATAAAAACACGTTTTCATTCAAACTAAGCATGGAAATGATTGCTACTTTTAAATCATTATCACGTGATGAAATTACAACAATTTTTCACGTGATTTCACCTGCTACTTTTCACGCATAGATTTTTGATTTCGACGGTCTGGTGTCACACTTTATATTATTTGCTATTAAAATGTAGTATGAAATGTCACCAATGGCGCTACTGATGTGATATGGAGCAGAGATATAGATCTGACGTAGTTGCATACGTACATGGTGCTTTGAATGAACCTATTTTCAAACAATGAACTTTCCCTCATACTTCTGCAGGCTTGGGACTGACAATGTAAAATTAAATGAATTTTAAATATATCAGAGTAATCACACGGTAAAATTGTATTAAGCTAAGTTCCATAATTACATTGGCGTATTTAAAAGTTCATTGTTTTTATGTACAATAAGAATTTTTATAAAAGAATTTTATACACTTTTTTTTTGTTTTTCTTAATTTTTTTAATTTGTTTATAATCATTTTTTTTGCTTTTTGATTTTTTTGATGATTGATTTTTTTATGAGATATCTATATACAATAGTCTTCATTGCTTTTTAAAAATACAAGTTCCGCTGTTCGTTTTCTGCTTAATCGTGCTCTTTTTTGGGTTGCAAAATTTCCCGCTTTTGAAAATACTCTCTCACACTCCACTGATGTCACCAAGATGTGACAGTGCTCATGAAATATTTCCGCCAAATTGGGGTACATATAGGAGTGAGATTTCCACCAAACTAATGACGAAGAATCGCGCGGAAGCACTGGTTCATTAATAAACATTTCTAGCTCGTTCTCAGCGTTGGTGGTTATGTCTGTACGTATTACACATAATCATTCAGTAAAAATTATAAGTATTTGTTGGATAAAAAACTAAAAATGTGCTCTAAATTTAATTGTTGTTTCTAATTTAAAATTATTTCTAAACAATATTTCTAAGAATCCGAAATCATGCAACTCGAAATAAATAAACTCCCCAATTTACTGATCAACGGTATTAACTGAAAATTGTATTTTGTTGAATAAAAAATCAATAAAAACATCAGTACGAAAATGTATACGGAAAATGCGAGTAACGAAATGCATTCGTGAGTAACGTTTAGGTACTCGGTACTAGATGGCGTACCCGTTACTCAGTAACGAATACATACGGTTTGCTACAGCTCTAGATTTCACCAAGTTGTGATTTGTAGCAGCCACTATGAATTTAAGTAGCAGGTGTGACGCGTGATTACGCATTTCACGTGATTTTTCACTTGCTACTCGTGAAATGTCCCATCCCTAATTCAAACTTAACTTACATGCTATGTTTCGTTTCTTTTGTATTATCTGTAAAAAAGCTTACTCTTGATTTTTACTTGTCAAATCTGCGTTGTTGAATGTCGGTCGTCCGTTGTGCTGTGCTGTGACAAAGATGGAAGCCGCGAGTGTGGAAGCCGGTGGGAAAAATCATTTAGACAATGTGTTATCAGAATCAGAAATCGCTAACCTGCCAAATACCGTTTCGGAAAAAATCAATGCATATATTGACCAAAAATTTGAAGAATACTTGACATCCAAAGCCTTGCACGAAACCAGTAAATCTCAAATCGGTGAGTAGCCGGCCTATATTTGCAATTTGTGAAATTTTCACCCATTTAACATCGTATTTCTATTTATTTAAAATAATAAGAAAATGTGATGGATTTAAATCATGATTATGTGAAAGGAATAACGAATAATCTTGTATTTTTTCCTGTAATATTTTTAATTAATCACGACACAGATGAAATATCTTTTTTCTGACTACCTCACTAAGCATGATTACAACTTGTTATTTACAAGGCAATTTGTAAAATGTAAATTTATAATTCTTCTAGATTTAGATTAATTTAAGATAAAAAGAGTACTCTTACAATGTACTGTTTATTTTTCTCATAAAATGAATGCTTGTTGGTATGCTTCTGTTTTGAATTACTGCTTATTTGGGATCTAGCCATTAGCAATTCTTTAAATGCTTATGACCCCAGCATGTATATGTATAAGATTAATAAGATTTATTTTTAAATTTGACATAACATTCAATTAAATAGTGTTCTTCTAATAATATATAACTAACCGCTCACCCTCGCTTCGTTCGGTTATGTCCCTAGCTTTTTTTTTTTAGCCAATACAAACTTTCATCCCCATTTTCACCTCCTTAAGGCATGATTTCCTTTTCAGGGTCTCAAACTATCTTTTTACCAAAAATATCTAAATCTGTTTTGTAGATCCAAAAATTACCCCCTACAAACTCACAAACTTTACCTCTTTATAATATTAGATAGAATTCAATATAGATTCACCATTTCCTAAGGTTTCCAGTATCAAAGAGTATTAAAATTATAAATTTAAATAACAAATTACATTAATTTTGGTTCTGGGTAAAGTATTTTGAATGGTGTTAGTAGCAAAATGTCTATATATACTTATTAAAACATCATAATATACTTTTTTCCTAAGTAATGATTAGTACAATAATTATTATCACATGGTAATAGGAACATATTATCCAGCATGCAAAGTTTTTAAATTTCAATCCAGGACACAATCTGGCTGTATAACTTTTATGTACATTCATTGGCTCACATATTGTAATTAGGTCATAAGCATCCTAACAATTAAACATCCAAATATCTTCATAAATTTACAAACATGATACCATCTCTGATAAAGCTGTATTAGATATATAAACAGATTTACATCTTTGAGAATAATGAGCACTGCAACTTCGTGAAATAAAATAATTACAACATTAATACTTTAGTATATAAATCATAACTGATTTGTTTCAAGATAAACAACAAGTTCTTGAGCACTTATCAATAAGGTAAATATAGAAAATAACATAGCTATTATATGAAAGTATAGCAAACAGCACCCTATCAGCAACCTACTACATAAACCTATATCAAAACTTATGTCTATAAGGGCTTGATGTAGAAAAGCATAAACCCCTAAAGCTTTGTTTTTCTTCTACACGCTCATACTCATATATTATAACAGCGTTGTCTTGTATATTATTATTATAACAACATTCAGTGTTATTGCTGCGATCATCCTAATGGCAACTGCTCAGTGAGATGCAGCTCACATGTAGCAGCTTTTATTTTTTGTCTATCATATTATGAATGGTATGTATCCAGAATTGAATGTCTTACTAAGATAGTAATAAATATATATATTTCATTTTTTTTATGTATATTTATATTTGAAACTCGAAATATTTTATTTTATCATTGCTATTATTAATTACCGATGGGATATCTCAAATGTAATTAATAATATTGGTGATGATTAAAATTGTTTATTTTATTCATTCATATATTTAATGTATTTTTTTAAGAGGTTTTTTTATATAATATACTCTAAAAGGTAACCTAAAATCTTACGTTGGTTTTAAAATTCTAGCTTTTAGGATTTCCCAATTATGTATACCATTTTGAAAAAGTCATAGTTAAGCTATTTTTTTTACATACTTTAAAGTCAAAGTGGAATACGGCAGTGAAACTCATATGAATCGCTTTTCTACATCAAGCCCTTATTGACACACAAGTTTTGAAATAGATTGCCATTGGGAAGTCGATTCTGGTTCAGTCAGTCGAGTCTTATCTGGCTATACATTTTATAATATGGGCATAGTGGTGATTCCACATGAAACGGACATGTAAATAATGTTGACTTTTCCGATTTTGATTATGTTATAGCTATCTATATAATATGTTCTCGACCAAGACACCAAATATTTTAATAGCACAATGCCTGCTTATGGAGTTGAGGATTTTAAAATTTTGAATAACGCGCATAGGTATGCGCTACTTCGAAGCACATTATAAAGTAATAAAAAGTTTTATTTAAAAAAAGTAGCGGAATTCGTACTACATTTGCTGGATTTTTGGCTTTTTAATTGCATTAGAAAAAATGGAAAAATTAATTATAATCATCAAAATTACTTTACTCACTTCTTTTTATGGATCAACACTACACTATTTAAGCAAACAAAAATAGTCAAAATTAGATGGTGTCTTTGTAACTATATTTTTTTAAATTATTATTAACTCTTTTTTTTTTAATAAATTTTTAATATCATCCCAGGAAGGTAGCTTTCATAAAACGAAAATGCTCAAAGCTAGTTTATATTTCAAATACTTAAATATTTGCACCACAATTCCTTAATTTTTTTGGTTTTGATTTTTTGTCTTGTATGAAATAAATGACAATAATGAATATGTTGTTTTTCTTTATCATGTAATAATTGTAAATATTATTTAAAATTTTAGGTGACAAAATAGCAGCATCAGATGCCACCATTCTAGAATTAACAGCTAAATATGAAGAAGCTGCTAAAAAACTATTAGTTGCTGATGAAACTATCGAACAACTAGAAAAACAAGTTAGTTCTCTTAATACTGAATTGGAAAAAGCTCGTGAAAAGATACATCGTCTAGAAAATGAAGTTATATCCCTTAAAAGTTCTAGAGATGCTGCAATTGATGAAAGAAATGACTTGACTAGAATTCTCCAGAGGCGAGATGCCGAAATAGAAAGACTCACTACAAATGAAACATCGTTGGCTCAGCAACTCCGCGCCGCTATTGATTCAAAATGTGAAGCACTTGCATTGAATGACGAAATACAGAGTAAGGAGCTATCTCTTCAGTATCGTGAAAAACGGCTAGATCAAGAAAGAGTTTTATTAAATTCTCAAATAACTTCACTTACTGAAGAAGTTAACAGACTCACATCCGAACTGCAGACTGTACGATTAAACAATACCAGTAGATTGGTAAGCTTAGAAACACAACTTGCTGAAAAGGTTGAAGAACTAAATGCAGCCAATGAAACTATAGAACAATTAAATGAAGTTAAAAAGAATTTAAACAATCGTGCTGAAAATCTTACACAACGATTAAAAGAACAACGTGATATTGAAAATAAAATGTCCGAAAATTATAAAAAAGAGCTAGATGCAAAAACAAAGTTAGCTGACTTGTTTAAGACTATGCATGATGACGCAGAAGCAAAAACAACTGAGTTGACTGAAGGTATTGGTGAGTTACAAAAGTTATTAAATGAAGCTACAGAAAAGTATGGTGAATTGGAGACTAAATATAAACAAGCTGAATTAGATCATGAAGAGCTAATGGAGAAAAAGAATGAAATTATTTCATCATTAAAGAATGAATTAGAACATGCCAATGATTTACTTAAAGCGGCAACTGCACAAAATCTAGACATGGCTTTAAGTGATTTAGCACCTTCTGCAGCAACTGCTAGTAAACTTCTGAAATCGGGAATGTCATTAACACAAATTTATTCTCAATTAGTGAAAGTTACTGATGAATTGAGCCAAGAAAAGGAAGAGAATAGACGCCTTAATGTGACAATAAATAAAATTGTACAAGAATTGGAAGAAAAAGTTCCATTATTACAAAAACAAAAAACAGAATATGTAGAAGCATTGGAAAGCAACGCAGCGTTGACACAACAAATAGAATCACTAGTAATCGAATGTAATAGACTAAGGGATGATTATAGTGAATCGTCGAAAATTGCTAATCACTACAATCGTGAAAACAATAGACTTAAAGGGGAACTGGCTGATTTAGGAAGGCAAGTATGCTTTTTGCTTAAAGAAATAGAACACAGCCGAGGTGGACTCCTTAATGGCGACCATGACACATCCCATTCAGCAAATACAACAAATGCTTCCGATGTGACTTCCTCACGAATTATATCCAAAACATTAGTAACATTCAGCGATATACAAGAATTACAAGCTAATAACCAAAAGTTATTAAGAATGATTCGCGAATTAACTGATAAACAAGAAGAGCTAGAACGCCACAAAGAGCAATTTGAAAGTGGAGAAATGGAAAACAAAATTGATGCATTAAAACAAAGAGTTACAGAATTGACAGAGGCTCAAGAAAGACAAACTAAAATGGTTAACGGTCTCATTAGACAACGGGACATGTTTAAAAAGCTTTATCATGATCATATGAAAGGTAAACGGTACGAAATGGCTTCAGTACTCGACACTTCTGATTTAGAAAAAGGAGAATCCTTTATAATGGATATATCACAAGAAAAACCTTCTAAACCTGGAACTCCCGATATTTCGTCTTATGAAGCAAAATGTAGAGAAGCTGAAAAGCAATTAGAACTTTTAAAAGAAGAATACAAGACTTATAAAGAAGAAAAGGTAACGAATGAGAGAATGTTGTTTGAACAAATTGATAATATGAGACAAGAAATAGCAAAATTGTCCGCTGCAAATAGTAAATGTTCCTCAACATCTGAATATAACAATGAGAGACTAAAAATACTACAAACAAATATCACTACTTACAAAAAGCAAATTTCTTCATTAGAGGACAAGAACAAAGCATATAATGCTACAATTGCAAAACATGAAGTTTCTTTACAGCACTTGAGAGATGAAGTGTTGAACTCACAAGGTAAACTTGCAGCTTCAGAAATACAACTTGAAAACTTAAAACTTGAAAATAAGTTACTGAAGGACGCAGAACTGCGCTTACAAACTGAAAAGGAGATCCTTAACAGAGAAAGACAGGGCCAGTCTATACTTTTGAAAAACTTAGAATTAATAAAGGCAAGCTTAGAACGTGTAGAAATGGAAAATCGCGCTAAAATAGAAACAAGGTTAGATGAAGCAACTCGAGAATGTTCAGCTTTGAGGAGGCGATTACAAGAAGAACAAGATAGGTTCAGAGAATTAGCATCTCACCTTGAACGTCAAACTGAAACTGCTAAATCTCGCATGCAAGAAGAAAAAGATGCAGCTGATAGAATGAGGACGGAAATTCAGCAGTTGCGAGATGATTTAATAGAAAAAAGTAAAGGTAATGAAGAACTAGCTAAGAAACTTAAAGTTGCCTTAGCGCCAAATTGCGATGGATCCTTAGATACAATTAAGAAAATAAAAGAACTTGAAAATAAGTTGACAGATAAAGACGCTGAAATTGGGTCGCTTATTGAACAACTTAATACTGCTAAAGAACATATCAGACAATATTGCGATATATCTGAAAGTGCCGAAAAAGAACTAAAAAATTTGCACAGTGAATATGAAAAATATAAATCTGCTACAGAAGCTAAGCTCGCAGAAAATGCTACGAAGCTACAGCAACTTGAAGATAAGTGTTCAGAATTAGAAGCCGAACTCTCACTTCAGGCCAATGGAGAATACTCAAATGTAAATACGTCATTGAAAAACGAATTAGTAACTGCTAAAGAAGAATTAAAGACTGCTTTGGCTAACTTCAGTGATTGCAAAAATGAACTTGACGTAGCTCGAAGTGAAATTACCAAACTATCTGAAGCAGTTCAAAAAGCGGAAGAAAAATATACTCATGAAATGATATTACACTCTACTGATATTCAAACCCTATCGCAAGTTAAAGAAGATCTATCTAAGGCGCAAAATGAACTTAACGAACTTGTTGCCCTGAAAAATGGTGCCTTGGAAAAACTGGAAACTGAAAAACTGTCATGGAATGAGAGAGAGAAGATTCTTACTAATGAAAACCAACAGCTGACTGAACGTCTGAAAAACTTAAATGATCAGAATTCTTTACTACATGATCAAATCCAGGCATTGGGTACGCAACTATCCGTTACTCATGCTTCTAGGTCTCGATCAGAAAGTATGAATGAATCAGGCAATGATTCTGTTATGAATATTTCTATAAGTGAAGACGATACTAAGTCTTCCGAACAATTATTCCAAATCGTGAAATTTTTAAGGAAAGAAAAGGATATAGCGATGGCTAAATTTGACATTTTGCAAGCTGAGACTATGAGATTAAAATCCCAACTAGAAATAACCGAAAAACAATTAGACGAAAGTAAGCTAGCATTAGCAGCAGAAAGAGAAAAATCTGAGGTAAGCATGGTTACTGTAAATAAACAATCTGATATATTAAGGAAAGTTGAAACTTTGAATGCATTGACTGACAGTAATAGAATTTTGAGAGAAGAACGTAATACTTTATCTATTAGAGTTGAAGAATTATCAGCAACAGTGAAGTCTTTAGAGGACCAGCTTTCTCCAATACAAGATAAATTAGCTGATTTTACCTCTAAAAATGAGACACTTCAATCTGAGAATACTTCATTAAAGACTGATTGTGCAAGGTGGAGAACTAGAGTCAATGCTCTAGTTGAACGTGCTAATAAAACAAGTCCTGAAGATTGGAAACGTCTGCAAAATGAACGAGACACTCTTGTAAAAATGTTGACAAATGAAAAAGAAAATCTTAAAAAAGTTAGCGAAGAATTGGGAGCTGTGAAAGTAGAAAAATCTAAATTAGAAGAACAGTATACCATACTTTCCCGTCAGCAAAATTGTCTAATGGAAGAAAATAAAAAACTCAACGAAGAAATGCAAGTACTTAAAGATGATATGGCTCGTCTAACAGAAGAGTTAACTAAAATAAAGGCCGAACATAAAACTTTTGCAGATACGAATGCTAAATTAACAGAAGAGCTTTCTAATAAAGAAGTCTCTCTTAATGACATCAGAAATAAAGAGATGCAAATTCGAAAAATTGCTAAGAAATATAAGGCACAATTTGAGGAATTGGTAAAAACAGTGCAAGAAGAGAAGAAAAAGAATGATGGCGAAGCAGCTGCTGCGGGTGCAGCTCTGGAGGAAAGGAATAAAACAATAGAAGAACAGTTAACTGAAATTCAAAGTCAATTAGAAGCAGAAAAAAACAATAATGAAAAACTAAAACAAGAATTGGAAACTCTTAAATCTGCAAATACGGATAGAGAAGAAAAAGCAAAACAAGTACTCAAACAGGCTAAGAGCAAAATTGTTCAATTGACTGAATTGAAAAATACTCTTAGTCGTGAGTTAGATGAATCACGTAATAAAATAGACACTGTAGAACAAAGTACGCGCGATGAACAGGATGCTAGGTTGGAATTAATAAAATCTCAATATGAAGGACGCTTGTCGCGAATGGAAAAAGAGCGCGCGGAAGCTCAAGCTGAGAGAAACAGAGAAGTGGAGGCTCTCATGCAGAAAGTTAACATGTTGCAAAGGCAGCTGGCCAGTCAAGCATCAGCGTCTAAACAACAAACAAGTACTGAGAAAACAACGGCAGATCCGCCCACTGCTAATATCAAACCAATGGCGGGTAAGTTAATATTTTAATACATATGTATGTATTTTTTTTAATAATTTAGTAAACACAAATATGTTGGGAAAAGTCCCTTTATTTTTTATATTTTTTTTTCTAATATTGATAATGTCAAGCGTTGACATTTTCAATTAATAGCATATGTATTGAATTTATTAATTAAATTTACCTATAATTTATCAAAGTAAATAATACTGAATTATTAGGAGTCGCGCAACAAAGTGTATCAGCAAGCCGTCGTGGAGGGGAAACCCCACTAGCATCAATTCGACCCATGGCCCAAGTGGGCCCGACCGCGCCACACGACGCACACAGTACAGAATACCTGCCTACGTCGTCTTCACGTCCCTTAGCGCGAGCCGCTATCGCCTCGGCAGCTTCAGCAACTTCGGCAGCTCCCCCAGAGTCCACTCAGGTTCATTCACAATTTATGCATTTTTAAAATGGTGTTGCTGCCTCATGAAGTAATTTTTTTAACAAGAAATTGGAATGTCAATTGACTCTTTAAAGATTGATTTAATATTGTAAGTATGTTAAGAATTATATTAAAAATGTTATAGTGATTTAGTAATTCATACATATATGCAATTGTTAATGTTCGTGTAGATTAAATGAAAATTTTGAATTGCGTATGTACTAATTTATTTAAAAAGTCTTCAATAAAAAAATTGTAATGGAATAAATTATTGTCGTAGCAAATTTTATGTCACCGAAATCACTTAAATAATTTGAAATAACCTTGACATACTAAAATAATTTCCTACAGGACATGGATACCAGTGAAGCAGGGATGGGTAGTTCAGGATCTAGCGATAGCACTGCGCAATCTTTATCACATTCCCAGGCACCACAGCAGGTGATTATAATACCTTTTTTCTACTTACAGTACTGGACAAAAAAAATGTGCGTACGATAACGGTGGTTATCGTTCAAAATTTAATATTAGTGCTGTATTTGTAAGTTAATGGAGTAGGTACTTCCATAGTAGTATCAAGGATTCATAAGTTAATATTTATATTTTCATTGGGTCATCACAATAAAAAAAACTAAAGTTGAACGAATATAGTTTTAACGCATATCCTATTTGGACCAAAAAGCGTTGATAAAAGCGACGTAACAAGCAAAAATAAGCTTTTAGCTGCTTTGCGAGAGAGACCTAGGAAAAAATCGACGAACAGCAAATTCGGAATCTAGTAGAAACTATACCTCGGCGTTTACAGCCTGTTATTGAAACAAAAGGTAGCCACACAAAATATTGGGCGATGTGCGATGTGTTCATAAATTTTCTTTTTTATCTTTGAGTGCGTCCTTTTTTATCCAGCCTAAGATGAGCATCCTACGGGTTAAATTTATTTTCATTCATCTTTGGATTTTTTTGTGATGGTCCAGTGAAAATGTAAACATAAACTTATGAACTGTCGTTGAAACTGCTTTGGAAGTACTCCATTAACTATTTTCGTAAGTATAATAGTTCTAATATTAAATGTTGAACGGTGCGTATTTTTTTTTGTCCAGTACTGTATTTGTAAATTAAAAATTGAAGTATTAATAGGAAACCAAATGTTGAACTTTGGAAGTAAAATGTACAAATCCTCCGGCTTCTCTATACATTTTTATTTTAGTTTGTGTATATATGAAGAGCCAAAAAATATTCTAAGCTGCGAGAAAAAGATAAAAGCAACAAAAAGTTAAAATAAGTCGTAAATAAAAACTAAATGAGTTATTGATGTTTTGAATCGTTGCAAATAACTTAAATGAAAATAGGATGAAAAGATATGTAAGATAGTTGGTAAAAAATGAGTTATAAAAGCTAAAAATAGAAAATGTGAAAAAATGGAGTGAAATAGAGGAGACCTTTAATCACAGAGAGGACCTTGATAATTGTTAATACTGTGGTATAATACTGGTATGTGGTACGGCTTACAGGCGGTGGCGCTGGTGATGCCGCGCATCGAGCAACCGAGCGGCGCCGTCTCCGGCGCGCTGGCGGCGCCGGCTAGCTCCGCCGCGCCCGCCGCCAGCGCCGCGCCGCAGCCCGCGCCCGCTACGCCGCTACCCGGTATGTATGTTACAATTGGGACCTGACACCCTTAACTAGCGATCGTCTCGTGGTTGAAAATCAACCATAAATCATTAAGTTTGATCGACATTGAGATTCTAAGTTATATAAATAATAAATATTAAATAGCCTATAAAATCCAAAAGAATTTTGAAACAAATTACAAACGATATTAATCTATTCTCAATTTGACCGCAGACTTTAACAATAAACAAAAGGGTATACATGGTAATGTGTGTAATGTTTTTTTTTTATTGATTTAATGTATTTTTATACTTAATTTAAAAAAATATTAGCATTCTGTCCTCCTCTATATAAACTATAAGTGTGGGAAATTTCATACTCTTCCGTCCGCGCAATTTTCGCAAAAAGGGGCGCAAAGTTTTTGCTTCACGTATTAATATATAAATACTAAGACGACTTATATGGGAAAACAATTATTTTAGACCATAATACACGATTAATTTTCAATCAACTGTAAAATAATATTTTAGTTTCATTAAAAGTTAACAAATAGTTATTCATATTAGTTGGCAAATATATTTCTCTCCTCTCTTTACTTATTCAATTGTTTGAAGGCTTCAAATGTTGTTATATAAAATGTACATATTATGTTGGAATCGCGTTTTGACAGCGCACAAAAAGTATCTCATTTGATTTTTGGTGTGCACTACTTAATTTACATTTCCGTTTTCCACCTTTGTTGGCTCTGTTCATGTTGTTTTGCCCCTTTCTAAGTATTACATCAAGAAGTCGACATCAAAGGTACATTTTACGTACATATAAAATAATATATATTATTTTATAATATATATATCTTATATATTTAAACGAGCTATTCTTGTGTATATATATATATATATATATATATATATATATATATATATATATCAATATATAATCTGAATCTCGGAAACGGCTCCAACGATTTTCATGTAATTTAGTACACAGGGGGTTTCGGGGGCGATAAATCGATCTAGATTAGTCTTATATCTGGAAAAACGCGAATTTTAGAATTTTCATGCGATTTTATTTTGCATTTTCACAATTTTTGCATTGTCACTTCTGGTGAGTGGGCGGCGCCACTGTGCAACTGACAACATCGTGTCCGTATTTACATCAAGTTTAAATATATTTAAGTGAAAATAATCTTAAGAAAAATTAAATCTAATCTAAGTAAATTTTTAAATAAAGCCTATGGGCAATATGTAAACATCACCAAGTCTTGATGTGTTGAAGAACAAATGAGCTTTTAAAAATTCACCTACCAAACAAATACAAAAGTGACAAACATAACTTAAAGATACTATCAGTGCAAAACCATCTTTTCTGTGTGTGATGACAATAAAACAAAATAATTTGTGAAGTGAAAGCGTCAAATATTAAAACATAAGTTTATAACCTCAAAAACTAATAGGTACTCGGTATAAAATTGCAATTCAACTAGGTATAATTGGTGCTCTTTTTCAATCAGCTTTTCTACTTCCGACTTCACACTTAAGATGGAGGAGATAAAAAAGTTGCTAATAAACATACAACAAGAAATAAGACAGCAGAAAACAGAAATGTTAGAAATGAAAGAAGACATTAAAAATACAATCAACAATAATATACTTAAATGAGAAATTTAAACACTTAGAAATAAAAAATTCCTCAATAAATAATTTAGAAAGACATATTAGGCGCAAGAACTTGGTTATGTTCGGAGTAGAAAAAGGTGAAAAATCCTATCATGAACTAGAGGAAAAAATAAAGTCTTAAACAAACGCAAGGAGTTACAAGCCCAACTGAAGATAAAGAAAAAGACCTAGGCAAAACAGCTTTCATTAAATATGACAAACTAATTATTGTGGATAATAATAAGAACACTTCTTGTCAATACTCAAATAAAAGAAGTCTGCCTGTATCTTCAGAAACGCCTTACCTCAATTATAAACAAAAACTAACAAATAAACAACATACAAAGAAAACCAAACCTGCTAATATTAAGGACTTTATATTACAAAAACCAAAATTAACTTTCAACCACACAAATGATAACCAGGAAGAACTAAAAACAACACAGCAAGATACAGTATATTAAACACAGTAGGAACTTCCTCATTTTTATCCCCCAGTACGGCCGGTCACTGTGGGGGAGTTCGACCGTAACCCTCCAAAGAAAAACAGACATACAATGAACAAAGGTAATACATATCTTCACCAGAAAAACTTCTAGAATTAAAAGCAGCATTTCCTACAACAAATCAAAAGAACACAAAGATAAAATTATAAACTTTATAGGCATATCAGAAACAAATTATAGTATATTGGAAACAAAATTTGAAAAGAAACCCTTTGCAATCATACAAGCATAATCTCCAACGGAGAGCTCTATGCAGGACTACTTTGGAGGAGGCTTTTAACCGAGAGGGGTCTATACATGAAAAAGACATTTACTAAATAAATACATTTAATTATGAAATTAAATACCTAATTTATAACTATTGTCAGAATTAATGTATGGAAAGAAATTTTATTTATATGTATTATTGTGAAATGTTTAGTATTTACTCAATTGAATTATTTAATTTATTGTCATTGTTTATTTATTTGTTTGTTAATGATAATTTATATATATACAATATCATTTCAAATAATATGAAGATTTTTAAAATAATTTAATTCCAGATTACAAAATTATTAGTTAAAAAATTATAAGTTAATAAATAGTCACTAAATTATATAATTTTATATTTCAGCAATGTGATATAGACATTTTTTTTATTGTACAACTAAAATGGCTCCTTATATAGTCTTAACCAAATAAAATTTTAATGAAATACTTTTATAAAAAGCTGTGCATACTTTTAAATTAAATTTATATACAAATAGGTAAAATTATAATGTTTAATAAATGTTTTTATGTAAATTTAGTTAGTAAGTTTATAATAAATAAATGACTAAATAAATAGAGCTTTATTATTATTATGATTTCTTTTGCATTATTTCAATAAATTAATAATTAATAATTCAATGCAAAATATTATGTTCGATAATTTCGCACGCTCAGATATAAGCATCATGGTCAAGCGGCCAATGCGCGAGTTTGACAACCACAGGTATCTGGGTTCGTATCCCGGTCGGACACAATGTTTTTAATTTTGTATTTTTTTTGTATTTATTCAAATTCTTAGTTTGTTTTTTTTAATGTTTTTTTTTGGCCAAAAACTCCGAGCAAAGCTCGGTCGCCCAGGTACTATATATATATATGTCGGAGACGGTCATCAATACGGTCGCTAAACGAAGCGCGGCACGACGCCTGAGTGATGGCAGCACCTTCGGTATTATCGCCAACACTCGGCGAGCTTCGTGCTACGACGGAGCCTAGCTAAGGGAGGGGTGCTAAGAGGGCTGGACACTTGCCTTCAAGCCGAGCCAAGCTTAGGACCGCTCCACTAGGAACTGTCTTGCGTTCCGTATTGTCTATACATGGTAATAATGAAGTGGTATATGGCTGTGTAGTGAAGTGCTGTTTAACAATGTACAAAGTGATTATTGTTAATTTGAAATACAACTGTGATTGCATCGACTTTCATTTGAACCAACACTACCCATATAACGCCCACTGTATAATTCATGATAAAATAATGGAAAATAATAGAGAAAATGAATGTTGCTTCGATATATATATATATATGTTTAATACACACATGTGTAATCTCCCCTATATTACTGGTTGTATTTATTTTATCCAGACTAATGCGTCATTTATCGTACGCATAAACGAATTAGAGACTGGACCTGACATAAAATACAAATGTATGAAAACTAGTTCAACCAAGTGACGCATAACGCACACAAAGATTTTATTACATTATAATAAACACTGATACACAATACAATATTTCTAGTGCTTGAACGTAATGGATAAAATAAATATATCGATGAACGAATGAATGACATTTTAGACATTTGTTAGCATAGTCATCATAATTTTACATCTTTTAATTTAAAATATCTGTATTTATTATAATAAATTAAAATAAATGAATTAAAGAGGCAATAATAAGGTGTTAAATAATAATTATTTTTTAATTTCATTTATATAAATATGATGGTATTTATGGCAACATTCTGTTGGCCTATAATAATGTTAATGAACATATGAATATCGGGTGTATATTCCACTAATATATAATAAATATTATTTTGTATAGATAATAATTATAAACTTATTTAAAAATATATTAAGCTAATTTAATTAAATAAAGTGATTTTGTTGATTCTGTTATTGAACTACTTTAGTCAATCGATTGTTTCGGGTAGTTTATAAAAATGTGACACTGTGCTAATATTGCTCAGTTCTTAATCAACATTTGTGAAATTAGGAAAAAGAAAAAGTGATTGCAAATTGTGAAAAAGTGAGTGTTGGATCGTGAAAGTAAAATAATTAGTGAAGTGGTAAAGTGTTTTATTACAAATCGCCAACCCAGAAGTTTAGTGCTGAAACATTATTGTTTGATTTTGTGTAAGTTATGTGTTGAAATAAAATAATCTTAATTATTATTACAATGGAATAATATTCCAAAGTATATAAATGTGGTTTAAAATAAAAAATTAAGTACACATACTAATTATATTTTTTGCATTTATAATATTTTTACTTGATTTAGAAAATAATTTTATAAATTTATTGTCATCTTCATCATCATCATTTGATTGTAGGATACTGTGATAAAAGTATTTTATGTTATTGTACTGTACAAATAACCTCATTCGTTCAGTCATTTCGTCAAATATCGATATATTTTTCGACATTGTCAAGCACTAGTCGATGTCAAATGGACTCACTTGACAGTTTTGTCATTCGTTCTGAATGGTATAATCCAGCCATTTTATGATGGTTGTCAGATGTCAACAATACATAGAAATATCGACTATATTTAACATAGTTGGATAATATAACATTTTATTTTATATTTAATTAAATTTTGTGATAGATAATAATAAATGTAATAAAATAATGTATTTATTACGTAATAATGTATGTATTACAAGTAAAAAGAAACAGTGCTGCTTCCGCCGCTATAGTTTTTACGCCATTTAACAGAACATTTAGTCATTTTTGGGAGATGTTTTTGTTGACAAGTATGTGCTTGAGACTGACGCAAAAAACAAACGACCAAGGCGAAAATCTCCTGGTTACTGACAAGACCGGTAAAGGTACGTCGGCTTATGTCTGGTCCAGTGGCTAATTCGTTCATAATCGTACGTTATTGGAACAATGTGAAACTTCCCAGATGCGCAACACCAAAGCTTCACCATACTCGATTTTGATGTAATTTAAACTTAATTATATAATTCGTTTTTTCAAAGTATAGGTAGTCGAACTTAAACAAACAAATAAAATGTATTATATACATCAGTCGATAGTGTTACATTTTTACATTTTATAATTTGTTTTAATTGTGTTTAGGAGCGGTGAGTGCAGGTTCGACGTCAGCGTCGACCGCGAGCGCACAGTCCGGCGTGAGCACATCTCACGCTCCGCTGGTGAGCACGTCGCACGCGGCGCCCGGCGTCAGCACGTCGCACGCGGCGCCCGGCGTCACCACGTCGCACGCCGCGCCCGGCGTTACCACGTCGCACGCCGCGCCCGGCGTCAGCACGTCGCACGCGGCGCCCGGCGCGCGCGCGCCCAAGCGCCGCCTGCAACAGCGCCCCGTGGCCTCCAAACGTACTAGAGTACAGGTATGTTTGTATTCAGTACTTGTGGTTTAATGTTTTTTTTTTTATTTTTTGTACAACGAGATTTAAAGTCTAAATATCCAAGAGCTAAATTACATCCAATACCGTTTAACGATTTACATGTGATTGAATTATGAACGTCCAGACACTTTAACAAATCAAATTTGAAATATTAATAATGAATAGGATTGATTCAGTATTTTGTTCGATCTCTGAAAGTAGAATTTCTTATTGCCAATTTTGCAATAGGGTTTCGAACGTTCGGTCGAAGTGGAATACCAAGTACCGACTTCATCGCGTTGTGACCAAGACGATGAAGGTGTCATCGTTGTAGACTCTGAAGAAGATGATGAAAGATGCACTGGCACTATGTACCGGGTATGGAAATTCATTTCTTTTTTTTTAATAATGATAATATTCTGATAAGCTAAATTGTGAATAATATATTATAAATACTTAGGAAGGGGAAGAAGATGAAGAAGATATGGAGGAGGAACAAGAAGTGGAAGGTGGTGAAGAAGAAGAGGAAGTGGAAGGTGATGATTCAGAAAATGCTGCTCGCCAGGTATCTCACTAGTAATTTTCTTGGATATAATTTTGTTTCAACAAATTATAAAATATTAAAAATACTACAATAGCGCCTTTACTTCGAAAGAAACTACCATTTTGTTGATATAACATATTTGAATATGAATGTTGTTTTCATATTTATGTTAACACTTCTCTTTTATTTTAAGTAGCCTAGACGAAAAGGCAAAAACTTACGTTTGAACATATAAGTTAGATATATTTTTGTGATTGCCTCTTAAAAAACTTTATTTTGTTACCCCACTTGCTAGGTTTTGAGGAACAAAATTTTTTGAAGACAAAAATTAACGCCTAAGTCCTACATTTCCATTTTTTACAATACCTGGTGACAATCGCGTCATCAAGACGAACGAATCTAAGGACGTATAAATCATGAAAATCGGCTCAGCCGTTTAGCAATTACGAGGGAACACAAGATCGGACATACATACATACATGTCAAACACAACCTTTCTTCGAGCTTTGCCGTAAGCATATGTAACGTAGTAAATGGTAGTATTACTCATACTTCTGAAATTTCGGCGGATGCGTTTCAATCAAGTATTATAGTAAATTCAATTTTGTAATTTTGTAATTTTTTTTTTTACAAAAACATGCATGTGTATAAAATATATTATATACAATAAATAAATAAACGTGAAATTATCTATAAACTTTCTCGATAGGCAAAACGTAATAATTTTTTTTGGCAAATTTATATGACATTCTCCTGAATGATTTCGTATCGTGACAGGAGTCCCCGGCGCAGGGCGAGGGCGCGGCGGCGCGCGGCGAGCCCGCCAGCGAGCCGCCGCCGCACCAGCAGATCGAGGCCATCAGCAGCGGCACGGAGCGTGAGTGCATACTCCTATATAATGTACCAGTGACTCACGTCGTACGCTCTTACGCGGATTACCGTCACGATTTCATGGGTTTTATTGTTTTTTTGCTTGGAACCAAGATTATTTTTCCAAAATAAAATCAGCTATCTGCCAGTGAGAGTTCTGTCAAAATCGGTCTAACCGTTTTGGAGATTACTTGTAATGGAATCTTATGCTTATACTATCAGGCCTCATTTCAGAGTTCCTCTGTCGCCTATCATTGCGCATTGTTTAGTACAGACGATTTTCTATTAGTAATTAAGTTAACAGAAAACCAACAAATATTAAAATTTGGCATACTTATTGAAAAGCAGTAATCCAAGAAGTACACAATTTATGTACACCAATGTTATTGTACTTTAAAAATTAATGTTTTAACTAAAGGCAAGACGCCTTTTATAGGAATGCAAAATATATATTTTTTCTAATCATACTTGTGACTTAATATAAAATCTTATTACAGCTAGCGGAGCTTTATCAATAGGAGGCAACGGAGCAGACGATGGCGATGACAGTATTGTTCCTTCCACACCTACTCTTTACGTTCCCAGGCGAAATGACGGGTAAAATCGTTAATTGAGATAATTGTTACATTTTCGATAGATTTGAATTAATCATTGTCACAGACCGATTAACTTACTTCAAAAAAGGAAAATTTCGAGTATTTGTAGTTTTGTATGTGTGTGTTACACAAAGTGTTACATTGAAATTAAAACTTTGGTTATTTATATAATTAATCATTTGCAAATATGCATAATAAATTATGGATGATATCATAATATAACATTTATTATATATAGTTTATTGTAAATAAATATAAATTAATTAAATAAACAAGAAACTTAAAACCTGAATGCAATAGGGGTACTATCTCCTATCATTAGATCTAAGCGTGTTTTTTACTGTCGCATTTTCGCCATTAAAACGTCACTTCAATATATTTTCAGATCAGTGCAAAAATTGACCTATAGGTTACTATATTCTAGTTGCCAATTCGTAACTTGCAGTACAATTTTTACCATTATATTATTAATCGTCTGGCTATTGACATTATTTTAATATCTGACAAATATGATTTACCATACAGACAAACTTTGTCATCTCTTTTCATATTTTCTATTCGCTAAAAAATTTAACGTCTAACTACGTCACTCACATAATTTAGTAACAAAATTTTAATTGTTTTAGCTCTGGAGTTTTATATACAAATAACAAGCAGCATTATTTAATAAATGTACTACCGATGATACAATTACATTAAAATGGTATACATATTTTTTTTCTATTTAGTAGTAATTATTAACAAAAAAAAAAATTAACAGTCATTAACAGTATAGTTTTATATTATGTTTAAACGGAATTACATAATATTTTAATTTAACATTTCTTCTTGTTGCACGGCTTTTTCCGTACCTAGGCAGCATCGGCCGTTATACGTAAGCTTGTGCTAGTTCGTGTGTAGTAACAATGCGGTGTGCGCAGGTTCGGTGAGGCGGTGGTGTCGCCGGTGGGCGGCGCGGCGGAGGCGGCGGGCGCGCGCTTCACGTTCGCGGAGGCGGGCGGCGCCGCCTCGCACCACGACACGCACGCCGACCTCGCCGCCGCGCTGCCGCCGCCGCACGCGCCGCACCACCCCCGTATGTATACAGCACGGGCACGCTTGGGAAACCGAGTGGTTCAAATCCCGGCTCTCGCACCTCTCATATTTTCATGTGCGAATCATTTCTAACATGATTACCACGTCTGAGAGAACCTAGCAAGTATTCAAAGGACATGTGTAGTCCGCTAACCCGCACTTGGCTAGCTTGGTGGACTATGGCCTGATCCCCCTCGTATTGAAGGGAGGCCCGTACCCAGCAGTGGGACGTTAAAAAAAAGCAGAATACAATACCGTAATGTTATATACAGTATTCCATCTTCATACAAACGGTCGGAAATCTAGTTATACTTACGCGCGTCGTGTTCAGTATACCCTCTATAGACAACCATGCGGGGCTGCCGCATCGTATACGAAATCTGATACGAAAATTGCATAAGATGGTTATGTTATGTAACTTTTATGATTGGATACACAAATAAACATTTTATTTCTCCCGTAACTTCGCTAATGTCAAACAAAAAAGTACAAGACATCGTATGTTTTAAAAATAAAAATGTAATTAATTAAATTAAAAATAAAAATTAAAGTATTTTTAATTAAACCTTTTTATCCGAATGCGGATTTTTAATACTATTAAATTTAACAATAAAGCTTTGCATACGTTTCGGTCGATGCGCAAATATTTTTCAATCTCAAATTTATAAGGGTCACATACCACCCTTATAAATTTGAGATTTTTTAATTAAACCTACTAATAATATGTTTTAAATAAAAAATATAATATTTGCAATAACAAAATTAGAAAGAAACTCAAGTAGGTAGATAAATTAAAATACTGTAGGCGGGCAGCCTTGTCGCGTGGTTACGTACCGCGCGGCTGTAGATAATTATTTCAAGGACAGGGCCGAGTTACAATACTGTATATATAACATTACCGTGGCACAGGCCTCCGTTCAATACGAGGGGGATAAGGCCATAGTCCGTCACGCTGGCCGGGTGCGGGTTGTCTCACTTCACATGATTTCGAAAACTTCCTAGGTTCTTTCAGACATGTCACGATGTTTTCGTTCACTTTCTTTTTATTACTTGAATTTATAATTTTTTATCGATTATTTATTTTCTTAAGTCCAAATTTCTCGTAATTTCAATTAAAAATTTAGAACTCACAAACAACTTCCATCGCTATTTATATATATAAGCGATAATATAAAACTAAATAAATATTTATATATTTATTATCGCTTTATTTAAGGCTCTTTAGGTAATGAATTTTGCTTATCTTCTTTGCAATGTAAGGAAATGATGTGAAAAATTTCAGATTTCTAGACCTAGCAGTTTAGGCTGTGCTCTGAAATGGTATTAGTTTTATTACATTAACAAGCGGTGTAAAACTAAAATTTTATATTAATTACTAGTTTTCATCTCTAATTTCAAATATTTGACGAGTGTTTGCAAAACTCTATAACTTAACTCGTGTGAAAATATATTTTCTTTCTTCATTATTAACGTTGAAAACGTTTCTGGGCAGCAAATACTATTAGTACATAATATAACATATATATTTGACACTCCAATGACGACGAAAAAAGAAATTATGTAGCTTAATTTATTTATGGAAATGCAATTATGTATTACACATTTACATTGCTATTAGGAGCTGAAGGTGAGACGCGCGAGTGGGAGGAGTCCCGCGGGGAAGAGGAAGCGGCCGCCGTCAGCTCGCAAGGAAGTGAGCCGTCATCGCCGCAACAGGTCAGTGTAAAGAATACCCATGGGATAGAATAAAGTACTGTGGGTTGGAAAAATATTACAAATGACTCATTAAGTGATGAACTGATGTCCATTAATGTCGATACTAAATCTATAATAAATTATATCTCTAATAAATAGTAAATATTAATCCAAAATAAATAATTCTTATAGAATTGAATTTGATGGTGTGCCTTTTTATTTTAAAACTAATTATTATTATACATTACTAATAGTACTTCAGCGCTTATATAAACGTCGCGCACCAAAAACCAAAATATATTCGTGAATATATCCCAAAACATAGTTTTATCTAACTAATATTATAAACGCGAAAGTTCGTGAGACTTTCATACAAAAACGAATGAACGGATTTTGATGGGACTTTAACAGTAATATAGCTTATACGACTACATCAGAGTAACACAAGCTATATTTTTTTAAAGATATAGTTATATTGTTACCAGGTAGCGGAGGAAGGGCGTGAGGCGGAGGCGAGCGCCGCGCCGCGCCGCGCCGCGCCCGCGCCGCACGCCGCCGTGCCGCACCAGCGCTGGATGCGCGCCGCCGGTACGATACGCCGTTCCGATCTGTTGGGTTTTAATTGGTAGTTTTGGCTTTTCTAGCCGATGACACTACCTGCATGTATACAGGTAGTATGCGTAAATGCATTTTCGGCAATCGTGCAAAGCGTGCAAGATGAGAGTTGAGACGCACCCACAGAAATCTTAATAATAAGCTAATAGAAGTGGCATAGACGCGTGACCTTGTCGCCGCGCATGTGACTCGTAGGTCACAAGCGCGTGTAAAGCGTTTGTTGCGGTAACTAGTGTTATTTGAGACACGGAGAGGTAAACATGGTGTTTTGCAGCATATCCAACTGCGGAAATTCTTCCACAATTTGTAACTTTACAAATAAAGGGATAACATTTCATATATAAGTACTTAATTTTTGAAATAATGTCGTTTTTAAGAAATATAGCCAAATCAAATGTTTTCACCACCACTACTACGATTATCGCAGGAAAACGTTTTTTTTTTCAATTCAATAACCATTACCACTTAAGCTTGTTCATGTCTACTATTACAACTGCTAAAAGCAGCAATGAAATAATAGTCATGCGTAAAGAACATAATCGTCGCGTACGTAAATTCCAAGGACACGCCGCATGACTTGACCGTGAATTAGTGACGTGCCACCACTATTTTTTATCGAAAATTTATTACGTTTGGCTTAATATTTTTCGTTAAATATTTAATTGTTACATCTCATTATGTATGTTTTCTTTCTGTCTAAATAATATATAAAAAGTCATTAATCAACGATTATCTGTAAATTCGTACTTTTAAACTACTTTTTCATTCAGAAAATTATTAGGAGGTAGGCTTATTATTGTTATGTATATGGGTAAGTCAAAAACAGTATGCGTTGAATATCCTTGTATCGTTGACATGTTCCGCATTTACCAAATTTTTTTTTTGATTTGATTGAGTAAATAATTTTAAGGGCGAGTAGTTTGATAAACATAACATAGAAATTCTATAAAAAAAATTAAGTCATTGTTAAAAATGTATAGGATTTTAACAAATAGTTTGCATAACTTTTGTATAATAATAATAATAATATTTATTGCAAAGGTATACACCCAATTTAGAATATAATAACATATATGTAGTTATACAAGTCAATTTTTATATCACTTATGCATATATATGCAAGTCAATAAAAACATTATAAAAACAAAATTCAGTCAGACTCTTCATTAAATTAAACTAGAATTAAAAACAATATATCGCTGTTGAGTATATAGTAGCTGTTGAGTGTATAACTATATAATAATAAAAACATTTACTTACTTTTAACGTTTTATTGTATTCCCTTTATGAAAATAAATAAATCGTCTAAAATCGCGTCGAGGAATGAAACATAAAACACTTTCAATAAATTAGTTACCTATTGTTGCAAGACTCAACGGAAAATTATCGATATGAGCATTATGCGCTTTGTGCTGCACTAGAAGTGAGCGCGCGATATCATTCTGTGCTTTTCGCACACGTTTATTATTGGTCACAGGGATCACGGGTTCTGAGATTATGCGATTTTAAAAAATATTGCGTAATGTCATCGCTTAAAGTTTAATTTTTGTTGCAACAATGCAAAATGCATGTGTGAGCGATAGTGTGTATTTATTGTTTGTCAATGTGTTGGTAGCTGCAAGCCGGCGACACGCGTCCCAGTACTAAAAGACCGCAATGGCATTTCTATTACCTTATTATTAAGATTTCTGTGGACGCACCCGACTGGATAAGACGCCAAACCTAAACCATCTTATTAATTTTTTTTTCCAGTTTTGAATTAATATTTATTTTAAATCTAAAGACCTGTTATTTAATTAATAATAATAAAACAATCATTTATTTTGTATAAAAAGATTTTGTAGGTCTTAATCATCGCTTCAGCTAAATCTGAAGGACACTTCAGGTAAAGTACTGAAGTGAAGGCTTGCTGAGTGTCCGTCGAATGTGACAGAAAGTCGTATGACGCTAGTACGACTTATTTTAATGTTGGGAATTGCATTTACGCATACCACCTGTAGACATAGTGATTATGTGGGACTTACCGGCTAGAAAAGCCAGTACTACCCAATAAAATCCAACAAAACCACCCTCGTCTTAATGGGGAGCCGCAGGATCGCTTACGCACTCAACCACTCGGCCCCGACGGCAGGTCTGCCGCAGCAGACCACGACAACCCTGGGGTTGCTCCAATGGTCCACTCTGCTATGACGCATTTATTGTGTATTGATATTAGGACTATTAGATTATTTAGGATAATCTCCACACGCTTCAATCTACGACTGAAACTTAAACATTCGTTTAATGCTCTTCGGAGTTAACCTGATGTGTTACATAAATTTAAATATTTGAATCATATTACATTAAATATAAGTAAGCAATTTTGTACTATTCTCAGATAGTGAAAGTGGTGCACGCGGTCGCGGCATGCGCGGCAGAGGGCGGCCGCCGAGAAGGTCTCACAATTATACCAGGTTCTAAGCCGCTACGATAGAAATAACTAGTTTAAGGAAAATTTTACAGACTGTTCTTATTACTTGTGTCGGTATACGGTGGTAAAATATAACTATAAATATTCCTACATTCTATTTTTAATTACTTATGTTTAAAATAGGCAATTTATTCAAATATCTATGACTATCGCACGTCGTAGCAGGTGTTTCAATATTAAATGTTTAGTAACTGAGCTATTGTCTTAGTTTTTATTAAAAAATATTATAATTGAATTAAATATATTATGTGAATTAATTGACAAAGTTATATTGATAACGCCAAAACTAAATTCTTAATTCAATTTTAGTGTTAATGTCTACTTAGTCACTAAGATAAACATTTCCATACTTTAATTATTATAATAATGTCATTTATATAGAATAATAAATAAAGCAAGTTGAAACTTCAATTATCTATTTTAATTCACCTTCAAGTGTACATAAACATTTAAAAGTGGTATAAGTATTTTTAGGAAATTGTTTTTATGTTTTAATCACTAAGCCTTAATGAACATTTTCATTTCATTTCACAAACCCTACATTTTCAATACAAAGTCTAAATATTTTAGTAATGTCAAATGTAAGACAAATGGAAGACTTGAGCTTTTAACTTCTATATAAGTATAGATATATTCTGTATAAGTATACTATAAGTATTTGTGACAATCAGACAGTCATAGAAAAAAACCATATTGATAAATAAAGACATTCGATCATTTTCATTCATTGTGACGCATTGCGACAATGATATAAAACAATTGTACAAAAAATATTTCAAACAAAAAAATTATGTATACATACTTATTTCTTATCTAATCAGTGTCACGAGTACGTAGTATGTTTAATCAGGCGCACCTTTGTATTAATTAAACAAAATACCTGTTCGTAAAAAGAGACGCTTTGGTATATTTTAAAATGGAAGATATTACAATATTTGACTGTGAGCGGGCCAGTCGCAGAACTAACTTCCACCAGTTAAAATTAATATTTCGTCTGTACATCACTACATATTATAAAACAAAGTCCTCCGTCACGTCTGTCTGTCTGTCCGCGATAAACTCAAAAACGACTGCACCAATTTTCATGCTGTTTTCACCAATGGATAGAGTGGTTCTCGAGGAAGGTTTTAGTAAATAATTTGATAAGTTTTTGTATACATTGGCTAAAATATAACAATATTTGTTGGAAGTATCGGAAAAAATAAGCTTTCAACGAAAACGCTGCCTAAACTTTTTGAGATATAACAAGATAATGTATGACGGAATTGTGTATCATATATAGGTCTACATAAAAGTCCGCGATGGCATATGTCCTATCTCTCAAGGATAACATCCATTATCCATTTTAATTTAAAACGTACTCAGGGACGAACCCGAGCGAAGCAAGGGTGAGCCGCTAGTAATATTTATAAAACAAGATATCAAAGAAGCCCGAGACGATAAAGTAATTAGATTTGTTACTGTTACGTCACTCTAATTTTAAACTATTATAGTATTTAGTTTCCAAAACTAGCCACTAAGGAGGAAGGACGTCTAATCACCACCTGTAGATAATTAATCTGTTATTTACATTGCGCATCGAGATATGAAGAGATATTAGATAAAAGGTAACCTTCGCGTCGCAGTGGTGAAAATCCTGGCCGGCATAATGTTAATATATAAAATTCCCGTGTAATGATGTTGGTCCGGAATGAACTCCGAAACTACTTATCCCATCTTAACGTATTTTATTAAATGTGTGATTTTATAATTATATAGAAAGTTATGATAGTTTTTATCCCTATTATTTCCCTTTTTTTATTGCAAAATTAACGATTTTCATCGCCGGAGAGAGACCCTGAGAAACGGCTACCGGCTATCCTATTCTACAAATTGGACCCCCAATCAATCAATCAGCCTATCGCCGTCCACTGCTGAACAAAGGCCTCCCCCAATGAGCGCCAACCATCCCAGTTTTTTTATATATATAATATTCTATGAATTTAATAATAATAAAATATATTTAAATATATAAAATACATAATCTTATATAAATAAAAAAATATAATAAAACCCCCAAGCTATAGAAAAAAATATTATAAGTGTGCCACAACAATTATTGTCGGGTCTGCTTAGTATACATATATGTACGAGTTTGTAAACAAAATAACTATACATGCGCAGCGCAGTAATATTTATGATGCGTAAAAAATCAATATCTATAGATAAAATTATTTATAACTATCTATGTATGTTGGTATGTTTGTGTAACGAACATGGATATAGTAATTTAAGCATATGGTACAAAAAATATATTATTCATGTACGTATATTACTCATGTACTTTTGATTTCTACTGCACGTCTACGTGTCTGGTTTTCTTACTTTATTTATAGACTAGGAAGGAATACAGGCTGTTTTTTTTTATTCTATTACCATAAAAGATTTCTGTGACGTACTTAGTATATTTGAAAGGGCTTGTTATTTTTAGAGCCGTGGCAAAATAAGGGTCATGGGTCACTAAAATGGAATTTTAGTGCTCTATGTCATCATTAAGATCCGAAATAAGATCAGCCTAGAAATTGTCTAAGAAGTCTAACTTTAGTTTAATTGTAAAACGGACGTCTTCAATACATACATGATATAATAAAATTATAACTCAGCCGAATCTGTACATTAAATATTTTTTGGAAAATCTTATTGAAATAGACATTATTATCAATACAGAGCCGAATCTATCGTTTTTAAAATTTTTGTCTGTCTGTCTGTTACCGCATCACGGAAAAACTACTGGAGGGATTTTGATGAAATTTGGTGTGATGATAGCTGGTTATCCGGGTCAACATATAGGATACTTTTTACCGCGGGAAAACATCTCATTTCTTAGAAAAATTACAAAAACTGCAATGTAAGAGTTTACTAATATGTAAAACCTAAGAATTTGGTTTTGGTCATCTGAACGCGGGCTGAGCCGCGGGTAATGCTAGTAAACTATATAACGTGTATAAATATTATAAGTTTAACTGATCGCTCTCTGTGTATGGAATATATTTAAGAAAAACTTATGGAGGGACTTTATTAACGCAATAAAACCCCAACAATGATTTCTAGAATTTTTGTCTGTGCGTTTGTGCGCGCTAATCTCAGAACGGCTTAACCTATTTGAATGCGGTTTTCACTCATGTATTTTAATAAGCTTCACTTAACTTTTAGTGTTTGTTTTATTTCAATCGGTTCATAAATAAAAAGGATATTTCAATTTAAAGAATGACACGAATCGCCCAGGAACGAACCCGAGCGAAGTGAGGGTGAGTCGCTACTATCTAATATTAGTCGATAATATAATTATTTGTAGAAAAATTAGAAGTCAAATCAACAAGCAACTTTTATTGTCTGTTTGATTGTGCATTACAATCAATTGTTGGATATTCATCCATCCATTCAATGACATTTTTGTAATTATTAATGATTACCGGTATATCTATACATATAATAAAATTGTAACTAAGTCGAACATGTACATTAAATATTTTTTTGCAAATCTAATTGAAATAGACATTATTATCGATACAGAGTCCGAATCTATAGTTATTAGAATTTTTATCTGTTTGTCTGTCTGTTACCGTATCTCGAGAAAACCACTGGACAGATTTTGATGAAATTTGGTATGATAATGATGATAGCTGGTTATCTGGGTCAACATATAGGATACTTTTTACCGCGGGAAAATATCTCATTTCTGAGAAAAAATACAAAAACTGCACTGTAAGAGTATACTAATATGTAAAACCTAAGAATTTGGTTTTTGGTCATCTGAACGCGGGCGGAGCCACGGGCAATGCTAGTAATCAAATATAATCATTTTAAAAGCGTCCAACTAGCACACCTAAAAGTCAAATACCTAATAAAGAATTGAGATTGACATAATCATTTTAATCAATCTTATATTATTCGTAGGTAACCCGTGAAAAGTAACTATTACAATGCGTGGAATTATTAATCCGTCCACGATTTCGTAGGATTTTAATTATTTTCTTAGAAATTTACTTGCTTGCAAATTTACATTATTACTACTACTTCTTATTATTAGTAATTTGAAGCATTGTAATTAAGAGAAATTGTATATATATATGAAATTTTAATAATTTTGCATTTCACAACTGGTAAAAAAGTATAAACTTATTCCCCGCGTTTAGTTTATTTATTCTTTGCCCATCCCTAAAATCGATTGCATTAATGCCGCATGCGTGAGAGAACTAGGTTTCTTTTTATAATGAACTCCATTTCCGATTACTTTATTACCGGACCTGTTCGTTCAAAATACCTTTTTATGAAATAAATAAATAAATGAAAAGTAAGAATAAATTTCATTTCATATAAATTTCCATACCTACTAAATAACATTTCTACTTGGTTAATATTTGTAACGCAAAAAGATAAAATTACAAAGTCACTGTAATACAGACAGATAGAAGGTTGAAAGGTAAACGTTACTTCTAGACTAGCTGTTAATACATTATATCGTTTTCGAGGTCATGACGTGACGAGTTTTAATTTATTCACTGATGTTATTGTAATGTACCATAAAGGATTTGTTATTTACCTACATATATTTATCTAATACACAAAATATATCTTTTCATATAAATTTATATGTTATTTTAGTTAATTGCTGATATAGTTTGAAAACAAAATTGTAAAACAGCAAGGTCTTGGAAATGATCAAAGCAAAACATTTTACATACATTTATTTATCATTACATAAATTGTTACACTCATAATAAAACAAAGAAATTGAAACCATGAAATACTTGCGCCCATGAAGGTGTACATGATAATTTTCTAAACCTATTTAACATTGCATTTACAAAGTAGGGAGATGGAATTGCAAATTAAACTCAATGATCACCTTTTAAAAACATAATACAATAATATTGCTAAGCCTTATAACTAAGACGACCATATGGATAGAGAAATTGCATATGGTTTTATATAGTAAAATTTAATTACACGAAATTAATTGCCATAAACATTTTCGTCAGAAAATGCAATATACAGGAAAAAGTCTTCATCGTGATGTTCTTGATATAGTGAACCCATTGTAGCAGATGTGGGAGGAATTACGTTGTTCACGAAAAAGAATAGCGCATCTTCCGGACGTAGGTGAATTCGTTTCCTGATCAAAAAGTAAAATTGCCCCACAGTTAAATCAGATGGCACCAAATACTTTTTTTTATCGAGATCCCCCAGTCTGGCTTTCGGAGCTTTCTCTACAATTACTGGCACGCGATCCGGATATTTTCGACGTATTTTCTCTCCTTCAGTCTTTCTTTTCTCAAATGAATGTTCTTCTTTGTATTGGAATTTCATTTTAGTTTTTTATTCTTACTGTAATTTGCAAGACGATGAAGCCAATTCAGATACTGCGACTTGTTTTTTGTTTTTGCGTTTATTGTTTTAAAATGCAATGACGCAATCAGCTGATATGACAAATAACAACAGACAAAGAATATGATAATACAGATAAAAACTAGTGTACTTAGTCTATGGTCATAAGCGATATACCTTTTATTATCTATACTCCAGATAGTCTAATTTTTGTCATCCATGATAGAGTCAAAGACTGTTTACCAAAATATTTCGATATGTAAATAAATTAACTTTATTTTATACTCTTACATACTCGTAGGTATGGGGAAGAATTCTGCCTTTTTATGCCGCCAGATAACGCGATTACTATGGATCTCGGTATATTGTAAAGTTTTATTATGTGGAAAAGCAAGAAGCAAAAACCAGGTACAAAAAAAATTTCATATTAAATTGCTTAACTTCAGACTGAATGTAAATAGATCATACGAGTAGCGCCCTTTTTTAAAAAATCTTCTCCATTGACCACAATAGAAAGAGAAAAAGCGAACGTGCGCCTAATATCTGTCATTTATTCCAATTTAATTTTTTTGTAATGTAATAAATATATAATATTATTGAAAATTATGATATTATAATGGAATGTAAAAGAGTTGTAAATATCTATCTTCATTTATCGTATTTTAAATATTAAAAGACTTCTGGCGGCGCGAATTTATTTTGACTGTCACTTTTCCGCCATTTTCAGCTGACAGCTGGCAAAGAAAAAGTCCATTTCTATGTCCACAGTCTACACACATTACTACCACGGTAATGTAATGCAAAGAGACCTACCCTACCCCAGCCTGCAAATTTATGATATTCGCAATGAAAAAAATACTAATCGATAGATTTTTAATAGCTCAATTCAACTACGTAGCCCTTCCAAATTGCTCACCATTAATTATAAAATTAAAAATCAATAAAGTCCTTGAAAAAAAATTCATTTATCCGTATATTCAAATTTCTATATCTTTTGATATATACAATATTTTAAATTGCTCAAAGTTCTAAAATACTGCTCAAGTTGCATTTGTAATTGCTCAAGTAGAGTTCTCACCAGCTCCACTTTCCTTAATTATTAAATAAATATAAATAGTTTGAATAAATTTAACGTATAGATAGGTGAGTTCTGCGCATGCGCGCAAACAGTAACGCGAGTCGCAAGGCAAAAAAATCAAGTGTTTCATTACCTCATCATATTGAAATGAAACTGTAATACTCCAAGCACAACATCATCTATTTTTGCTTGATTTTTTTCATGCTTCATTGATTTTTTTGCCTTGCGACTCGCGTTACTGTTTGCGCGCATGCGCAGCACTCACCTATCTATACGTTAAATTTATTCAAACTATTTATATTTATTTAATAATTAAGGAAAGTGGAGCTGGTGAGAACTCTACTTGAGCAATTACAAATGCAACTTGAGCAGTATTTTAGAACTTTGAGCAATTTAAAATATTGTATATATCAAAAGATATAGAAATTTGAATATACGGATAAATGAATTTTTTTCAAGGACTTTATTGATTTTTAATTTTATAATTAATGGTGAGCAATTTGGAAGGGCTACGTAGTTGAATTGAGCTATTAAAAATCTATCGATTAGTATTTTTTTCATTGCGAATATCATAAATTTGCAGGCTGGGGTAGGGTAGGTTGCAAAGAGTATAGTTATAAACTGGGAAATGCATACATTACCGTGTTACTACTGTACTGTACACTCGACACTCAAAATCATAAATATGTGATGAAAATAAAAAAAATAAAGTATAATTATTTTATCTCAATATATTGTAAACTGTCCTTAATTTTACATTTTAAAATTCATATTTGCATTTTTGAACAGAATAAAATCGCAGGAGAGCTGCGCAATAAAATAATGATACAATATCGCGCCATAGACATTTTAATGTACAATTTTTTTTCCGTATAGTAACATTAAATAATAAATTGGCTTCTTGCCCTGCTCATTGAAACAAGTAGAAGCGTTCTTTTCGTTTATTATTGTGATTTACGCTTTATTTTACATTTCATTGTGATTGTTGCCACTTGTTCCGAAATTTAATAAAACAAAATGCGTAAAAGGAAATCCCTGAAAAAAGCTGACGAAGAATCGGACGCTTCGGAGCCTGGGGCTGAACCAGAAGAATTTCAAGACTCTGGAGAAGATTGGACGCCGGATGCCGATTCAGTATGTTTGAGCTAAGCAAAAATTGCGAAGAGATTTTTTAATTCTATTTATAAGTTGGTTTTAAATAGTGCTACTATGAAATTGTGTATATTGTCAAGACATTAATGGCGCGTGGTTTACAGAACGAATTCTGTTTGTAGCGGCATTAGGTTAGGTCATTAAATAAATCAAGATTTAATAAAAATGATAAAATATTTTGAGAATTACAAATTACTTTCAAAAACTGCCGTATATATGATAGATAGATATATGATTTTGTTATATTATTTAAAATTACATACAAATGATTAAAAGTATCGATGTTAGGTTAGCTTTCGATAATAATGTTTTGGGTATTTAGAATGAGCAGCCTGCCAGAGGAGGAAGAAAACGGACTTCAAGAACATCTCTAAACAATTCCAAAAAGAAACGTAAAAATTCATCATCTGAAGAAAGTGAAGGAGAGGCTGAGGAGGATGATGAAGGCGAAGACGAAGAAGCCGAACTAGATGAGGAAGAAGGTTCTGACGACGAGAAAAATGGCTCTGATGGAAATAAATCTGATTCCAGTCAGTCAAAAGATATACCAAAGCATTTTCATGTAAATAAACTACTTTCATATAATCTGTAAATAATATATGATAATACATAACTAGCTAATTATTTTTTATTACAGTCTGGAAACTTTGTTTTGCTAAAATCTGATGTTAAATGGGATGGTGATACAGTAATTTCAAAGTTGGATGAATTGAACCTGTGGAAAATAGATGGAAAAGCTTTATTACAGAAGTTCATTCCTATGGAATCTAATGGAAAAATTTTACACAAATGCACATGTGTGGTTAGTATATAAAGTATTCCCTATGGTATTTATAAGCTAAGAGATGTATTATTAAACCATAAATGTATTTTTTACAGTACTCTGGTTGGAATGTTGATAACCGGGACAATTATTACCCTATTACTGAAATATTGGACAGAAATCCACGTACAGATTCTAAAGAAATATGTGTAGCTTTAGATCTTAACGATCTTATCAAAGTAAGAGACAAGTAACATGTGGAGGTTTTTACTTAATTCAATTAGATAAGTCTAAACAAATGTATCAAATGAAATCTTCTTTTGGCACTTCATTCCAGTTTACTTTGTGTAATTCATTTTTTAAAAATGGGAATTAAATGTTTAATAAAGTATTTTTATTTGTTTTAATTTTGGATTATATGTATATTGACTATAAATTATTGTTTTAAAGCTCTGAAATACTTCAAAGTTGACCGTAATAAAAGTGTACATCAGTATATAGTTTTCTTTTTATTATATTTTAATTATTGTTATACTATTTTTTCACCTTTAAACAGTAATAATGATTTATTTATTTCCTCTGCTTGAATAATGTACATTTAAAACTACTGATTGTAGAATAGAACTAAAGGTTCCTAGTATGGATTTAAACACCTACAAATAGTATTTTGGTCACAGGATCAACGCTATTTCAAATTTCGACAGTAATTTTTCGTATAGAACCGTACACGATTCACTTATAAAGTCCATCCTGAAAGGTTGCTATAGGGAGGATGGGAGTAAGGAGAACCATCTCTGATGAAAGTGTCCATCAAAAAGCGTTAAATTAGGATGGCGCTACTGTAGCAAAAGCGTAAATTAAAAAAAGCGCCAAAATTTATTACAGTAGGATTACATTATCTCACAGCACTTTATTAGGTTATATTTAGTAACTTCCTTTTGCACTAAATAAAAAGATGAGGTTTTGCATACAGCAGCTTCATTAATTACTAAAAATATTACATCAACTCCATACACTTCACTCCCTATGTTTTCCAATTACAGAGCATAATGCTGCAATTTGGTGGACAAAAACGAACACTCATTTTTTTTTCTACTGAGTTGCGAACATCACGCCAAAGCAGTAGTTTTCAAAATTCAAAGTGCTCCATTGTAAGGACACGCAGCGTTGTTGTAGTTAAAAAATTCGAAGTGTAGTACGTATTATGCTGCTTTAGTGACGTGTGTAATTGGAAAACGCCCATTTTAACAATTATTATGACATTTTACGTATATTTATAAAACATTAGTAATGAGAAATTTATACCTAAAGGGATTAAAAAATTTATGATAAAGTCAAGTTTATTGCTACATATAAAAAGTGTTTATTATTGATGTTGATTGCAAACGTCACAGTTTACACTGCCATTCATAGAGAATACTACACATGCTGAGTGCTGACGCCTGACATTACTTAAAAAAACACAGGAAATGTCAAAACTTTGTGTTTGTAGCTTGCCTAATGCTTTTATTTGTCATCCATGCCTAATGCCTAGTTTTGCAATATATGAATATAAGTAAAACTACTGCATTATGTAATAACTATAAAAGATTCTGCGATGTAATAATTGTTTTGAACTTAGAACGTAGTATTTTCACAATGGATAAAAGCAGCCAAGGTAATACTGGTTAAAATGATGAATTGACATATAGTCTGCAATTAATTAATGTATACATTACTTACTCAATGATAATAGAAGATAGTATTTAAATAGAGATTTTTGTGTAACTCGTAGTAAGTTTAGAATAATATGAAACTGAACCACGATAGAACTAATATAATTTCTTACACCTTTCGAATCATCCATTATTATCCTTATTAATTTCAGAACAAGATTGTGCCATTTGTTTACAAAAATGTCATCATCCAACACAGTTACCTTGTGGTCATGTCTTCTGTTTCTTGTGTGTAAAGGTGAGCTTATTAAATTAAACTTTTGTTTCATAATGTATATTATCTGTTTAATTGTATGTTTTTTTAGGGTATTGCTATACAAAGCAAGAAATGTGCTATGTGCCGCATGCAAATTCCTTCCGATTATTTTGATCACCCAGTTTTAATAGAAAAATCATTTCATGAAGAAACTTGTATGGAAAATGGTTCATCAGAAAAATATCAATGGTACTATGAAGGACGTAATGGTAAGAAATTTAAATGGTTTACATACTGTATAAACATAAATTGCTTAATAATATTACAAACCCATTTTCTATAAATCAATTATTATAATAAAATATTCCCTTTTAGGATGGTGGAAATATGATGAGAGAAGCAATATTGATTTAGAAACTGCATATAATACAGAAGAAACTGAGTGTTTGCTTTTATTGGCCGGAACTATATATTGTGTAGATTTTGAAAATATGATACAATTTCGACGAAGCGACCCCAGACGACGCCGTCGAGTGAAAAGGGATGTTCCAACATTACCATCTAAGGGTAATAGCAATGATAAAGAAAATATTATTTAAAATAATGTTTACATTATTTAAACATATTTGCTAGACAGTGATTTTTTTTTTAGGTATTGCTGGCATAAAAAATATTGATACAGCCCAAAGTGAACTTTCTAATAATGCAAGTGATTTAGTTACAAATGATGTAAACATAATTGAAAATGAGACAAATGATAGCATAAATGATGTTGAAAATGAAACCAATACACATGAAAGTGACAATACTAGAACAATTGTTGAACCCTATCATGCTATTGAAGAAGTTACAGATAATCTTAGGTAAAATAAGTTTATAATTTCATTTTCTTCAAACATATACATCTAAAATATTTATTGTGTGTAACATATTAGTTTATTTACACCTAAAATTGTTAATCTTTAGATTTGACTGTAGAAAATAGAATATTTTCAGAATAAAAATGAGTGCTTGTAACATTCATGCACGGTAAAAGTATAACTTCTTTGCAAATATGGCATTTAAATAAAACGAAATATAATAATTTTTACAAAATTATTAGTAATACATATTCATTTTTATAAGTAATAAGTATCATAAAATTATAAATATAACACTTTTTTTTAAAATTATCTACAAATAATAAAAGTGTAACTTATCACTGCCTGTAAATGGAAAATATTTGAGAAAAACTATTATTGGTGGTCTTATTAACCCAATAGAATCCAAAACAATTTTTTCCATTTGTCTGTGCATTTGTGCACGCTAATCTCAAAAACGCCTTAACCGATTTGGGTGCAGTTTTTATTAATTTATTGTGGTAAGCTACACTTAACATTCAGTATATGTTTTATTTCAATCAGTTCATAAGTAAAAAAGTAATGTCAATTTAAAGAATCACTAATAATAAATTAAAATAATATACATTTTACCAATGTATTAACTTACCCTTCTAGTCACGCCTAAAGAAGTTTTACTTCAATAATAGATTATAAGAACACAACAGCTTGTTAAATTACTTTTTCAATAATTTGTCTCATGCTAAAATTATTTATGAGGTACAAAAATTATTGTTTCTTCATTAATACATATTTTTTTAACCCTCGACGCAAAAAGAGGGGGTGTTATAAGTTTTACGTCAATGTCTGTCTGTGCGTGTGTGTGTCTGTCTGTGACATCGTAGCTCTCAAACGAATGGACCGATTTCGATGCGGTTTTTTCATTTGAAAGCCAGTTTCCTTGTGATGGTTCCTTAGATGTGTTTGGTTAATATTGGTCCAGCAGTGTAAGAGTTCAGGTCTTTTCATACATGATGTATGGCATTTTAGCGTATGATTACTCGATTAAGTGCTTGACGCGTGCCAGTGTAATCGTTAAATGATAATTAATTTGCGTAGGGGGTTATATAATTTTGTAATTTATAATGTGAATAAATGTATAGTAATTTTAAATTATAATTTCCAGGCATATTAATATACATTCAGAAGATCCCATCAGCTTTAATTCAGATGAAACAAATCACCCAAGGGAAACATGAGTAGTGCAACAAAAATAGTAATATAGAATGCGTCATGAATCTATTGACTGAAGTTGAACTTATTCAGAAATAAATATATACATATTATATTTATAATAAATAAATGTTATATTTAATTAATTAAACTTAAATGTATGTCTTAAAACAAGACTAAATTGTGTTGTATGGAGTAAACAAATCTATAATTTATTAGAATAATTTTCTCTTATTAGTATTTATGATACATTTAGATTTAACACCTTACATTAATTTAACAAATAAAATGTTTCTATATTTTTATAGTACATCCATACTAATATTATAAATGTGAAAGTGTATTTGTTTGTCTTTCTTTCACGTCGAAACAGAGTGACAAATTGGAGTGATTTTTTTGTGTGGAGATAATTATAAGGTTGGAGTGTGACATAGGCTACTTTTCACCGCGGGGATTATCTAATTACTATGGGAAAACATGTTATAATACAACCCACAATAAGTCACATATGTATGTATATATATATATATATATATATATATAATAAAATTCTAAGTAAGCCGAATCTGTACATTAAATATTTTTTGTTAAATCTTATTGAAATAGACATTATTATCCATAAAGAGACCGAATCTAAAGTTTTTAGGATTTTTGTCTGTCTGTTACCACATCATGGAAAAACTACTGGAGGGATTTTGATGAAATTTGGTATGATGGTAGCTGATTATCCTGGTCAACATATAGAATACTTTTTACCGCTGGAAAATATCTCATTTCTGAGAAAAAATAGAAAAACTCCAAGGTAAGGGTATACTAATATGTAAAACTTAAGAATTTGGTTTTTGCTCATCTGAACGCGGGCGGAGTGCTAGTATATACCACATACCACCCGTTAAAACAAATATATATAGCAAAGCGAGGATGAGCTACTAGTATACTATATTTGTAACAAAAATATAATTAAGTATTGAACAAAAAAAATATATTTTATATAAAACTTAATATTATAAAAAATTATTATCTTACAAAAAAAATGTTCGATAACCTGAAATATTGAATTTTTGTTTCAATGTCAGATAGTTGAGTTGTACTTTTAAGATTAATAATTATGTTAACACTATCATAATACATTTTATAGCAAGTTATACTAATTGTTTAAGAAAACTGATTTTTTTCTTTTGTTTCAAAATGTTCATTATCATTGAAAAGTGGGTACCTATATACCTGGTCAATTTTTTTTAAATAAAACTATCTTTTCGGATTTTGTCGCGGATTTATTTGCATTTTTGTTTCCCGACGTTTCGAATGCTTTACAGCAATCATGATCACGGGAGAGACTGAAGTGTTAGATGTCTCTAAGGTATTATATAGTTGTTACAGACAGCCTACCCACAATTAACAAAATGAATTCAAAAAATTGAAAAATGGCACTAAAGTACCTTACAATATTTTAACTTTTAACTTTAAACATTTTTTATATAATTTTAATTAGCTTTATAATTGAATATAGAATATTATTTATTTAATTTGAGCTGTTATTATTATAATTATTGCAATTTTAAAAATATTAATTATTAATCTACATTTTTAGTGTTGCCATTATTATATTTATAACCATAAAGAAAAAATCATAATATATTAATTATTTAAGCCACAATTGATTTATGTGTAATTTGAAAAAGTTAAGATTAATTAAAAAATAATAATTTTATTTTGCTGTTATTTAAAAACAAATTATTAAGCAACACATTACTACATACATTTACAAATGAAAAAGTGAAAAAATATTATTAATCAGAAATGCTATCATTTTGATGTACACAGTAAGAACTTACTACATCTACCTGTCTGTTATGTTTAGATTTATTATTAGATTTTATTATATCAATAACAGGATCCCAAGCCATTATATTCGCTTCGATAGACCTCAAATCCTGGCGAAAGAAAACCGATATCGCCCTAGAATGATTCGAGAAGCCATAGAAATTAAAAAACATCCTAATTTCAATAGGGAAGATGGCTGGGTACTACTATCGTCATGGGATCCTGTTATTAATATAATAAAATCTAATAATAAATCTAAACATAACAGACAGGTAGATGTAGTAAGTTCTTACTGTGTAGATCAAAATGATAGCATTTCTGATTAATAATATTTTTTCACTTTTTCATTTGTAAATGTATGTAGTAATGTGTTGCTTAATAATTTGTTTTTAAATAACAGCAAATTTAAATTAAAATTATTATTTTTTAATTAATCTTAACTTTTTCAAATTACACATAAATCAATTGTGGCTTAAATAATTAATATATTATGATTTTTTCATTATGGTTATTAATATAATAATGGCAACACTAAAAATGTAGATTAATAATTAATATTTTTAAAATTGTAATAATTATAATAATAACAGCTCAAATTAAATAAATAATATTCTATATTCAATTATAAAGCTAATTAAAATTATATAAAAAATGTTTAGTTTTTTTTTAATCTCCATTTAAAGAGCTTTGTCGCTTAATATGCGACTATGACGCTCTGTTACGTTTACAATGGTATCTTAATTACATTTTATAAATATTTAACAACAAATTGTATTGAGGTACACCCATACAATTATTATGTATTACTTGCATTTGTTACAATTGTTGCTAACTTATAAATTAATCTTGCTACATTAGAAGAAGGATTTGATAATACAATATTTATACCTCCAGTCGTTAAAAAAATTGAATTATTTGTAAAATAATTTTGACGTTGCGCCTCATTCCGCACACATTCCATTAATATATGGAAAACATCTTCTACAATTCCACATTGCAAGCAATTTGGTGTAGCAATTTTACCCATTAAAAATGCAAATTTATTTAATGGAATGTGTCCAGAGCGGAGGCGTATAGCAAGGACAGTATCTTGTCTACTCAAACAGGTCATGTCAATCCAAGGACGAATTATTGGTTCAGCCTGAATAGTCCTATACCAGATGCCTTTTTCTTTTGACCTTTTATCAAAAAATTCTTTCCAGATATTAAAAACCTTTTTTTTAACCAAATAAAGACATTCTGTATAATACGGCGCAACTACCAATAACTTTCCTTCATATGTCGCTTCTTTAGCCAATCTATCTACCATCTCATTTCCCAATATATGAACATGAGACGGGACCCATTGTAAAATTATTTTTTTACCCTCTTTACTAAAGTTATGCATCAATTTCAAAATCTCGTAAGCTACTGGTGTGCTTCTAATATTAGATGTACATCGAGCTATATGTTGAAGTGAACTCCTAGAATCAGAGAAAATTACAATTTTATCGGTATTTATTGTCTGAACGTAGCATAATGCTTCCAAAATAGCCAATAGTTCAACATGCATAATTGAGATATGTCCATCAATCATAATTTTAATAAAATCTAAAGTTTGAAAGTCTAAAAATGCTGCACCCCTTAAGTCTTTTTGTTTTGATCCGTGCGTAAAAATTCTATAAAAACCGTTAAATTTGTCTTCAATATATTTTTCACATTTATTTTTCATTTCATTTACATTATATAACCTTTTAGGATTAAATTCATTACCAATATGTAATTTAATTAAATTCGATAAATTTATGTTACTAACCGAAGTGTTTAGTGAAAATAATTCAAGTTCTTTGCTACGTTGCATGATAGTGTCTTTAAAAGCATCATGAATTACAGTTAACAATGGAATACGATTTCTTTTCCACAAAGCAAAAATATTAGACGAACTACACTCTTGAAGAATTTTAATTAATATATTATCTTGAATGGAAAATTATTTATGCCAAAATTTACCAGCCAAGTAATATCTACGGCAACGAAGTGGCTGAATACTCAACTCGACTTCCATTACATGAGTTGGTGTGCTCCTAATAAACCCACCTATTACTCGTAAAGCCTGATTTTGAATTTTATCCAATTTCTTTGAATGGCTTTCACTGCAATCATCAAGAAGGAAACTAGCGTAGGTATTCCATGCGACTGCGGATAATTGATAAATAAATTCGTCTTAAGTGTTTGGGATGAATCCCCCAACCAGATCCGGCTAAAACTTTAAAAATATTTAAAAATTTTGAAGTTTTTGCATAGACTTCATTAACATGTTTGCCCCACCTTAGAGATCTGTCTAACCATAATCCTAAATATTTTACGTGTTCCACAACTTCTAATGCTTTTTCATTCACAAAAACTTTAATCGACTTCCTATTTTTACCCTTCTTAAAAAGGCAAATTTTACTTTTTGAAGGAGAGATATTTAACCCAAGCTGATCAATTGCTTTTGAGAAAACAATGATAGCGATTTGCATTGTATTTGTGGCATCTTCTATATTTTTATTTGTAGTATAAAGCAGGAAATCATCAGCGAATTGTGAAACATTGACATTATGAAAAAGTTTACAGATGTCTATTGTCGCAATATTAAAAAGAAGGGGGGATAAAGGATCTCCTTGGGCAATTCCTTGACTAGTTTTTCGAGTAACACTCAAATTATTAATTTTAATTTCTAAATATCTTTCTGTTAAAAAGTTCCAAATATAACTACAAATTAGGGGGCCTACACCTAATCTATTCAAATTTTGTAATAAATTAAAAGTATCAATGTTGTTGTAAGCATTTTCTAAATCAAGAAAGCATCCTAAAGTTACATCATTATTGCAAAATCCCATTTGTATTCTAGATACAAGAATACTTTAACTATCTAAGCAGGAACGAGATTTCCTAAATCCTACCATATCTGAAGGAAAACAATTATATTTTTCTAAAAACCACTCAATTCTTTTATTTATAACTGAATGAAAAATTTTACAATAGGGTCGAGGAACAAATCTAGAATGTGGAATATTGCATAATTTAATGAAAGGGATGAATTTGTTCGCAGCCTCATTTATATAAGACATAAAAATATTGTAATCGTATTGAATATTATTTGTTACTGAAAAGTCACTTGACAATAGTTCTAAATAACTCGAATATCCCTTCCAATCTGCTAACTTGAAATTTCTTT